AGACTTCTCTATGAAAAGTAGACTTCTCAGAGATGTCTACTTTCGTAAGTAGACTTCTCGCAGGTCATTTTTGCAATTGCAAAATATTTGAAAGTAGACTTCTCGGAAAAGTCTACTCTGAAAAGTAGACTTCTCCGAGAAGTCTACTTTCGTAAGTAGACTTCTTGCAGGTCATTTTTGCAATTGAAAAATATTTTACTTTTTGGTCAATTGCAAAAATGACCTGCGAGAAGTCTACTTGCGGAAGTAGACTTCTCTGAGAAGTCTACTTTTCAGAGTAGACTTCCCGGAGAAGTCTACTTTCACAAGTAGACTTCTCGCAGGTCATTTTTGCAATTGACCAAAAAGTCAAATATTTTTCAATTGCAAAAATGACCTGTGAGAAGTCTACTTCCGTAAGTAGACTTCTCAGAGAAGTCTACTTTGCATAGAGAAGTCTACTCTACAAAGTCAAAGGTTGGTCAATTGCAAAAATGATCTGCTTCTAAAGAAGTCTACTCGAGAAGTCTACTTTATTTTTTTGTTATCAAAGGAAATAGAGTAGACTTCATTCGGACCAAAAGAAATCTACTTTTTCATGCGGTCAATTGCAAAACTAACCTAGGCGTTGACTAGTAGACTTCATTCGGACCGAGAGAAGTCTACTTTCAGAGCATTTTCGTAAATACGTGAGGAAGATGATGATTAATTGGTCATTTGGATTTCTAAAAATAAAAGAAATTAATTAAAAATAATGGCAATTTCATAAATAACTGAAACTATGAAGGATTCTTTGGACACAAAATAGAAAATGTTGGGAAGATAATTTTTGTTGGTTAGATTTGTAATTCAAATCAAATTTTATGTCATTTTTGCAAAAATCCCATCATTTATTACCTACGTCTTAGGACATGTTTTATTTTTAAATTTGGTTAACTAAAAATATAAAATATAAATATTTATCCCAAAAAGTTTTCTGGTGTAGAGTTAGATGAATATTCTTTTTTTTTTTTAACATTATGAATATTCTTTAAAGACCTCGACCAATATATGTCAACTAATTATATTTTTGTGCTGTATTATTATTTATTAAAATTACCAAATAATTTGTATCAAAATCTAGAATGGTTCTTTAGATCATATAAGGTCTTAACACTGAAAGGATATATATTTAACCACTTTTAGATTGGGTAATTTTTTATAGTATAATTTTGGGTATTTTAGGCGATTTTGGACATGTATAATGTTTAAATTCATATGTATTGATGATCTTTAAGCAACATTAGAGGAGCGGCCGAATACAACAAAATGTGAAACATGAACCTCTCATATTCTTCAATGTAATTAATCGAGTTTAGTCGTGTAACGAATATCGTTTCCACTAGAACGTGTGATATTATAGCAAAATAAAAAGTAGAACGTTCGTCTGATTTTAAGAATAACTTTTGTAATTAACCTACACCTATGCCTTACTAATATTGTTCCAATTGCCTCCCCCCTCAAACCATATAATTAACTGTAGACGAATTAGACAATTTAATCTGACTACAAATAGATACATTGTACAAGTCAAGCCCAATCTCTGACTTTCCTACATTACTGTTTTCTATTTTTACTAGAATTTGTACTTACGTCTTTTGGAATCTGACAGTGGAAATGGCATATATAGATAGACATACATGATTTAGATACACATATTATGTATACATATACATTGGCTATATAGATTCATCAAGTGCATGCACGTAGTCTGTGAAAGCTGAGATGTGTAGAGAGTCATGACTATACGTATAGTGTCATAGCAAATCAATAATAGTGGATGGTCATTACGGTCAAAGCTTTTTGTCCATAGCTTTTGGGTGTATATTGCGACTAACTATCACAATAAGGCTGAATGTGTTTTCAATTCTTTCCGATGTAGACATTTTACCAATCCACAATATCTCTTTTACAATACACGTACTCTTATTGTCCATGACCTAGAAAGAAAAAATATGAAAGTTTCTAACTCTGGAAAGTAGAAACCCATAAATTTCAGAATTGAATTTGAATGTGTAAAAAAAACCTTTTGGATATCGTTTGCATTTCATGATAGAAGGAATTTAAACAGTAAAAATGTCTTTTTAACTAGAATGTTTTATTAAACTTGTGAATGAACAGTACAGATCATTAGATCTTTATATTTAAGCAGTCCAACAAATCCAATACTACTAAAAGAATTAAAGAATTTTTTTTCCATAGTAGAACAATACTAATGCTAGTAGGACTTGCTTGAAATGATCAGTAAGATTTTTCTCATTCTTATGTGGGAATGAGAAGAGTTAAGATTGGCCAAGTTGGAATCCACTTATAAGATCGCATTGCTGTGTTAAAAGTGTATATGATTAAAAACAAAAAAAACGACAAAAAATAGAAGGGGGAAAAAAAACGAAAACTGAACACATGGGTGAGGCAGAAAACAAAGACAATGAGATAGTTCCAAAGAGTTACAAGTGTTGTCAAACAAAACTCACTTCCTTACTTCTTTTTGAACGTGGAAAGATGGATTCCACTCTTTGCTTTCCCTTCAATCCCTTTCAATGGCTGACTCTTGCCTCTATAGGCTACCTTGCGACAAAAAAAAAAAGTTCATTTTGATAGCTTAATAATATTATTTGATTAAACATTCAAATCGCAATTATTGGTGATTAATGAGTCTCGAATCTTCACACCACGAAGCTCATACTTTTATGTAGTACTATACTACTAATATAATATAAACCACGTTAAGTGAGATACGTCTTCTAGAGTTATATGATCTACACAAAGGGTTTAGTGAAAAGGGAATCTAATCTAAACAAATATTGAAATGTTTAATTATCTATGCATGTATGCTTAAATCAAAATCAAATGCAAGTGTATTATATTCGTCCAAATTATATAATTACAATTGTGTGGATCTTGGCACTAGTAATGAATCATGTGGAGGAGCTCAGATTCAATGTCGATTTATTGATATAAGGTTCATGTAGACTCTAGAAGTTATTAATATTCTATTCGCGTATCCCATTTATTATTGGTTTGTCCATTATTAAAAGCCTTGAATAGTTAAAGTGGAAGGTTTTTCTGTTATTTCTTTTTCTCCTTTTTCAAATTAAATAAAACTCTATAGTCTCTATTTAATACTATATGTATATTTGTTTTCAGGGTTAAGAAGAGAGGGATGGTCTTTTTTCTGGAGCTCCCGTAGTTCTGTTACACGTGTCCGCGTTGGAGACCGGTCCCCGCCTTGAGGGTCGAACTTTCTGTAAGAGTGTCTAGAGCATTTTATCTTTATTCACTCATGTTTTTTAAAAAACGTATAACTAATTAACTATTCCGTTTACATACAAATGTATACAACAAATATATATATATATATATATATAATTTTACCCCCCGAAAAGGCAAAATATATATTGAGACGTATAAGATCGGATTGATATAAACATCGTTAAGAATACATTATTTTTGACGTCAATACTATACATGCGAAATATGTTATTACTTGTAAGATTTCATATGTATATGTAATAATGTCAAGCTTCATGGCCTTTAAATTTTGCTTTTTTACTCAAAAATTGTGCGTGGGTTCTCTTGAATTACTTTATTACTTCTAAATTATAGATCTAATGGAATACTTTTTTTTTCTTAAGATTTGATATGTAATCCTTGACATCAATACTGAAATTAGATATGGGCATCGTGATTATTATTATATGTGACTATATTCCATATGTTTCCGACTATTACGCGTACTTTAAAAAGATGGGATCGCTGCCTAACTCGTGTACCAATGTGTATAGTAATATATGAGTAAATAAATGTGTCACATGGGAACTCATGCAAAGGAGAATGCCATAAGTTCATAACAATGGGGAGCCAAATCACTGTATACACAGTACGGGTTTGCCCTTGGAATCGAAATTGTTAGAATGATAAATTAAAACATATATTTTTGGATGGAGGAATTTTTTTCACATTATTAAGAAGCCCACGTATCAATGAATGTGTTCGTCTTATATCTAATGTTATTAGGCTTTTTCTGTAAATCAATCCATAACCAAAATTTCTGGATCCAGCTAAGTTTACAGAAATTCTTAAGAGCCCATAACCCAAATATATGACATTCATTTCAAATTTGACGTTTCGCAATCGCATGTTGTTTAGTAAAAATGTATATACAACTTGGACGTAACTTGTAACGTACGTCAAGCATCTCCTTTCCACTGTCTCCAGTCCCTTTTTCTGCTTGTATTTCGGGATTTCATTCTCCAACATGATCTTGATGATTTATCCAAAAATGGGTACAAAAACCCAATTTCGAAGAGGAGAAAATCCCAAAGCAGACAATGTAAGCAACTTTTAAAAGGGTTAATGTACACTCTCACTCTCAGTCTGACTTTGAGAGATGAGAACAAACGTTTTTTGTCCATTATTCTTAAAATTCTTCTAAACCTAAAAGTTACTTGTTCAGTCTGAATCAAATAATGTACAAACAGACTGGTAAAATATCTAGAACAGTATATATAACTTACTAAAATTACCTTTTAGTTGACTTTTCGTATGTCAAAGCAAGAAGTATAGATTAATTTAGTAACCATGATTAAGTAGCTCATCAGTGCAAATCATTTGTTATATAACAAGGAATTTGTAGATTAACAGCACGATTGGACATTCCACCAGTTGCAACCTTATACTTTGTTTGATTCTTAGTTATGACACAGAATAAAACAAAATAGTCAATGCCATAGAAAGTAGAAACACAAAGAGGCTTCTGTGTGTTGTGAACTGTTGGTCTTGAAAAACACAAAAGAGTTTTTAGGGACGAACAAACACAGAAGGGCAAGTTTGCACATACATACGGAGATATTAACGATTTTAAGCATATCTATACATTGCATCGAGATTTTACATATTACAATTTTCACACGAGCTGCTGCGAAAATCAAAAAGAAGTTTTGAGTCCATACAGTGCTCGGTCAAGTAGAGAAGAGTACTTACTAGGTGCTGTGCTGAGGTGGTTTCATCGCTCTCTCCAAATCAATTTTGCAATCTTCTCGCAATTCTCTCATTGCCGAGAAGCTATTTTGCTGCAGGAAAGGAGTTAACACAAACAGAGGAAACTCAGGTTTATATCTGACAGAAGAAGCAAAAGGGTTAAACAAAACACTATATGCATTGTGCTTCGAAAACACTTACAAGGGTGTTACTTTCATGAGCGAGGATATCGCCCATGCTAAGAAACAGCGACCTCCAATGGCCCATGAGATCAGATGCAAGGTTTGCAGAATTAACCGAGTTTAGCGAGGCATGAAAATCCGTAGGCCTTTCTTTGCGATTCCTTTCAATCAAACTGCTCGCTAGTTTCTGACTCTTCTTCAAGGCTGATTCAGAAAAGCAGAAACAACAACAAAACATATGATAAAATATTCACAAGAAAATCCCTCAAGAGCGTATGGTTTTTACTGATATCCAGATAACTGGAACTTACCAGATAATCGACCTTTGATATCCTGGTAATGAAGATCTGACCAGATATACGCAGCTGAAACAAATCCATAGTATCAAATTGCTAAGTTGGTTAATTTTATTTGAGCCAAGAAAATTGAATAACAACGCAAGAAAAAAGCTACCTTTAAGGCAAAAAGAACAAGAGCAAGACTTTAGCAAGTCATCTCCCATAGTCTGATTCACATGCTCTTCCTTGTTAACATTTGAGCATCGACTCAATTCAAATGATCTCAGATTCTGACATTTAGGCAACTCCTCCCTTATAGCCAGGCTCTCGATATCGCTGCTTAACACAGGTAAAGCCAAGCCTTCACCAGCAGTAACACCAGTTTGATCTGCATTAGGAGCAGCTGGGTTCAAGTTCAACTCCCGTGCACCGTCTCTGTCACCAGGCTCAAAATATATCTCCTTCAATGGTTTGCCGTCTCCACTGGAAATCTCCACCATAGCACCATGAGATTCCCCAGATCCTTTCTCATCGGAATCAACAGAAGCATTCTTAAAATCCGAAGAAGACCCTTCGTTTTCCTTTACCAAATCATCTACAACTACACACAGCCTCTTTGAAAACTCTACTCTCGAACCTTCATGGGCAACGTTCTTCCCAAATTCACCTTCGGATTTATGTAGGAAATCGCCCAGAATCGACGAAATTCCCCTTTTCCTCGAAAGATTTGTCAAATCACCCAAAGCGGTGCGGGTTTCTGCCGACTCTAATTCTCCGCTATCTTCAGTCATCTTCAAAATCACCCACAAGGAAAGAGCAACAATTTCAATCTCAAACAAGAAAATGAGGTATAAACTGAAACTAAGATGATTACTTTTCAACAAAGAACCGAAAAATCTAATCCGGAGCAAGAAATTCAACAAAAACTTTTCAATTTCGCATCCAGAAATTGACAGTGTGCATCAAAAGATAAAACGGAATCGATTCGTACCTAGAGATTACGAACACAATGAAATGAAATTTGGGTTGCACTGATCTCGAGAGGTTGAGAGGATCCGTCGATGGTGATTATGCAGGATCTAAGAGTGTGAAATTAGGGTTTTTGATTTCGTTGAGGCGGGAACCGTGTTAATAATATCCCGATCTCGGTTTTTTTTTTTTAATCGCGTTTCGAATCACATAATTGGGCGTGACACTCGAGTGACGCGCGGTCCCACTGCTTAATGAGGTAGAAATATCAATGAAGCCCAATATCATGAAATCAATTGACCCATTAGAATCTACTGGGCCTTCTATAAACATCTGAAGAAGGAGAATCTTTCTTTTTGGAGGTGGTATATATATTCTGAACTGGCAATTTTTTTTCTTTTTTTTTTGTCAACAACTGGCAATTCTAAATGGATTATTTTGTTTTCAACAGTTTAAATCACTAGATTAATATATAATTAGCAAATTGGTCCTAAATGCTTTATATAGTAAAAAATAATTAATTTATAGATATTATTTAGTTGAAAAAATAATTTTAGGACTTACAAAAAAATATTGATTTATTGAAGTGTTGATTTATAAAGGTTCTATTATATCTAATTGAATTTACTACAACTATACAATCTGTTAAAAATAAATATAATATATGCGATGTTTTTTTTTGAAAAAGTAATATATGCGATGTTTCTTAGGCTTTTAAAAAAAACCGACATCGTTTTACGATCTAATACTTTTTTGGGTCAACGATCTAATACTTAATGCATGACATATTGACATCATAAGATTGCCTTTCAGTTCCAATGAACAGACAAATCTCAAACTTATTTTTTTTGTTTTATTTTTCCAACCATTTTTAATTATTTTCCCCCATAAGTATTCTTGTATGCAGTAAATACTAAATACATTTATTAATAGAAAGAAGAAAAAAAGTAAATACATTTCACAAACATATAAAAGACATGTAAGGTGTAAATAAAAGGTCGAGCCTTAGGTAAGCTCATACGAAAGCGTCGTAATAATATTGCTGTCTGATCTAAAAAATCCCCGAAATCCCTCGCTTACCGTATTATCCAATGCTTTCATCTCCTACCACTTCCGTCACTCTTAAAACGATTCTAATGATCTTCTTATTAATCTACCTATACCATTGCTCACATGCGTCACCAACAAATTAAGTATATATCAAATAGTATAAAGAATCATATATGAATAAAAACATATATAAAGAATAATTTGACTATCCTAAACAATAGTTGTGCCATTTTTCTTAATACACATGGTTTCCAGACATGTCTACACTTTTTGCAAAATATGATCGGTGATTAAAAAAAAACAATCCTTTATCCCTTTAGTCGTAATTTTCTTATTACATACTATATTTTAATGAAGTCGGTGCAATCAACTTTCGTTATCCATCGACTTTGATGCAACTGAAGAAATTTTCTACTAACTTCCGGCGTCGTGATGCCCGGAGATAACTCTTGTCCACCTAAAAAACATAAATATCTCCGCCACAAAGATCCAAATTCTTTTACAACTTATGTTTAGCTCAGACCGAACCAGGAGATCTCGACACGTCAGTCATCGCACATGCACACCCTCCTCCCAAAGCAAACATACACCATAATTTGAATAATCTTCTATATACCATATCCCACCAAAAACATATGCATATATAATCTAAGATCTATATAAAGGCACTCAAATAAGGTGGTCGTGTTACATCAGTACGGACAATAACCTCAATCACGTATGATATACTCGTCTTAAAAACAAAGATGGTTATAATTAATTACAGTCCATGACTTGAAATTTGATGGTCAAAAACCAAAATGGTGGAAGTCGAAGAATTGGAACCACTTAGTCCAATCGAAGACACGGGAGAAGAGGGAGAAGAAGAAATAACCTATGATGACCTCAAAAGACGCATGTGGAAAGACCGAAACCTCATGGAAAAGTTCAAGCAACAGAAACGACACAATAAGGACGTCGTTTCATTGTCGATGCACCGAGCCGAAGCTTCACGGCGCAAGAAGATGGCTCGTTCACAAGACTCGGTGTTGAAATACATGATGAAGATCATGGAGGTGTGTAAAGCGAAAGGCTTTGTCTACGGGATCGTACCGGAAAAGGGTAAACCGATAACCGGTTCTTCTGATAGCTTAAGAGGTTGGTGGAAAGAAAACGTTCAGTTCGACCAAACCGCTCCGAACGCTGTCTCTGATTACCTAGCACTCGCGGCTGCTGCGGCAGAGCTAATCGAGAAGGAACCATTAAGCTTATTACACATGCTACAGGAGCTACAAGATACGACTCTAGGGTCGTTACTTTCGGCGTTAATGCAACACTGCGTGCCGCCACAACGTCGGTTTCCGTTAGAGAATGGAATCGCGCCGCCGTGGTGGCCCACAGGGAGGGAGCTTTGGTGGGGAGAGCAAGGAGCGGCTCACGAACACGGTGCGCCACCGTATCGAAAGCCGCATGATTTGAGGAAATCTTGGAAAGTTAGCGTTCTCGCGGCCGTGATTAAACACATGTCGCCGAATTTGGGAAGAGTGAGACGTCTCGCTACGCAATCGAAATGTTTGCAAGATAAGATGATGGCTAAAGAGACCGATACTTGGTCTCGTGTCTTAAACCAAGAAGAAGCCCTTCTCAATATAAAAGACCTCAAGATCTCGGAAGATCAAGAAGCTTCGGGGTCCAAGAGAAAAGGTGGTTTTATGGAACCGTCTAAGAGTGTTTACACTTGCCAAAACTCGAGCTGTCCGAAGAGTGATATGAGTTTTGGATTCGTGGACAAGAACTCGAGGACGGGCCATGAGATCCAGTGTCTCTACGGGCCATCGACGCAAGAACCGAGCCAGAGTACGGGAGATACAATCTCCGTGCTTGAAACGGCTCCAAGTATTGGTACTAATACGACTAGTGAAGATGATTACAGTGTGAGCTCGAGCACAATGGACAAGCGAGATAATGATGATCGCAGCAATTGGATGGATTATTTATGGTTTGAGAGGATGCAACACGAGTTGAATTGCTCTAGGGAATTCGAAGATGGTGATGATAGTGCGATGGATTTGAGCCAATTACCGGAATATAATCAATCTGACAATGTGAACCAGAGTACTTTTTCAGTTTGGGATATGGGTTGTGAAGACAAAGACATATATATGTACGATTATTAATCAAGTTGGCTACTATAATCTTAGTCTTTATGCAATAATATTCTCTACATGCACCCAAAGTCAGAACATTTCTGCACCTACGTTATCTAGTTTTTTTTTTTTTTTTTTTTGACATCACCTACGTTATCTAGTTACATCTATCCACCTATACAATAAAAAAATTTCACATCGGGTTTCCTAAGCTTGTTACTGGTTAGTTCTCTATGCAATAATAATGCTTTACATGCATGTAACCACCAATCAAATATTTCTGCACTTATTCTCTGGTTACATCTATCCACCTATACAATAGAATAATTTATAGACCTATTTTCCTAATTAATTTTTATAACTATTATAATATCGTTAGTTTCACAATTTTGTTAATTTTTTAATATATACCGAGATTGTTGAATATAGGTAACAGAAACATAACACAAATCTTTTCTTTTTTTTCATCAACATGAGAAAAGTTCTTTTAAGGTTGCAAATACTTTATTTTATGAAGTTCTTTAAATATGTCTAAATAGTAAATAGTGTCACACTGTCACTAGCTTTAAAGATTCAACGACAATATAACGCAAAATAAAAATAAAAACTATAAATCAAGTTTTTTTTTCTTTTTCTTTTTAACATTAAGTTTTTGTTTTTGTTTCACCAAGAAGAACATGAAGTGAGTATTAGCATGGCTCAAATAGCTCGGACGTCGCCGTCGGCGAGGTAGTGTTTGCGGAGAGCGGCGCAGCTACGAAGCGGTTGGTCCTGTAAGAAACCCATGGCGTTGGCGAAATGACGTGTAGAAGCGGCGCCGTTGGAGCGCGTGAGGATCACGGTGGCGGTGCTTCGGCCAGGATCAGCCACGTGGCAGTTGGACATTGGACTGTGGACGAGCTCCGCCACACATTGCTGGTCCTGTCGGTCTCCTGTGACGGCAACTCTGTATCTTCCCCGGCGTCTCGTCACGGCCTCACCAACCACCTCCGATTTCAATGTCAGTCTGTCTTTGCAAACTATTCTTACTTTTGCCCCTGTTTCAAATAATCCCAAATACTTTTTCTCAATCTAACCAAAATCGAATGAGGAATTAGGAGTATATATGAAAAAAATAAATAATACTTGCTAACTAACAGGAAACATAGTTGTTATGTCTCAGTTGTTTCAATAGAAGAAAACAAATCACATTTCTGAAATATTTTTTTTTTTTTTTTGTAAAATCACATTTTTTGTAAATTAAAAATCATATCTGAAAATAACCATTATTTTGTTAAAATATCAAAGTTGTGGGATTATTTAGAAAAGTACATTTGAAACGTAAACCTAAACAAACAATCTATAAGTTTCGTTTCATTTAATTTTTTTTTTAAAACAGCCGGATGGTGTATTTTTTTGGGTGATTAAATTTGCGGAACTATAAACCATGATTCCGTAAAAATATGGGAATTGGTAAAAACTTGCGGAAGTTTGAGAATTATTCTACCAATGTGTTATTCCGGATGTTACTAATCAGATACAAACAACTAATTACAATGTGAAATACACGAGGACAATGAGTACATATGCAAGTATAAATACGAACCGGTGATATATTTAGTGGCGATGGTCTCGAACCCAAATCGGCAAGTGTCGCAGTAAACACATCCTTCAATGTGGAATGGCGTTCCAACCGCCATGGCCGCAAGTGGCAGTAGCGAAACGCATAACACAGCGATCAGAGGTACAGATGATCGAGCCATCTCCATAAACAAACTATACTATAAATTTTTGGAGACTGTTATTGGTGAAGGGGGTTTGTGTATTATGTACAAGCTGTGTTATTATATATATAAGAAGGAGATTGAAAGGCACATGTAGTAGAGAAGGTGTAAGTGTATCGCATCTTATACATATTAAAAGCTTCCTTAGTGTCGGCTGGATCCACTTGCGCCTGCTCCTCCGCCGTCCACGGCGAGAGAGTTTGTGTTGCCTTCTCCACAAGTCAACTCGTACGGTTCTTGTTAATCTAATCTACTTCTCGAACTATAGTTTATTATAATTCTTCTATTTTTTATAAAAGTTTTGTAGACTGAATCCAAATCGTCGATTTTTATGTAGTCTTATTAGATTCAACATCACAGTACACTTTGACCTCAAATTATCTTAGTTTTTTGCATATCGTAATTAGGAAATTCGTGGACTAATCAATTTGTGAAATAGAGAGCGATGAAATTGCTGTTTAGCTTCGGTCCGACCCACAACGTGCTTTTGTTTCCTCTTTACGTAAGAGTGCATTTTGACACTAACGCCGTTGATCCATGAATCTGTTATATACTAATTTATTATATCATTATCGTGGGTTTGGTTATATAAATTATATTATGATTAAATTAAATAAGATTAGTAGAAAAGGTCATTAATGTCCACTGCAGTGTCTGATAATCTTGATCTAAATTAAACACAGCTCTGACTTTAATCCGTGGCTTATAATAACAGGTAAACCTTAGTGCTTAGAAGTTGAAAGTGCCTGTTGTTATAGAAAAGCCACTGTTTTAGATTTTGGTCTTTCTGCTTTTCTTAGTTATCTCTGTATTTGTATTCTGTTTCAACTCTAAAATGGTATAAAATTTTACATTTTACCAAAAAAAAAAAAAAAAGCTTATACAACTTCTTAACCGTTGTAGAGTTCATAATACATAGTTCAAATTTTCAAGGTAAATTGCGAAAGTGTCCAATCGATTGAAGCTAATGTAACTGAGCCGACTTCTTTTTATACACAAGTGTGGATTAACCGATTTCATGGAAGAGCTCATGTTTAAAATAAAAAATGTGGAAGAGGTCGGTCTAACATGAATAGTAATGAATCTTAAGAAATAGGCCTATTGGGCCAAGTATGACCGACGTGGGCCCATAGAAACCCATGACAACCCCACACTACGCGTTTTAGATCAAAACAAATTAATCATGAAGACAAAATAAGAAAAAGCAGAGAGAGCCACGTCTCCATTGCAAAATAAGCCGTAGGCTTCTTCATCGTGAAGTAAGGACAAGTTTTGACAGGAGAGAAGAAGAGGCAAACAAACTCGCTGCAATTCTCCTCGACAAAGGTACAAGGATCCATAGTCTTGTCTTAAAATACATTTTTCTTACTTAAATCTAACATATAGTGTTAAACACAGAGTCTCTCAGCCAAAGAGAGTATTAAGATATACAACATGCACCCTTATCAAGGAGAAATAATTACATAACTTATTTTTTCCCTTAATTATATATGTTTTGGATTTGATTTAACCGCCGATTAAAAGGTGGCTAATTAAGCAGCGGGAGAGTTACCGGAAGATTCATGTCGGAGATTTGTCCAGGTGACATCTCCATATTATCAGCATCTGCTTCCATATGATTCTTCTCCATCTGTAAGATAAATTATATATAGGTCAAAACCAATATTCAGTATTCACTATTCTCTCACTTCTTTGTCATCTATATTTTATCCCTTTATTAATTACCCCAAGGAATAATATGATCTTTATCCTACCACCGATTAAAACTAACCACCATCAAAATATATAGCAGTCTTGCTTTAACAATTCGGCTGCTTTTGACGATCGAGCTTTTAGGGTCTTTCAAGTTTAAAGAGCATGTTTTAGCACCCAATTTTTTTTTATAAAAAAACATGTATCCTTCTCCAAAGCATGTACCGTTCTAGCGTTTTCCGGTTTATTATCAACCTGAACTAGTAAAACTATGACCTAAAGCATAACTAACAACCCAATCGGTTCCATAAATCTCAAACAAAACTAACACTATATATACGGCAAACAGGATTTAATTTTACCAGAAAATATATACAATAATACAAACTTAAGCTATACACAGTCATGAATTTAAAACTGTTCACAAACTCCTTTTTGGTTTTGTTGTTTTCAGGTCCAGGTTTCATTGAATATATATCATTATTTAAAAAAAAACCTAAGCAGAAAAAAATAGGGTGCGTCTTTTAGCTTTAAAGTAATATAGTACTTTTAGGGTTAAAGATAAGTGATAAGATTTGTGACGGAGATAAGGATCAACTTTTAGGGTTTAGGGTTAAATGTTGTTATAAAATGTGGAATATTTTCATAAGTGTCCCTATTTAACTACTATATATAGTTTTACCAATAAAATAATCTTGAAATGATTTGTTGGTTTAATTTTAGTTTCACCTTTTTTCCTAAACCCAGCACTAAAACCGAATCAAAATCTCCCCGGCCCCAACCAAAATCAGACCAATCAAATTCTTTCAGTAATATTTTCACCAAATCGAAAAACCAAACCTAACAACAAACCGAAATGTCCTCATCTTCAGAGGTTTTTTTTTTTATCAAAAGCAAGACAGGAAAGTTGTAACTAGTGAGCGCTTAAAGTGCAATATTCTATATATGTAATCTGCTAGTAAAAGAGTCCATGTAAATATGCAAGAAGTGCTTATTAGCTTATGCATATATTTATAAAAGAATGTAGCTTTCGTTACCTGGCTAGCCAAAACCTGATTCTCTTCTTTCAGCAATTTCTCCTGTTTTTGAAGGTCAACATGTTCATCAATTAATTTACCATTCAAGTTTCAAACCTAATTTCAGATTCTGGAATCCAAAAACTGCATCATCCCCAAGAAGACTAGATGCGTTTTGAAGAAGTTTGAAATAGACTTGCCAGCTAATAAAGGATACTTAAAGAAACTAATACAACACACAAAAGTCACTCAACCAAGAGAAAAGATGTCTAAAATGCAATAAACTTGGAGCAGATTTCTAACCTTTTCTTTGAGGCTATCAACAAGCTTCAACATTAATTCAGTCTGCAACAAAATAAACATAACCGCACGGTCATTCTCGACATACAGAAAAAAAAGAGTAAGAAAAGAGGAGACATTATGAAATCAACGTACCTTCCTAGCTCTAGTTATTGAAAGGGCAGTCTCAAGGTGATCCTCCAGCTGAACGAGGGAATCCACACTTACATTGTCGACATCTGATTCCACAAGCTTGCTGCATATATGAATAGATTGACAAGAAACCCTAATTCCCTTTTCTATCAAAGGAGGATAGCAAAAATAGTCTTTGTTCTACTAACCTTTCCACAAGTTCTAGTAGCTCATGGTGCGAACCATAGTTCAGAGCTTTTGACTGAAGATCCTGTCCACAAAAAAGGGAGAGAAGACGTAAAAAATGGCTTTGAGAATTTGGGTATGCACGTGGATCCACAACTTCATATAAGATAATTATGTGAACTAATAGCTCGTAGGTGGATCTATAATGCTAAATACCTCTATCTACATCGCCGAAATTTTAAGGTGCTAAACATGTGTTTTAGTCATGTCTACCGAATAATTATTCCTAAAGGAGCATCAATCTCTCAATAACCCTCTTCGATGAACTTGAGAACAACCTTTGACAACTACAGTAATTATATGTGCCAACGTTAAATGCATGTGAGTCAATGTCCATAAATTGCAATTTGAAACTCAAGGCTATGATTCGGCTCTGACTAGTATGGAAGGCCTTTTTAATTTCTTACGTAAATGCATCAGAAGAAAGATTCAGATATATTACCAAGGCTTTAAGATCATCAGCATGTTGTTTTCCATATCGATCAAGGATCTTGACCAAGCTGGAGAAGACAAAAAAAGAAGAAGAAAGCAATATATTAGGATCAGAACTACGAGCTAACCCTTGAAAACACAATTGGAATATATGAACATGCATATGGCATCAGCATAGACCTTTAGAAAGAAAGGGTTATTGTTCACACACGTATATATAACGCCGCTAGAATTCGTTAACATTTCAGGAAAACTTTGCATGTTTAAGAAACAGCACATCTGGATTTCCACTTATTATTATTCTTTTAATTGCTCGGAGGCTTTCCTAGCAAAATTTTCATGATAGATATATAAGATATTTTATCCCCTCAACAACCAAATAAAAAAAAAAACCCTCTAAAATTACTGGAGTTTGACTATCCAAATTTTTTTGTGGGTTTACATGTATTTAGTATATACTTGGTCAGATTGAAAATGACATTCTTTCTCGAGGAAAAGTTATACTAAAATTGAGGCCTGATCAGGTTATCCTTTTAACATAGCAATTCATTTCCAGCGCTGGATTTTGATTCACTTAAAAGTAAAACTAATTAAGGTACACGAGAACCCTAATCTCAAGCAAACAAACAATTGAGGCTTAATAGATAGATAGAAAGATAGATAGATATTCCATAAAAGAAAACGACTGAAGGCATTCAAAATTAGGGGAAATTAAAAACTTCAAGTTTTCTATTTATGATCTTATAGAAGTCAAAGCATATTAAACAAAATTTCCACTAACTCACTAAAAAGTTTGTCTTAATAGGTACAGTTCCATTGTGAAAATAAGCTCTCTGCACCAAAATCAAAGATCCAAAAATGAGTTACTGAGGGACTAAGGGTTTCCAAGCTCTTATGTTGCTCACATAATCACTGAGATTTTCATAAGTAATACCAGGAGTTTTGACTACTCCAAGGCTGAACCTAGCATTCAGTATAAGGCGTGAACAAGTCCTAGCAAGTATGGATCAAGTGAGAATCAACCTGCGATCTTGACCAACAAGGCCAAACCATCACAACGACTTGCTTAATTAGAGGCTTTTAGTTAAGACTATCACCAAATTTGGTTTTGACAATGTGGCACCATACTGATTCATTGTAGAACGGTTGGAAACAAGGTTGTGTTATTGCCAATTTCTAAGACAAAATACACAACAAGAGTTTCAAGGTTGTGTGATTGTTACTTTTCACAACAAAAGTTGCAAGGTTGTGTGATTGTGGTTTTCACTATCAAGCTACAAGGTTAAATTAATACATTGCAAAAAGATTAGGACCAACGTGTGTTATATATATGTGCACACAGAGCTTATATATCCAATCACATTAATATGTAACATATATATGGTAACTGCGAGTGTGTGAAACTATAAATCTTTAGAGAATTTTCAAGAAACAAATCCATAAAAAGGTGAGAAATTTCCTATAAAAGCACCACATGAACCTTTAAGTTTATAGTTAAACAATGTGGCGTATTAAACCAAAGTTGTTGATTTCTTTTACCATTAACCCCATGCTAATTTTTCAGCAAATCTCCCGGAAGTTACATTGTATATAAAGAGGACAATGAATTTTAATTAAGTCTAAAAATAGACCAGTTGATGCACACTATGTACTGCAAGAAGTATCATATATACACACAGCGATTGTGATTAAAAGAATCACAATGGATTGCCGGATCCCATAAGTAATTTAGCATATGTGCGGTAAGTACAAATTGTGAGGCTGAGTTTTCTTAAAGCTACCAATATATGTAAATGAAAAATTAAGAATTTAATTAGAAACCTTAATTTGGATAATCTTCAAGTAATAAATCAATGGTAAAGAGAGAAATTCTGGGAAGATCTACAATAATCTTTTAGTGAGTAGCTGGACAATGTGGCATACATTCAAATCAAAACTCTTGACCAACTATTCAGCATTCAAATCAAATCAAAACTCTTGATCTACATTCAAATTCAAATCAAAACTCTTAATCTTCAAGTAATGAATCTCCCCGAAGTGCACTGCGTTGCATACAAATCCGAGAGATCCAATGGTTTTGACTACTCTAAAAGGAGAAACATTAATCAATTTTAATTCTGAGATAAACAGCTCTTCAGATACATACGGATCGGAATCCCTACAGCCAAATTAACAACTAATGAAAGTAATTTAACAATCAAAGATGGCTTGAAACTTCACTAAACAACATCGAGTATGCATCACAACGTATCACAAAAGATCTTCAGGGACATGCAAATTTCTTACAGATAAAATAAAATCCATGCAGAAAAAATCAAGAAAAAAAAAGATAGAGAGAGAAGAATGAATAAAGTAAGAAGCTTTAGCTCATCACGACATTTTTCTCCCTTAAATTTGGTTAGCTCATGTATCTCTCATGGCCATGGAAAAAACAGTAACAAACACAGAACCGAGGGAACCTCAAGAGATTCGCCGGAATAATCAAAGCGTCTTTTAATTGTTTATATTTTTGTTTTATTTTATTTTCTCAAAAAAAAGGAGAGGGAAGTAAACCGAAGCTTAAAGGGGGAAAAAGGAAAACCCAGAAGAGGAGAAGTCGTACTTATCGCCGGAGGAGAAGCTGTATAGCTTGCCAGAGGCAGAGACAACGAGAAGAGCGACGGATGCATCGCAGAGAACAGAAAGCTGACGAGCTTTCTCGATGAGACCGTTGCGTCGTTTGGAGAAGGTGACTTGTCGGCTACTTTTGTTCTCAATTCGCTTGATTTCTAGTTTTTTTCTCCCCATGGCTTCTGTCCCGGAGAGGCCTTTGTGCCCTAATTTGATCCTGAGGTTCGGTTCAAGTCGCCGGAGATACTGAGCGTATTTTCTTTCTTATTTTTTTTTTCCTTCCTTTTTCCTTTTATTTCTTTCTTTTTTTGTGTCTCTATCTACTTTTTCTTCCTCGGGCAAGTTTTTTTTGTTTTGGAGTAAACGAGAGATGAAAAAAAAATATGTAAGTGAAAACGATGCGTTTTAGCGACAAGACATCCACGTGTACCCTAAAACGAATTCCCTGTGGGCGCGTGGCGTTGCGCTTGGCCCTTACATTTTTTTGACAAACATATATAATCTGCAAAACGGAAAATGTAAAATAATTTTATAAGCGAGAGATTTTATTTTAAGAGATTTAACGTGAAAATTATATAAATCCTCAAGAATTTTGTATGTAAGTAGAACTGATATGTAATATGTGAACCATGTAAAATGTATAGCCGTATATGGCTGATGTTTGCCTTACAAAGCGCATTTTCAAGTTGTATATGGTTAGATCTCAAATACTTCTGAACTCTTCTGTCAGTATTCTTCTTTTGGCTGGCTTTAGGGAAAACCACGATTGTCCATGTGTTTTATCAAATAATTATATAAAAGGAAATGTATATCTAAACAAAATGCACAACTGTAGACAACAAACAAACAAAAAACACACACGAGATTAGCACTAATTACACTACTTGTAACTTCTACATAAACAACACACATGAACTTCGTTATGATATCCAATAATTTGTTCTCCGATCTTCTGCCCAAACTTAAATTCTTACCTACCACAATCTTGTGTGTTTTGAATCAGACCAATTGTTAGGATTTATCTATAAATCTTATAAAATCTTAACATATTCATCTATATATATCTAACCCCTCCATTGGAATTTCATACATCTTTTAGAAAATGGGAGACTATTATTTTTGTTCGATTATTATATATATATATATATATAATTTGAGATGCACCCACGTTTCTTGATATACGAGTATAATATATATATATATATTAAGCCAGTTTTTTTTTCCCCTTTTTAATTTCAACTTCTTGCTCGATGTTGCATGTTCAAAATTTAACTTCCTACAAGTGAGACCAATTGTTAGGATTAATAGAACATTCATAAAAAAATTATTGGATAATCTGACATAAAAAACTAATTACTATCCAAAAAATTGGTATGGGTTTGGTTTGAGTCGAATCCTAATAAAGGAAATTGTTTGGTAACCCTATGGAACGTTCCTTATAAACGTTACTATTAATTTGTGGCAGAGAAAATACGGTATTTATTATTAAAAACTTAATGCGAAAAGTACTTATACGAATAGATGGGTGAATGTACGGCAGGGTCTATATCCAATCACCTCACCGGCTTTTCATATTCTGGATCCATCTATTATCCTTTCTTCAGAAGCATCTCTATGCTTTAAATTTTAATTTATAGTATATTAACTGTTAATTTGCAAAAAACTTTAACCCTTCAACTTACACGACAATATAATATCTCATTCTGGTAGATTCCTATAAAAAACAACTTTTTTACGATATCGAAACTGGATTTACGGATTTTGCCATTTCCACTTGTCCACTAGTGATAATTGACAAAGTGGAAAAATATATTCCCGATTATAAAACAGCAACATCTAGTCATTACTCATTACAATTAATTGCCATTTACTGCATCTACCACTAGTAACATAACCTTATAACTTTACGTTAATTTCTTTTTATTTCTTGATTAGCTTCGATGATGACATTAAACACGATGAGCTCTTCTTTCTCGGTATACATTTCACCTTTACGATCGATCCTTCTTCTTCCTCATCTTTCTTCTTGGCCTCCTTATCGCCAGTATTTGGTCTGTTCATTTAAAAGTTTTTCACTATTGTTATAGCCATCATTCACGATTCGAGAATAGATGTATCGAGTTGACTCGGTCTGAGAGAGTACTACCTTTCTTCGTTGAACGAGTTGGATCGCTTTAGCGCGGGCTCTGCCGTGACTCGTGCTTGACTCATCGATTCGACGATGCTCCCGCTGAAATACTCTTTCTCTTCCGCCTGTGGATTTCCGAACCTTGGATTCTCCGACATGAACCTTATCATCTCGCGTTCGTCTTCAACGACAGTCTTCTTCACTATGTTCTTGCACAAAACCCCTTTACGAAGATTCTCTTCCTTTTGTCTCGAACTCACCAGGCTCGGTGCGTAATGCTTGGCGATGTGGCCGCACGAGATCATCTGGAGCCAAATCGACCCACGAACAGAACCGGGATCCACTAGATCTCCGTCCTCGACCCGCTCCGAAACGACGAGTCGACGTGGTTCCACTGGGTAGGAACGAGTCAACTCAGACGGGTCAGATCGGACCGGCAAACCCTGTTCCGTCTTGCCCAAGTTCGGTTTTTTCTCAGTGAATTCTATCGCCTCAGTCGAAATACCTCGGGAACAGCGAGACTGTGGCGTCGTGGAAGACGTATAACTCGTTTTCTCTTCGTCAAGTTCGTACTCTCCATCTTCTTCTTCTTCTTCTTCCACTTCTCCGACGTAGAGCTCTGAGTTATCGAATGACGTCGTTCTGTCTTGAGGTTTTGGTTTTGACCTGAGAAGTTGACCTTTTGGAGCTTCTTGAATTGGACCCGACATTGGTCGGCTCACATGTACCACCTCTTCAAATTTCTCTACAATTCAAAATTTTAAAACAAATGAACTCAACTGTGGAAAACCCCATAATTACAAGACTAGTAATTATTGAACTTACCGGCGATTTCAGATCCTTTCAACACATACTCAGCACAGTCCGACGGGTAAATCACATCGTTTTCTGCTAAGTCGTTCCACACGAATCCATTTCTATAGCTCCTGATGAAATATCGATATATATATATATAATATGCATTAATCTTTCGCCTTTGATTACAGATTTTGCCTCAATTTAAAAGCGTTACCTTTTGCATGACCAAGCGTATAGTGATGGCATGCTCTTCCCTCTCAAAACCGTAAGCCGGTTCATCACATCTTCATTAAGACACATACCCAAAAAAAAAATCGAGCTTTAGCAACAAGTTCATATGAAAACACTAACCCATGATCACATAACCATTAATGTATACCAAAAAATAGAATCCAAAACACTATTCAGAGCACCTATGTTCTATGATGAACAGATTATAGTGATTACTCTCTGTGTGTGTTGTTTTGGGTATTTACCTCTTAACCGGAGAGGCTGGTTAACCGGAGAGATAACTTCGATGAAGTGAGGGTGTTCGAGGTGGCCATTTCTAGTGAGATAATAAACGACTTGTACTCTTCTGAAGACTGGTCGCCGAGTCTTGGCCTCTTCTTCTTCTTCGTATTGCTGATGGTTTAAAGACCTTATCAGCCTCTCTGGAGTTTTGTTGTTCTCTCTGCCTCTTCTGCTTCTTACAGCTTCCATCTTTTGTGTCTATGTGTGGACAAGAGGTAAGAATTATTAACACACGGAGTGTTGTTTATATATATATGAAGAAAATGTATGTTAATGTAATATGAGTGTGTGTGAAAATGGTCTCTCTCTGATACAATTCAACAGAACTGGCATTGGAGATGAGCCCAACCAGAACTGACAAGGACTTGGCTTTGCTTTCTATGGAACTCGGTAACTTAAATAATTACAAGTTACACTTTACGCATTATAAGATTTGGTTGAGCAATGTGTCTTGAATGATATTCTTATAATGTCGAATGTTTAACCTCATTAAATTTGTTTCGTTGCTTAAATTTGGATAAAAAGATGCAATCGAAAAGTTGTTTCAGAGATGAAGATGAGTCAAGATCACTGTGCTTCAAATGGAAATTTGACTTTTAATGACCTATCATCATATAAAAATTAAAAATAAATACAATCTGATGTTTTTATTTAACCACGCCCCAAGTCTTTATGATTAAAGAGAGCTCCAGAATCTAGGCAACTAAAGAGAACACGTGAGGGGTGTTTACTGCTTTTATGTTCTGTACTCTCTCATTACATCAGTTAAAAACAGACCAATATGACATATCAATACAAAGGTAAAACAATTTATAGATGGGACTGAAAATCTATTTTTTTTTAAATGATACTGACTGTTTAATTTTTTTTTATTAATTCAACAGTCTTCCCAAACCCACACAATGTACTGTGAATTCACTTATATTAAGGTTAATAATCAACACTCCAATTTAATTAATCGTTGATTAACAAAACTAGTGAAAGACAGTCAGTTTTGTGGGGGGGGGAAAGAAATGAAACAGAGAAATATAGAATGTAGATGTGTTCTATTAACCCATTTGCATGGACATAGCAGAGTTCTCTGGGCGTGGAGTGGCCCATACACTTAACTTCCTCAATCCTCACCAGCCACCAAACAAAAACAGTGCCGTCTTCTAAATAGTTGTGTCAGCTTTTTATTTCCTCTGAATAATTTCTTAGCAATAAATATTGAGTTCATAGAGAGGTAACAATAATATAAATAGGCAAAAAATAATAAACATTAAAGTATGAAAAGTATTGAATTGTTTTTATAATTTTCGAAAAATATTCGAATGATCGACATTGATCTAAATACTAAAATACTACTATATACTTAGAATATTGCTTAATATATGTGATTCTTTATCAAATACAAAACAAAACGGTCGATATATTGAGTATATGAATTAATCCCAGCTTTTGATGTTAACATAATAACTAATACATTAAACTGAATATCGCAAACGTATTTATCTGCCTAACGAAATGATTTGACTGCATGATAGTTTTGTTAGATTAAAGAAGTTGTTGTAACATTTTCAAATTTTACAGGTCTTTCTTTTCGATTTTTTTTTATGAATCGATTAAATATTGATCATTTGATCTTGTAATATTTTTAAGTTTCAGTTGAATAGTAAAGAGCCTTTTTTTTAGATGAATAGTAAATTTCAACTTCTGTATTCGTAGTTGCTACACAATGTAGGCGGGTGGTTGGTATGACGTGGTGTATATATTTGTGTCAATTATCACAAATATATCTTCTTGCAATTTTCACCTTCTATTAATAGAAACAGTTGCACCGTCAATATGACTTAAAGAAATAGTTGACAAAATTAAACTGACATAAAAAAAAAAAGTGTATTAGGTGGAAAAATCGAGTGCCCACAAAAAAAAAACCGAATGGGCTTTGCTAGAAAAGGCCCAAACGAAGCTCATAAAGCAAAAAGGGCCCATATAGTAATCCCATTTCACCCACCATTGTTTCCGTTGGAAGCTCTTTCAAACTCCCTTAGAAATCTCCGTCCCTTTCTCTCGAAATCAATCGTCAATGGCGGCCTCCAACTCCATATTCACCGTCGCTCCGTCGAGAAATTTCGCACGTATCCATGTTCATCAGGCAGTATCTTCACCGTCGAGTCTTCCGCTCACCAGATCGAGCTCCGTCGCGCTCCGTCCCAAACGCCGATCCATCTCTCTCGTCAAGTGCTCCACCGATGAATCAAAGAGCACTGCAGAGAAAGAGATCCCAATCGAACTCAGTAATTTCTCTCTCTATGGCATTCTGATTACAAATCGAATTTCAGTATCTTTTTAAAATTGCGAATCCTTTAATTTTCAGGGTACGAGGCTTATCCTACGGTGATGGACATCAATAAGATACAAGAGATTTTGCCTCACAGGTTCGAATTTCTCATTTCACTGTTGATTTAAGCTGAAGCTGTATTGCTCTGATTCGATTTCTTCATCAGATTTTGGATTGTCTTTGTAGGTTCCCGTTTCTGCTAGTGGATAGAGTGATAGAGTACACAGCTGGTGTTTCCGCGGTAGCTATTAAAAACGTTACCATTAATGACAATTTCTTTCCTGGGCATTTCCCTGAGAGACCGATTATGCCTGGAGTCCTCATGGTTGAGGTAAATCGCATTGCTCGCTTGTCACCTTCTTACTCCAAGCTTACATTTTTTAGTTCAGTAGAAGCTATTTGAAGATATTCATACATTCCCGTTTGCTTTGAGTCTTGCTTGCTCAATTAGAATGTTTTTTTTGTTTGTTTGTTTGTGAATGATTCACTTAGTTGATTAGTTGGTTTTGAATGGTGTTGGTGATTCTAGGAACTAGACTGATAGTGAGAGATTTTGTGTTTCAGCTGAAGCTTTGAGGGTATTAAAGATGAAAGCTTTTTGCTTTAAGTTTCAGTTTTAGTGTGGGCTAATAGTTCCCTCCAAGGCTTCAAATTGAATACCTTGGATCATAGTTTTACATGACACAGTTTCTCTACTAAGACAATGTATGTAAATGAATGATTAGGAGACTCGTTATGTATCGTTGCAGATAATACGCGTTACGTATTCATAGAGCTAGTTTTCAGTTTTAAACATCTTGTGTAAGATATCTGTTTTGTTTCGATAGGCCATGGCTCAGGTAGGAGGTATAGTGATGCTACAACCAGAAGTAGGCGGATCTAAAAGCAACTTCTTCTTCGCTGGTATCGACAAAGTCAGATTCCGGAAGCCCGTGATCGCAGGTGACACTCTGGTGATGAAGATGACGCTTGTGAAGCTGCAGAAGCGGTTTGGTATAGCGAAAATGGAAGGGAAAGCATACGTAGGGAACACTGTGGTATGCGAAGGAGAGTTCTTGATGGCTATGGGAAAAGAGGAGTGATCATATTCATTGCCTTTTGCTTTCTTTCACCCTTGTGGCTACGAATGTTCACACACCTTGAGTTAAGTCTCGTTTCTATCTCCAATTTCTGTTGTTTGTTCTCAGCTTTGACCATTTATTTCAAGGGAAAGAATGAAGAGATAGTACTGTATGCGTATGTACTCTTCAATTTTGTTTTTAAGATTTAATAATCATGATAAATTTTAGATTTTTATACCTTTTAAACTTTTAAACTTTTACATTTTACTATTTTCATAGTAATTATATCATTAATTTTGGTGTTGTTAACAAAAAGGATTAGTTTTTGTGGTGTTTGAAAAAAAAAATATAGTTTTGGTGTAGTTCTGTTCTTAAATGAAAAAGAGTAACTATTTATTTGAAAAGAGACAAATTATCAAGCCTCACTTTTATTCATGACTTTTAAATAAGATGGAAGACAAATACAGTTTAGCGCAAGATGCCAATCTTTTGGCTCGGTAAAAAAACGAAACCACATGGATGACAAGAAATAAAAAGCTTACATTTTAGAAATGTAATTGTTCATTCAAATATTATAAAAAAAGAAAAAGGCAAAGCTAAGAGGCGAATCTTAAATGTTGATCGGACTGAACGATATCTTCATCAATCATCACTTGTACTCGAGAATCATGTTGTTCTCAGGAGCAAGTCCAACACAAGCTCTGAGTATGTTCTCAAGCATTGCACGCTGTTTGGACAAAGCGTTCACAACAGGCGTGCCGGGTGGAACCTGCATTCATTTAAGAGTAAATTTTTAATAATGTTGCTATAACTCAGAAACGGCACGATGTTTCAAGCTTTGTTTCCCTTACCAATGGTGCCTTGGAGAGGTAACTCAGGAGAGTAGCCACCGGATGGAAAGAATGGAACTTTCCCTGCATTAGATAAAAACAACAAATCAAATTCACAATGTAACATCTTTTTGATAAACAACTATATAAACATAAACACAAATGCAAACACAATCAAAACTTTATACAAACCTCATCCTCGGACATGAACTGGATCCGAGTAGTGAGCTCGGCGAGAAGAACAAGGTCCAAAATAATAGGAGCAGCCAAGAGAGAGTCTTCACAAGTGTTGTGCATCACAATCGTGTTCTTCCCACCCATGAAGATCTCTGATGTGTACTCGTCCATTGCTCTCTTGCTGTCTCCTACATACGGCACATACTGCAACGTAATCCAATGGTACATTTCATTATGCATATACTATATAACTTTCTTCTTAAATCCTACTAATAATATATCTGAATTTATCACCTTAATGACGACAACATGGTCAGGATGTTCACCGGACTCGTATAAAATGCCGTTGCTAGCAACCATATCGTCGACGACATTGCTCTTAGATATCTCCTTTGACCGGAATGTTTGAGGTGCCGACAAATTCATGCCGTCGTTGTTCCCAAGGTGGTTGTAGCTCACAATGGACGTTGGCTACATTATGTTCGTAAATATAAATGCAATTAGTTTCGTTTTGGTTATGACCAAATGTTTGAGAGAGTTATTTATGAATGTACGTACTTTGATTCCAGCGCCGACAAGGAAATCGACGAGGACAGACTTCATCTTGGTCTGACCACTCTTGAAGTCATCACCACCGATCAAGCTGTTTCTAGTGATTGCCAATTCCATAAGCCCTGTGAAGATATATGAACATTTTTGTTTAATACAATTTGATTCACTATAGGAATTTGATATGATTAATACTCATATCTATAGTTTATTTAATTACCAGGGACAAAAGTGTTTTGTGGGCTTCCATTGATGAAAGGAACGTTCTCAAGAACACAAGCAATGGCGTAAAGCGTAGAAGGAGAAATCTCAGACTCGTTCCTGTCCAAAGATGACATGAGATTCTCCGTCGTGTCGTTAAGACCAACCACCACATTGCTGTATCTTTCTGTGTTCGCCGTCCACAGTACGACCACCTTGTCCACTTTGTTTTTCTCTTTGAAATCCCTATTCATAAAACAATTTCATTATTAGAAAAAAGAACTTGATTTTCTTGTAAATAACGTTCATGCTGCATCTTATGAGTTTTGGGATCTTCAAAGCGACGTTAGAAAACAAAAATAATGGGTTTTATTGTATACTATTTTGTAAATTAATTTGCTAATCGTTTGACATAAACCGTTACGTTATGTTACCTGATGTCCTTGATGACTTGTTCAAGCTGTTGTTTCTTAGTGCCTTTGATCAAGTGGTTGGCACGTGACCCCTGGTTAGCTGCGATGAAATCTGGGTCGTAGATTCCAGGGAGTGGGACCATGTGCTCCATGAACGGACGCAGCTGCTTTTGGAGGTCGATGTCTAGGACCTTGCCTCGTGCCATTGCGTCTGCTAAGTTCATGTCGCTTATGTCCCATCCTCCAAACACGATTTCTTCCGGATTCACCTATCATAATCAAAACCAAAAAAAAACCCATCTAATAAGCGATATTTACAATTATTCTACTTGTCCACTAAACATAATATAAATACTTTGAGTATACAATCCCCAATATTACGTTTATTAATCTATTCGTTTTAATAGATGATGATATTAAAATATTCTTTTTAATAATACTACATCACTAGTATAGAATACTAAAAGTAAATGTGTAATACAGTCAAAAGAGGATATACTGTACCATGGGGAGAAGACTTTTGAAGGGAGCATAGATTTCTTCGCCATTAAATGACCCGACCCGAATAGAGGATGCTTGGGTTAATGACCCGAAATAATTAGCTTGTTGCACTTTCTCCTTCGTAGCCCAGGAGATTCCCCTGCCACCAATTGATGATTTTCTTTTTAATTTAATTAAGTAAAAATTATATAAATCCCAACTTGTGCATTTATTCTATATCCAGTTGCGGGAATATGAATAATTTATTAAACCCACCCGCATTGAAAAAGACACACAACTTTATTCCCATTTGAAACAGCATAGTAAAACGAAACTAAAAACGATTATCAGAGAAAGTGTAATCAAGAAACAAAATTTTACTCACTCGCGATTGGCGATAACACCAGCGGTGAGAGTAGAACCATTGTTCCCTCCCCAGCCAACGAGCATCACTCTGACAAAAAATAAAATTAGACAAAGCAAAAACATCGTCAGTCAAATAATAAAAGAAAAATACATAAACAACGTATTATATAATTAAGAAGAAACAAAGAACTAATACTATGAGGAGAACTAGGAAGATTTTAGAGAAGAAGACAAACCCAAGTTTGGGAACATGAGTGTCCGTCTTAAACTCGTATTTCACGGTTTTTGGCTTCACGGTCCATTGATACGCACCGTTTTTGTTCTCATGAACAAGCTCAGTGGTTTGGTAGTCGTACACTGAATGGATCTCACTGTCTGTGTACTTCACGTTTGGAGATTCAACCTTGAAGCTTTCGATGAACATTTTTGCCTAATTTTTTTTTCTAAATGGAAATCTGGAATTTGATTGATCCTTTTGAATGAGAGTCTGCTTCTGAATGCGTTGTGATTTGAGACCCAAGCTCGTCTTTTATAGACGAGATGCACATTATGATAATATTTTATTTCCGAAAACGTCTATATATTTTTCTTTCTTTTCAACCTGTCTTAAAGAGAGGTGTCAATATATTTATTTTACCATTTACCGGATTATGACAAGTGTATCAATTCTACAAAACGTGTTCTTACGTGATTTTTCTCTAAAAGATTAGATTACTTAGAATGGAAAACACTGAGAGAGGAATCTAATTCTATTTGACTAGAAATTAAGGTGATAAAGATAGGGATAAGGCACAGATTATATAGTTACTGAAAAGAGAAAAAAGATTTGATTAGATTTCTATCTTAAAAAAAGAAAATTTGTACGACACTGAAATTAATAATAATATGTGAAAGAAACTAAAAAGCAGTTTAATATAAATAAAATATTTCTTCTGTTATTTTGACACCTTTTACATAAATTAAAAAAATTAATAGAAAATCTTTTCTATTCTTTCTAATTAATATATTAATATAATAAGATTAAAAATAAAATTTTGTTTAAAACTTCGTATTAAAAATAAAAAATGATATTTTTAGTGAAAAAACAAAATTTTAAAGTAACATATTTTATGAAACGGAGGAAATACTTCAGTAGGAGGTTTCGTGGATAAAAGAAATATATTTACCGATGATAATGAACGGAAAGCTGTGACAACTACGATGAATTTTTTGGTAACAATAAAACTCATCATCTCATACATGTGGCTATACATCAGTGGTCTGTGGCATCAAGGACAAAGAGTGAACGTGATCGAGTGTCTCCTCATAGCCATAGGCCATGCAATCACATGATGCAACGGACGAGGAAGATTTCTTCGTCTTGTGACTATTTCACACCCGTGTGAGCCCACGCGTGTGACGGTGTGAGATAACCATCTACGGTGTTGCACTAACACGCGTCTTAATCGCATGATGTGATGGTCCTACACAAGACTGTACTGGAACTTGTGAAAACTTCAAGGACTTAAAAAAATAACATGACCATTAAACATATTTCCGATCGTCAGTTTTTTTTTTAAATTTTTTTACCATAAATAGATTTTTGTGATTCTGACTTGCAAATAAGCGTGTATTCGAATTTCGATCGTCACGAGACTCACGACCCCATAACGAGGTATGTTCAGACGCATTTGCAGATAGCGTTCTTTTGTTAGTGCAGTACAGATATAGATAAAATGCTGAATTCGAACTTAAGAAAAACTCTGACCAATATACACATCTTTCTGATTTTTTAAAGATAGTATTATAGAACACGGTTAATAATATTTAACCACCTTGTCTGTTTCTCTTCTCTGCCTTTGTTTTTGTCTTGTTAATATTTCGGATTTATTACCCGAAAATCTAATTTGTGCTCTATTGTCTATAGTGCGTAAAATACTAAGGCCCATATCAAAAGGGAGTTTTATGTGGCCTTTATTGACATCCTTAAAGCCCATCTAACTTTCGGAGGAATTTCAAAATGTACCGTGCACGTGCGTGAACACACGTGTGAGTATATAAAACGAAACGTGTTTTAGTTTACGTTTGACAGTTAGGTGAGTGTTGCTGACAAATTTCAACTAAACATTCGTAAATATAGTATTCAGTCCACGTAGACTTTTATTTGTGGAATATAAGTTACGATATCTCTTTTTTTATTGAGCTCTCTCTGAACTGAAGGGGTTAAAGCATACTGTATTTCGATTATTGCACAGAAAAAAAGGAAGAAACATATAATTCATAATCATAGTAAAAAAAAAAAAATCTCTGATTGGGATATATTTTTCCTACTTTCATGTTCCACTTTCAAAACATAAAAAATTGCGGAAAAAAAAAACACTTAACAGTTGGAGAAGAACGAAGCTTAGACTTATCCATATTGAAACATATGGTGGGCCATGGCCCAATTGTGTCGACTTATTCAATAGTCTCTGGTTTTGTCAACTAAATTTCGTTGATTTGCATATTTCCAATTTTCCATGTCTACTAAAATCTCCATTTGTATACAAAAGAGGGAGAAATCAATCACTAATATTTCTTTCATTTGGTCCCTATGAATAATGATATTATGCGATTTAGCTTTCTACTTCTCCAATGGACAAAAAAATGATTACTATTTGTATTAGTCTTATTATTGTTACAGTACGAAAGTGTTTCTCATGCCCATGCTTTTCTCCATACGCCAACATCATGCGGTTGTCGTCCATCATATCTGTTTCTCATCACAAGTGTTTTTCTATAAATTTTAGTTTCAAACATCACATATGTAATATTCAATTACAGATTTAAACCTTATATAAATTAAGGGGAAAATGAGTCATTCCACGGCGACGCCAAAAGAATAAATACACTACAACATTACATACATTTTTACAATAGAGAAAACTCGAAGGCTTTGACTTTGGTCTGTATTTGGACCCAACGAGGCACACATATAGTGTCTTCTCCACTTGGTCCGACCAAGACAAAGACATTTCATCTATTGGCTGTGGTATAACCAATTCACTTTAAAACCCATCACACGTTTCCATCATTTGGCCTATCCAAAAGTTCAGTTAATAATGTCAATCTATAAACCATTTGAAATATTTATTAGAAGTGGTAACAATTTCTAACCGGCTTTATTTATTAAACCTCATAAAATATGTTTTCACGTTTCCATCATATGAGGGTGTAGATAAAGAAAATGTTTTTGATGCTCCTTTTCATTTTCATCTACCATGTCATTCCCAAAGAAACAATAAACTGTTTTGCTTTTGTATAACTTAATTGCTAAAGATTTTCATTGATGAACTTTAACAAGAGTTTTAGAGCAATGTGCCACCTATTTACAAAATCATAAAGTTGTAAAGTTTGTTTTTTTCCCTTAGAAATATATATATATATATATATATATATATATATATCACTTTTGGTGCTTTAATTAACAAAAAATGGACACAAAAAATGGACACCATGAGATTCCACTAACTCATGTGTATATAAACATTAGAGAATCAGTCCATTCACTTCAGCATCCACACACTTTGAATGCTCAATCAAAGCTTCTTCATAGTTAACCTTCCTCGCAACGTCAGAAATCGAGAAGATGAAAGAGAGAGATTCAGAGAGTTTTGAATCTCTCTCTCAAGTTCTCCCAAACACTTCAAATCCGGTACACATGATCCAGATGGCCATGGCCAACTCAGGTTCATCTGCAGCCGCACCTGCCGGTCAAGACCAACTTGATCGGTCAAAGTGGTTGCTTGACTGTCCTGAACCACCTAGCCCGTGGCATGAGCTCAAGAGCCAAGTCAAAGGCTCTTTCCTAAGCAAAGCCAAAAAGTTCGAGTCACTCCGAAAACAGCCTCTCCCAAAACGCATCCTCACTATCCTTCAAGCCGTTTTCCCAATCTTTGGTTGGTGTAGAAACTATAAACTCACCATGTTCAAGAACGATCTCATGGCTGGTTTAACCCTCGCTAGCCTCTGCATTCCCCAGGTATTTATCCATAACACAAACTTAATCATAATCTTTTGATCCACTTAGAGATATTAACTTCTTTAAAATATTTTATTTTTCTAATTGTACAGAGCATTGGTTATGCAACTCTCGCAAAGCTTGATCCTCAATATGGCCTATGTAAGTTTATGAATACATATTAAAATCATGTGTGTTTTTTTCGTCAAATAAAACCACAACATTTAGAGAAAAAAAAGTTCTGAAAGATATAATAATCAAAACCGTAAATATTTCAAGAACTATACTTATTATATATATGGACCGTTACACTTTTACAGATACCAGCGTGGTGCCACCGTTGATATACGCAATGATGGGGACATCAAGAGAGATAGCGATCGGACCAGTGGCTGTAGTATCTCTTTTAATATCCTCAATGTTGCAAAAACTCATCGATCCAGAAACAGATCCATTGGGCTACACGAAACTCGTCCTAACCACAACTTTCTTTGCCGGGATCTTTCAAGCTTCTTTCGGAATATTCAGATTAGGGTTTCTGGTGGATTTTCTGTCGCACGCAGCCATAGTAGGGTTCATGGGTGGTGCAGCCATTGTTATTGGACTTCAACAGCTCAAAGGTTTACTTGGTATCACTAACTTCACAACCAACACTGACATTGTGTCTGTTCTTCGAGCTGTCTGGCGATCTTGTCAACAACAGTGGAGTCCTCACACTTTTATCCTCGGATGTTCCTTCCTCAGTTTTATCCTTATCACTCGCTTCATCGTAAGTACATTTTTAAAGTTGCTTTGATTTGGCACTAAATCCTACTTTTAGGTCAAGTTAATCTGAGTATAATTCCATATGAAAGTTTTCATAGGTTAAATTCGTCTTAAACCAATTAGCAATGTTTAAACTTTAAAGTATCATTTTCATGTTTTAAAAACAAAATATTTTTACTTGTTTTTCTCATCCAACTTTTTTTGTAGATTCTAAATTATGATGTATGGGTTTCAAATTTATAGAAATATTTAAAATTGTGGGTTCATTTGAAAAAAGAAAAAAAATTACATGTAAAAATGTACGTTAACAAAAACAATTTATAGACAATCGAAACGTAGATTAATTCGTTACTTATAATTCGTTATTTATAATGTGGAGTTTTCTAGGAATGGCTAACGGTTAAAAGTGTTAGATAATAAACTGATTAAGAATGAAAATATATATATCAGGGGAAGAAGAACAAAAAACTGTTTTGGCTACCGGCAATAGCTCCGTTGATCTCCGTCGTAGTGTCAACGTTAATGGTCTTTCTCACAAAAGCCGACGAGCATGGCGTGAAGACGGTGAGGCACATCAAAGGAGGTCTTAATCCAATCTCCATTCACGATCTTGAGTTTAATACTCCTCATCTCGGACAAATCGCTAAAATCGCATTAATCATTGCCCTTGTTGCTCTAACCGTACGTCAATTAACCTTTGAACGATAGTAATTATATATTTTCTTATATCAATTTGTTAATTAATTATGTTTATATAATTTTTTTCCAGGAGGCGATTGCGGTGGGAAGGTCGTTCGCCGGAATTAAAGGGTATAGACTCGATGGAAACAAAGAAATGGTGGCCATTGGATTTATGAATGTTCTTGGTTCCTTCACATCTTGTTATGCTGCTACTGGTAATTAATTAACACATAATCTATCTTTATGTATATAAATCTACCACTATCCGACTATATACTATTTGACATAACATATATATGGACCACTTTTTTTTGGGTGGAATGTGAAGTACACTGCTTATAAAAGTCCTTTTTGATGGATGAATACAATTTGCTTACTGTTTTGTATTACTTCCTAAAGCTTACTAACTAACATTAAGAAAAATCATTTCAAAAGATAAACGATCATCACATTTAACAACTCTTTTAAATAATGGCTATAACAATTTTTTTTCAAAATTATATATAAAATGGATACATGTAAATGTTTTTATTTATGTAAATTATATGTTGTGACGAGACGACCTAAATTTGACAAAGTCGTCATTTAAAAAAAAAATCCTGTTCAGGATGAACATTTTCAAATTCGTACGTGACAGAATTATAACGACCTTTTATATAAATTATTGACTTTAGGTTCTTTCTCTCGGACGGCGGTGAACTTCGCCGCCGGGTGTGAGACGGCGATGTCGAACATCGTAATGGCGGTTACAGTTTTTGTAGCACTCGAGTGCTTAACGAGGCTTCTCTACTATACTCCGATCGCGATCCTCGCCTCCATAATCCTTTCAGCACTGCCAGGACTAATCGATATTAAAGAAGCTATTCACATTTGGAAAATCGATAAATTTGACTTTCTTGCTCTCATTGGCGCTTTCTTTGGCGTTTTATTTGTGTCTGTCGAAATCGGACTCCTCGTTGCGGTAAGTACAAACATTAAGTGTAAAGCAAACTATATACAAATGTGAATTCATGCATAAATTACAATAGTTTTGATTATATTTTATCTAAATAGATTAATCGATTATGTGTTTATAGGTGGTTATTTCGTTTGCCAAGATCATACTCATATCGATCCGACCAGGGATAGAAACGCTCGGGAGAATGCCGGGGACCGACATTTTTGCAGATACCGAGCAATATCCTATGTCGGTTAAGACTCCGGGTGTGTTGATTTTCCGAGTCAAGTCTGCATTGTTGTGCTTTGCTAATGCCAGTTTCATCCAAGAAAGGTATGATTATTAGAATATACAACATTCTTTGTATACATATCGGTTGGTTACAAAGTTAAAAGATTTTTGAGTACGTATATTTAATCACGTATGCTTGCGTATAGGATTAGGGAATGGATCAATGAGGAAGAAGAAGATGATGAAAACACAAAGAGCAACGCTAAGAGAAAGATCCTCTTTGTAGTCCTTGATATGTCAAGTAAGTGGACTTCAATACAATAATGCAAAACTATATATATTATATATAGCTTACCACATTCTTTAAACATGGCCGATATATAAAATGTATATGATTATCGAAATAATAAAAATAAGGATTTTTTTGTAGTTTTTTGTTGTTTTGTTTAACATTTGTCCTAATTATTTATTGATAGATTTAATAAACGTTGATACATCGGGGATTACGGCCTTGGTGGAGCTCCATAACAATCTAAGCCAAAATGGTGTTGAGGTAAATTACATTCTCACAAGTTATAATCCCCTTTTCTCTATACAAATAACTAATGACAAAATAAATATCATTAAATATTTGTTTTTTTCAGCTAGTGATCGTTAACCCGAAATGGCAAGTGATCCACAAGCTAAATCAAGCAAAGTTCGTCAACAAGATCGGTGGCAAAGTCTACTTGACAATTGGAGAAGCTCTCGATGCTTGCTTTGGATTAAAAGTTTAAGAAGTATCTGATCAACATGCGTGTTTTACAGATTGTTGCATGTCAATTTTATGTGAGTTTTCGTAATCTAAATGCGATTTGTGTGCATGATGCCTATATGTATAATTATGAAGTACGTATGTGTAATGTAGAGTGCCTTGGTACGTACGTAAGCTCGGTTGTGATTAAATAAAGTCATGCAATCTGTAGTATGACGATCGATGTGTGTGTTACTATATATGGAAGTAATGTTTATATATGTAAGTTTGAGAAATATTGGTGTTTGAAATGTTATTCTGCAAAGTCCGGCGCTTATTAAAACGTTATTCCGTCATGCATAACTAAAAATCAACAAAATTTCGTATGAAAGTTTACTAAGTTAAAATCCGATTTGGAAGCAAAAACCACATGTCTAAGTTCAATGTATCTTAATCCGTTTAACAAAAGTATTTATTTGGTGAATCAATTTAGTTTAGTGGAGGGACTTTATAGGGTATAAGTATTGATGCATGTCACTTGGAAAAGTCAAGAGAGAGAATCTATATTGGGAGGGTTAATTATGTTCCCCAATTTAAATGGTTAATCAACTTTTTGAGTTTTAATTATTGGAGTTAATGGGAACCACTGTTTTATTCACGATCTCCTCCTGATTTCTCACGGCTTCGTATATAGTGCGTCTAGGTTCACTGAATCTGATTAAACTTGGAGGTAAAGTTGGTTTGCTAAGGTCTACGTTTCCTCATTCCTGTCTATTTTAAAACTAGCTAGTAGAAAGTGTTATGATTTGAATCAGCAATTAACAATCCTTTAAAACATAAACACTAACTAACACTTCAAGTTGCGTTTGTGGTCCAGTGCATAATTATTTTTCCGGTCAATGCGTGTGTGAATTTGTATTAGTTAATATAGAAGTCATGAACCTAAAAATTCAATTATGGAGGGCTTCAGCTACTTTCGTACATCAACGTGAGAATATTATTTGAAAGAGATGTGTGATTCTAATTTGTCATCTATTTATAAAAGTAAGTATATACGACAAATCTTATAGAAAACAAACCACATGCGCTTTTGGTACATGAGAAATGGCACTGTTGGTATATAAAGGGTTCAGAAAGCTAAATAAGAAATGACACTTTTTGGTATTACAATTTTGAGATGATAAGTATCAGAGGCTGGGATATTATTACAATAACGTTAACATATAATTATTGGTAAGTATCAGTAAGAAATAACTAATATTTTGGTGTTAATATCAATATTAGACATATATATTAATGTTATTACATATATTCGCTACTTGAGAGTTTAGAGATGACACTTCTGGTATCATATTCATATATGTTGAGTTGATAAGGAAACATCTCTTTTTCTTTTGATAATAAGAGATGATATCATTGGTTGTGTTGTGTTTTCTTTGTAGTGAGTGGTGTGATCAATCAGTACGATCGAGCGAGAACGCATTGGACGAAGTTGGTCAATCTTCATTCTTCACAGATTTTTGTCAAACCATTTGCAATTTGTTTTGTTTTTGCGTCATTTTTCCGTCAATTTAGTATAGATACCAACTAAATGAATGGCGATGATTCTGAAATGACGTATATCAGAGTACTCACAAGTTTTTTTCTCTTACGTTTTCCTTTTTTATTACACAGGCAATGATAACGTTTCATATAAAGTTCCAACAGTTTAAATAACTTTATAGTAAGTTAGTAACTAACCAGTGGGTTCTATGACTAAAAGCCTAAGAGAAAAAAGAAAACAATAGTTGAAGCTTATAAGCTCTAGTAGCCAGTCCAATAAGTGTAGAGAGTTGGCTCAGAGTGTTATGGACTTTAAGCCCATCTTATTGCGTTAAACCATTTAGTGGACTATTAGACTAATACAAACTAATGGGCATGTAGCCTAAAGCTGACACATAACCAATATTCTTTGGTGTCATTCGATTCATCTAATGAGTCATGAAATTGAATATTTTTAGTTTGATAAAAAAAATGTTTATAGAGTTAAAATATCCCTATAGTTGTCTTATAAAATTAGAAGTAGTCTCATTTTTTACTATTTTAATTAACTGATTTCAGCTAACTTTAAAGTTGATTTAAGATACAATTTTCAGATAAAATATTACTAGCTAAAAGTGTGCATATACTTTATCCATATATTGATAAGATTTTTCAAAATATGAAATTATCATTTTAAATTCATTCACTAGCATTGAGTAATACACTATATTTCATTTAAATTTTGTATATACACCTTTAAACATAAATTCAGATAAAATAACACAAATAAATTTAAAAACGTTAAGCTTTAGAAAATAGACTAAACCATGCACATGTTTATAACACGTCGCAACTAGATAAACTAGTAGACATTGAAATGACACAATAATAGAAACTGAAAAACACAAGAAACACAAGAAGGAAAAATATATATTCTTACAATAAATTAATTTAAAGACAAAATTTAAGTTAGACAAATTTATATCATTGACAAAAATGGAAATTAGGATACAAAACGAGATCCCCCTAAATTGTAGTAAGACTAATGATTCTCCCCAAAATCAATTTCAAAGTATAAGGGCTCCACGTCTGGTTGCTTTTACGGAATCACATACGTCCACGTGTCACAGTGGCCATCTGGACCGTACTCTGTTCTGGTCTCTCTGATACTTTTCTTTCCTCTTACTTTCGTCAACCTTTCCACACTTCAGTTTTCGCTTCCCGTTGAAGCAAGTGGGAACCAAAAACCTCCCTTTCCGATTAGACTCAGCAGAGTATCGATCTTAATCCGGCGAAAATTCCACCGTAATTCCGAATCCGGCGAAGACCCAGAAGCAATGAAATCAGAGACTCTAACATTAGTTCTGGTGTATCTCGCCGGAATCATGGAGCGAGCCGACGAGTCTCTGCTTCCGGGAGTTTACAAAGAGGTAGGAGAGGCTCTACACGTGGACCCCACAGCACTTGGAACACTTACTCTGTTTCGTTCTATTGTTCAGTCTTGCTGCTACCCTTTAGCCGCTTACTTGTCTTCCCGACATAACCGAGCACACGTCATCGCTCTCGGCGCTTTCCTCTGGGCCACGGCCACTTTACTCGTCGCCATCTCCACCACTTTCTTCCAGGTTTTGACTCCTCAACGTATTCTCTCTCTTATAGCTATAGACTTATAGTCAACTGAAATCAGATCTGTTGGAATTTTTTTTGATCTGGGTAGAATAGAACAAAAGTCTGGAGCTTGATGGAGTCTGATTTGGAATCTTGTTTTCAATTAGGGCGATTTCCAAAGATCGTTGCTTTATTTTGTGATGTTGAGAGATTGTATTTGTTTTGATGTGAAGGCATGAAAAACATAGACTTTGTGTCATAGTGTTCGTTAGGGGATTCCTTCGATTCATTGCAATGATTTATATAAAAAAAAATCGTTGCAAGTCTTCGGTCGAAAACGAATTTGGATCGGAATCGAAAAAAGGGGATTTGACATTGTTGCTATAAATGTATGGTGGAACCAGGTGGCAGTATCAAGAGGCTTGAACGGGATAGGACTAGCCATCGTGACACCAGCGATTCAGTCGCTAGTGGCTGACTCAACGGAAGACAGTAACCGTGGCGTGGCGTTTGGATGGTTAGGAGTCACTTCAAACTTTGGTACCATACTTGGCAATCTCTGCTCCATCCTCTTTGCCTCCAAGTCTTTCAATGGCGTCGCTGGCTGGAGAGTCGCCTTCCTTTTGGTAGCTTTCATAAGCGTGATAGTCGGTGTCTTGGTCCGCCTCTTCGCAAGCGACCCTCATTACAGCGACAGGAAAGTCACTAAACGTGACAAAGACAAACCTTTCTGGTCAGACATAGGAGATCTACTGAGAGAAGCCAAGATGGTGATGAAGATTCCGTCTTTCCAAATCTTCGTGGCTCAGGGAGTCTCGGGGTCGTTCCCTTGGTCAGCTTTAGCTTTTGCGCCGTTGTGGCTAGAGCTCATCGGTTTCTCCCACAAAACAACCGCGGTTCTTGTGACTCTCTTCACCATTTCTTGCTCTGTTGGGCATTTGTTTGGAGGATACATGGGAGATTATCTCGCCAAGAAGCTCCCAAACGCCGGTAGGATACTGCTCTCTCAGATAAGCTCAGGCTCGGCCATACCTTTAGCTGCGATTTTGCTTATCGGATTACCTGATGATCCCACCACGGCCTTTAGCCACGGCCTGGTTCTTGTCATCATGGGATTGTTCATCTCATGGAACGGTTCTGCTACAAACGGGTGAGTACATGTGTCCATGTAAAATTTGTTTTTTTTTTCTCTTTCTTTCTTGATCCCGGAAGAATCTGCTTGAAATGGTTTTATGCAGTCCGATATTTGCAGAGATTGTTCCTGAGAGAGCGAGGACGAGCATCTACGCGTTAGACAGATCATTCGAATCGATATTAGCTTCTTTTGCTCCTCCTATTGTGGGAGTGCTTGCTCAGAACGTCTATGGATATAAACCGGTCGCTGAAGGATCATCAAGCCTGGTCAAGATTGAAACAGACAGAGAGAACGCAGCATCGCTCGCGAAAGCACTCTACTCAGCGATCGGGATCCCGATGCTCCTCTGTTGCACAATCTACTCGTTCCTGTATTGCACGTACCCGAGGGACCGAGATCGAGCCAAGATGCATGCCTTGATCGAGTCAGAGATGCAACAACTCAGAGAAGAAGAAGAAGACGAGAAGTGTGGGATTGAGGTTAAGTGTTCAGGAGCTGAGGAACACGATGAGACTTACCTGCTGAAGCAGCATCAGAGTGAGGGTGTCAGATGATGATTTGACTTATTGACATTTTGCATTTTTTTTGTGTCCACCGAGTATATTATAGGAAGTTTGGGTCACGATTATAATTTTTGTAAAAGAAAAGCACTCAAGTGCAATATACTGGTGGTAGATAACATTACAATTCACAAGAACGTTGTAAACAGGGTAAAATACTGATTTTTTTTTTAAGGAAATATATTAATGAGTTTTGATTATAAAGATATTCTCGCTCTTTAAATTTGAAAATCATTCTTAGACATAATCAATAATGCGAGTATTAATTTGGTAAAAACATTAGACTAGTAATACCGAACCGGACTTAAACCGGATCCGACAGAACAAGAGGCAGGCGCGTCAGTAAATTAGAGTTATTTCGATATTTGGGTTACCATAAATCACTTTACTCTTATTTCTGCCCCAAACTTTTATACACGAGAGAAGATCCATCGCTCTCTCTCTCTCCTTCATCTTCTCAGTTGTATTTTTTTCTTTTCACTTCCGATGTCCGATTGAAGAAGACAAACTAGAATCGCCCACCTAAATGCCGTTGCGTTATTCTTCGGTTAATCTCGAGGATCGAAGAAGCAGCAGTAATCTGCTGTTCTGTAGGGTTACTTTGCCTGTTTCCTAATTCTAGGTATCTTCTTTCTCTTAGCCTTTTCTTTCTCTTTTTCTTCTCAGTCAAAATTCAACAAAAAAAAAAAAAAACCGAGAAAGCCTTTCTATTGTTGTTGTTTGTAACGTACTATACGAGACCGATTTTTTTTAGTGGGTATTTCAAAGATTTAAACTTTCCTGTGAATTTTCCAGAATCATTTCGATGTTATTTCTCTACTGGCTTTGGGTTCTTATACCCAAAAGAGCTGATTTTAAGTGTTTTAGAACATAGATCTTACTGCTAAACACATCAAGAATCTCCAGTGTTTGATATATGTTTGTCCTCTTGTCCCAGAGATCTAATTGATTCGAGCAATGTTGTCTTCTAGTTGCGAAATCAAATTTAATGGTTTCAGCTCGAGATTTTGAAAATTCACTGGATCTTTTTTTGTCTATTTCAGCTGTCTCTTTGTTTCCCTCTCGGTATCTTAAATAAAACAGGACCACTCGTTTTCTCATGTAAGATCCAATATCACCTTTCGTTTTCAGGATTTGACTTGGCAAAATAGAAATATTTTGAATTTATTCGAATCCAATAGTGTTCTTTTTTGGTAATTCAAATTGTAGTTTAAGATTGTTCTTGTTTCATATTTTCAGCTAAATTGATAGAGCAACATCGAAGCGGAAACAAGTTTTGTTCTTTCTTTTTGTCGTCGATGGATAAAGCTTCTTCACAAGAGTGTCCTTACCCAGGATGTTTCTTCTGTGTAATGAAAGAAGGAAACCCGAGCAAACGAAGATCATGCATCCTCAAATTCTTTCGTGACCTTCCATCTCAAGACGACGATGGTCAAGTTCTTCCCATAAGCGGTCTCTGGAACACAGCGATGGCACACCCTAACGACCCTGAGTTCATCGAGCTCGGAATCTTCGAGTGTATGTCCGCTTTGATATGGAAAGGACTTAAAAACCGCCGTTGGCTATCTCATGACCAGAACATATACATTCCATACTACGCGGCTCACATCATCGGGTCTTACACTATGAACATGGAAGAGTTTGCAGAGAGAGCCGTAGAAGCTGGAGTGATCCCTCCACTTGTTGAGCTTCTAAGAGGCAGGCTCACTTGGGTCGAACAGAGAGTAGCGGTTCGTGCTCTAGGGCATCTAGCTACTTACCCGAGCACTTTCCCCGCTGTTGCAAACCACGGTGAGATCCTCGAGCTCGCGATTCAGTTGGCTATGAGCTCGTTGGAGATAGTTTACTCTCATTTCTACCAGTTTCCGGATCGAAGGTTGAGTTACCATTGCGATCTTCTGACTCGCGGCATGGGAGGTGTTGAGATGGAGTCGAGAAAAGCAGAGGAATGGGCGAGTCAGCTTCAGTGCTGGTCTCTTCAGCTCATCAACTGTTTCGCCTTTAAACCCGAGTTTCTTCCCACTCTTTGCAAACCTGAGTTTCTTGTGAATCTTCCGGTTATGTGGGGAGGGCTTGTGAATGAGAACTCTCCCGCTGGTATCGGTTTGCTTAGAACAATCTGTCAGCACAAACTCGGCCGTGGACCGGTCTCTGCGTGTTCGGGGATGATCGAGGCGTTGTGTAACATCGCTCGTTCTTCTGATGATTGGCAGTATATGGCTATAGAGTGTCTTCTTTGGATGCTTCAAGATCCCAATACTTCTCACAAGGTGGTAGACAAAGCGGTGCCAACGCTTGTGGATCTCGCCGAGATCACGAACTTGGGCGATCACAAGAAGTTAGGAGATTCCATCGTGAGTGTTCTTCAAGAATGCAGCTCTATGGGGAACCGTTCGAGGGAACTGATCGAAGAGACGGTGAATTCTCGACAAAGGCTCAAATGGGAGAAGAGTATGCCTAAAGAGGATCTTCATATCAAACAAGCGGCAGCGTTAGTGGTCAAGCTCGAAGGGAACTCTCTGTTTTCATCAGGAGACATTGCGGGTGCAGCGGAGAAGTACTCTGAAGCTTTGTCTTTATGTCCGATGAGGTCGAAGAAGGAGAGAGTTGTGCTGTACAGCAATCGAGCTCAGTGTCATCTCTTGCTGCAACAGCCTTTGGTTGCTATAAGCGACGCCACGCGTGCGCTCTGCTTGCACAATCCAGTGAACAGGCATGCTAAGAGTCTCTGGAGAAGAGCTCAGGCTTATGATATGTTAGGTTTGGCTAAAGAGAGCTTGTTAGATGCGATTCTGTTCATCAATGAATGTTCTCAGTCGAATGATCCGGATCTCTCTATGAGACAGAACAAGGTTCCAGATTACGCAGAGAGGCTGGTGAAGAAGCAGATGAGAGCGGCTTGGTTGTTTAAAGAAGCGGCGTTGAAGCATGGAGGCGTGCATAGGAAAGGAGAAGAGAGGGAAGTTTATGGGAATGAAACCGATGATTCGGAGTGGGAAACTGCGAGTGAGAGCGATATTGGAGATGACGGAAGGGATCATATGGGACTTGATGATGATGAGGAGGAGGAAGTGGAAGGCCATGGAGAGAAGTGGAAGAACCGTGATAAATCGAGTGATAAAAATGACAAAACGTCTGCGAAAGGTGAGTTTTTTTATTCCGGTTTAGTTGCATGATTATGATCAACACATTGTCTGATTTCAGTTTAGTTAATGGTTTTTTGTGTTAAAATCTATGGGTTCATTCAGGTATGAGGCATGGATACAGCATAAAGCTAGCAGAAGGTGAAATGTGAAACCCTGAAACAATGGAGAAAACACAAGTTCGTTAAAAGACGCTGAGAAGGGAAAATAAGTGTCTTTGCATGGGTTTTTTAGTCTTTTTACAAGCAAGAAACTTGCCTCATGGAAATCGTAAGTTTTGAGTGTGTAGAATTTCTGGTAAATTTTATCCATTTGAAGGAGTAAAAAGATGAAAAAGGAACAATTGTTTTGGTTTTTTTTCCAGTGATTTTATTTATTTTTGTTTTGGTGTGTATGTAGTAACTAAGAATTGTTCAACTTCAAGAGAATGAGTTCCAATTTGTATAAATTCCATTCTCTCTCGTATTAAGAAATGATTTCGTGACTTTGTGATTGGGAGATTGTAGATTTTCCTAATAGATGGAAAAAAGGCATTTAAACTGTAGATTCGAACGTTAGCTAATATATATTTAGTAAAAAAGTTGAGAAATGGAAGATCAAGCATTAAAATCCACCGTGGATTATCATAGTAGATGACACGATAGTGAAATTTGATTGGAGAAAAGAGGATATGTACCAAGTCACTATTTACCTTTTACGTCAGGTTTCATCTTCTGATGTCCGTTCGATATCTTCAACGGATATAAACAGAGGATCTGAATTGAAAGAATGATATCCATGAGAAAAAAAAAAGTTAAATAAGTATTTTTGGCACATTTTCTTGTGTAATCAAAGTCTATCATGTATGACTACAATTGATCATGGGATATTCTCACACTTTTTGTAATTTTATCTTTTGAGTCAAACTCCATTTTCATTTCTATACATGCATATCTAGTATATACTTGTTTTTATTTAAAAGTTTGTTTCTGTTGACTCTATTTCAAAACAACTTTCGGTTATTGGATTGTGTCCACACGCGAGATGTAATCAAATAATGATCAAGTCTTCAAAATGGCATATTTGAATTAATAAAACTTATTTTTGTAAATTATCTCCCAAAACTATGGGCAAGAGTCATTACTAAATCGACTCTTGGTTCTTAGTGATACTCAAGAGTTAAATTAATTAAATACAACCTTCACTAACATATAATTCGAATATTTAATTGAAATCTATAGTGTTGAGTTTCACTCGAACATTCTTCATATATAAAGTACTAATGATTCGTCCATGCACATATAACATATTCATAACACACACCTTCATTCCTCTAAAATCCACTCTATTGCAAATTTTTAAGCAAATGGGTAACGTTAAAAACCTTTGTTCTCTTAAATTTGAAGTGAAAATCGTGGAAGCGAGAAACGTGGAGGTTAAGTCATCACCAAGCTCCCTTTTCGTCAGATTCTATCTCTATGCAGGGAGTAACCGAAAGATTGAATTAAGCACAGCAGAGATCTGTTCGAGATCAGGCCACGAGGTCATGATCTGGAACCAATCATTCTGTCTGGAGTGTCAAGGGAACGAAACCGCCGTCGAGCAACTGAAGCAAGAAAGCGTCGTCTTCGAGCTACGGAGAAGGAAAACGGCGTCGTTTATGAGGAAGCGGTCGAGATCGGAGTTAGTCGGTAGAGGAGAGCTTTCATGGAAATCGGTCATTGAGTCGGACGGGATGGAAACAGAGAGATTTGTTGTGATGGGTGAGACGAAAGATCGAATCTTGGAAGATTATAATAAGCCTCTTTTATTGAAGATAGCTTTAAAACTCCAAGCTTCAAAATTGGTGAACACTAGTAAGAGAGTGGAAGATCTTTGTGGGTGTAGAGATTGTAAGAGATGTAATTGCTTAGATTATGAAGCTTTTGTTATGGCCTGTGCGTTAGATGAAATCTAGTTTGTAAGTATAAGTTAAACAAGATATGAAACCCGAATGAGTTGTTGCAATAAAACGAGAATACGAAGAACACACATCAATCAGATAAGTTGAAAGACTTAATCATAACTGTTTTTTTTTTTATTGAAGACAATGAAACGATGATGGATGTTGTCTCTCAACTCAAGCATGGGCATGACCGAGAAGGGCGAGAAGCATGGCCTTGAAGTGACCAGAAGTGTCTTTAGCAATGGCCCGGTCAAGAGGAACGCTGTTCCTGCGTAAGTATTAATTTGTTTTAAGCCTCTCAACTATTAGGAACAACACCGGTAAGAAACATACAGCAAATAATATTTACTCTATCAAAGTGGATTTTTTTTAGACATGTCAACAGCTCATGGGCTTAACACATACCAGGCCTAATTCGATCACATTAGCCCCAATTCAATACAATCTAATTGAGAAAACAGGTCAGATAATAAGAAATTTTACAGAGCTGAAACAAATAAAGCATTTTTTCGAAAAGTTATATTCTTTTCACACTGTAAAACTGCATGTTATTTAGAAACAATACTGCGAAATGTTTGATAAGAAACTAGTATAAAGTGTTTTGGTTAGTTAATCTACATAGAATATTGGAACAAAATAAAATATGGGTTGATTTAGTTAAGTATATTTACGGTTAAGAGGAAAAAGCAAAACAAAATATTTCTTTCTTATGTTTTGATTTGAAAGAAAGAATACCTGAAAATAATTCTTAATATTCAAAAGTTGCAAATAGCATAAAGTAATAAAAATAAGTGAACAAAAAAGAAAGAGAAAGAGAGCCATGAGAACGGATTTTTTTCTTTTTGTACAACTTCAGTTCAAAAATGAATTCTTTTAAACCCATCGTCGCCTAACAACTAATAGATATGAGACTACAATGCTTTTATTAAAGATTTGATCAGCAGCAGTATCATCATCTTCAGAGCTCTTCAGCTGGCCTGCAAATGCTGATTTCATTTCCCCTTTGAATCTGCAAAACAGAGAAAATAAGATAATCTGAAACTACAAGTGTGGTTTGATTATTTGTCGGATAGAGATGAAATATAAGTGTATCAAAGTGTGGAGACAAATATGAGAGTAAATGTGAGAAGATAGTATGTGGCTTTTGTATTGTATACATTGGGAGAAACAGTTGTGTTGTACCTTTCGCTGTTGAATATATGAGCTGCTTAATGATTTTCAAGACATAATGTTTTGTCATTAAATACCATCTCTCTGTAATTACCTGATCTGCTTAATCTTGACCATATATGTGATGACTGATGATACTAGTATTCTTTGGAGTTTTAGTTGGTTTAATAACATCACTCACTTTGATACCGCATCGTTTAAAGATATCACCATCGTTTTTATTATAGTTAACTTTCGATTTAATTACTTGATTTGTGTGCGTTAGAAGAATCTTAGACGTTTCATTTTCTTCTTTTGGAGTAAAGGTGAGTGTGAAAGTGCCTTTTGCCAACAAATTATGTAAAATCATGTGCAAACTGCTCTAGTGACTGTTGTGATTCTTGTATACCCTTCGTCTAGTGACTGTTGTGATTCTTATATACCCTTCGTTCAATGCTTATCGCAATGGTCATCTACATTTCGCAAGGTAAGTTATTTGCCTTTCATTACCTAATATCTTTAAATTGAATTCGCATTAGATTGCAGCTGCTGATTTCTCTTAATTGAAATTGCATTAACTGATTTTTTGAATTGAGTTTTGCTTATTTTGCCATTCAGTGAATATATGTTCCTACAGAATACGAATTGACTACTAGACCTGCTGAAAATCACTTGATGTTGGCATGTGGTCATGGCGTGTATCAAGGTAAGCGTTTCTTAGAGACACATGATTCTGCAGGCCCTTCTACAGGCGATCAAAGCTATTTTATGTTTCAATTGGGTGATAGGTTCATATCTCATTTCTTTGAGATGATTGGGCCGTATGCTGATTTGCCTAGTCCAACGCCCTGACAAGTTGAGGATGATTCTGATGAATCTGGTGATTTTGGGAAAGACCAGCATGGTTCTGATGATTCTGGAGAAGATGTGGTTCTCATGCAAGAGTGAGACATTGGATGAGTGAGAGTTTGGATACGTTTGTTTGATTTCCGTTTTCCACTTTGGTTTTACCATTATCATTTGGATACGTTTGTTTGATTTTTGTTTTCCACTTTTGTTTTGCCATTATCATTTGAATACGTTTGTTTAATTTCTGTTTTCCATCATTTAGATTCAAAAGAGAAGTGATATTTAGAGTAATTGGTATTTCATATCCTGGTTTTTAAGGTTACAAGTTACACAATTAAAAAAAATAAAACTTAGTTACAATGGAAATTGGAAAAACATCCCAATTCCCTTATTCCCATTTCAAAACATCGAAAAATAACACCGGTATACAACCGTAACAAAACGCCTACTGATGTGCCAAGTTATGAGGTGGACTGCAAGTGAAGATCACCGCCATGTAAGGATTCAGTTCGAGCAAGAGTTGATCTCTCTTTTTGTTAAGATGGTAGCGCCATACAGTGATGTGCCAAGTCCAATGAGATGGACTGCAAGTGAAGATCGTGAGAGCCATCAAAAAAGTTTTTTTTCTTTTTGTACAACTTCAGTTCAAAAATGAATTCTTTTAAGCTCATCATCTGGTTGATAGAGAAAATTTGACTATTGTTAATTAGTGACAGTGTGACATTTTTCATAACATGCTATCTTCAACTATTCTGCAGCCTGCAGCTTTTGTCTCCGTATTTGAAGGATCGCACACCTGTAGACAAGGCAATTACTTTTAGTTATGTCTCCTGCGTGTTTATTTTTTATCACTTAATGGTTGAAATTTGATAGAGGATTCTTCCTGTCGTCAAATGTCATTTTTCATCGGTACAGTATTATTTCATGTCCTGGTTTTTAAGCACACTAGTTAATAAATTATAGGCTAAAAAAGATATGAAACCCGAATGAGTTGTTGCAATAAAACGAGAAAACGAAGAACACACATCAATCAGATAAGTTCAAGGACTAAATCATATCTGTTCTTTTTTTTATTGACGACAATGAAACGATGATGGGTGTTGTCTCTCAAGCATGGCCATGACCGAGAAGGGCGAGAAGCATGTCCTTGTAGTCACCAGAAGTGTCTTTAGCAATGGCCCGGTCAAGAGGAACGCTGTTCCTGCGCAAGTATTCCTCTTTGATCCGCTCCATGTCGACCTCTGCTCGTGTAGTGACCACTCTAGTGAGTGCCCACTCGTCTGTTCCCACCTTGTTGATGGCTCGACGCAGAACCTTCTCAAAGTACTTCTCTGGACACGTCAGGCACTTGATCACGGTTTTGAGTAACTGCAAATATTCATCTTCCGAATCTTCTTCCTTCAAGTACTTGTTGACGGAACTCCCAAACTTGTCCTTGAAGTGATTGAGCGTTGCCACGATCTGAGCCTTGCTCCTTGTTGTCAAGATTCTGATGAGCTCCTCGTCACTGTAAGCCTTCTCAGTGATCTTCTTGTGAAGCGTCTTTGCTTCGGAACTAGCCAGCTTCACGTTGACCTCATCAGCATTCCCATCGTACCTGAAGGTGCTCACAAGAGGAACCAGCAGCTGCATTTCCACAAGTGGTCAAAAATCAAAAGAACAAACAACATATTGATTAAGAAACTCGTCATTCGTTCTTGATTCTTGGCGATCAGTTTGTAAATACCTTTCGGATATCTCCAGATGTGTGGTGAGCGACATCCTCCTCGAGAGAGGTCTTGTAGCGAGCTTGGTATGCTTGCTTGGCCTTGAAAAACTCAAGGGGAGGCCTAGTACAAGCGATTTCAACAAGAACCCAGTTGTTTTTGGTGAACATTTTGGTAGATTCTTTGGCCAAATAAGCATCTCTCTCCGTTGGCTCACGAGTCCACAGCATCACAGCTCTCTGTTTTCAAAACAAACCATAGTGTATATATACTCAGACCAAAAGAAGAAAGATAAAAGAGATTTTGTTTTTGCTCTGACCAAACCTCAAAGTCACCGGATAGTTCTCGGTCTAACTCGGTGAGAAGATCCTTATTGTGGTTAGCAGCATAAACAGAGCGGATGAAGCTGCGCTGCGTCGCATTTCTGTGAGCCAAGATTGATATGATCATCCCTTCGTTGGTTCCCCATCCTACGCCACACAACGTCATCAACTTAAGAACATCATCTTCACCAAATCTCAAAAATAATGTTATATTGTGGAACACTTGGTGTGCAGAAACGAAATGCAACAGAAACAAACGAGATAATCTATGGGTTTAACTTATCCGCCATTGTAGTGATACAAAACCGTGAGTGGAAGATTTTCCGTTCATCGGAACCCTCGACGGAAGACTTTGACGGCATCTGTTTGTCGCTGACGCCAAGGCCCAAGGCCCGAAGCCGAAGGTAAGTGACAAATTTCAAACCGAAGCTTAACCATGCTTGTACCAAACTCAATTAAACCGAACGGTTACAAAACACTTCTTTAAAATTATTTTTATCTTCAGTTACAAACCGGACGGTTACATTCATTTTACTAATGTGCATCGTACATGTGTCAACTGTTTGACTGGTTGATAAACAATCAAATCTAATATTATCTCTTTGACAAGTGAGTGACCAACCGAAATTAGAACTCAGTTTATTCAAATTGCAGAATCCAAACGTAAGCATGGAGATTTTGGATCTGATTGCAAATATTTACAAAGAGAAATCTAAATTTTGTTGGATGTAAACTATTAGATCATTTGGATGCTTCGATTGCTTAGTAGGATCATTAAAATATCAAATGACTCTATTACGAACCGTAAGTAATTAAATGTTGGGGAAAATGATCATCAACTAAACTAAGCTTAGATCTGTAGAATGTAGATCAGCCGATAAGAGAGATGAGAGTAAAACCTTTAAAAGCCTTGTGGAGCTGCTCGGAGTCTTCTTCGGGAAGAGGAACATTGGCTGGAACTTTCAGAGACGCCATTTTTTGGACAAAGTGAATGAATAATCTCTCTAGTTTTTGTTTAGAAACTGTGGGACGAGGAACATGCACATTGTCTTAAATAATCAATTGAAATCCCTTTTTCTTTAATTAAAAAAACTTACCAATTAAGTAAATCAGTAAAAGGGAACTTTTTTTCTTTCTTTTTTATCGATACAGTGGGCAGAAAAGGTTTAAAAAAAACAGAAATGGGGTTAAAGATTCATATTTTTGCGATTTTTAAAAAGGTATTAGATCTTTGCATTTTTTACATATATAGGAGTGACGTGCTGAACATGCATTTAGCTTTCAAGGGAAAAAATATGCTGAGCTGTAAAAAACTATATATACATCTGTTGATCAAACGAAAAAAATTAATAATGCAAGATTCCTTGGTTGATGAATGATGATGAATTCTAAGAAGAAGGTTGATAGAATGAAAAGTCATTCAAAAGGTTGTCTTATGATAAGATTAAGTAATTGTAGAAATCAAACAAAACAAAAACAAAAGAAAGCATTTAGTCACAAGCTTACAAGTTACAATTAAAAAAAAAAAAAAAGAACTTACAAGTTACTACAATGGAAATTGTAAAAATGTCGCAATTCCCTTATTCCTTCCCGTTTTCAAAACATCGAAAGATAACACACCGGTATACAACCATAACTAAAAGCCTGTTTAATAACTGCCACTTTTCTTTTGTAACCCTCGAGCAGCTCGGTATGCTTCTTCATCGGAAATAACCGCCGGTATTTTCCACTCTCCCGGCGCGTGCCCATAAACTTTTTTCATGAAAGTCAAAAAGTCATAAACAGAAGAAGAATAAAGAGAGAAGGAATGTCGAAGATGTTGGTACCTTCTTGAGTAGCTCCTTCACATCTTTTGTTGTAACTTGAAGACAAATGTGGATCCAGGGATTTCATAAGCTCTTCGAACTTCTCTTCAGCTTCCGATATCTGCTTCGCCTGCAAAAAAAACAACAATGAGCTCGAGAAACTTTGATTGGTTGTCGTATTAACTATAACGTTTCTTTACCAGCTCAGTGGGTGCATTCAAAGGGCCGAATATTCCCACAAACATTCGTAGTACATTGAAACTGTTTTGGAGCACATCGTCCTACAAGAAAAAGCCATATCGATTTGGTCAGTACAGATCGTGATGTGACCTCATCGGGAGTTCTTTGACTGTAGCTCTAACCTCGTAATCGAGCCTGCAAAAGTACATTTCAAAACCACTCAAGATTCTGAAGAGATTCATTCAAACTTTGTGTGTTTATAGAAAACAGAAAGAAAGCTTACAGATCATCAGCTATTTCAACGAGGAACACTGAAACTGACAAGAAGTCCATATGCAACTCATTCACCTTTTTCCACAGTTCCAAAGAAACAAGACAAGACATATGTATATCAATCTATATGCACTGAGATGTACTTCTGTTGATGGAATATGAGTTCACAACAACAACAATGTACTACTTTACCTCTTCTCCTCTCAGCTTGTATAGTAGAAGATTCAACACCCGGTAATCAAAAGACTTCAACTGAATTGCTCTCATCACATCCTCGAGACAGATCTACAAAGATATCAGATGAAACAGACCATTGTTTTACGACAATAACCTGATGAACCAGTTTACCTTGTTTTTGTTTGAAAGAGCACCACAAAGCTGTCTTTCTAACGCCCAATACTCTTTGCCCGAGTTAAACTCTTGTCGTATTCTAAACCCATCAAAATAGTTAATATCTTGTCACTTTGCTGAGAAAACAGAGAAGTTATCTCAAGAAAATTAAATACCTTTGCGTCAACACGCCCTCACGTTCAAGCACATCTGCGAGCGGCTTCAATGGATCAGTTTCAAACAGAACTCGTGATCCATGGTTTGAACACTGCATCTCAAACCGTTAAGAGTGTACACAGATTTGGTGATTCCCATACTCGTAAATATTAGAGATGCAATCTTACAATGACTTGGGATCCACCAGCTGATTCAGTGACCATCTTCTCATTAGCAACATCAACCTAACAGAAACAGAAAGATTTACATCTCTTAGATTCGGGAAACGATGTTATTGTTGCAGTGAAACTTTACTGAACACGGGAAAATCTTATGGACACCAAAGACACAGTTTTTACCTGATATATGTAACTCTCAGTGAATGAAAGTATGGGTAAATATCTGAACATTGACTGTGGTTGGCTAATTTCCAGCTGATGGAACACGAAGTAAGACCTTGACTGCAACATGATATATAGGGAATTACACAGAAATCATGAGTGAGAGAGAGAGAGAACAGTTCCATAACTCAGAACGAGACGTTTATTCTTCATTTGTGTACAATAAAGACAGAACGGTTTCTAGGAGGAAAGACTCACGAAATCCTCAAGTGTAGAGTTTGCTCTTTTCATTGCATCGAGCCCGACCATTGCCGAGAGTTCTTCATGTTTCTGTGACGCGTCAGGATCAACCTTGTTCACATGACTCTTTTGGGACTTTGCTGCATGGAAATTGAATTCTTAACTAAAAACACTATTGTTGCAGAGCACCATAGATACAACAGAACTACTTTTTAAGTAACTCAGCCAAATACATTTTCGAACCTGAGCTTGTGTTTGCTGGCTTAGCTTCACCGTCGTCTCGCTGAATTGACCTAGATATCTCCTCGAGGAAAGGTCCAGATATCTACGTAATCAAACAACAACACACTTCTGAAAGAGAGGAGGGTCTAGATTTCAAGGAAAATAGTAGCAAAAATCTAGCTTTTGCTTACTTTCGGTACGAAATCAGAGACGAGGCCGAGTTTCGAATCAATGTCGAGGTCACCGCATGGTTGCAACTTCTCCAATAGCCTTAGCTCTTCCATAACTCTACAGATGTCCAAAGGGAAGTTGACGAAGAAAGTAAACCGTGAGATGAAATGCTTGATACAAACTTGTCCAAATTTATAATCGTTTATTTTGTAAACATTCAAAAACATCTGTCATAAAGTATGATCGTGTACATTTGTTTCTTTACCCAAAAACATCTGTCAAAAATTATATGACATGTACATTTGCTTTTTTTTTTTTAAAATCATATGACATGTACATTTGCTTCGTGTACATTTGTTTCGTTACCCAAAACCATCTGTCAAAAAGTATGACGTTTACATTTTGTTGAATTTTTTTCTTTTTTAACCATCACCATAAAATGCATGCAAACTCAACTCTTTACAATAATAATTAGAAGTCGTATTCGGATGTTGATATATGTAGATCATTTAAGGTTTGATTCCATAGTCCAACATGGCAACATCAAACATTGAACAAAAATTCAAAAACTTAAGTCACTATGAACAATGAGAAAATCTACAAACCGATGAGGTAAGAAAATCTACAACAACTTCAGCACGTTATTTTTGTTTAACTCCAAGAAATAGCCGCAGGCCCCGGCACGGGTCACGTGGATGGTGCTACGCTAAACGTGTGAAAGGAGCAGTATAATTGTTTGGCAACCAAATTCTGAAAATCTAGATTTTTAAATCTCATATAAAATAAACGCAACGCCATATATAGACTGTAAAAATTGAGTTTATATGGGATATAAAAGTTGACCACAAAGACTTGATTCCAATAGACTGTAAAGATGATCTTGTATCGTAAAATGAAAAAAGAACGACTCTGGCGCTAACAAAAAATGAAAAAAGAACGACTCTGCTGGGGATCGAACCCAGAATCTCTGGTTTCGTAGACCAGCGCCTTATCCATTGGGCCACAGAGTCATTTTGATTATTTTACACTTGTTTGTATTATAAACCGTTCAAACAAACCATTTCCGATTAGTATACTTTCCTACACCAAAAAAAATCAAAATACTCAAAATTGAAATGAAACAAAATCTGGATTGAACAAACTTGAACGTTATAATCTTACAGAATTGAAAAGCTGAAGCTGTGATAAAAGAAAGAAGCGGATTCATGAAAACGTCTTTCATAATAATATGAAGGATCAGTCTTTTCATGAATTGTCTAATAACACTAAATACAGAAAATCACCAGCAATAATTGGTATATCCGCAACACAGGAAAAAAAAAAGAAAGAAACGAGAATTGTAGTCATTGATCCTACGGAAGATGATAAAATATTGTTTTCTGAGACACTAGCTTAAACCTTGTTTTATCTCAAACAATGGCTTCAGTTTTCTCTGCCAGTTTCTGTAGTTTCTCGGGACGAGGATCTTCTTCGGCTTTATCTTCCTCATAGGCTGCAACATGAACTCCAAGAGCCGCACGACCTGACGGGTCAAGATTCTGTGACCAAGCCGCATCCCATTCTACAGCTTTTGCTGTACTACATGCCACACTCGGGCCTCCTGGTACAGTCGCTCTAGCAGCGCTCTGCTCATTATATGATCCCCAAAAACAAATCAGAGCAACGATTAAAACAAACAAGGCGAAGATGTAACTTTGTAGGTGCAAATGATAACAACCTTAGGGAAGAACTTTTCGAAGATTGTTCTGTAGTAGTAAGCTTCCTTTGTCAAAGGTGTGTTATCCGGGAAGACGAAGCTTGCGTTCGTCAGCATCGTGTCGGAGACCTAACCAAGAGAGAAAGGAAAGCACCACGTTAATCGAACTGTGGCTTGAGCGATTCTCTCAATGAATAAAAAGAGGCATCTTATTACATGTTTGTTTGCGTGATCTTTCAGACCATCAATCCAGCTGTATCCAACTCCATCACTGAACTGTTCTTTCTGCCTGTATAGAATGTGCTACATTTACCAAAAAGATGAGAGAACTTGTTAGCAATCCTGAATAATTTCGTCAAATTTTGCAGGGAAAGTTTTTGTTAGAAAACCTTTGGCAGATAAGGGTTTTCCTCATCATCAAAGGCATTGCGTAACACCCATTTCTCGATCCTTCCCATATCAGGCTTGATCTGCATTGTAGTTTGGACCAATTTTTTCATCAAATTCAAAATTTTTGTGATAAAACAAAGTCATGACCTGAAAGCAGTGCTTTGGTGTGTGTGTGTGTGTGTGTAATAGAAGGACGAAAAAGGGGACGATGAGAAAGATGCCACCTACCATCTTCCACTCTGGGTCGATGCTCATGGCGACATTTATAAATTCCTTATCGAGGAATGGTACACGAGCCTCAACACCCCATGCAGAAGTTGATTTGTTAGCCCTCAAGCAATCATATTGATGAAGAGCTTTGATCTGTAAGCAAATCAGCACACAAACAAGGTTCAGAAGCTACAAAAAGGTACAGAGTATCACAAGAAGTTCTGGTCTAAAGTCGTTACCTTTCGGCATGTCTCCTCGTGAAACTCCTTCTTGTTGGGTGCTTTATGGAAGTACAAATATCCTCCAAAAATTTCATCAGAACCTTCCCCAGAGAGAACCATCTTTACGCCAAGCGACTTGATTTTTCTCGACATAAGAAACATCGGAGTGCTGGCTCTTATAGTAGTCACGTCATAGGTCTCAACATGGTATATAACTTCTTCAATGGCATCTATCCCTTCCTGATATAATCATCAAAAGAAGAGATAAACAATCAACCGACAGAAACAAATTTCAACACTCTTGTTAAGTGAAAAAAAAAAGGGAAACTTTACCTGAACTGTAAAGTGTAACTCGTGGTGGCGAGTTCCTAGATAGTCAGCGACTTCTTTGCCAGCTTTAAGATCCGGGGATCCCTGAAAAGAAAACAGAGGTTAATAACAAAGTTTGGATGAGCGTAGAAAGCTATAAGAGGAAACATTCTGAATCATCATCGGATAAGCCTTTAAAAACCTCAAGACCGATACAAAATGTGTGCAACTTAGAACCCCACTGACGAGCAGCTTCTGATTTTTCAAGATGACGTAAAGTCACTGAAGCAACAAGGGATGAGTCTAATCCTCCAGAGAGAAGGACACCAAAAGGCACATCGGTCATTAGTCTCTTTATGACAGCCTGCAAGTCAACGACAGGATCACAATTCATACTTCGGAAACCTCATCAGCAACTATACAAACGGATATAAATGGAAAATTGACATCTGAGACCCTTGAGGAGGATGAAGCTCCAGAGGTTACCTTCTCGAAAGTATTGCGCACTGCTAAGGGATCATATGGGATTGAAGGAACCTGCTCAGAGAACCACGGTGGGTTGTACCACCTCCTAAGCCCACCTACAACAAACCTTTGTAACATGAAATCCAAATCCACTAAAAGATAGAAACTGTGACTACAACCAAATTTAACAAATGTTGAACTTTGTGAGTGTGTCCAGAGCGATACGAGTAAGCCAAGAAACATAATGAATTTACTATAGGATAGATGTGTTTCGATGTGAGATGCAAACCTTGTTTACTCGAATAGATGTGGCCTGGTGGGAAAGACATAAACTGTTCACAGTCATCACTAAGCGCTTTCATCTCAGAAGCAAACCAGACAGAACCTGTGGAAGATTATTTACCAAAGAGTAAACCAGTAATCAGTGGAAAGGGTTACAAGAAACAAATACACTTCAAATCCATTGAGATGAATTTCTTAGAGAAAATATGAAACACACCATCGAGACCCCACCCGATGTAGAGTGGGGTGATACCAATAGCATCCCTCGCAGCGATAAAACTTTTGTCCCGAGTATCAAGAAGGACAAATGCAAACATGCCATCCAACATGTCGACAAATTCTTCTCCATGTTCTTCGTACTGCATTTATAATAAGAAATCACAAATCAAACCGATAAAAACAGAGTCTAAGCACAATAACTATTCAACCACCATTAGGTAACAAAGATCTAGGTAATCTCCTTGCACTTGCATTTACATAAAAATGCATAAAACACACAACATCTGTATATAGGGAAGCCCTGAGCTCATGAACACGTCACAGTTAATGGTACTTACAAGATGAGCAATCACTTCACAATCACTCCCAGTACGGAACTGGTGAGATTTCAGATTTTCACGCAATGCCTTGTGGTTGTATATCTCCCCATTGACCTGAAAAGCGTCCAAACAAACAAATGACATTTTTTGGTGATCATCTGAGAAGGAAATGGCATTCGGTATTCCTCAGTTCCTCAAAGAAATTGAGATTAGGAGACAAGTCAATGTTACCGTGACAACGACAGTCTTGTCTTCGTTATAGAGTGGTTGGTCTCCAGAAGTGGGGTCAACGATGGCTAAACGCTCATGAGCCAAGTAACAATCCTCATAACAATGGAGCCCGCTCCAATCAGGACCTCTATGCCTCAATCTACACAGCATTTCAACAGATTCATATGCCATCAGTTCAACCATCTTCAATTAATTTTGACTTCAATCATGTATTTCATCTTGATTGAAAATTGAGTAAAGGCTCTTCATTTCTAACAAAACAAGCTCATTTTAATCAGAAAGTTGGAAACTTTTCTCTTCCAAGACAATACCCAATCAACATTGCGCAGCCCAAGGAGATCGAGAAAAAAAAAAAAAAAAAAAGGATTTGAATGAGACACAATAAACGGGAGGATTCGATTGAGAATAACCTGCGAGAGAGTTCGATGATACGGGAACGTTTGGCTTGGGAGTTATCGACGCAGCCGAGAACAGCAAGAATCCCACACATGGTGGCGGCAATAAGACCACAACGGCTTCTGAGAAATGGGATGCTCGAAACTATAAAGAGATGATCTTTATAAGAAGGTGGGTTTCAACTCTCAGTTCAATCAGAGCCGTCGATTTTGTCAAATAAATATATATTTTTATTTCCAAAGATGAAAGATTCGGATTTTACTTTACCCTAATTTTCCTTTGACTGGCAAAAGATTCTCTTCAGTGGCTGGGGTATCGTCACGAGATTCACCGGATTCTCGAGAATATTTTGACGAGTAGGTGTTATAGCAAAAGCTTACCATAGGATGATTTTAGGGAAATAAATAATTATTATTTTGCATAGTTTCAAGAACGACGTATATCCTCGTTGGCTGCTGATCTTACTGCATTGTCAACAAACCATATGAAAAGACAAAACAAAATGCTTGAACCTAAACTCACATCAGCAACAAAGGAGCATTAAGGACTAAATGGTTTGTATTTTGGAAGTTATATATACGATTTTTTTTCGTTTTCAAACCATTGCAATTACGTAATTGGGCATTATATAGGTTGAGAGAATTTGATTTCTTTTCGGCTGAAAGTACAATTGATTGGTTTAATTGAGTAACGCATAAGTTAGGGCTTATGACATGGACACTCTTCTCCTGAAGCTGGTTCTTGGTCCCGTGGAGCTTTGTCTTTGCGGCCTGTCTCTTGTTTCATCGTCTTCGCGTTTTATGTGGAATGATTTCTTCATTTTTTGCCAACGCGATCCCCAGTTGTGTGTGCTCTTCTGCTTGCTACTACTTAGCTTTTCGTACTCTTGTTGAAGCTCATTGTAATCGTTCTGAAGCTCATCCATCTTCTTCTTCGCATTTTCCAGCTCTTCCTTAAGTGTCCTGATTTCATTATCTCTAGATATTCGTTTATCCTCACGACCTTCAAGGTTTTCTTCTTTGGTCTCCGGTTGCTTGTCTTGCATCACCATCCTCATCTTTACTTGTTCTGAGAAAAGCACCTGAGTGTTGATCTTGATTATCATCGAATCAAGTCGCTTGTATATTATTTTTTGACTTCAAAAAGAGCCTATGAAAATAAAATTTGTTCTATAAATTATAGCTTACCTGGACGATAGTTCTCAGAGGCAACCGATCATTTTGTACAGCGTGAAGGCACGCATCAAGAGATAGTTTCTCACAGTTTATTGTTTTGCACAGTCTTCTTCTATCATGCTCTGATAGTAGAGGATGGGTCTGCAAAACAAGAATGAAAAATTTAATCTGTGAAAGATTTTGATTTTGGTTTGTAGAATGAAATGACATAATCACCTTGAGAAACATATCAATTGCTCTGTAAAGACCATCATGGCATTTCCAAGCATCTTCTGGCAACGCCTCTGCTAAAATCTGAAACTTTTATATGCAGACATGGATCTTTTGCAATCTCGGCTAAATAATTGTCTAAGAGCTTTGTTATGTTTGGTTTTCCTAGTACATGCTGCTGTTGCTGCTGCTGCTGCTCATGCATCAAGAAATACTCGAAAATCCTATGAACCACATCCACATTGTATATTGTGTATACCTCAGGTGAGCTGCGCATACAAAGGCCAATGTTAAAGTATTCAATATCAAAACGTTTGCATATGCTTAAATGAACAATAAAAGTAGATTTTTCTCACCTGGCTCCTTTCTGTTGATCTTCACATTTGAAGTTTGGAATCAGAAGGTCACATACATTAGCATCTTCCAGTAGCATACCGACTCGCTTCTCAAGATCAGATATCAAAGCTGGTGATGCAGAATACACAATCGCAGTTTTCAGCAACCTTAACAAGAAATGGCATGATATTGTTCCATGTTGTGGAGGAAGAACGCTTACTAAGCTTTCGATAATCCCCTTTTGTTCTTCACATCCTAAACTGCTTTCCTCTGTTTTCTCTCTGTTGTTCACACTGAACTTCAGCTCACTCTTTCCTAACCCGTGACCTCTTACTCCTTCCAAATCCTCATCGATCAGCGGCAACCACTTCTCTGCGTACTTGATGATGATTTTACATGTAATCTCTGGTTTGGCCCGTCTTGCTTTCACAGTTGTTATAACCCTCATGAAGTGATCAATTCGAAGAGTTGCTATATCATTGTACAAACATCTTTCATCGCTAGCTCCATCCTCTGGTATGTTGTTGTCATCGTTGCAGGCTTTCCAAGCAAGCAAGTCGCAGCATCTCCTTACGATCTGGAGGTTCTCTGCCCATGGAGACAAGTTTGCACATGATCTCAGAATAGTGAGTGTGTCTCTCCACGAGGCGAGTACTACAAAAGTGATGAAAGCATCTGTCTTGGAGATAAGATTCCCGTCTTCAGTCATGTACAAGTCATGTACAAGTATTCTGATGTACAAGTCATATACAACTCTTCAGTCATGTACAAGTATTCTGATGCACATCTCAGTGGGGCTACGTTGTGAGGGTTCAAGTCTAGTGGGAGACCGTAGCAGAATTTCAGAATAGTCTCAAACGTTTCTGCTCCACCTGGTAAGTTTTCTAACTTGAGATGATACCCATTCTCAGAAGCTGAAGGTTGTAGCTCAATGTTGCTTATGTAACCACATTTGGAGATCAAAGGAAACTGTTGAAGATAAAGAAATAAGGTTAAACCTTTTTGTTTGCTAGAGTAACAATCACTGGACTTATATGGATATACAATCACTAGACTTTTACTACCTTGTGTGCTTGGAAGGTGATATCATCGACTTGAATAGAAACATCATTAGGGATTTGAGATTTGACATACCTGCAGAGATGCATTAGCTCATTAGCTACCTAAACACTTATTGGTTCTCCTCTGTTCTGCAATATGTATAATCAAAACTTTGCACACCATGAACGGTCTTTCTTCTCAAAGCTGTTTGGCTAATGTAACAACTCTGTGTGGGACTATAATGCTTTTATTAAAGATTTGATCAGCAGCAGTAGTATTATCATCTTCAGAGCTCTTCAACTGGTCTGCAGGTGCTGATTTCATTCTCCTTTGAATCTGCAAAACAGAGAAAATAAGATAATCTGAAACTCTAAGTGTGGTTTGATTATTTGTCGGACAGAGATGAAATATAAGTGTATCAAAGTGTGGGGACAAATATGAGAGTAAATGTGAGAAGATAGTATATGGCTCTTGTATTGTATACATTGGGAGAAACGGTTGTGTTGTACCTTTCGTTGTTGAATATATGAGCTGTTTAATGATTTTCAGGACAGAATGTTTTGTCATTAAATACCATCTCTCTGTCATTACCTGGTCTGCTTAATCTTGACCATATACTGATGATAGTATTCTTTGGAGTTTTAGTTGGTTTAATTACATCACTCACCATCGTCTTTATTATAGTTAACTTTCGATTTAATTAGTGTGCGTTAGAAGAATCTTAGACGTTTCATTTTCTTCTTTTTGGAGTGAAAGTGCCTTTTGCCAACAAATTATGTAAAGTCATGTGCAAATGATTACATTTGTGATTCTGTAAACATCAAAATTATAATCCCCATCAAGCATAAAAATAAAGAGAAATTGGTATCAAATTGATTAGTTTTATTTTAATATAAATTTAGGCAAGTATATACTATATGTATTTAATTTGCTAACTAGGAAAATTAATTAATCGATGTAATTTATTTACTATTCTTGATAAAGTTAATAATCTTCGTGGTTTGCGCCTTGCGGTTACTTTTGCCATATAAAACGCGTCAAACTCACAATGCTCGTCGCCTTCGATTCTCACAAATCTGTACCTGAAGAAACCGAAAACTCAGATCTATAACACCTCAATTTTGTTGCGGCGAAGAAGATCCTCAGAATGGCGTCGGTGTCACCTTTAGCCAAGTACAAGCTCGTCTTCCTCGGGGATCAATCCGTCGGCAAGACCAGCATCATCACTCGTTTCATGTACGACAAATTCGATACCACTTATCAGGTTTGCAAATCCCATCCGATCGATCTCTCTCTCTGTCAAAATACATTGCCATCTACAGCTATTTTTCTTTTTTCAATCGTCTGTTCAATCATAATGCTAATCCGTGTGATTCGCGATCGTTTTGCTGTTCTTGTATGTGTGGGAGAGATTTGGATCAGATTCAAAAACTGGGAATAAACTCATTGCGGATTTGGTTTATACGCCCTGATATTTGTTGATTTGATTGTTGTTCTTCGTTTATGTTATCTTTGCAGGCTACGATTGGGATCGATTTTTTGTCGAAAACAATGTACCTTGAGGATCGGACTCTTCGTCTGCAACTATGGTAATATCATCTTCTGCTATTCCTTTTTCAGTTCCTTTCACAAGTATTTTAGAGATTAGGCCTCTCCGAATGTTTCAAAACGCAATTCATGCTCTTACGTTCATAATTTCCAAAGGAATTTTTGATTCTTCATTTGGAAAATCTACACAAACGTTTAGAAAACGCCGAAACTATAAAGAAGCAATGAATGCCTAAGTGGTCTCGTTAGTTATTTTTTTGTTGTACTTATATGTCCATGGAATTTTTCAGCTCTAGATCCGTGCTATCATCTTTATTGACAATGAAATTTTTAATTCTTTTTGATATTATGCATATAGTTTTCGGTGATTGATATGTGCGTTTCAGTAAGCGTCGACTTTATAATTGCACAGGGATACTGCCGGGCAGGAGAGATTTCGAAGTCTGATACCAAGTTATATCAGAGACTCCTCTGTTGCTGTAATTGTCTATGATGTTGCAAGTAAGGCTTCTGTGTGAACTTTTCAGATTTATATACATCCTTTCTCTGAATAATCATAGATGGACAAAAACAACATTTCAATTCTCATAGATGTTGCAAGAACGGTATGCAAGTGTCTCATGTTTTCGTTTTCATTGTTTTCTTGCAATGTACAGATAGGCAGTCATTCTTGAACACCGCCAAGTGGATTGAGGATGTTCGTACAGAGAGAGGTAGCGATGTCATCATTGTTCTGGTGGGTAACAAAACAGATCTCGTTGATAAGAGGTTAGAAACACTTTGACTTAGTAACATCGATGAATAAGTTATCATGGAAACTTTTTTTGTCATTTTTAGCTATCTACTTGACATTTCCATTTGACAGGCAAGTGTCGATAGAGGAAGGGGATAACAAAGCTCGTGATTTTGGAGTAATATTCATAGAGACGAGTGCAAAAGCAGGATTTAACATCAAGGTGAGGAGCAACTATATGTATCCCCGTGACTGTTTAAGATCTTGAGATTTGTTTGTTGAAGTAAACGTTTTTATGTGTGTAATTTGGAAACTTGTAGCCACTATTCCGCAAGATTTCAGCAGCATTACCAGGAATGGAGTCGCTTGCTTCGACGAAACAAGATGATATGGTTGATGTGAACCTAAAGTCATCGACCAATGCATCTCATGGGGAGCAACAGCGAGGTGGCTGTTATTGTTAATTAAAATACTGAGTAGGAAATTTTTAAAAGAAAGAATTCATAACTTGATGAAATAAACAAATGGTGGTATAAGGAAAGAGATTGTTTTACTTGGAGACTCTAGTATTCTTTTGGATGGTTTTGACTTTAATATAGAGTTTGTAATAATGACGCATGAAAGCTTAAGAATAAGGTGACAATTTTACGCTCTGTTCTGATTGCATAATTTTTTTACAGCGTATACTGCCGATTTTTCCATCTTTCACATTACTAGTGAAATAAGAAAAATTGTGAACAAGAGATTCAATATCTTATAATTAATCTTGTATTACTAGACTAACATTTGACCCCCAAGCGTAAGATATCAGACAAAAAGACAGGAGCGACACATGTTTAGAGCTCTACTGTTGCCATCGGTTTCTACTACCTCCCATTAGGTTCTGACCATACTGACCACCTTGTGTGTGGTTAGGTGGTCCAACACCGTACGCACCGCCACTAGGCCCTCTAGGACCGGCTACATAAGGACCTCCGTGTCCTTGTGTTGGAAGATTCGATCCGCTGCTGTAACCCCCTCGGTTCTGATTATAACCCCCGCTTTGATTTCCACTAGGAGGGTACTGGTCTGGACCATGCAGGTTCCCGTTGAAGTGGTGGCTTGATCCCGCAGGTACTTGCGGCGGTGCGTTAGTGGGAAGGTTTGGACCAGCAGGCCAATGTGGAGCAGGGCGAGATTGGCCACCATGTTGAAATGGAGGCAAGCGAGAGTGCTGCTGCTGTGGATACTGCTGCAGTTTCGGTCTTTTGGCTACTTCCTCGCTTTGACGCTGTTGTTGCCGCCTTTTCTTTGTCTGGAACTCATGCGATGATTTATATCTAGGTAGACTAGAAAATATGAAACATTGGTTTAGTCAAAAGAATGATGATGCATAAACAAAAACGGTTACTAGAAAATCAGAAAAAATGATAATACCTCTTTGGGTCACATGGCAACGGCTCAGTCCAAAAGTACTCGGCATCAAGAGCATCCTGTGCAGATATTCTCTACACCGGGACAACACGAAAAAGTTAACTTATATATATGTCAAGAACAGCGGAGGTCTAAATGGTGTTTACAGCGTCCTGACTTGAAGTCACAATAGGAGGCAAAGTTCGGTTTACAGGTATTCGCTGCCAATAAGGGATAAGTATCTCTAATACCTTTGATGGGTCAAGCACCAACATTTTCTCCAGTAGGTCAATAGCATGGCGATCGAAGCTGTGGCAAAAGAGAAAGAAGAGCCAAATGAAAAATCTTATCAAAGTACTTGCGTAAACGTGAAGCTATATATACAACAAGTCTACGTTACTGACTGGCGGATGGACTCTCTCACGCGTCTCTTCAAAGGCGTTGTGGGCTTGAAATTGTTATACCAAGGCATCTTGGAAACCCCAGGCCAAATTTTTTCATCAGGTGATCCGCAAAGCTCAAAAATCTTCTTCAGTTGCTCTTGCTGAAACAATGTAGGAGACAGCATATCATTTTGAGATTATCAAAAAACAGCTACACTTAACTGCGTCTACACTACTGTCTATGGGAAGATCTTTATACTATTACTGGCATCAAAGCACACTGTACTAGCATCCGACATGTTCAAAAGAACTGAGCTATCAGCAAAAATGACACCCTGACCTCATTTTGCCCAGGCAAGATTGGTTTTGCATCCAAGAGTTCAGCAAATATGCAACCAACCGACCACATGTCAACGGCTGGGCCATATTTTGTGGCCCCGAGTAGTAATTCAGGGGGCCTGCCGCAAAGTCAGCAAAGTAACAATAACTGATACATTAGCAAACACCATAATACAGAGATAACGAGGCATACCTATACCACAGTGTGATGACACGATTTGTGAGATTTCCAGTATGATTATGAGAATACGATCTTGCAAGCCCAAAATCTGCCAGCTTTAGATTGCCCTCATTGTCAATAAGGAGATTTGAGCCTGCATCAAGATCTGGGTTAATAAGCAGGTAAAGGGGTATAAACCAACTATACACCAAAACTGTAACTGGGAAAGTCACCTTTTATATCACGGTGAAGAACTTGATTCACATGACAATAGTGAAGCCCAGTGAGCAGTTGTTTCATGTAACACTTATACATAGAATCGAATGTTAGAGAAAGTAAAAGAAAACAAGTATGCAAAGAGTTTATACCATTAGCAAACTATCTATCCGTGCAATACCTTGATCTGAGGAATAGTAAATCTCAGTTCACCACTATCAGCGAGTCCAGTCAGATCATGATCCATGTAATCAAAAACCATATAGACGCCTCCCTTGTATTTATTGTCATCTGCAATTTCGTGCAAAGTCGCAAAACTTTTTAGGCAACCAAACACAATCTATGATTATCTATTCGCTAAACTACAGAGCATGAATTAATTTTCACCAACCTGGCTTTCCTTGGTCATCCCTGTCCCGACCTGCTTTTAAAGAGACAGAGCAATTCATGAAGCACAAAATCTTAGACCTCTTCAACAGAAACAGCTATGAAACTAACTCCAGTGTGACATGTGTGTTCCTTATACATACCTGGTGAAGTCACAATCTCTCTCAGTTGAATGACATTTTTGTGATTCAACTTCTTCAGAATTTTAATCTCCCTGATAGCTGTTATAGGAAACTACATCATACCAATTGTGACAATGAGTTACAACTTCCTAGAAACAGAAACTTGCATCTGTTCTCTAAGCTTGCTGCAACATAGTGAGCATCATAAAAAAAAAAAAAGTAAAAGTCGGTTTTTAAAGAGAAAGAAGTGTATATAGCCCTTCTCTTTCGTTGTCCATACGGATCTTTTTCAGAGCCACGATTTCGCCAGTTTTGATCTCTTTAGCCATGTAAACTTGACTGCAAGAGCAAAAACAAGAACAAATAAACACCCTAACGCGCAACTATGTACTTCGGATTTAGCTTAATCGTGTGACTTCAAAACCAGGAAGACGCATAGGCATTGTTAAAAGCCGAATCCCACAATAAAAAAAACGCCTCAAACCCCAATTTATCAAGCCACAGGAGAATCAATTACCCCGAGAATAAAGCCCTTTTGATTACGCAACGAAATTGAATTGGATTCAAGTAAAAGAGGAAGAATTTGAGAAGTAGACCCGTAAGTTCCTTCGCCGATTTGTTCGAGCTTCTCAAAGCAATCAACGCTGCGAGATCCCCAAACCGGAGGAGGACCCTTGAGGTTTAGCTTTCCGAAGGCTGCCACCGCCATCTTCGTTCCCAGCTTTCTCTCGATTAATCTTTGCTCGATGACCAAAATTTCGGCTTCTCGATCGCTTCCCTCCTTCGACAAACACTCCCCCGTATGTTTATACCTTCTTTAGCGTTTCGGTATCGATTTTGCGAATCCGGTTTAACGAATTGTTCGGTTTCTTAAACCGGTTTAACCGTGAAATAGAAGATCTTGGGGATATACCAGCGTCCAGGGTCCCACCGGAACCAAATATGGATGTTATTTAGATTCGTTAGATTTAGATATATACAGTACATTGTTTTATGTAAAATTTGTAATTATCGGCTTCTATGTTTTCCTTTTTCTAATCTAATTTTCTCCATTTAACCAGACTTGTTGACAATTTCTATATTTAAAAAAAAAAATTAACATGCCAATACAGTATCAATAATTAGCGAGTGTCCTTAAAATACACACACACACAAGTTAAATTATCTCTACCAAATTTTACAATTTGTTCAGAAAAATTCATAATTCTTTTTTTCTAAACATTTTCAATATTTTTTTGGGAAATAACCCCCCCCCCCCCCCCCCCCCCCCCCCCCCCCTAAAAAAAACAATGAATAATTTCTTAATTTTCCCGTAATTTAGTAATTTACTGCTGAATATAGCTTTTAACATTTTTTTTTAGATAATTGGAGGCGAATTTGACATGGCGGGAAAACTAAGAAATGATTTAGGTTTTCCAAAGGGTTTCGGAACGGGAGGTCCGATTTGGTGGAACAGAGAACTCTTGCCGTGTTTGCGTGCTTAGCACTCCATTGAGCTGGAGGGTTCTCGATCTCCCGACTCATCTTCAAACGTTAAAATCGGTCCCCACAATGGATACATCAATAAAATAAGGCTCCATTTATATATGTTTTCTATGGTATTTCATTTATCACTTCATATCTCTAAATCGAAGTGGAAGCTATAATTCGGTTAGGGCTTTGTGGAACTGGTGTTGAAAATCGACTTAGGTGATGGAAATATAAGATAGTTTCCGTAAGGTTCTATCAACTTGATTCTGTTCAATTTTGTTTGGTCCACAATGCCATGAAAGATACGTTTACTTATTGTTCTATATATGCCTTTCCTTCTTCGTATATATACTATGTATAGGGAATCTGTAGACTGATGAAAGTTTGGTTATATGAAACCATGATTAAATAATCCTTAAAGACTATAAACAATGCTCTCATCCAATCCACTATCGAATATACAAGATCTTGACACAATGGGGTTGAGATATATGATCCTCTACTAACTGACATCCTCTCTGATGATGCCGTTTTCAAGCTAATCAAAATATTCCTCATCCAAGCCACTTTCTTGTATGGATTACTAAGGTATTGGAGTTGTTCTACCACCTCCTACTATTCTGCTGATTTCTGTCATATTTTATTCTTGAGTTTCTTAATTCAAGGGATTGGTTTACCCTTTGGGAGGACTTACATGTCCATCACATATAACCTATCCCACTTTCTGCACCATAAATGATACATAATAAGTCCTATTTAAAGACCACATTGGCAATGAGGAGTCTCTGTTACCATGTTTCAGTTTCAAGCCATAGGAGTTTGATGTCGAAGGGCGCTACAGTTCAGTACAGGTATCTCATCTTCTTGGGTTGTTAGCAAAACTGCAGGATGCTAAGTTGTAATAGTCAGTTGTCTTGTTGTTGTGGGGTGCTGCTTGTTAATAACTGTGTTGATTCATCTCATCTTCTCTGAGTCGTGTACAAAGAGAGTTTTACGGATTTTTCATGATCATGTTTTGTGAGAATAACGTAAAGACAGTTGAAATAGAAATGATCTAGTCCATGATGATTTACCTAATATAGTTTATCTGAAGGCTAAGTCAAAGATCTATCTGCCCACAATATTAGATAGGGGAAATCGTCAACATTATAGACTTTTATGCAGAATTCATTGATTGTTATTTCTTTTCAGAATTATCGTTAAGTTGGAGTTGGCATCTTTTATCTATTCACATCTATCAGTCTACAGTTTACTTACAGATTCTTTAATCCTGCATCTCAAGGGTAGCATCAGTCTTTTCTTTGTGTTATTATATAGTTTTGGGAGAAATCATTTTGTGTATTTTCGTGTGTCTGAAAAAGATAGGGAAAATATTTGAAGCTTTAAGCGATAGGTCAGTGTTTCCTTAATATTAAGTGCTACCAATATAGAATAAGTACAAAAGGCAGAGGACAAAGATCAGATCTAAAGGCTACTTATGAGGTTTGCTCATGGATAGCTTTATTTTCTTTATTGGAACTCATTTTAAAGACCTGACTTACCAACCCCAACCATGTGTTTTAGTCTTTTAAAGTTATGCACAGCCTTTTATGATGCTTTTGTCATGATTATTCTATTATGTATATCTTGTTACTACGTATATATTCATGCAGAGATCTTCGTACTTTTTTGGGTGAGGCCGTGAGGCCATGTGACTTACTTTTTCATGCAAAAAGCTTCATCCCCCAGTCTTTTTTGTCTTTAAACTCTTATACTTTCGTGAAAAGATCAAACCCTTTTGCCTGTTTTGCTTTAGCTACTACCTTCTTAAAAGCAACAATGTTAATTTGTACAGGGTCTTTCAGGTTTTCTTATTGTCTTCTGCTTGATGCTTGCTGGTGAGAGAAACGATGAATGGCGCGCGAGTGGCATTGCGAGTCTCTTAGGTTTTGAGGTTCGTAGATACTTCTTCTCTGATTCTTTCGTCTAGTCACTAGTATACTTCAGTAGAATCTTTGATGAAGCAAATGTGGTTGCTCCAAGCACAGACAAACTTATTTGGTAAAACTATTTCAAAATTTTATGGTTTTGAGCTACGTTGATTGGTAATATTAAAGGGACTTTCTAGGGAATATCATATAGTTTTTCAGGCACATCATTCATGAAAAAGATGACATAAATCGACCTTTCCACCTTTACCACATGACTGGTAAAGTTAACTAACTTTTTCAGCTGTGCCTTTTTTGTCCCCCATTTGTCAAGGTGAAAGCTGGACTTTTTATACTCTTTTTTTTTAAAGATTGTTTACTGCAAAATCTCGTTTGTTTGGATTATACTATGTAGGTGTACTGAGTTCATCTCCTTTTCATAGTAAAGCTCAGAGTTCAAAAAAGGTGTTTTTTATATGTTCAAGAAAAATATGTCTAAGTTGTCTAGATGTTAGTGAAGATTTGTGAAAATAATAAAGATTTGTATGAATTATTTGTAACTAGATGTTAACGCCTATCTTTATTAGTTTATGCTGAAGGTGGACCTTTTGAAAACCCCTATAAAAAGCTTTTAGTGAGAAGGCATTACTAACTTGGTAAACTCAACCAGGAACCGAGTTGAGAAAGCCACTACTAATCCTTTTTGGATGCTTAACACATTTTTTGTATGTTCTACCTATTTGTAATAGATGTAGCAAATACTATGATTTTTTACTATTATGAGAAGTGGTTGGTTAGTAAATGTATATAGATAATTTTGTTCTTCTGATTACCAATCTGATTATTAGGATATATATATATATATATATATATAATACCCAAATAACACATAGTTGGCTTGCTTTATGATGCCTACTTAACCTTGTTTAACAAATTTCTTGATAGCTACTGCTTCTTGCCTCTGAGCTCATGGGCTTTCTCTATGGTGATTTCAGTTTGGGCTTTGTTAGATTGGGTTTAACATATCTCAGGTTAGGCAATCCTCAACTTACAATCTTCTAAACATGTTTTTATGTAGTGTAATTCCTTCAAAGATTTGCAGTGAGCTCGATCAAGATAAACTGTTTGAATTCTATTTTCCATGGCAGGAATAATCACAGAAAGGAAAATTATATGTATACCTTAAAGGGGCGTGGAGAGACATAAGAACTCTTGAAACAATCCTCTCGAAATTCCTGGTAAAAAAAGGTTTTGAACATCTATCATATGGTATATTTTTCTAAGGTACAGCTTATTCTTGAAATATTAGAGAACTTTATTCAACAATGACATCTTGAAATCATATTTTCTTTTTATTTTCGTTGATGTTCTGAATCTGGTAGGTTGTTTATAATGATTTTTGTTTTCTGCATTCCCTATTGCTTTCTCTAGAGTTTAAATGTTGGACAAACTTACTGATCACATGCACCTTTCAAAGTCTTAATGAAGTAAGAGCTACTTGAGAAACTTGGTTTGTATAAGATACACATTTTCTGTAGTGTTTTTCTTTTCTGCATATAGTGAAACTTTACTCATTTTCGTTGTTGCTGTTCATATATCTTACTAAATGACATATGCTATTATTGCATCCAAAGAGATAGGTTTGTAGAGCTCTTGGATGGCATATTCTTCCATTGTTAACTTCCATGACTTTTACTGTCTTGAGCTGTAAAACGATGTCCACGACAAAAGAAGTTCAGCCACCTAAAATGACATTTAGTGGTTGATAATTAACAAAAACAACATCTAAGACCACACAATTTAGGTCATATAGTATTTGACTGGCTCTATAAATTAATGGTAGACATTCTTGTTCTTCCTTTTTAGGTGTCATGTTCTCGAGGTTTCTTGTGACGATGCTTTTTTTTTTAGAAGATGCTCCTCCAGCAATGCTGGGCGTAACGGTTGAGAAAAGTATGTGCTAATTTAGTATTCTATACGTAAGATTATGCAAAAAGATGTTTGAACGGTGATTTCTTGTTTCACTTTCTGGATTTGAATAAATATATTGAGTTTTAAAGATAAATGCCTTTTAGACCACGATCATATAAAACTAATCCTTTCTATACGTAACCACCTTACCACCATTACTTTGATTACTACAGAATACAGATAAAGTAGAAATTACCAAAAAGATTTTCTGGCCCCATTCATGTATTCCAATAAAGTTGCTACCATCTGAACAGCTGAAAAAAAAAAAGACGATGTTGAAGAAGACTATACGTGATATTACGTATATATACATTTGCATGCGTGTGTGTTGTTACACGTGCGTAATGCTCCTCTTGGTTTTAACAGTCGTAACTCGTTGGAATTTCTTTCAGGAAAACTCACTGATGGTGATGATTTTCAAAACACGAGGATCTTGGTTTCCTCTCATCGACTTGTGTAAGTATAAATAGTTTAGTAGTACTGCAGATTAACCCTACACACCTTATTTGTGTCTTATCGATTTTGTGGTATTTTAAAGTTGATTGGAAAAAAGCTCAGTATGTAGGTTGTTAATTAGAGGTATATTCCTGCAAAATGGAACTCCAGTAATGCTTTTCACATTTACATACAATAATTAAAAGGGTTAAATATGTTCATTGGTCGCATAGAAAGTTTAAGCTTTTAGACGCGTTGGTTAGAAACTTAGGAGAAGAAGCAATTCAGTTGTTTAGCTGACATTTACAACCAAGTTGTTTTTTCCTTTTCTTGTTTTTTTTTTTTATTAGAGAAAAAGAACGGTTTAAATGACATCACATATTTCATAATTAATACTTTTGTAAGACCCTAGTGGCTTCCTTAATTCTTTAGTATTTTCTGTACCTGCTTCCTCCATTCGAGACTGTGGTCCACTCTGCGAGGAACCCTAATTCAACAAGCAATTCACATCCTTCTTTCCCCCAAAATTTATTTATACTTTTGTAAGATTTCTCGTTTTTTTAAACCCCTCTATGAAATTCGTAGTTTTATCTTGCCTAGGTATATGATGATATAGCGTTCTATACACCAGGATGCATGATTCCTGGTGTTATTTGGATTTGACACGATGGAATGAAACCATATATACACATATAACATCCGGATGCTTCCTTAAAGTTTCATTGTATAATGAAACTAGTATGATAAATTTCATTAATTGTCTTCTGATATGGCTCTATAATCTCTACACTACATGAACATACTACTTACATGCTGGTCTATAATTGGAAACCTAAGCTGAGGAAAGTTGTCTTGTTGGGTTATCTAGGGAATGTAATTTTGTCAAGCCTCATGGTTATTCATATGTTTATACTTGCATTGAAGGTATAAATGAGTTGAATGAAAACATGTTACTGAAAAGTCCAAAGATGTCCAGAGTATCATATTTCATTTCACCTACAGTTACTGAATACACTAAAATATCTTCTAGAAACTGACAGATTTGATGCCCTCATTAGGTAATTAAAACATCTTCTTGTTTGATCTCTCTATATTTCTTAATTAGATTTTGTTTCTTGATGTTTTGTCTTTCAGTTTGAAACTCTGCACGAAACCTGTGATCTTCATTTTGTAGAAGACACAGAAGAAAAAGACAAGAGCTCAAGATATGCCATTGGTTGCAATACTGAGGCGGATGGAGAAAGTCTTTTAGGTTTCAAAGATGGTGGTGATTTAGATAATTTTCTGCACCCACCTCTCCCCTAACCAGCTCCTCTCTAATGGTCAAAGTCTGTCACATCAAGCCTCTCACCATCATCCTTAGTAAGTTTTTCTTCGGATAATACCAAAAGTTACCACTGTTATCTTGTCCTCCATATTTGTCTATCCATTACTATTGCTGTTTGAATTTTCAGCAATTGGATCCTTGTTGAATAGAGTTAGAATGTCAAATATGGTTACCATTACTGATCTCCTGCGTAATTAACTCATTGCTATGGAATTTCATGGGATGGGAGAATTCTCCCTGCAAATATTTACTAAATTTATATGGTTAGCAATGGTAACTAATTAATTTAGCCAGTGTTATTGGCATCTTCCCCTGTGAAAACAATATTTTGCTATGTTACAGATAATATTTATTGCCACAAAATGATAGGAAACGTATGCTGATAAGTTTTATTGTAACTACGATATGCTTTCACTGTTGCAGATTTTTTCATTTGGTATCTTTTCTTCCTAGAAAGAGCATTTGGAAATCTCTGTAAGTATTACCTAAATTTTGCTATATCAGGAATTTCTCATGATGTGTCAAACAAGAAATTACACTCTCATATCAGATCACTCTGCATCTCTTACTTGCTTCAATAATATTACAATGCTTTTGAGTTAGTTTCAGATTCTTGAAACATTCTCATTTTCAGAGACAATAGCTTTTAGGGTTCATTGCTTGATTTTTGTTTGGTTGGTCGATCGTACCTTTAGTCGATATGAAGAAAAATACAATAATAATATGAAATATTAATAAATACATAAATTAGTAAGCTATGGAAATGGATGATGAGAGGAAACCTATTTTGCGTACCAGAGGAGATGTCTCTTTGGCCAGCCTTTTGTTGCCATGTGTTGTTGTTGGCGCTGACTTGTATTTCAAACCCTTTCTCTTTTTATTTGTCTGCAATTATTTTTTTAAAAAATATAACTAACAGTTTCTTCCTCCTGTCAAATTCCCTTTATTGCCCCTTCTCCTCCATCATTACCTACTCGAAGAAGATCTTTTATGGATTTCATAAAAAAGATGATGAAACCTTCTAGCTTTAGTTGATCTATTTTTGTTTTGTTTTGTGTGAGTGGAATATTTCAGTAGCAGGAACCTTCAATAACCTCTATGTTAGCCTCATTTATGAAAAAGAAAAAAAGAAAAAAAACTGTTACTAGATTTTGGATTGTGAAGAGACGGATCAATAATAAGTATGTGTTGTTATTCTCCTTGACAAATGCAGGATTTGGTACTAGGGCATAGTGATGGCTACTGATGAACTACTTCCCAATTAAAGACAAATAAGAGATTAATTGATATGTGTTTGTCCATTGAAGACGGCTGCTCCTGAGATGATACTGATGTTGCTTAAGACAAGAAGAAGAATTTACATTGAATGGTTTTTTTTTTCACACGAGTAAGGGAATGCGTATGTGAGAGAAGGAAAGAAAAAAAAAATGATTAGAGAAATGGAATTGAAAGGTGACAGCGACATGGTTGTTTTGGTAAACGAATAGGAATGAAGCACGTGATGAATGGACATGAACAGAAAAGGGTGCTAGGTTTAATATAAATAGAAATACGAAGCAGTTAGTGGTTGTGAAGGAAGGAGGAAGCAAGCGACCAAATCTCAGAGACATAACAGTATAGAGGAGGAAGAAGAAAGAAAAGAGAGTCCGTTGTTGATTAGATACAGATCATCACCGAACATGGGAAGATCTCCTTGCAGTGATGACTCTGGTCTCAAGAAAGGTCCTTGGACTCCTGATGAAGATGAGAAACTTGTCAAATATGTCCAAAAACATGGCCATAGTAGCTGGAGAGCTCTTCCCAAGCTTGCTGGTACTGCTTTGTGTTGATTTTTTTTTAATCTATTATATGGTTTGATTAGTCTAAAACATCATGTGGCTGTCTCTCTCTCTCTGCAGGTCTTAACCGGTGTGGGAAGAGTTGCAGGCTAAGATGGACGAACTACTTGAGACCTGACATCAAGCGAGGGAAGTTCTCTCCGGACGAGGAACAGACTATCTTGAACCTTCATTCAGTTCTTGGCAACAAGTAATCTTCTGATTCTTTTGATTTCTTTTATAGTCAACGGTTTTGTGTACCAAATTCTCTTGAACTGCTTGCTTATGATGATGATGATGATGATGATGATGATGATGATGATGTTATAAGGTGGTCAACGATTGCAAACCAATTACCGGGGAGAACAGACAATGAGATCAAGAACTTCTGGAACACTCATTTGAAGAAAAAGCTGATTCAGATGGGATTTGACCCAATGACTCATCGCCCAAGAACAGACATCTTCTCCAGCTTATCTCAGCTCGTGTCTCTGTCCTCTAACCTGAGAGGCTTTGTGGATCTGCAGCAACAGTTTCCAATTGATCAAGACCAAACTATAGTCAAACTCCAAACCGAGATGGCCAAACTCCAATTGTTCCAATACCTTCTTCAACCACCTTCCATGAATAGCATCAACCCTAATGAGTTTGACACTCTCAGTCTCCTCAGCTCTATTGCCTCCTTCAAAGAAACCTCTAATACCACCAGCAACAATCTGGACCTCGGTTTCCTAGGTTCCTATCTTCAGGACTTCAACGGCTTACCATCCTTAAAAACCCTAAACTCCAACATTGGACCGTCATTTGTTTTCCCTCAAATTCCTGATCACAATCACTTCAAGTTCTTCTGTCAAAGAGAGAACAACCTACCCGTTTCTCCAACATGGCTCTCTGATCCTTCAAGCTCAAATCAGAGTTTGTTACCTTCTCTTTATCCTTCTTCTGCTGTGAGTGATGATCTGATAAGAAACCAATACGTTATTGAAGATGTCAATAGCAATCTCACCTCTTCAAGCTGCCAAGAATCAGGAGCTTCAGCTTCAGCTGCATGGCCTGATCATCTATTGGATGATTCCATATTTTCCGATATCCCTTAGCCTTCTTTGTCTTTTCAGGTATGTTTTGGAGGAACTCAAAATCGAATTTTCTCTTGGGACTGTGCTGGTTTTGGAGAATTTAATTATTTTCATATCTATTATATATTGGACGACACATGATATATATGTGCTCATGTTGTAGAATGTACTGTACAGTACATGTTTCATATAACTCGTATGCGTGTTTGCTATTATCAATGTTTCTTTAGCATACATTTGTACGGTACCCATCGCCGAGTTTTTACATATAGAGATCACTTGTAGTGGTAATTAGGGTTTTTTTATAATTATTTGGATCTTTTGTTTTACTTTACCTGTTTACGACATTCGAATCATGTATGAATATGTTATCCAAGTTTGTGTATCTTTATATATTTTTTTTAAGTAATAGTTAAGCAGAGATCAAACAAAATCAAGTTAGAGAGTTAATTTATATATGTCACATGTAAGGAACAGTACTTAAATGTCAAACTGTCGAAACTAAAGAATGCACATTTTAGAGTTTAAATGTTGATTTGTTCACAATCAATACTCATGAGTATGAGTATGATCATATCTCTTTTTGGTTTGCCAGGAACAAAAATAATGGAAGAAGTGAAGACAACATGTGATCCGCTGGCTAACGATAATATAAAAATGTCAAGTAGATGTTTAATATTAATTTATAAATTTATATAAAAAAAAATATGTGATGTCAGATAAAGGGATCTCTCGTTAGGTTATAATTCACTCATTGAGTTGCCTGCTTGGCAAAGATCGATCGCCCTGAAATATTGTACTTCATCCGTATCCAATGGATAATGACATAATGTATGTTTATTATCCATTTTCGTTTGTCAACTTGTTTTTCTATCCATATTTAATCTACATATTTTGGATACATAAGAATAGCGATTTTTTGCTTGTTAGTATAATTATTGCGTTACCGCATGTTTTCTTCACTTCTTGAAAATAACTAACAAAACAAAAAGTATTGAAATTTTTTATTATAAAACCAAAAAAATGAAAATACATCGGTATTGTGTTTTTTACGGTAATTGGTACTGTTATTTTTATATTGTTTTTGATAGTAACATGAAATAAAAACTATTTAATGCCAAATTAGTAAATGGTCAGAAATAGGAAAATAATCAAATATTAAAATTTGAGAAACGTTCTTTTTAATAGAATAAAACCCTACGATTTAGGACAAAAGAGGACATAACAGGTCGGTTCCATATACTTCGAATAATTGTGACAAATTATTTGTTTTTAAAATCAATATAACATATGTTTTATTAAGCTTAAAACGCCCATAATAAACCCATAATAAAAAGAAAATATCATACGCGCAGATATAGCGCGTGGACGACACAGAAGAAAGTAGAAGTTAATAAAAAAAATTAGGAATTTTTTTTTTGTTAAAAGGTCTAAAAAAATTTTAGGATATGAAAAACGATTTTCTGTTTTCGTTACTGTTTAATATTTTATTTTATTTTATTTTAGCTTGATTTTACAACTGTTTTGAAAAGAAAAGGAAAAAAAAATCTTTTTTTACAACTGCATGTAACCAATTTATGATGTTAGTTTCGACTAATATTTTGGTTCAGATAGCAAAATCTATAATTCAGGCAGTTATAAAATAATTTATTTATTTGATTCATCCCACGTTTCTGCAGTTTCAACACACTCAATCATTTTTAATTTTTTTCTAATCAGAACTCTTTTTTCTCTTACGATCTTTGAACAGAAGACCGAGTAAAATCATCATTGTACTACAAGCATTACAGATTTACAGGTCCTTATTCTCTTCTCAACATTAGACATCTTTTTGTCAACGTTAGACCTTTTCATTCTCATATATACTTTATTTGTTTAAAAGTTCTCTCACGCGGTACTTGTAAACCGTTTCCTACTTATTAAAAACTACAATAGAAATATTTTATGACAGAACTAAAAAAAAAAGGTCACGTTGACGCCATTATTCTGAGAGATTGGGTTTCTGGTTTCATTTGAGCAACGGCTTCCAAATCAAGAGTCCTCTTGAAACACACGTATACAGAGTTTAATACTGTTACGTTTGAAAAAACTAGTTTATGTTATGCGAATCTTGCACATAGAGCACCAACGAATGATTTTGGATTAAAAAAAATATGATTCTAAAGTTTGAAAACTTATTGATTAGTATGTTTTTTACTCGCAACATTTTTAAAGCTAATCAATGTTTTGGAGTTATACAATTTTATTGTGGAGACTTTGCCTCGTCAATGTTTTTGCGTTCACAAAAAATGATGATTATGTCATTTGAAAGCTCCATAGAAGGAACCTGTAGTGAACCTTCGTTACATCCAACATATTTGATATATATAAATACACATATATATGAAACTTTACAACACAAAGAAAATACCCATCAATAGATAACATTTGACGAAAAGGTAGAAGAAATGAAAGGAAGGCTGTGTTTGATTGCTTCGCTTCTTGTTATCTCTTTGGTGTTTTCATCTCATGAGGTCTCGTCAGCTAAACCATTCGAATCCCGCAAACTTAGTGAGTAATCCCACTATTTATCACTTTGCTCCATGCTTTTAAATATTTGGTGAAGCTTATTAAGTTAAATCGTTTCACTTCACCAAATAAAATAATAATATAAGTTAAATAGTAGAAAGTAAAGTAATACCACTATTAATTATTTGTTTTCTAAAAATACCAAAACTTTTCAAGACAAGATTTTTTAAAAACCAGTTTAGTGTTTTTGAAATTACTTTTAAGTATAAGGAAGCATGTGTAATTGCCAAATTTACTGAAAGATCTATGTGTTTTGTATGTAAAATATTATAGAAGAAACAGGAAAAAACATTCAGATTCACAAGGTATTAAAGATCGAAGTATCTCCCAGTAAGTCTCGACCGGGGAAGGGGCCGAGAAAAAACATAGCTGAGAAGCCGTGAAAGTGTAAATCATCTCCTGATTTCGAAGGCATATATATATATATATATATATATATATATATATGTGCTAAGTGTTTTTTTCACCATATTTATTGATTTATTATTTATCACTCTGATGTGAGTAAAGGTTCAAACAATTTTTTCTTTAAAAAAAATCATGTAGAAATAAGTAAGCAATAAAAACTATAGTCTCGATCGTTTGCTTGCTATCTAGAATTTTTTTTTAAATGAATGCAAAACCTTTATCAATTTTTTTTTTACCATAAATGTAAATGTTAGTTAACACACAAGCTAACAAAAATGTGACCCAACAAAATAAAAGCGCAAGAAAACAAAACCAACAAAACTTACAAAATGTTTTTTCTCACTTAGATATTATCATATTTCGACTCTTATTCTATTTATCAATAAAATCAAGAAATCGATTTTTTATACGCTCTTGAAAAACCAACCTCTAATGGCTGGCATTTTGCACGCCTCCAAGCGAAGTCAACGCAAAAAGTCAAAATAAATCTCTGTTCAAAGGAGGTAACGACAATCAAAATATAATAGGGCCCTTCTCTTTCACAGGATTCAAGTCAAAGATAGCTCATGAATTACAAAACATGTATACAACTTGATTTTCAATTCTTCTTCACCGAACCAAGAAAAAAGACAAAAAAAAAGTTGGAAACTTTACAGTAAAATCAAGATTTGATGTTTTGGTCATCATCTTCCACCTGATAATTCAATGGCGTCTTGGTTATGCATAGAATCTTCACCCCAATCAAACCTCCTCTGCAACCGCTCGAACTCATGACGTCTCGTGACTTCCACGTTCTGCCACTCTTCCCATCTCTCTGCAAGCCCTTCTCCTTCTAACATCCGTACAACTTCCGACATCACTGGTCTTTCTTCCGGCGAGCCTTGTGTACAAAGCAAAGCCACTTGTATCATCATCTCTACTTCTTCTTTTATATAGTCCCCATCCAAGTTCTTATCTACAATCGCTCCCAACCTCTTCTCTCTTTCCAGTTTCTTCACCTGCCCAAACCAACAAAAAACACCAAAACATTATTGTAAATAAAGCTTGAGAGAGGCCATTAAACAGGTGATTTGATTATAGTATACATACGTGGTCAAGCAACAAAACATCATCTTCTTCCTCCAAACGCGAAAAATCTATCGCTCGTTGTCCTGTAACCAGCTCAAGAAGCATGATCCCATACCCGAAAACATCTGTTCTCTCTGACGATTTCCCCGTCGATAGGTACTCAGGCGCAATGTGACCCATCGTTCCTCTAACTTGAGTCGTCACATTAGTCCTTCTAACATCAACCAACTTGGCTAACCCGAAATCACCAACCACCGCTTCAAAATCTTCATCTAGTAGCACGTTCGCCGCTTTCACGTCCCTATGTATGATCTTCGGATTGCAATGTTCGTGAAGGTACTCAAAACCACGAGCCGCTCCTAAGGCAATCCGTTTCCTCGTCTCCCAATCAAGAACCGGGTCGCCAGCTTTCACCTCTCTGAGACGATGTGCAAGGCTTAGATTCTGCATGAAGGGATAAACCAGGAGGCGTTCTGTTTGAGTGGTGCAGAAACCGATAAGACGCAGTAGGTTCCTGTGAACAGCTACGCTTATCATCTCGACTTCCCTCTGGAAAGCAGCATCTCCTCCGGGACTTTCGAAATCCGTCAATCTCTTCACGGCGACTTTGGTGTTATCAGGAAGCACTCCTTTGTAAACTTTCCCAAAGCCTCCTTGGCCAAGCACGTTCTTCTCGCTGAAGTTGTCTGTAGCCAATTGGAGCTCTCTCCATGCAAATCTTTTCAACTGCCCAAATGCTATTCTCCTGTCAACTTCACCTGAAAAAGAGTTTTCAAGAAGTTAGCATCTTTCTTTCATCATAACATCTACGAAAAAGAAAGGTTTCCCCTTCGGGTATGTAAAAGACCTGCAACATCCACGAACACGTCACGTTTGTATCCTTTATGCCTATCCTTGCAGAACAAGAACAACAAGATTCCAAAGAGGATCACTGTAACTCCGGCAACAACTCCAGCGATCATACCAGTTTTGGGCTTTCTTGAATCACCTATCACCACAGATTACGAATTTTTCAGTCTTTTGAATCTGTTGCAAATAAAGGAGATATAGTTAAGAGAAATCGCAAAAGAGTAATGTAGTTACCTGAGTGAGCGACCTCAGATACACAAGGATGAGGTTGAACACCGCCACAATTCAAGTTGTTTGCCGTGAAACTATAGTTGATAAATAAAGTATCAGATTACTGCTAAACCTTTTGAAAAAACAACAAGATTCACCTAAAGTAATCAAACTTACTTGTATTTCGGGATCTCAAACAGACTTTGAGGAATCTGGCCATTCAGATTATTGGAATCAAGCAGACTGTAAAACGTAGTTTCCAAACAATGTTTTTGAGACGAGGAAATACTTTTTTTATAAAAAAAGATAGGAAGCATAAACACAGAGAAGAGTTAACTTACAGATTTATAAGATTTGGAAGACCTGTGAGTGATGCCGGGATAGTCCCATTAAGTTTGTTCCTACTCAGTGTCCTGCTTTTGCCAATAAACGGTAAATAAAAAGACAATCTTTTTGGGTCTCTTAAAATGTTTTAGAACAGGTGCAAGATTGCAACAGCATTGAGAAGCAAAGCTACTTACAAGAACTGAAGCTTCTTGAGATTACCGAGAGTGGATGGTATAGGACCACTTAACTGATTCTCCTCCAAATCCAAACTGGTCAAGCTTGTCAAATTTCCAAAGTCTTCTGGTATTCCACCCGTGATTCCATTCCCCTTCAACGTACTATAATGTATAGAGAGAATAACAACAAAATGCTCAGACGTCAAGAACAACATATGTTGTAGGATCTCAGACAGAAAGAGACGTTACTCTAGGGCACTTACAGAGTCTTGAGAGTTTTAAGTATTCCTATTCTTGAAGACAAGGTTCCAGAGAAGTTCATGTCCGACAAGGTCCTGGAATTACAATATCTTTCAATGTCAACAAACAAAAAAACACTCCTTTGGAATAAACTACAGTTACTTAGTACAACTAGTTCAGAGTGATCATTAATTAAACTTACAGAGAAGTGACAAAGTTTTTGTCATCGCATATAACTTGGGACCAAGTGCAAGGATTCACTTGATTCTGGTTCCAGTCACTTAACTGATTGGGCAATGCTCTTAACGAGATTCTCAACGCAAACAGTGCATCCCCTGGATTTGGAATTACAATTGAGCGAGAATGTAAAACCTTACTCCAAGATTTGCAATATATATATAAACAGCTTAGAAAATTAGCAAAAGTAAAACTAAAGAAATGGCATCACCTTGCGCATCTGGTGACACAAATGGCAACAACAAGGCTAATACCAACACAGTTAGAGCCATAGCCATCTTCTGGGAGCTAAAACATCTCATCTCATAAACTGGGATTGTTCCATCTACGAAGAAACGGTTAACAACATCAGAAAGAAAATATCTTTCTTACTTTCAATGGATCTGACACATCTCAGCAAATGATTGGTGGACAAATTCTCGGAGACTTTCTGAATTCGACCGAAATAGCTAAAATTGAGAGCTTCGGGTATACAGGGGAAAGAGAAAAAGAGTCAAAGGGGGATGATGCTAAAACACGAACCTGCTCAGTTTCCCAGAACGATTTAATGAACAAATTTCTCAAAACCCATGAACAAGGGAGATTTAGGCGAGCATGGACTGAAAACCTCGTACCGGGGAAGAAAATCCCAAAAATCGAAAACGAAAAGGAAAAGAAAACTTCGCTGCTCGAAAGATTCACTCAAGGGAAATAGAACCAAGAGAACAAAACAGAAAAGGCTGAAAGATAAAGTGAAAAAGCTTTGTCTTTTCGCTTCTTCTCTAGACTTTTGTTTGGCAATTCGCAATTATCACTCTCGCTAATGGCGATGTCTAAGAAAAGTCCGATGTTGGTCCACGAACCTGCTTTTTCTGCGTGCAACTTGTAATAAAAAATAATAATTAATTAACTTTGATAATGATGTTTGGAGTGTGATTAAATATAAACTACTACAGTAATAAGTGCTATTTGTTTCTTTCGGCTATTACGACATTTTTAGTTCATGCCCGGTACGTGGATTTATATGTAACTGTAGTAGGTACGCGTATTTACTACTTCTACGTGTATATGACACGTACTGACGACGTACATCACTAATTCGTATACAAACATACACATACGCCTCCTTTCACACCATATAAAGAAAACAAACATTTACCAAGTTTTAAATCAAATTAGAGAACAAATGTTTTTTTCTTTTTGTGTGATAAACTGAACCAAATAGAAATCTTTGATTAATAAATTTAAAATATTTGTTTTGATAAATTCGAATATGTTTTTCGTGTTAACCAAAACCACACTACACCATCCAGTTTTTAATTTGATTTAGTTCATTTTTTCTTCCGTTAGGTTTTTCATTTCACCCTTAATTATGTAAACAGGGGAATGATTTTTCGATCTCTCATATCCATCAGTATCGTTATAAAAAATTAAGTTTCAGAAAGAAAAAAAAAAATACGCAAAAATGTTCAGTTCTCTAAAACTACAACATGGACAGAATATACGCACGTTTTTTATTATGTTCAGATGGTTCCGTAAAGCTTTCTCACATCCATCAAATCGCCACGATTGAAGCAAGGAAATTCTTTAAACGTACACTTTAAAATGTTGTAACATATAGTTTATGTATATCTGAAGTACTTTTGTAGAATTTTACAAAGTTAAAATTCCGATCGCTGTCAAATCTAGAAAGCACGACCGACGATACCGCCGACCGAACCGAAGAAGCTAGAGACTTTTGAAACGAATAAATGCAACCTCATAAACTCTTATCGACAGACATTGTATCTCAACAGACTCGACATATGTCAGAATCAGTATGATTAAAAACGTAACGCGTGTGAGCTTTATCCAGCTATATAATAACGTCACAGCCTTATCTACTCTCAATCAATCAAGAACCAATAAACACACAAAAATTCGTTCATCGAGACCCTCATGGAGAGAAAACAACACTTTGTGTTAGTTCACAACGCTTACCATGGAGCCTGGATCTGGTTCAAGCTCAAACCTCTCCTTGAATCCGCCGGCCACCGCGTCACTGCCGTCGAGCTAGCCGCCTCCGGGATCGACCCACGACCAATCCAGGCCGTTGAATCCTTCGACGAATACTCCCAACCGTTGATCAAAACCCTCGAAGCTCTCCCGGAGAATGAGCAGGTGATTCTCGTTGGATCTAGCTTGGGAGGCTACAACATTGCTCTTGCCGCCGATAAATTCCCGGCCAAAATTAAGGTTCTTGTGTTCGTCAACGCCTTCTTGCCCGACACAACACACGTTCCCTCTCACGTGCTAGATAAGGTTTAGTAAACGTTACTACTTTTAATTTAATATGAGAATTATTTTACTTCTGCTTTTCAGCATATAAGAATTATTATTTTTGTTTTTGTTGATGGAAAAAAGTATATGGAGATGCCTGGAGATTTTGAAGACTGTGAGCTTTCGTCTCATGAAACAAGAAATGGAACAATGAGTTTGTTAAAGATGGGACCTAAATTCATGAAGAATCGTCTCTACCAAGAATGTCCTATTCAGGTATTTACATATAACGACACTACTCTAAAAATTATAATTCAAATTCTCTTTGGGATAAATGAATAGTATATGTTTTCCGAAACCACTCTAAAATGCTTGAAAATTTACTAGTTAAATATTAGTATTTATAATCTTGTGAGATGATTATCAACTAATTTTTGCGTGTTCTATATAATATAACAGGATTATGAGCTTGCAAAAACATTGCATAGACAAGGGTCGTTTTTCATAGAGGATTTATCGAAGAAAGAAAAGTTTAGCGAGGAAGGGTATGGTTCGGTGCCACGAGTTTACATAATGGGTAGTGAAGACAAAGCCATTCCGTGCGATTTCATTCGTTGGATGATTGATAATATCAACGTCTCAAAAGTCTACGAGATCGACGGTGGAGATCACATGCTGATGCTCTCTAAACCCCAACAACTTTTTGACTCTCTCTCCGCTATCGCTGCCAATTATTAGTATTAAAAGAAACCTAAACTCCGTTTGGCTCTTCCCCGTTACGTTACTAGTTTATGGGCTTTTACTAATAAAACAAGACTTGTGTCTTAAACTTCAATCTACATCTCGTCTTTCTGAATTTTTAGTTTCATTCCTAAAGCAAATTTATAAATATGAAGCAGCATCGGATGTAGACAAACAAAAAGGTCAACGTAGACTAGATAACTTTTTTTGTTTCATAATTAACAGTAAAAGAATGCACTTAGTTTATGTTAATTCAGTACTAGTATAGTATATTTTGAAGCTATAAAACAAGAAAAGTGATGATAATAATTGTACGAAGAATCCTTACTCGGATATGGGTCTACAGAAGATTCACGAGAAGAGAGACTCAAACAGTGACGTGTAGGACATCGAGGCAGGTGAGACAAAACTGATTAATCAATTTTGACAGTGTGTTGTTCCATTCAAGTCAAATCTAAATTCATTCTTTTCCAAAAATTATATATATTAGAAATTGGTTAAACAAGTTAAAACAGAACGTTAAGTAATAATCCCTTTGGTTAATTAATTACCCTTTTTTTTTTAGCTCCGAAGGGTTTTGTCAGTATAAAACCTAAAAGCTGAAAAAGCTGACGAAAATAAATTGTGAACATGCAAACGTTAAGGAATCAAATAAGATATAGATTTAAATTGAATGAACTGAAAAATTAAAAGCAAAAAAGTGTTGAAAGAAATGAATGACGCAAGTAGTTAAAGCAATCTCTCTGCAAATGCAATTATCGGTGGTGCCATACCAATGCCGATGCTAGCTGACTTTGATCTTTCAAAATAATCATAGAACTTTTGATTATTTACAAATTGAGCCATACATTTACAAAGAATGCAAAGAACACCTCTACTCTCAAAAATCCAGAATCATCAATTTTTTATAAAGTAATAAAAGAAGAGATGGAGCCAGAGGATAACGCTTTCAAGGGTTATAAAAGTGGCCATTGCAGTGGCATTTCCATCCCATGGGTTTGTAATTAGAGTACTGATCAAGAACGGAGGTTAGAGAGGAGGGAGGCCGGACGAATCCGCCGGAGAACGGGTCAACTCGGGTGAACCGGGAGCGACTCGGGAGAGTGGGAACTTGAGTAGGCATGCAAGGATGGCAGCCATTGCATCTGTTGTGGCAGCTCGGTGGTGTCGAACCTAATCTCGCTTTATCTTCAACCAAAGCCACCTGAACCAAAAGCAAATTAACTTATATAGATCAGTCAAAACGAAGAAAAAATGATTTAACTTTGGGAATTGACAAGGGAACTGAGTGAAAGATGGAGTTGATTACTTGAGGAGAATCCGGAGGCTGGACAGGTTGGAGAAAGGATGAGACTTGTGGAGAGAGGAAAACGAGGAGGAGAAGGAGAAGAAGAAGGGCAGAATTGTAAATAGTAAACATTTTTGAATTCAGGAATGAATCTATCTATCATACAGGACGAAACTTCATGTGGGTCTATAGAAATTTCAAGACTTTGGAAGCAAAACAGAGAGATGAAGTAGAAGAAGCTTTTTGGATCAGAGGTTGAAAAATGAGTGAGAAGGAGAAATTTTAAGGTGAGAGAGAGAGAGAGAGACAGAGAAGGGTAAAGTGGTAATTTGGAAAGGAAGGTGAAAGGAACAAGACAGAGTGGGGGAGACAGAATAGGAGGATACATATCAGAGGAGAGACTCAGAAACCAGCCTTCTTTCTATGTGTCACTTCAATCTTTCTTCTCTTTCTCTCTTTTCATTTCCTTTAATTCTATTATTTTTTGTTCCTTTGCATTGTTCTTTAGTTTTGAGTTTTTTTTTACCATTTACTTTACATTTCAACTGGAACAAACATGCGCTGTTAATTTTATTTGATTGATTGACCTTGACTTCACCTTTCGGATTTGATATCATATCAGTAGTACTAACCCCGGTTTAATGAGATTTATAATTATAAAAACCCTTTTGGTTAAAGTGGGTTACTAGATGAGAGTTGTTGTGTTGTAAAAGTCTCTAACGTTTTACTTTTTCACTCACTCAGTTTATAAGAAAAAGTTACTGTGCACTGATTGAGGTGATTATACCAATACATAAATCTTATATTCGTTTGTTATTGTTTTGTAACTTTGTTCAGTTTTCTTGGTTTCAATTTACTGAATCTAAAATAAAATAAATTAAATTAAAGATAAGCTTTAATGTTCTGGCATTACTACTATTGAGCTTCTAATAGACGCTTTCGAGTATAAAATACTTTTCTTTCTTTGCTCTTAATGTGTCCTACAAACATTTATTTTCCCAATAGAACACTGCATTCCCAATGTGAAAAAAGGAAAAGCTGGTAGAATATCTTCTAATTGCTTAAACGAACTACATTCAAGAAGTATTTAACAAAAAAAAACTATATGTAAATATAAGTATTTATATTGCATATGCTGAATTTGCATTCGTTTGTGTTGTGTCTCCCCACAAATGAGGAGGACCATAATAGTTACAGCTTTTTGTTCATTGTCCATTCAATTAACTAGCTGCAACCTTTGAATTGAATCTCGAGTCAATATGCTTAATACCAAGATCTTTAGACTTAAATGCTTCATGGTTCCACACTCATTACTAATGCTAGCTTTCCCTATAATCATCTAAATGTTGAGTGGACCTTTCAACGGTAAGAAAAGAGTCGAATAACATTTCACCGGTAAGTATCTATTTACTGACACATCAAATGGGGTGTTTCTTTTATCATCAGAAAATAGTAAGCAAATAGGAAAATTTGGGGTTCCTTTTATCATTAGAAAAATAGTAAGCAAACAGGGAATTTACTGAGTAGCAATAGTAGTAAAAACCACAGTTTGACTGGGTTTTGATTTTCAAACAAAAGGGGAAAGAGGTAAATTTTTACCAGGATCAATAAATGAAGAAGAAGAAAAGGATGCCACATTTTATCATTTTGACTGCTTTCATTTAATATTGTCAACAATCTTATGTTATTAAATGTGAGCATCTGTGCCCTTAATATTATTATGGGCAATGGGTGGTGTCTCTTTCTGCTGTTTTCCAACAATTTTCGCACTATCGTTCTACTACTTAATGTTTCATTTTTTTAACATTTTTGGGAAATTAGTTATTCTGAAAGAAAATACTTTTTTCCCCATTATATTATTTTTGGGATAAAAAAGTACTAATACGTAACAACTCAAATGATTACATTTTACAAATAAGCAAAGTTTTGATCGACATAATAATTAAAAGGAATAGAATACGGAATGGTCCATGGACTATTGATGATCACTAACAACTGTTCGGTTGCAATTTATGGTGGCATCGACTTTTGTATGGCTTCTTGAAAACAAAGTGTAGAACTTTGGTACATCGAAACCAGAACAAATAGATTATAAAACAATATGTGTATATTGTCTTAACTAAAACTGTGAGAAATAGAGTATAGTATTATATTTCTTCAACTCTATAATTAAAAAATTATATAATTTCTTTACTACCAAAACCTGAAAAGTAGTATAACTATATATGTTGATCTCGCTGATCGCATTGTCCACAATGTATTTATTACCTATAATTTTTTGTTCTTGCATAAAAAGAACAGTTCTAGAAACAAAAACTTCAGAGAAAAAAATTATAGTGTTTGAGTTAAAGTTTTTTTCGCTCTATACTTTATATTTTTTCTGAAATACAAGCACTACATGGTTTTACGAACTCACGAATATCTGTTATGTTGATATCAAAATAATAAAATATGGTATCTATTTATGTTAAAGGTAAAAATGTATGTAAAAAGTGAGAAATGAAAGAAAAAAAAGCTTATCGAGAATATAATTAAACTCTAAAGTCTAAACCCATCAAATTTGGAACATCCTTATAATCACACATGACGCCTTCTGTGACTATACTTTTCCACGTTACCTGATTTGTTCCATTTCGTCCTTTTTGAAAAATATACATAATTCAAAAAAATAATTAAATACTAATATGAAGTCAGAAATAAATAAAAAAAAATCAGCAGAAAGAGAAGACTTTCACAGTAAGACAACAAGACTGCGGGAAAAATAAAAACTGAAATTATTATTGCGTGATCCAATTATAAGAGTCAAGGGCTTTTGTCTCCTTTGATATACGTAGGTCCCACTCTTCTACCACCTTCTCCTTTTAAACGGTTCAGATGGAATCTCAGCAAAATCCTACAGTCGAATAGAGATTTCAGCTTCCCACAACACATCCAAAGATATAATCGGTTTAATCCGGTATACAACCATAACACAACCCCGGTTTACTAACTGCCACCTTTTAGTCTTTACCGTTGAGCAGCTCGATATGCTTCTTCGTCGGAAATAACCACCGGTATGTTCCACGTTCCCAGCGAATGCCCAGAAATGTTCCCACCTACATTTTTTCATGAAGTCAATAAGTCACCAGAGTTGAAAACTGTTTCTCGAAAAAAGTTAATAATAAGTCAACAGAAGAAGAAAAAAGAGAAAAGGAATGTCGAAGATGTTTGTACCTTCTTTAGTAGCTTCTTCACATCTTCTTTTGTAACTTGAAGACAAATGTGGATCCAGGGATTTCATAATCTCTTCGTACTTCTCTTCAGCTTCCGATATCTGCTTCGCCTGCAAAAATATAAACAATGAGCTCTATAGACATTTTCAGAGAAACTTTGATTGATTGTCGTATTAACTAACGTTTCTTTACCAGCTCAGTGGGTGCATTCGAAGCGCCAAATATTCCCACAAACATTCGTAATACATTGAAATGGTTTTCGAGCACATCTTCCTATAAGAAAAGCCATATCGATTTGATCAGTAGAGATCGTGATGTGACCTCATCAGGAGTTCTTTGACGGTAGCTCTAACCTCGTAATCGAACCTGCAAAAGTACAATTCAAAACCACTCAAGAATTCTGAAAGATTCAAACTTTGTGTGTTTATGGAAGATAAAAATGTTTTGAGAGGAAGCTTACAGATCATCAGCTACTTCAACTAGGAACTCTGAAATTGACAAGAAGTCCATATGCAACTCATTCACCTTTTCCACAGTTCCGAAGAAAGAAGACAAAGACATATGTATCAAATACAACTCCAATCTATATGCACTTAGATACTATAAGTGTAAAATTTGTCGGATTGAATATGAGTTCACATCCAGAAAAGGATAAAAACAAGGCACATGAATGTACTCCTACTATACCTCTTCTCCTCTCAGCTTGTATAGTAGAAGATTCAACACCCGGTAATCAAAAGACTTCAAATGAATTGCTCTCATCACATCCTCGAGACGGATCTTTAAAGATATCAGATGAAACAGTGAGCAAAAGAATAAACATGCCAATTGTTTGACGACAATTACCTGATGAACCAGTTTACCTTGTTTTTGTTTGAAAGAGCATCACAAAGCTGTCTTTCTAACGCCCAATACTCTTTGCCCGAGTTAAACTCGTGTTGTATTCTAACTCGTGGAATAGTTAACATCTGTTAGTGTTGTATTGTTTGTCCTTTTGCTGATAAAACAGTAAGAAAATAGACGTTATCTCAAGGAAATACCTTTGAGTCAGAAGACCCTCACGTTCAAGCACATCTCCCAGCGGTTTCAATGGATCAGTTTCAAACAGAACTCGTGATTCAGCATTCCATCCATTGTTTAAACACTGCATCTCAAACAGTTAAGACCGTACACTGATTTGGTGATTCCGATACTCGTAAATATTAGAGATGATATCTTACAATGACTTGGGATCCACAAGCTGATTCACTGACTATCTTCTCATTAAGAGCATCAATCTAACAGAAACAGAAAGGCTTACATCTCTTAGATTCGGGTAACATTATTGTAGCAGTGCAACTTTACTGGAAAATCTTATAGACATGAGGGAAAAACAAACAGCACAAAGACTCAATATTTACCTGATATATGTAACTCTCAGTGAATGAAAGCATGGGTAAATATCTGAAGAGTGACTGTGGTTGACTAATCTCCAGCTGATGGAACATGAAGTAAGACCTTGACTGCAACAGGATATATTATGCAATTACACAGAAATCATGAGTGTGAGAGAGAACAGTTCCATAACTCAGAAGAGAAGTTTATTTTTCATTTGTGTACAATAAAAACAGAACAGTTTCTAGAAGGAAAGACTCACGAAATCCTCAAGTGTAGAGTTTGCTCTTTTCATTGCATCAAGCCCGACCATTGCCACGAGTTCTTCATGTTTCTCTGAAGCGTCAGGATCAACCTTGTCCACATGACTCTTTTGGGACTCTGCTGCATGGAAATTGAACTATTTTAACCGCCATTTTCACATATAACTAAAAAGACTCAGAATTTCAGGCAGCAAGTCGAATTGCAGAGAATCCTGAACTTGTGTTTGCTCGCTGAATTGACTTCGATATCTCCTCGAGGAAAGGTCCAGGTATCTACGTAATGAAACAACAACACACTTCTGAAAGAGGGGAGAATCTAGATTTCAGGGAAAATAGTAGCAAAAATCTAGCTTTGCTTACTTTCGGGATGAAATCAGAGACGAGGCCGAGTTTCGAATCAATATCGAGGTCGCCGCATGGTTGTACCTTGAATGAAGAATGAAATCAGGTTCTCTTTTAAATTTCCGGGAGATCTGTCAAAAGTGAAAATTCGAAAGGCTTACCAGGAAAAGGACGAGGGTGGAAAGGAATCGAGAGGAAGCTTGATCGGAAGTTGAAGAAGAAAGTAAACCATTAGAAGTGATGGCTGCTTCAACACTCTGAAGCTTCTCCAATCGCCTAAGCTCTTCCATCAAAAAAATAGACTGTTCCGATGCTTGGTAAACCATTATTAATTAACCGGTTTACTTTTTACTTATTGAAAAGTTAGATTTTGATATTCATATAAATAACTAACAAGAAAACTAAGATATTTCGATTTCCTTTTTACTGATGTGAAAAAATTCCTTTTACATAATAAATAATTTAGGTTTTCTTCTCTTTTGTAATTGTTTTGTAACTTTGTTCAAATTTGCTCGGTTTTGAATTTAGATTAACGAATGATTATTTTTTTTTTCTTCTCTCAAACCCATGCTATTGTGATCGAGACTGAACGAAACACAAAAAAAGTCTGGATATCAGCTACGTGTCAACCTCACTATGGTCAGAGGATTCTTCCGTTTACTTCATTATTAGCCAGCTTTGGATTTAAAGAAGCAATAACAAAGATGGAAAGAAATGGACGCTTTTAGTCTCATCCGATCGATCACGAGAGAGTTCAAAAAGAAGTTTAGGTGCAACAAAAGCAAAACCATACTCATAAAAAAAGCTTGAAATGGAGGGACGACCTCTATTCTCTAGGCATCATCATCTCTATCATTGTTATCCTTCTCTGGTTCTTATTCCGATACGGCTACTATTGATACGGCATGTACCGCATTGGCCTTCTGAACCTAGGAGCTTTCCTGTACAAGGCATTTCCTTCTTAAGATAGAGGAAGAAAATGCCAAAAATGTGACAATTGACATTGAAGATGTGGAGTTTCAAACTTACCCGTATCCATATGCTGAATAAAAGTAAGGAGGCACGAAGGGTCTGCGAAACCGGTAACCCATTGAAGTGTTGAAACGCCCAGGACTATACTGTTTCATTCCAGGAACGTTGGTTCGCTTAGGCAAGACCTGGAACGAAAAAGCGAAAAAGATAAAGACAAGATTGACATCACTTAAAGTGTCCCATTTGCTAGTCAGTATTGGTCTTAGTCAGAGAAGATACCTTGAGTTGACGACCATGTAGCTCTGATTCATTCAGTTGTAGAGCTTCTTGCACGGCCTCGACTTCAACAAACTCCACATAAGCAAATCCCTTTGGTTGTCCAAACTTGTCCATCAGAATGGTTACTCGGTTGACTGTTCCGCATGTTTGGAAATGCAGCTGCACTTCTTCGGGTGTACATGCATAATCTACCTGCAGGGTGGAAAAAATGTGGTCTTAGTATAACACACCAGCATTCAGATTGCAGCTTAAACCATGACTCACTGTGCACATAACAGATAAATAAGTTAATCACTGCAATAAAGGAAACCGAGTTACAAACTTTGTGAGCTCTAAAGCAATCTTCTATGTCATGTGTACAGAACATAAACGTGATGATATTCTTGATTCTAAGAGCGTGCGTCAATATATATGATAACAGGCCAGTATCAAACTGCAGCCAGTCACGAAATCCACAAAACAACCAAACCTGTATGAGCTTTAGGTCTTGACTGGAAAGCATTCAGCATCTTGATTCAGCTCTCCAAAGGCCATCTCCTCAAGGATTACAAAAACCTTGCTTTCTATTCCCACCCACCTCACTCAGAGTCTTTTCTTTTTCCCACTCAATCAGTTTTTTTTTTTTTTTTCAAATTTCACAAACTCATGCAATCTTTTTTTTTTCTCTACTGCTTTATCTTTTTTTTTTACTTTATCAACATTTTTTTTTAGCTTTTTTTTTCATATAATTCCACAACAAGACTTTCCAAGGAAATTATCTAGAAAGCCACAAAATCTAGTTGACAACCCAGAGCTACTAAGAACTTCAGCAATGAGAACAACCCTGCGATTATATAGGACATAGAGTCAAACTATGATACTTGAGTCACAAAGCATTCATAAGAGAAGCAAGACCCAGCAAATTTCAGGTATAAATATCCAATATCAACAACATTAATTTAAGAGAAACCATAGTGATACTGATTTTAACAGTAATCTGCAGTTATATTCTCAAAGGAGAAAGTTATGGTAACGAAATAGTCGGCATAGGCTAATCCACACTAAGATCAGTGCGAGATATATAACTATGGCATTGAGCAGAACGCTTAAATGAAACAATTAGAGAAAACAAGCTTTCTTACATTGCCAACGTAAACTGATCGAGCATCCACCTCCTCTTTCCCTTCTTGATTCGTAGCCATACTAGCAGGATCTGAGATTGAAAAAATTTGGCAAACAGGAAGCAAAACAGATCGAATCAGAACTTCAGCTCTTAAAAAACTAATCCAGACAATTAACGAGTCCCAGTGTATCGAATTCAAAAGATAATCTCCAGCAAACTTATTCAATTTCTCGAAAACACATGAGCTGTGAAAAAAAAAAAAAATAGCCAACAAACCTTGAGCAATTCCCATCTCTTTCTCGACCTTTGCCTGCATCTCGCGCAGAGCAGCAGCCTCTTCATCCATCTCTTTCAATCTCCTCTTCACCTCATCAAGATCCTGATACCCCGAAAAAAAAACGAGAAACTAAAATCAAACAGAAGGTTTACACACGCATCATACAAATCAAATCGAGCGAAAGAGAAGAAACAGACCTTAACAGCACCGTCATCGCCGCCGGCAGTCATATCGATATCCGGATCGGGAACATCCATCTCGCCAACTTCAGGGATTTCTCCTCCGTAAACCTCGTGCTCTTCTTCTTCCATTTTTTTTTGTTTTTCCACTCTTCCTCGCTCAACAACGATTACTTCTTGCTTAGGCGAATCAGAAGCGCTTTCTACCGATGCAGAGAGTCGATACGACGTCGTTTCATAATGGGCCTCAGCGACGGGAACTAAAAGGCTTTAACCTAAAAAGGATTACATTCAAATATCGGCCCTTGAGATTATTTTTTTAGTAATTAACAGCGCAGCACCGAAAAACATGCGTCTGAAAACTAAGGAATAATAGTTGGACACGTAAGCAATGTAGACGAGTTACACAAGAAATTGCCGCACCTGATCACTGCGTGTAAAGCTCCTCTTCTTCCATCTTGTTCTCTACTTAATTAATGGGTTTAACATACATAGGCATAGTTTAGCACTTGACCATTGTTGAAAACAGGGGATTTCCGGTGAAGATGACGAGTGGAGGATACGGAGACCCGTCGCAGAAGATTGACTACGTCTTCAAGCTGGTGCTGATCGGAGACTCTGGGGTTGGGAAATCGCAGATACTATCTCGGTACGCGAGAAACGAATTCAGCTTGGACTCCAAAGCTACCATCGGCGTCGAGTTCCAAACTCGTACACTTGTTCTCGACCATAAGAGTGTCAAGGCTCAGATCTGGGATACTGCAGGCCAAGAACGGTAATCTCAAAAACTCTATTTAGAACTTGCTAATACTGGTTTCGGCTTTACATTTTCGCCCACCGTTGGATTGGATCCGCCGGTTTTTCGAACTAGATCTTGTAGATTCAGAGGGCGTCGGATTTCGGATTCTCCTCTAAACAATATCCATCTCTTTTGCGAAATTCCGAATTGCTTTCGTTCCCGAGATTTGTTGAATATAAGAATCGGTCGAAGTCGATATGACTTGGTCAATACGGTGTCGTACAGGTACAGAGCGGTGACGAGTGCGTATTACAGAGGAGCGGTTGGGGCGATGCTGGTTTACGACGTAACTCGACGGCAGACATTCGACCATATCCCACGGTGGCTAGAAGAGCTTCGAGGTCACGCGGACAAGAACATTGTGATTATGCTCGTCGGGAATAAGTCTGATCTTGAGGATCAACGAGCGATCTCGACGGAAGATGCCAAAGAATTCGCAGAGAAAGAAGGTCTCTTCTTCTTGGAGACATCGGCTCTAAACGCAGTCAACGTGGAGTCCGCTTTCTCGACTGTTTTGACTGAGATTTTCAACATCGTGAACAAGAAAAACCTCGTTGCTGGAGATGAACAAGGTAATGGCGATCCTGCGTCTCTTGCTGGTAAGAAGATCGATATTGTTCCAGGTCCTGCTCAGGTGATCCCAACGAAGAATAGCTTGTGCTGTAACTCTTAGAGCCTTGAATCTCGTACTTTGTATCCACATTTCACACATTATAACCTCATCATTTCCCTTTTTGTTTTGAGGTTTTTTGGTTAGCGCTTTGAAATCGGGTTTAAATTGAAATGTTTACTATTTCATAACTTTCAGATTTAAATTAGCTGTTTGATAACGTTTTTTTTTTTTGAAAAAAGGGGAACAGTTTGTCGATGATTGAAACGGGTATATATAAATTGGAACAAAAATATAACGCATCAATACTTAGGTTCAAAACTTTGATATAATAAAACGGCTTGAATAGTTAAAACAAAGCATAAACCCAACAAAAAAAAAAAGACGTTCAAAATGGCGATTACATGTCTTTGGAGCAAACTTAAATAGAAAGAAATCTCTCTTCATCTTGGGAGGTAGGGGGATTTAAGCAGCCACGGGCTTGGCGGCAGCAGAAGAGAGTCTAGACCTCTTCTTGGCCAAACTTTCACTACGGCGATCACGCTGCTCCTTAAGCCTCGAGGCAAGAAGCTTCTGGTACTCAGCTGCGTCAGAGTTAGCCTTGGCGATTCTCTTCTTCTTGTCAGCGATTCTAGCTCTCTTCCTCTGGAGGGTCAACGGAGTCACAAGCCTCTGGATCTTGGGAGCCTTGCTGACCTTCTTGCCTGGCAAAAGGAAGAAACAAACTTTAGTGAATATCAATTATACTACCAGTTTTTTTTAATCAAATATCAAAGTGCGTGCGTTGTTTCTTACCGTTCTTGTTGGTGAAGGTGCGGCGGTACGTGTTGACGTACTTCCTCACATCATCATCCTTTCCAAGGTTGAACAGCTTGCGGATCTTCGATGCCCTCTTGGGACCTCTCATCCTTGGCTTCTCGGTATCAGTAAGCCCAGGAAGATCGTTCTCACCTTTCTTCACAATGACCAAGTTGAGGACAGAGAGATCAGGGCTCACAATGCAACCACGGACAGACTTTCTCCTCCTCTCTCCAGTCCTCCTTCCGTGTCCTCTGAAGCAAGGAGTACCTAATCACACAGACCAGATTACGTAAGTCCAAAAGAAATGAAAGATTAATGGCACAGAGAAACTGACGAAGCTGTACAAGTTGCAAGGTTAGGAGGGAAGACAAGTACCTCGGTGAAGCAAAAGGCGGACACGACCAGGGGTCAGAACCCCCTGTTTCATTGGGAAACCCTGCTTGTCACATCCTCCCATGATCTTGAAGACGTAACCCTTGAACTCCTACAAAACAGTTCAATAGATCAACACAATTTCAATAACCATTTCGAAGATCCATAAGAGAAATAAAAAACAATGAAACGAGTGATAGAAACTTCACCTCGCCCAAAGAATCTCCGCTAACTTCCTGAGAGAGCCTCTTGTCGTAAAAAGCACGGCTGCAACATCAAACGAAACTCAAACTCAGCCATTTTTAATCCAGAAAAGTCTATTCCCAACAACAATCAGTCAAGTTGATATTGTAGATTCAGTATTGGTTAGTGAATAAACTAGCAAATCGCTAAACAAGTCAGATTTCGATATTGCAAAATGTAAAGTAAATTCAAGCCGGGTATAACAGTGATTTATCATAAATTTCTAAGGTTTCAAAAGGAGATAGTCTACATTGTACACTCAATTACCTAAACGTAAACAAATGAAGAACTAGTCCCAAATCTATCAAAAAAAATCATGAATCTATAAGAACATAAAAGGAGATATGATTGAAATCAGAGATCTTACAGCTTCTGGTCGTCATCGATCTCGAGCTTCTTCTGGCAACCAGTAGTCGGATTTGCGACGTTGAACTGCGATAAGAAGAATAATCGAGTTAGATCAAACGAAATAACAAAGATATCTCAGCAGAAAATCAAAGAGAGCACGTGAGAAGGAAAATATGAGCTACCTTCATTGTCTCCGATAGAAACTGCAGCTACAACTGCGTGGGAGAGAAGAAGAAGAAAGATATATAGCTCTCGGCGCAAGACGGCAGTGGGAACTAGGGTTTTGTGCGGTTGAGCAAATGACTTATACTAAAAACAGATGGGCCCAAAAAAATATGGGCTCTTACTTATTTTCAGATAAGATTTTAACCATGATGGGCCTTAAGGTTCACGTATGAATTTGGCTATGCCAATAAGAAACGCACTAGTGAAACCCAATCAAATGTAACTTGATTGGACGTAGTTAGTTTCCGATGTAGATATTATAGGATTGTAACATATACAGAAACTCCCAAAACTCGTTCCTTCTGTCTATTTCACCAGGTAACTTCTATGAACAAAGATTGTAGGATAAATGTTCTATGTATGTTTATTTGAGTTTTGGGTTGGATTTTGGATATATAAGTAAAAAAGTTGCATAAAAATAACACAAAGTGATTTTTGATTAAGTCAACACGTATTAAGTTGTGTTTAAAGTTTTCTGGATCATATTTACTTGAACCAAGATTATAAAAAATTATAACAATTCAAATCAGTTTTAATTTATTCATATATTGTTTTGGAATGTTCAAGTTTGTTAGACCTTCCAGTTTTAAACTTCAACACACAAATAGTTTATTAAAAAATAAAAGATTGAAGTTAAAAAAAAAAATCATTTTCTGCTATTTAAATATTCTGTAATTTATTCATTTTATATATTTTATTTTAAATAGTCTTTAAATTAATAACTATATATTATAAAATTAAATTTTGTGACTAAACTTATAGATAATTGGTAATATATTGCTGTAAAAAATTAGTAATAGATTTTTTGTTATTTATAAACTCAATTTTGCTATTTGATATTTGTGGTTAAAATTAATAAATTTTCATTAAAACATTTATCACTTAAATAATTATTTTAACCATGCCTCAGATACAGTTATAATTACTATATTATTTTGTTGTTAGATTTATAAAACACAAACTATCTATTGATTAAAATTTATAGATAATGTATCAAATGACAAAAAATCCCATAACTATATGAAAAATGAAATAAACTAATTCAATTGATGAGGTTAAAATTGTTGATTATCATTTCTATATTATATTATTTTCTAAATTTCGATATCATAAAATTTATTCGTTTACTAAACTATTTTTTGACTAATGAAATAAATTACCTTTTTAAAATTAAATTGTTGGCTATTATTCTTATATTATAATATTTATAAATTTATAAACAATATTTTTCATTGGAATTTATAAATGATGTACCAAACGAATAAAAGAAACTATTTTACCATACGAAAAAATAAATAAATTACCTCAATTTAATTTGATTGTTTGATGAAACTAAAATTGTTGGATAGAGAAACAACAAGGATTAGGGATTTAGGTTTTAGGAAATACTATGAGTTGAAGGAAATTAGGAAAAACAAGTATTATATAAATATTGTGTTTCTCTGCCTCTGAGTCTTTTCAACTTCTGTCTCTTTCGCTCTCTCAATTGTTAGAGAAGTGGCATCACCCCATGAGGAGCTCTTTTCCTCCGACCGACGGTGGAAGATCGCCGACGATCAGTGATCGTCGGCGATCGTTTACCTCCAGTTCTATCAACCGTAATAACTATCGCCCTGTGCACTCTTCTCCGCCGCTTAATCACCGTCCTACTCACAACCACCACCAGTACCCTAGCTCTGATTTCCCGCCAAATTGCAGGCGCGATCGGGCTCCGGCGACGGGAATACCTTCTTCAGTCATGCGTATCAGGCCGAATTTCATCGTTCAGCTTGTTCACCCGAGAATTACCGCCGGCAACAGCGACGCCAAGCCGCCTTTTCCGGTTAGAAGGCAAGAGATCATAAGCCTGGCTTCGCTCTGCGAAATTCCGGAGAAATCACTCCATGTGCCCCAGTTCGGCTGTATCGCCGGAAGTTTCAGTTTTTGTCAGTGGGTCGAGGCGCTCTCCGCTGTGGTGGCTCTCTGGGATTATCGCCTCCAAGGGAGACATGATTTCGTTCCCGAAATGATTGCCAATATCATCGTCCCGTCCGACATGGACGAGCTCAGACACAAGCTCAGCGATCTTTTCTCGGCTCACGTTCTTTCGCTTTTGGAAAACGGGGAAAGCGTCAAGAAGGTGAAAAGCGAGATAGATGAGAAATCTCGTCAAATTGAGTCCTTTTCGTCCAGAAAGGGTCTAAAAATAGAGGCCTTTGAGAGCAAGAAGGCTCTAGAGGCGGAGAAAGATTTGGTTATCAAGCGGCTTGAAGAATTCAAGAATGCCATGAAGAGCATTGTGCGGTTTCTCAAAGAAAGTGACGGTTCTGAGTCTGATGGAGAAGACGGCGTGGCCGTGCTGAGTCTGCAAGGGGCCTATGATTGGCCACGCATTCATAGTTTAATCCGCAGGGAGTGTCGAAGGCTTGAGGATGGACTGCCTATCTATGCTTACCGGCGGAGTATTTTGAAGAGAATTCATGGAGAACAGGTACTTCCCAAAAACCCATTTTTTCATCTGTGTGGTGAAACTGTTATGACTTGCTAGTTATCTCTGACAATCTGAAAACTTTACCGAATCGGCTCGAATTGTTCACATATGTGTATAGATTTTGCGAATCAAGCACAGAAAATCATTCTCAGTGATCGATTTAAGTATGGTTGTAGCTCCTCTGCCAAGGCTTAGTTTTCTCTGGAATGATTCTTACATGAATCCTGTGTTTGGGCGTTTTTGAGTGTGTGATGATTCATTTCTTTCTGTGTTCACAGATAATGGTATTGATTGGAGAAACCGGTTCGGGGAAGAGCACTCAGTTAGTTCAGTTCCTTGCTGATTCTGGGGTTGCTGCTAGTGAGTCGATCGTTTGTACACAGCCGCGGAAAATCGCTGCATTGACATTGGCTAATCGGGTCAGAGAAGAGAGCAGTGGCTGCTATGAGGAAAATTCTGTCCGCTGCACTCCAGCTTTCTCTTCCACCGAGCAGATCAGTTCCAAAGTTGTGTACATGACGGATAATTGTCTGCTTCAGCACTACATAAAAGACCGGAGCTTGTCTGGCATTTCATGCGTTATCATTGACGAAGCCCATGAAAGAAGCTTAAACACAGACCTTCTTTTGGCGTTGCTCAAAGATCTGCTATGCACAAGGGTTGACCTGAGGCTTGTCATCATGTCTGCCACGGCCGACGCCTACCAGCTCTCGGACTATTTCTTCGGCTGTGGGATTCTTCATGTCACCGGGAGGAACTTTCCGGTGGAGATTGTATATTCTCCTAGTGACACAGAAGAGGCTTGTGTTGTTGGCAGGGTTGCGTCATATGTTGACGATGTTGTTAAGAAGGCAGTGGAAGTACATAAAACAGAGGAAGAAGGAACCATCCTTGCATTCTTGACTTCCCAAGCAGAGGTTGAATGGGCATGCGAAAGGTTTATAGCTCAATCTGCAGTTGTTTTGCCTTTGCATGGAAAGCTTTCCTTCGAAGAGCAGTTTAGGGTTTTCCAGAACCATCCCGGGAGACGAAAAGTGATATTTGCCACAAATATCGCAGAGACCTCGCTCACTATTCCTGGTGTCAAGTATGTAATTGATTCCGGAATGGTGAAAGAGAGTAAATATGAGCCTAGAACTGGTATGAGCATCCTCAAAGTCTGCCGGGTCAGTCAGAGTTCTGCTCAACAACGTGCTGGCCGCGCTGGCAGGACAGAAGCTGGAAAATGTTACAGACTGTACTCAAACGGCGATTTTGATTCAATGAATCTTAATCAGGAACCTGAAATTCGGAGGGTCCATCTTGGTGTAGCACTTTTGAGGATTCTTGCTCTGGGTGTAGACAACATAGCTGATTTTGACTTTGTTGACGCGCCTGTCCCTGAAGCCATTGCAATGGCTGTCCAAAATCTTGTTCAGCTGGGTGCAGTCGTTGAGAAGAATGGTGTTCTTGAGTTAACACAGGAAGGGCGCTGTTTAGTCAAGTTGGGTCTGGAGCCAAGGCTTGGGAAGTTAATTTTAGGCTGCTTCAGACACAGAATGGGCAAAGAGGGGATTGTTCTTGCTGCTGTCATGGCTAATGCGAGCAGTATATTTTGCAGAGTTGGCAACCTCGACGATAAGATGAAAGCTGATTGCCTAAAGGTATGATTCTGAGCTTCCGTTAACTTTGTTATTGCCTCACGTTCGATTTACCGGTATACACCTAGATGAGTTGGGATTGTCTCTGTCGTTCTACAAAGTCTGAATTTTTTAGCTTTAGATCTTCTTACATCCTCTTAGAAGATATGTTCTGAAGTTTTTACTTTTGACATATTCAAGGTACAATTCTGCAACCGTAATGGAGACCTGTTCACTCTTCTTTCGGTTTACAAAGAATGGTCAAATCTGCCGCGAGAGAGAAGAAATAAATGGTGCTGGGATAATTGCCTGAATGCAAAATCAATGCGGAGATGTGAAGACACAGTCAAGGAACTGGAGATATGCATTGAGAGAGAACTTACTCTTGTCAGCCCTAGTTACTGGGTTTGGAATCCAACTGAGGGCACCAAACACGACAAGCATTTGAAAATGGTTATACTTGCATCACTTGCAGAGAATGTGGCGATGTACACTGGCTATGATCAGCTTGGATACGAGGTGGCATTGACTGGCAAACAAGTTCAGTTGCACCCGTCGTGCTCGTTGCTAGCGTTTGGCCAGAAGCCAAACTGGGTTGTCTTCGGTGAACTTCTCTCAGTTGTTGATGAGTACTTGGTATGTGTGACTGCGTTTGATTTTGAGGCCTTGTCTATGCTTGATCCACCTCCACCTTTTGATGCATCTCAGATGGATGAGCGGAGGCTCCAAGTGAAAAAAGTGGTTGGTTGTAGCAGCACAGTGCTGAAACGATTCTGTGGGAAATATAACCGTAGTCTGCTTTCAATTGTTTCTCGTGCAAGGTCTCTTTGTATGGATGAAAGGATTGGTATTCGAGTCGATGTCAATCAGAATGAGATTCAACTGTATGCACCTCCGCTCGACATGGAGAAAGTGTTGGCCCTTGTGAACGATGCGTTGGAATGTGAAAAGAAGTGGATGCATAATGAATGTTTGGAGAAGTATCTTTTTCATGGTCGGGGAGAAGTGCCTCTTGCACTGTTTGGGTCTGGTGCTCAGATAAAGCATCTTGAAGTTGATCAGAGATTTTTGACAGTCGATGTACTCTATTATGGCGACAGTGCTGTTGATGACAGAGAGCTTGTGGCGTTTCTGGATAAGAAGATTGATGGGTGTATCTGCTCTATTCACAAGTTTACTGCTAACAAGCAAGACTGTGATGAGAAGGAGAAGTGGGGTAGGATCACCTTTCTCACTCCGGAATCTGCTATGAAGGCAGCAGAGATTCAGAGATTTAGTTTCAATGGATCAGTGGTTAAATTATTCCCGTCGCTGTCAGCTGGTGGAGGAATTTCCAAGATGCCTACTTTCCCCTCTGTTACAGCTAAGATTCGTTGGCCGCGATTGAAAAGCTCTGGTGTAGGCCGTGTTACGTGCCCTTCTGGTGATGTTCACAGTATATTTGATGGGATCTCCGGCCTTGTCATAGGTAACCATTTTGTCAACATTCAGAGAGATCAAAAGTCCGATGATTGTATCTTGGTGAGTGGGCTTGACAGGGAACTTTCGGATGACGAAGTTTTAGATGTTTTAGAGTGCGCTACGTCGAGAAGGGATCTGAATTTCTTTTTATTCAGAAAACACGCTGTGCAGTGTCCACCTCCTACTGCCTGCGAAGAGATGCTGCATTCGAGAATATTTGCGTCCATGTCGTCGAGGAATCCAGATCCGAACTGTGTCCAAGTACAAGTTCTTGAACCAAAAGAAAATGCTTATTTCATGCGAGCGAATATTACATTTGACGGGAGATTTCACTTGGAAGCTGCGAAAGCTCTGCAGGAGTTAAATGGAGAGGTGATACCTGGATGCCTGAACTGGCAGAAGATAACGTGTGAGCAAATGTTTCAGAGCTCCATAATCTTCTCCGCTTCTATCTACAACATAGTCAAAAGACAATTGAATGCTTTATTAGTGAGCTTCGAGAGACAAAGAGGTTAGATTTTACTACCTTCTGTCAACTACTACCTTGTGGATAGGCTTGGGTTTGATATGCGTGAACGTTTCTTATATTTGTGTAGGAGGTGAATGGCATCTGGAACCAACTCAGAGCGGTGCTTATCGTGTTAAGATTTTTGCTAATGCAACAAGACCCATCGCAGAGATGCGGAGATCTCTTGAAGAACTCACGAGAGGAAGACCCATAAATCATCCAGACTTAACCCCTAGAGTCTTGCAGCATCTTTCGTCCAGAGATGGTTTAATTCTGATGCGGAAGATCCAACAGGAGACTGAAACTTACATTATATTTGACAGGAACAATCACACAGTACGGATTTGTGGATCACGGCAGAAATACGCCAAGGCTGAACAAGAACTGGTTCAGTCGCTTCTGGCCTATCACGAGAGCAAGCAACTTGAGATCCACCTCCGAGGTCCTGATATACGTCCTGACCTCATGAAGGAAGTTGTGAAGCGGTTTGGTCCGGAGCTCCAAGGTATCAAAGAGAAGGTAAATGGTGTGGATCTGAAGCTCAACACCCGGCACCATGTTATTCAGGTTCAAGGGAGCAAAGAAATGAGGCAGGAAGTAGAAAAGATGGTCAATGAGCTTGCACGAGAAGAGAGTGCGCATGGCGAGAAACAAGATGACATTGAAGTTGAATGCCCCATTTGCTTGTCGGAGGTTGATGATGGCTACTCTCTTGAAGGATGCTCACACCTCTTCTGCAAAGCCTGTTTGTTGGAACAATTCGAGGCGTCGATGAGAAACTTTGACTCATTCCCCATAGTTTGTTCTCACGTGGACTGTGGAGCTCCAATAGTACTTGCTGATATGAGAGCCCTCTTATCACAAGAGAAGCTTGATGAACTGTTCCGAGCATCCTTATCCTCTTTTGTTACATCGAGTGAAGGAAAGTTCCGGTTCTGCTCCACACCAGATTGCCCGTCCGTCTACCGTGTAGCTGGTCCTTATGAATCCGGTGAGCCATTCATCTGTGGAGCCTGCAACGCGGAGACATGCACAAGGTGTCACCTCGAGTATCACTTGTATCTCTCTTGTGAAAGTTACAAGCTGTTCAAGGAAAATCCGGACTTGTCGCTGAAAGACTGGGCAAAAGGGAAGGACGTGAAGAATTGTCCGTCTTGCAAGGCCACGATAGAGAAATCTCAAGGGTGTAACCATTTGCAGTGCCTATGTGGGAAGCACATTTGCTGGGTCTGCTTAGCCTACTTCAATCATTCAGAGCCTTGCTATGAACATTTGAGGATAATTCATGGCGGAATTGGTATTGCCGACGGCCTTGGTATCCCCATGTTTTGAAACCGGACTAGACCAGACCGGGTCTCTTCAATGTACAAATTTGTCAAAGTAAAGTCCATGTATATATTATGTAACATCTGGTTTGGTTCTTTATGTACATATTGTCGAGTTTGTGTGGTTCAGTAATATTCCTTCCTTAACAACCTACACGAAACCGATTATAGTGGGGAAGACTCATGAACCGAATGCCAAAAATATGAAGGATTTTTTTTTCTATATACTACTAAAGCCCTGAGTTCGTAAAGTTCGTAACTTTTCAAAGGTTCAACACTATATTTACAAGGGCAATGGCCCAGGATGAGTGGAATCGGGGTGACTTATTGGGGGTAATTGGAGAAACAGTTCTAAGGTTAATTAGAACTTTGCTTCAACGACAAGAAAGGGTTAACTACTACTTTGATTAATCTGATTATGTTTTGTGATTGATATTTGGGTTAAATTAAATGATTGATAATATTGATAATTTGGGTTAAATTAAATGATGGTTTCGTATCAGTATGTCGTCGATATAGTGGGGTTCACTATTATAGCTTGTTTAACCAACTCAAAACCGATCATAATATGGGAGACTTATAAACTTGACTTGTTACACTTACACATCACAGATTACGCGTAAATGACTAGAGAGAGTTGTACTAAAGTCTAGTCGATTTTTGACACTTTTCCCGTCAAAGACAAAGCTGAAAGGAAACTAGTTTCCAACATACAATGAGATCTCTTTAATGGCGTTGTCATTTCCACGAAATTTCCACCCAACTTCAAAACCCTTAAAAAGGACAAATCCTCCTCCGTTTTAGAGTCTTGTAGATCGTGATTTGTGTCCCAAGTCTGTGATTTTATTCATGACAAGTACTTTTCTTGGAAATGAACGCGCCACTTATTTCTCGCCGGAAAAAACACGCCCTTGAAATTTTGGGTCATGAGGATGACTCAGTGTAGATTCTAACGTATTTATGGGTTTTAAGGTTTCATCCAGCACCCTATTTCTTGACGCTTTTCTTAAGAGCAGAAACTACGAGATCGTGTCTGAAACCCATTTCCCTTGTTCTGGCTCTGTTTCTACTAATTGTCTCTCAAAGTAAACTCCCCTGTTCTGGCTCTGTTTCTTTGGTCTCTGAACTCTGGAAATGGCGTTCAATCACAGAAAGATACTCGAATCATATCTACCGAGTAAAACTTTCAACTTGACGATCTACATCCCTTGCTTCCAGACATATCCTCTGCCGCCACCGCCACCGCCACCGCCGCAGAGAGATCTTTTTATCCTAGTCTCCACCTCCATCTGGATACTCGGCTCCGTCTTACTCTTCCTATTTCTGGCCGTATTCCTATATCTCTACATCATGCAATCACGGCGTAGCTCAGCCGCTGCAGTGTCTCCCGCTGATACCAACCAAAGAGAAGACGAGAACGGAGCGGGAGAAAGAAGTATCTCCGGCTACCATCACGTCTGGCGAATCACAACCGCCGGTCTCCACCGTTCTGCGATCGACTCTATCACAGCCGTCCGGTTCACAAAGGGGGAAGGGATCGTCTACGGCACAGAATGCTCCGTCTGCTTAAACGAGTTTGAAGAAGATGAATCCCTGAGAATGTTACCAAAGTGTAGCCACGCGTTTCACATCAACTGCATCGACACTTGGTTGCTCTCTCACAAGAACTGTCCTTTATGCCGTGCCCCTGTTCTTCCCAGTGAGCCTCGGCATCAAGAAACGGAGGCGAACTATGTATCAGCAGAGTCTGGATCCAGCAATGAGCTCCGTGTTGAAGAAGTGAGTTCCGGATTTAGAAACCCTGGTTTGCTTTCGAGGGCACAAAGCGATTTGGCGAACCATTGTGGTTCGGGAAGTCCTGCAACTGTGAGAAGATCGTTTTCAATTGGAGGAAGCACGTCACTTAAAGCTGGGGATAGTGATGATATCGCTGCTAGAAGACATTTCTACAGCAGTTTAAGTGATAACTTCTTCGCATCATCAAGACGATCAACGAATCAAGACCCGGTTCTCCCAAACCAAATGCCATCTTTATCTGGTTAATCCGGTTAAAAGGCGACTACAACTAAAAGCTTATGTAATGTAATGTCTAGTGTGTGTCATAGGATACCGAATCTAAAAAATAAACGGAATGTTTCAAATGTTCCAAGATTATGTGATTGTGATTTCTACTAGAAGTAACGTCTGGGTGATTTAACGCGCAGAGACACATAAATTTGAAAGCATGTGAAGAGAATTGGGCAAATAAGTTATACTATTAAACAAGAGAAACTCTCTTTGGGATATTTCGTCCAACACCTTCAGGACTATCTTAACAAAGGCTTAAACTAAACAAACCCAGAATTAAAAACGAGCCAAGCTCTACACTTGAAGTAACCCATCAGCTAAACGCAGATAAAAATCCCAGAAACAGATTGCCCAACAACGAACTACTCCCAGAAAGCTTAAATAGAATAAGAGTCTTCAAGCTCGTTCACCTCTGATCCTCCTTGCGAGCTGGATATCCTTGGGCATGATGGTGACCCTCTTGGCGTGAATCGCACACAGATTTGTGTCTTCAAACAAACCCACAAGGTAAGCCTCCGCCGCCTCTTGCAAAGCCGCGACGGCGCTGCTCTGGAACCTCAGATCCGTCTTGAAATCCTGAGCGATCTCACGAACCAGACGCTGGAACGGGAGCTTACGGATCAGAAGCTCCGTGCTCTTCTGGTACTTCCTGATCTCTCTTAAAGCCACGGTTCCTGGGCGGAATCTGTGTGGCTTCTTCACTCCGCCGGTGGCCGGCGCTGATTTCCTCGCCGCCTTCGTCGCAAGCTGCTTCCTTGGGGCTTTGCCTCCGGTGGATTTCCTGGCGGTTTGCTTGGTACGAGCCATTTCCAAATCAAACAATCGCTACGAATAATCTAACTGATCGACTATATCTTCCACTAGAGAATAGGATTGCGAAATTTGGTGGTGGAGAATAAAGCAGAAGATGTGTTGCTTTTATGGGCAAGGCTGAAGAGAAATTGGCGGTGAGCTGAATAAAAAACTTGGAGGGAGTTTTCCTGAATATTTTGTTTTCGAGGGAAAATTATTTTTTGTCCGTTGGATTAAATTACAATCGACGGCTGAGAGTTTCAATCCGGGTGATTCCTTTATCAACCAATTAAAACCAGTTTTTTCCAAACTACGAGACGAGACCTTAAAAAGTCTTTAGCGGCACTTCAAATTTTGGCCATGAACGATTCCAATTGTAGAGAATAAGAATGAAATTATTTCAAACAGATATGTACTCCTTAATTGATATTAATGTCATACGATTCTGATTGGGCCTAATCTATAAAGTATCTAACTTAAATAGAAGGCAACCAGTGAACTTGGCTCAAGACCTAAGGATCCAAACAGAGATGTACAAGGAACAATTCAACACATTTGCGTCCCATCCATAGATAGATGCATAAAGGTCGCCGGTTGAAAACTGCACAAAATCATAACAAACGATGATATGTAATAGTATTACTCAGATCTCTCCGATCTCTCACTCTCACTCTCACTCGGTGTAATCATCGCTCAAATGAGACGATCGATTTGGGAAAGATAAAATAAGCTCGTAAGAGAAGATCAAAAGATAAAATAAGCTCATAAGGCTTGAAGATATTACTGAATCTTAAGAGAAGATCAAAAGATTGAAAATAACAACTAGATTGGTAATCATTTAGGCATTTCATCGAACATCTTAAAGACAGATCTAAACAAAAGACTAAAACACAGGAAACCAAAGCCTAAGACGCAACGTTTTAAAACGATTTACATATCCGATAAAAGGGAAACAAGTAGAACACCACCACAGAAGCTAAAGCATTACTAAGAATCTTAGTCTTCTTCATCTGCTTCTTCTCTCAAGCCCTCTCTCCCCTGATTCTCCTCGCAAGCTGAATGTCCTTGGGCATGATTGTAACCCTCTTAGCGTGAATCGCACAGAGGTTGGTATCCTCGAACAGACCAACCAGGTAAGCCTCCGCTGCCTCCTGAAGAGCCGCGACGGCGCTGCTCTGAAACCTCAGATCCGTCTTGAAATCCTGAGCAATCTCACGGACAAGCCTCTGGAAAGGAAGCTTGCGGATCAGTAGCTCGGTGCTCTTCTGGTACTTCCTGATCTCTCTCAACGCCACCGTTCCTGGACGGAATCTGTGCGGTTTCTTCACTCCTCCGGTGGCCGGAGCCGACTTCCTCGCCGCCTTCGTCGCGAGTTGTTTCCTTGGAGCCTTTCCTCCGGTGGACTTCCTAGCGGTTTGCTTGGTACGAGCCATTTGTTGGATTTGTTTAAGAACGAAAGCTTCTCTTTTGGAATTAGATTTGATGAGAATGTGATCGATATGCAGAGACTGAGGATGTGATGTGTTTTTTATACGGAAAGGGAGAGAGGATGTTATTTGTTTTGATCCGTTGGATCTTTTGGATTATTGACGGTTGCGATTGTTTGTATCACTCCTATCCGCGTCATTGTTAACTAGTCAATCAGAATGCTTTCAGCGTCCGAATTTTTTTTCCCCAGGAATTTAGCTTCTTTTCTTTCCCTCTTCTTTTCAATTATACGCGCGCGTCCATTCTGAAATGTCCAAAAAGCCCATAAACTTCTTGGGTCAATGTAGTCCATATATTGATCTAAGAAATAAATGTAATCCATAGATTTGGAACAAGATAAATTATAATATAAATCTTCCTTATTTGCTTCTAAAACTCTGATATCTTAATTTTAAATAAAATGAGACGATGTTATAGAAACAAAAAACGAAATGACACGTTCGTTTAAGACTACTACTGAAATTAAGATTTTTATAGGAGATAAAACAAAAAAATTAATTGTTTTTTTCAGAAAAAAAAAAACAGAATCGAATTTTAAGATGTCATGTAAATTCAGTAGAACACATAACTGATGTCCAGATTAATATAGAAATGACATTTTAAAAAACTCAAATTGATATCCAAAATTTTCGAGGACGACATTTTTGTGTTTGTTTAGTGTGAATTGAATGAATTCGCTGATGGCTATCGGGTGGTGTACGATTGTACTGCCGACATATTCGTTACCATATATATTTTCAATCATGGAGGAACTGATCTATGTATACATACCACATTATTTTAGCTGAATCTTTTAAAAATATATATTTGGAAGTAGAATATGTCGGCAATGGTTCAATTGCCAAATCTTTGGTGATATTTTAGCTTTTATGGTTTCTAACTTTCTATATCGATTTAATTCATTACTTACAAGTTATTTTTAAAACTTATTATTACTTTAGCAAAATGTTTTCTACAGCGGCATATTTTCTAGAATTTTTAAAGTTATCTCACCTAACTAGGATTATTGATACAATTTTAAATTTATAATTATAATTGTTATTAACCAATAGCACATTTTTATATTAAATTATATGTAAATCTGTTACCTAATCAGCTGAATAAATTTAATATTAATAAACTTATTTATATATAGAAAACACGATCCAGCAATCTATTAGAATAATATTGTACTTAGTCTTATAAATGACGTTGACTATGAATTTTGTCATGTTTAATATACATAAATTAACAAAAAGATGAAATGATGACTTTGGATATTTAGAAAAAAGGAAAATCTAATCAATTAGATCTTTTACAAACGCAAAACCACATATGTTAACAATACTTTCCTCAAATAAAATTTTTGAAACAATCAGAAAGACGAAATTAAAAATGAATCAAACCTTTGATGCCTATAAGAATCAAAAGTCACATAATTAACCAGAGAAAGCATCTTCGTCTCTTCTCCTTTCCCTCCGCTAAAAAAATGGCAAAACTCAAATATCTCATCATCGGAAAAGTCAAAGACAAAGCTTCAATAGGCAAAGCCAGATTGTTTCATAGTTTCAGCTCCAACGCCGTCAAGTACATTCACTTAGCCCTTCTGAAATCAACAACTCATACTTCTCACAAACCACCCGATAGCAACTATGTCTCCGACGTTATCTCTTACTCCAACAGCCGTCATGGTCCGGCAGCTTTCGCGGCGGTTATGTGGAGGTTGCGAGTCACAAAAAACGCTTTCGTGGCCACCAAGTCTCTCATCGTCTTCCACAAACTTATCAAATCATCAACAGACAAGTTTGAAGGACTTGGTCATAGTTGGATTAATCTAAAGTTAAATGATTTCTCAGATGTTTCTTCTAATCTCACGATAGAATTGTCACGATGGGTTAAATGGTAAATTATCTATATTTCCATTTTTTATTCTTTCATTTGATTTTGACATCTACTCAATTATCTAGACTGGTTCATACATACAGTGGATATTACAATTATTTTTTTTTTTTGTTTAGGTATGGACTATATTTAGATCATCTCTCATGGATCTCAAAGGTATTGGGGTTTTATCCAAATCTAACGGAGAGCTCAAAAGAGAAGTCTAAAGAAAAAGATTGTGTTTCGTCTCACCAAACCGGGTACATAATGAGACAAACCGAATCTCTTGTGAGTTTCTTTGAACATATATGTACCAGACCGGAGACTCCACCTCTGTTCCAAAACAAGATCGTGGACGAGATCAGAGAGCTCGTGATTCAAGACTACTTCACGGTTGTCAGATTGGTTATGGTGCGGCTTCAAGTGTTGAGCGAAAGATTGATCAAACCGGGTATCGAACCTGTTGGTGATTCCGGTTCAAACGATTTGAGGTTGGTTTTGACGAGGCTTGAAGAATGCAAGGTGAGTTTGAGTGGATTTTTTTGGTGTTGCAGACGTTTGGCAGAAGATTTTTGGTCTTTGGTTGAGATATTGAAGGCCAAGATGGTACAAGGCGATAAGGAGATGGTTGAATTCCCCGGTTTCGGTCAGACCACGGTTAAGGACGATGAGGAGATGGTTGAATTGGCCAGTTCGGTTCAGACCGAGTGGGTAACATTCGGCGACTCCGAGACAGCAACGAATGAGTTGTTAAAATGGGATACCGAGTGGGTAACATTTGACGACTCCGAGGGATTGACGAACGAACCTCTCCGGTTCAGCCTATATACATAACATTTGATAGCTGATTGGGCCAGTTAGGTGAGAAAATATCCGGTTTACAATTGGTTAGGCGCCTCACTAGTACAATCGTACCAGCTTTAACGGTTTAATTTGGTTTTTGTCTTGGAATGGGATTTTTCCTTCTATTTAAAAATTATGCTTAGTTTCTTCTTTTCACAACGACAAAGCATGAGTGATTTCCGTATGTAAATAACATCTTGAGAAACTTGTGAAGTGAAATTGTGTTTAATTTCCTCATTCAACTTTTTTTATAAGTTATTTTCAAAGTGTAGGAATTAGTATATTATTTAAACCCATAAAAGGAGAACGAAAATGCTATTTTCATCTGCAAAGAACAAAAAAAAATCCAATAAATACTAGTATTATCATTTGAGTTTGGAGCTTCATTCTGATTCAATGTGGATTTGAAACAACTTGAGATTTTTTTTACGAAAAGTGAAAAAAATGAAAAAGATACAAGACCCGAAGAAGATCCAATGTGACGATGGATCCCATAATTTTTTGTTTTTGGGACCTTGGAAAATGTTTATCTCATACTATTCAACAAACTCTTGTAATATTCAGGCTAACAATCAACAAATGGACATATTGTTCTACAAACTCTCTTGCGGTTTTAGCCGACTTTTCAAAGTCTGTAGCAAACTTACTTGTTCTTTTCCAGTAATCTTGCCTTTTCCAATGTCCTCAGTTTCTTCTGTTTGAGACATTCCATTTATTAACTCGAACACTTGCTTGCTGTGCCTATAATTTTGAAATAACCGACCAAACAATTTGTATTCAAAGACACATGAAAAATCATATATCATATATGCAAACCAAAAGCAAAAGAATTGAGTTACCTCTTTCTCCCAATCACATCTCATAACAATAAAGATCAATATCAATGTTTGAATACCGGTTCCTCCGAATATCAGGTGTACCAGAAAGAACCGGTTGGACACTGTTGAGAAGAATCGTAAAAGCTAGAAGAATAGAAAGATCGTTGACTGCTTTTATGACGATTTCACTTGAAGAAAAAATCCAACCGATTTGGTCATGAAGAAATACTATAAGCACCGAGAAGATTATTCCAATGATTAACGATTCTGTCACTGATATAATCATCGCAAATCTCGCTTTTTTTCCGTCGCCTGCTCCTAATTCATTCGCCACTCTTACACTACAGAATCAGGTTATCATAATAATTACTGTTATCGTATACACATAAAAAAAAAAATTGTATAGCAACTAAAATAGCAAAACCAAACTCAGGACAAGACACTTTTCTGTCCGACACGACCAATTATATAGTTTTTTTTTTTTTGCTTAAACGACCAATTATATAGTTAATCTTATAAACAGTTATTTATATAAGCCATGAACTAGTCTAACCTAAATCATATAATATAAACCGAACTAAAGAATTTTTTTAAAGGAATTTCAAGTTTTGATTTGAACCCAATATATGTATTTGTATGTTTTAAACTCGCATTTGTGTGTCAGTTAGCATCTAAAAATATATTATATTTTTTAAGGTTATCAATGGCATATACGTAATTACAGGGCTAAAAGCAAAAACGTATACAATAGTAATAATAAATAAAATATATAAAAGCACTTCTATCGGAGTATATTTGAAGGATTTGTTAAAAATAAAAAATTGAAAAAAAAGAAAAGCAAGAAAGAGAAACAACATACGTTTCTCAAAGTACAACTTTTACAAATTTTTAAGCAACGTATGTTAACAAATGTCCACTTATCATTCGTTCCTTCATTTTCTTTCCCTTTAGATTTTAAAATTAAATTTAATATATTAATTATATTAATTTTATATATGTAAGAAATAGGAATTTAATACCCCACCGCTGGAGATGCTCTAAGATTATACCCAGTCCGAGCGAGGAAAGCAATTGGAATCATTATTTCCAGACCATTTATCGACATGCTGCAGATGAAAAGCATAAAAATTATACCCGGTCCGAGCGAGGAAAACAATTGGAATCATTATTTCCAGACCATTTATCGACATGCTGCGGATGAAAAGCATAATACCATCTCCATTGGTCGTATCTAACTTAGATACGATCGTGTTTTCATAATTAAAAAAATATAAAATAATGAAAAGGAAGGAGAGAGATAGAAAGACGTCGCTTATTTAAGTGATGCAAGAAACAGTATATTGCCAAATGTCATCATCTAATTAATTTATTTTTGTTTATTAATAAAATATGTTTAAAAAACGTTATATTAGAGACGAACCGATAAAAATGCTCTAATATATGTTATGTTCATAAAAAGATGTGATGGGAATCTGATACTATAAAAAAATGTTCAATGACAATAACATATCCAAGTCCAGAAAATATATATTTGACGTACCATATAGACAATGAGTCGACAGCAATTTTTGTATCCTTCAGATTCCCGGTCATCACAATTAAAATCTTATAATACCAACTCTCCAAGCTGTTTCGATAAACATCTACCGTAAGAAGTTGTGTTATCCGTAAACCTAAAAAAGGAAGAAGAAAATGCAAAACAAGTGGCTTTTAACTAAATACAGCACCAAAGCATGATTCCTGAGGAGGCAGAGAGCTTTGCAAATTCCCACAGTCCGGTGAAAGCTTCGATGGAGAAACCGGTCCAAGTGAGCGAACAACCGCCGCAAGTGGCGTAAGTATATAAGATGATGACATTGAACCACCATGACACGTTAATAGTAGCCATGGTCCCTACGACCCCAAGTTTAAGACCGTACACAAAAAGGAAGCACGCAATTATGTGAACTACAAGTGCCACTCCAGAAGAAATTGCAATCACCTGGTAATGTAAGAGAATATTATAACCAAACACACTATCAAGAAAATATACTTGCTATGTTCGAAGTAGTGCTAGAACCAGCTGTCAAATGATCGGTTACCTAAATGAAGGAAATGAATTTTGGTGGAGAAAATTAATGTTTTCCTCGTTATTTTATAGAAGGAAAAATATGGGGAATATTATTTTTTTGAAAAGGAAACATTTCCCATATTCCTCTTTATTCTATGAACAAATCAAAGCACAAGAACAACATAATTGTTTATATTCGATTTCAGATGATCAACAAATTATTTTTAACCTTTAGTGATTCTTTTTTTCAGTTTTATCTCTTTTAATTCGTGTTTTTTTTAATTATATTAATGTCTAAAATAACAATATTTGCAACAAAAAATAATTAAACCTACTCCTTGACATCAAATTTCAGTTCTAAAACACTGATTGGATAAAAAAGTGACCAAACTTATATTAAAAAAAGAAAACACAAGCCTCGAACTAACCTTCCAAATCTTAAGTTAAATACCATATTCTTGAGCTGGCATTGGAGGAATCGATTGAGAGGGAAAAAGAAGGCAAATGCAAAATGGATAGGGATGACTCAAACGGCGATGATACCGGAAAGCTCTGCGATGTCGTCAGGCTGGCCGAAGAACTTAAGAATAGGGGACGCAAAGATATACATAGGGAGGAGCAAGATGGAGCATACGAATAGAACAATCCAAGATCGTTGCAGATATACTCCCAACATGTCGTACTGCTTGGCTCCAAACGCTTGACCGCACAGCGTTTCCAACGCACTCGCCATTCCAAGCTGCATATATTTATAGTTTCTTCATAAATTAAAACAGTACTATAATATAAGCCACGGAACAATGTTTTCTATCTATGTGTGTGTCAGTGTGTGCATACGAGGAGACCGAAGTCGAAGCCGATGATGACGTTGTTGACGATGGAGATGGCGGCGAGTTCGAGCTCGCCGAGGTGGCCAGCGAACGCCTGAGTGATGACGAGGATCGAGTAGGTCGAGACTCTGGTGAATATTGCTGGTCCAACGATACGCCATAGCTTCTTCGTCTCCATCCATATTTTTCTCTTTGTTTCTCCGACTTCCTTCTCCGCCTCTTTTTTATCCCTTAACAGAGGAATTCTCTTCTTTTCTACACCTTCTGATCCGTCGTCTTGGTCTCCCACCGTCGATGAGAGTTGAGTATATGCATCATGAGATATGATATGAAGGCGCCACCACGTGCCCATCAGTTTGCGGATGAAAAATCATAATGTAATATTATTGTAGAAAAAGTTGTCTCCTGTTTTTTACGCTTGATATTTTTGATACATGAAATCAAAAGAAGGATTCTAATTTTTCTTGTACGCTTTTAGTAATAATACCTTTTCAAAATGTTGAGTAAACCATACGATAATATCTATTTAGGGGTAGAATCGATGATGAAATACACAACAAATTCTAAACATAGCTAAAAAATATACTGTAAATACAAAAAAACCCGCAAAATGTTACCTATTATTCTATTGATAGCCACTATCATTTCTCTGCCTCCGCCCACACCTGCAAGTTTAAATACTCATTTATTACCATTACTCAATCAACCAATAATTTCACATCTGCATGTCTCTTTTAAATTAAAAACAAAAATTAATATATACCTTTTTCATCTGAATTATGAAAGTGTAGATGAAATCATTATAATGTAATTTTATGGTTATGTACATGAATAAATCTAATAACTGAAATACAAATAATAATTAAATAGACATGAGAACCAAAGACTATCACATTGGAGTGAAACTGTAGATCGTGTGGACTCCAGTCCATTGAAAGGGGACTAAAATAGTTGTTGTTGCTACTTGTTACCATTAGATACAATACATTTATTCTTGTAGGCCTCTTTCCACATACATCGTTGTCTTTGGTCAACAACTCTTTTTCCCTCGATTTATATGCTCTTTAGTTAGGGTCCACACACTTGATGTCATTGATTCAACAACTTTTATTTGTTTTATTTTTCTATCTTGTGTAGAAATTTCCTAGTTCAATTCACCGTAAGTAATTAATTGTTGCAAAACCAGTTGATTAATATAAATAAGAGACCAAATGTTCTGTTTTGATTACTCAAAACAACCACATTTAATGGAACCGACGTGATTGCGTCTGCGAGGTTTAATTAATCACACCCGCCATATATATTACAACACACCTATAAGTAGTGAGCCTTAAGTATGTACTACAAAAGTTGTTCAACCTTTCGATATAAACAAATAGTACTATTTTTAACATGTTCTTGATAATTTCAAAACAGCCCTCAAATATAACAAAATCTCACCGCGAACATGAATACCAACTTTAACTGTTTTATTTGGTTCTTGTCTTAGAAATGTATCATTTTTTATTTTCTAATTAAGCTTAATTCCTTATCATAGAGACAAACGAAAAGTGATTTCAGATGTAAATAACTACTGAAGAAATTTATTAAGTGGAAGTGTAGTGTGCTTAATTCCTTATGCTTTATTCATAAAGAAAATACCGGTCACTGCTCTGATTTCAGTTTAGAAAACCGAACCAGAAAGTACACCGTTCGACTAGTTGAACATATTACGAAACGTATGCTTCAACAATATTTTATCTAACAGTACCATCTTCAATTTCTTGTATCTGAAAGTGACCATTTCCTAACGCGAATACTTGCCTTCTGTGCCTACAAATTTAAAAAGAAACGACCAAACAACTATGTTAAAACACACATTTCAAATGAACCATAAACGTGAACCAAAAAAGCAACATATAAAAAAAAAAAAAATGAGTTACCTCTTTCTGCCAATCACATCTAATAACAATAAAAATCAATATCAATGTTTGAATTGCGGTTCCTCCGAATATCATACCAGCCCAAATGCCCTATCAACATATAATCACAACAGGCATATAGATAGAGAACTCAAATTGAAATTACACATATTGAAAATTAATAAGTAAAGAAAATTGAGTTACCTTGACACTAGACTTGAAAATCCAGCCCATGACAAATCCAAGTGGAAGTCCAATGAAATAGTAACATCCCAAATTTATGTATGCTACAAATGATTGCCAACCCGAACCAACAGCAACTCCTAATAAATATAAAAAAACCAAACGTTCAACGTACAAACCGTTGATCCGATTTTATTTTGTGATAACCAAAGTTTATGTGACGTACCGGAAAGAACCGGTTGGACACTGTTGAGAAGAATCGTAAAAGCTAAAAGAATAGAGAGATCGTTGACTGCTTTTATGACGATTTCACTTGAAGAAAAAATCCAACCGATTTGGTCATGAAGAAATACTATAAGCACCGAGAAGATTATTCCAATGATTAACGATTCTGTCACTGATATAATCATCGCAAATCTTGCTTTTTTCCCATCGCCTGCTCCTAATTCATTCGCTACTCGTACGCTACAAAAATAAAGTCAATCTTACAAAACGAGTACCTATAAACCATGCAGTGTCGTGCCAAAAATTTTAAGAGCTTGAGGCAAAAATACAAATACCTATTAAAAAAAAATTTAGACAATAATTCTAATTTTAATTTTTCTAAAAAATGTTAAAATGTCAATAGAAAAAAACGAGTGGAACTTATTAAAAAAAACAAACATTTGCTTTCGTATGCTGGTTGGTTTTAAATTTAGGATTATATACTCAAAATAACAAACTTCAACCATGCTTTAACCCATACACTATTATTGATTTTTATGAATGAGGATGTCAAAATTATCTAGTATCTTTGGGGTGAGGCAAATGCCTTTTCATAACATGGTAGACAGAAGCCATGAACTAGTCTAACCAGATCTAAATTATAATAAAACTGAACTAAACGAAAATCAAAGTATAATACGATAACAATAAAATTGAGAGATTGATTACCCGGTCCCGGCAAAGAAAGCAAGTGGAATCATCATCTCCAAACCATTAATCGACATGCTGACAAATAAAATTATTGTAGTCGTAAAAATTTGTTCAGCAAAAGATTTGATAGAAAATAGTTATAACAAAATTTCATATATATATTATATGGATCTCCAAAACTATATATGTAACGTACCATATAGACAAAGCGTCAACAGAAATTTTTGTATCCTCCAGATTTCCAGTCATCATAATTAAAATTCTATAATACCAATACTCCAAACTGTCGAGATAAAAAATCTACCGTAAGAAGTATGTTCCGGTCAATTAAAAGAACAAAAAAAATGCGACGCAAGTGGCTTTTAAAAGAGTAATTAATACCAAAGCATGATTCCAGAGGAAGCAGAGAGCTTAGCGAATTCCCATAGTCTAGTGAAAGCTTCGATGGAGAAACCGGTCCATGTGAGCGGACAACCACCGCAAGTGGCGTGAGTATATAAGATGAAGACATTGAGCCACCATGACACGTTAACGGTAGCCATGGTCCCTATGACTCCAAGTTTAAGACCGTACACAAATAGCCAGCACACAAATATGTGAACTACAAGTGCCACGCCAGACGAAACTGCAACCACCTGGTATGGTGAGAGAACATTAAACCAAACACATTTAGATGTTAACCAACTTTCAAATTTTAATTTAGTCACATATACCCTATTCTTGATCTGGCATTGGAAGAATCTGCTGAGAGGGAAATAAAAGGCAAACGCGAAATGGGTAGGAATGGCCCAAACGGCGATGACACCGGAGAGCTCGGCAATGTCTTCAGGCTGGCCGAAGAACTTAAGAATGGGAGACGCAAATAAGTACATAGGGAGGATCAAGATTGAAAATAAGAAGAGAACGATCCAAGATCGCTGCATATACACTCCCAACATGTCATACTTCTTCGCTCCAAACGCTTGACCGCACAGCGTTTCCAACGCACTCGCCATTCCAAGCTGCAAACATATATATGGTTGGTTTCTTTAAAAAAAAAACATTATAATATAAGGAAGAAAAATGTTTCTATATATGTGTGTGTGTGTGTGAATACGAGGAGGCCGAGGTTGAAGCCGATGATGACGTTGTGGACGATTGATATGGCGGCGAGTTCGAGTTCCCCGAGGTGGCCGGCGAAGGCCTGAGTGATGACGAAGATCGAGTAGGTCGAAACTCTGGAGAATATGGCCGGTCCAACAATACGCCATAGCTTCTTCGTCTCCATCCATATCTCTGATCTCTTTGTAATTTCCCCGTCTTCCTCCTCCGCTTCATTTTCACCCCTTAACAGAGGAATCTTCGCCGTCTCTACAACTTCTGCTTCGTTGCCTCTCTCTCCCATCTCTCTCGATCCTAGTGATGGTGATCGAGAGAGAGTGAAGTAGATGATAAAGCGCTTTGAGTGGAGACACCACTACGTTGAGGATTTTTTGTTTGAATTTTAAATTATTTTTCTGTCGCTACTCAACCAATAATAGAATCTGAATGTGTGTTTCAATCAAGACGAAAAGTAATAATAAACAAATTCATGAAGCATTTTATTGATACAGCGTACCACATGCGGTGTGTCCTTTTGTTTTCCATTTATCTATTTATTACTCTTAACACTTGATTTTTATTCCAATTCTGTATCACTTGTTCCTTATGTTCCCGCCTATTTTATAGTACTTACTAATTAGTAAATTACACATATTCCATTTGTTTAATACTTTCTGATTTGCTGTTATGATTCTGGTCGATAGAATGATACAAATATATATCATTCAAACTATTTTTCTTATAGTAATAATACTCTATATATATATATATATCCTTGTGTTTGATCAACAACTCTTGTCCCCACGTTTTATATGCCACTCACATCCACATTGCTTGATCAGTCTCATGGATCCAACAACTTACTTTTCTACCCATTTCTTTATCATATCAGTTACAAAAGTTCGTCTTACAAAGCTGACACTCTTTTCTTATAAATGAATGAAAATTTTACCCATTCTATCATCTTTTTAGAAAATTCTTGCGGATCTATACCACTTTCATAAAGTGGTTTTAATATTGAAATTGGCACATTTTCGTTCAAACCTATCTATAAAATGCTTCTTTAACAAAATTTATCCATCAAACCCTAACACCTAAAATTGTTACGCATATTGGCCTACTGTAATCAAACCCTTTAAATTCTAGTCAACACACACTATACTTGTTCATTATTTACATGTGATTAACACAGTATACATGTAATTCATTTATGGACAAGTTTGATTGACCAAAACAAATTACTGACAAACTTTGATAAACAAATATGAAGCGTAGTTGAAGCCTAGTGTGAAGTTGTTGATAATTGAAATGGCCGCGAGTAATGACGTAGATCGAGTAAGTATTGACGGTCCTACCAACAATATACCAAAAAGAATCGGTTTACACTTGGAAGGTTTTTTTTTATTTTTTTTTAGAACGATATATGTTGACAGTTTAATTTTGCACCACAAGAAAACATATGATTTGATCAAAAAAAGAGAAAACATATGATTTTGCAATACGTCCAATCATGTCGAATCACGAGGTTGAATGAAGACTTAAAAAAGAAACCACAGTAGATGTTTTGTAATACTTTTTCTTTATAAATATCAATGATATAGTTTTAGATAATTCTGAATTTTCTGCCAAATGAACGAACATACTTACGTAATCTTCAACCCTATCGGCAAGATATACACTTTGAACAAAAGTTTTTATCGTTTTCCTATGCGTTTAAGCCAACATCATTGTAAATTTGTAATCAAGCTGCGGATATATAGTAGTCCATCATTATGCTTTTGATTCTTATAAGTTTAATTTTGCTATGGTGTGGTGTCAAACTGGTTACGGTCCTTCATTATCCTGGAGGCCCATAAACCTTGAGATGTATTGTCTTTTATAGGAATAATAATTAATTTATGTTGAGCCCAAAATTTTATATTTTAAAATGGGCACAGCGTAATTGGGCTCCAATTGGGTCATATCGAACTATGAATAGCCTTTTCTCGTAATTGGGCACAGCGTAAACGAGACTATTCGAGTAAACGAATTACCAAAAGTAGCCAAAATTTTAAAATATTATAATTAGATGTAATTTTACTAAAACTTAAATTTATGTTTCTACTGTTTCCATTTATAAAAAAATATATACATGTGTTTTTTACATCAAATATATTGGTTACAAATTATTGAGAAAAAAATACAATTTTATGAAATAAGTGTTTTACTTTTATCGTAAACGACAAAACTAATTCTTGATTTTGTCTGGCCTGTTCTTCTAGTGCGTGTGCGTGTGTGTCGTTGTAAGGAAGGTTAATAATTCTTTTTTTGCTTTTCTGCATTTTGAAAAATATCTGTCAACCTTTTGTACAACTTACTGTTTTCCTGACATTTCGCTCTATTATATAAGTTATAACATCATATACATTTGACAAATAATTACACAGGTTACCTCTTAAACTTAATTTTATTGCTCTGAAGCAAAACCGTAATTATTGTAATTCCTTACACAAAACATCAACTAATCAAAATATGGAGTAGATCAGTAGCATTCCACTATATATATGCTAGGGTTCATCAAGATTAAAATATTTATCTTCTTAAGAAAGCAGGAGCAGTGTGAATCGCATGGGCGCTTTGTAGGAGTTTTTGATTAAACGAAAGAATAATGAAATTATTTTATCGATCTATCATTTGGATTTACATAAAGAGATTACACGCGTCAACGTTCCATTAGTTCCCCACCAAGATCATAATTACTTTCCCCGATCCGACGCACGTAAACGGAATAAAATTGAAACGATCAAATAGCGAAATACGAAAATAAATGAAATTCTCACATTACACCAAGAATTTGAAATAATTGGGGGAAAATTAAAAAAAATAAAATGAAGACGTGAATTTTGAAAAAAAAATGTAGGATAAGAAGATCTCAAGCCAAAACGGCGGCGTACACAATAGCGGCGAAGGCGGTTCCGGCGATGAAAGCCTTGTTGGAGAAAGCGGCGCTTGGGGCAGGCGCTGCATCTGAAGGTCCTGGAGCAAGTCCGCTTGGGGTCGAGGCGGGAGCTTCAGGCGCCGGTGGAGAGGCGGCGGGAACATCAGCTGGAGAAGGAGCGGACGACGGTGGAGTAGTGGCGGGGGCTGGGGTTGCGGCCGGTGGTGGTGTGGTGGTTGGGGCAGGGGTTGCGGCGGGTGGTGGGGTGGCCACTGGAGGAGGAGTTGCGACGGGAGGAGGAGTCGCGACGGGAGGAGGAGTGGCGGTCGGAGTAGGAGCTGGGGCTTGAGCGAGTGCTGACGTGGCGAAGAGAGCCATTATCAGAAAAATTTGGACAAATTTGGAACCCATCTCTCTCTCTCTCTCTAGGAAATGCTTCTTGTTGTTTTGGTTTTAGAGCAAGGGAGATTGTGAGATTTAGAGAGAGTTGTGATTTGTGAAGGTGAGGAAAATGTAAGAGATGTATAAAAAGGGGAGAAATCAAGAATTATTTCGATTAATTAAACGAGATTCCTAAAAATCTTTTAATATAGTAAAAAGATAAAACTTGCAGACTAACATGCAAACGCATAATTGGAACATGGGGTTGCCTATCTATACTCTCCGAGGCCGGAGCGTTAATTTTATTTATTATTCGTGTCTTCCAAAAATATTGAAGATAATTAGGCTATGATTAATTATTTATATTGATAATGACTAGTGAACATATATATTATTTATAAGGTGAATCGATTTACATATGCAAGATAAATATTAGTCGGATGAAGTATTAACATCTTACTATACTACTGACATTGCTTAATATACAATCCACAACCATATGTATTTGACATTGAATTAGGAGAATTTAATTTTGATTAGGTGCATAAGCATTTGACATATCGAGCTGTGAATTGATGGTGAAGAGAGAGAACCCAACATTTGTAATGTTGATTATTTAAAGATCATTATGTTAGGCAAATTAAGTCTATGACGTAGAAAATGTGGGGAGACAGCTAACATGTTCAGTTCAAAAACCAAGAGTTGCAACTTCGCATGTCTTTCTGTCTACTTGGTATTTTAATTAATTATTTTATTTTATGTACATAAACGATCATTTAATTTAATTTAATAATTGACATATTTCTGGCAAAAGATTGGTATATAGAGTAAAGAAAATGTTGTTTGACAAAAAAAAAAAAGAGTAAAGAAAATGTAAAAAATCGTAATAATCATTAGTCCCATGTGCCAGACCTGATAGATCATTGGTGTTGTTACCGTTAGACATTGCTAATATACCCGTTGGAAATAGCTGTCAGTGGATTAAAATATTTGGATAAATAAATTAGGTAACAGAAAACAAAATGATGTACTATATATATAAAAAGACGTTTGATGATAGCCTGTAAAGACTATTTCGACAGTTATTCAGAAGGTAAGGTGTCATTAGTGAATCATAGTTGGCAATTTATTGCTACTTTGGTGTGATATAATATCACTAAGCTAAAATGTTTTAGGATGAATTCCAATAAGCTACTATGTTTTACACCAATTAGTCTTTTTTGTTGCATCGAATAGTCCTTGTTGATAAACACATGTTCAACGAACTCATGGTTATTCGATGCGGTTGATTTCATTCGGTCATAATTTTTTTTTTTTTATTAATGACTACCTTCTTTTATTTCATAACCTACAAATTATCATTGCCTAGTTATAATTTATAAATTTTATCAGAATTTTAATTAAGCTTGGGGTTTACGATATTTTTTTATTTTGATAGAGTAAAATTATAGCAAGCCCATTTACAGAGGATCATAGAATCTATAATAGTACAAATGAATTAATTGATTGGGGAAACATTGTATGTATTTGCATCGTCGAACCGGTTTTGACTGATCAAGTCAACATGGAAGACCGGAAAAAAGAAAATATCCGAAATGGGCTCAAACTGTAAGCCCATTACCACGCATGAACCGGTTTTTAAAAGTCAACACTCCCCTCAACCGAGTCGGTTTTTATTCCCGCTATAATATTTGGCGGGAAACATATAGGAGTCAAAAATACACTTTCCTTATATTTTTAAAAATTCAACGGAATAAACACAATACACATCACATTTTTTGTCTTTAACATAAAACCATTTCCGCAAATTTCCTTCTGGTTTTGTTTCTCCTCAATCAATTAAAATTTCAATTTAAACATTATAAAAGAGGGAGAAATTAAGAAAGAGAAGTGAGGGAGGAGGAAACAGAAGTAGAAGAAAGAGACAGTGAATGATGATGATGATGAGTCTTATTTTGAAACACTACACTATTGGGTGTTTGTGAGCTTGAATTTGACCCATCTCTTTCTATCATTTCACCAATCTTCTTCACTCTCTCCTGCACACACGCACACACATACACAGATACAGCAAAATTGAGACTAGAAATTAAAAAAAGAAAGAAACATATTTGAACCCTTTTCTTTTTGGTCCCCATGAGGACCCAGATTATCTAGTTTGAACCCATCAGATTTGGAGTGAGGAAAACACAAACAAAGAAAAAGAACATTTTTACCAACATGTGAGTGTGTCACGAGACTCACAACTAGAGACTACAACTGAGAATTGGTCATTTTTGGTCTATACCCAAACTAATTTGAGATTTAAAATGGATTCAAACAAGGGACATATATATACAACGTGCAATGAACGTATCTATATGTTTCCATATTCTTCACAATCTATGACATTGAACAACCAGTTTTGTGATTATAAACAAGACTTTTGGTGACTTTTGTTACCTTTTCAAGGTGTGAGGAGAAAGAAGAGAAGGAGAATTTGTCAAATTCTAATGTGTGGACTTGTCCAGAAACAGAAAGAGCAACCGCAGCACCAATCTCTGAAGCTCTGAACTCCAAAAAGTCAATACCTGACCACACATCATACAACTTTTCACAACCACCAAAGAAATGAAAATCGGTAACTCCTCATAACCCAAAAGCAAAATTGGTTTAAAGTTGAGATTATTCAGAAAATAGTCAAAATCCAATGAAAAAGGAGAGACCTTTCACCTTTGGTTATGTTGGCTATCACTAGCAATGATCTAGAGATCAGTCTGCTGGATGGTTCTTGATCATAGCCATTGATCTTACTCAGGAAGTATCTTATGTAAGAGCACGGTGTCACGGCTCGTAACCTCCATCTCAATACATTCAACACCAAAAGTTCCATTCTTTGAACCGATTTAGGCTCAAACATGAACCGGGGATCTCCAACCTATTAGTGTTTACCATTATTAGAATGTTGATTTTTGGGTTTCAAACTACAATTTAGAGACATTTGGAGATGAATAAAACCTGCAAATGTATTAACTCTGGAACTTTAGTTTCCTCAATTTTGACTGCCAATGACAAACAAGCCACAGCCAACAATTGCACAATCCAAGGTTTTCCACTCTACATAAGAATCATAAACTCTTTCAATCGATTATCATAGAGATTAAATCTTAGGCCAGGGAGGAGTTAATCTCTGACTTACAGGCAAGTCATGAACAGATAAGAAACGATCCAAGTAGTTAATTGCTAGACATATACACAATGGTCCAAATTGATGTTCCTCACAAGCCTGTAATAACCAAAGACATAAGAGATTATAAAGTTAAGGCAAAGTCATGTCTTTTTCAGATCAAAGTCACTCAGATATCCAGAATGTTGACTTGGTAGGAATTGAGTCAACAGAAGAAACGCACAAAGAATCGAAAAAGGGAAAGAAAAAAAAAATCTGACCTTCCAAATCCAATCAAGGGCTTGATTTCTGACATTCAAATCCAAATCCCCACTTCTCAGTCTCTTGAGGTAATCATCTCTGGGCGAATGTTGCCTCTCCTTCTCAATCATCTCTCTAAAGATCTCTGCGGTCTCCGATGGGAAACCCATCTGAAGAATCGATGTTCCGTAACAAGTAATCGAGGTTGTGTCGACAAAAATGCCGTTCTCATCATCAAAATTGGTGGTCTCTGTGGATACGAGATTTGGTTTTGCAATTTCTGCCATCATAGAGCGTCAAAATTGTTGCTTTTTTCGATCTATACAAATTTTACTGTTACGGGATTTGGAGGAAAAAAAATCGTTGTAGTATAGAGATTGAACTGAAGGAAATATTTTGTTTTTTCTGTTCTTAGTTTATAGTTTTTTTTTTTAGATGGAGATTTATTTTGGGTTAAAAAATGAGAAGTTTTATTGAGAAACAGATGAAAAAGTGATTCTAGGCTAAGAGAGGAAATGTGATGGAGACCGGAGATAAGAGCAACAAAATTAGATGAAAAGATGAGAAAATTCAAATGAAAGGGTACCATTATCATGGAAAGAAATATTTTTTTTATTTAAAATATGTAAACTATTTTAGAAAATTGATGTGAAAATGGTCAATGGTTATTCTTTTTTTCTTATACTTTGAGATTTCAAAATATTTTCAGTATCTCACATAATAGTTTTTCTTTTGAATCCCAGGAATCAAGATACGGCGAACTATTTATTTTCTAAGTTAAAATTCTTTAAAACATTTCTATACTTAAGTTAACATTTTTGTTTCTGCTTTTAAATAAAACTATATAAACAAAAAAAATAGTTTACGTAGGGTATTCCAACATCATATAATATTTTCATAGAAGTTGTGAAGAAATATTTACGCAGAATAAAAATCATCATATGTAAAACTCTATCTTCATAACACATGTGTAGATGTTTAAAAGCTAAACAGATTTGGTATGCAGTATGTTTATAAGTACATACAATCATATATCTAATAATCATCAGATTCATCGTACTAAGTCCAAGCGTGAAGCTTGAGGTCACAGATATATTAAGCATATCAAGAAAAATTGGGAGTCAGTAGTGTAATAAGTTAGAACTTAGAAGCTTATATTGTTGCAGGTGAGGTGAGAACAGTGGAAAGAGATCCGTGTTTTTTTTACAAAATAATGACCTTCATAGCTAAAAAGAAAAATCCCTACACTAAATTTCATAGTTTGATATCTTTAAATCAAATTGTACGTACTTTTTTAGTTTTCAACATGATAACAATTTATATATACTAGTTTGTAACGGAGGTGGATTGGAATCACGTGTGAGCGAGCAACTTTGGTTTTTAGTTTTTAATTTTTACAGTATCTTTCTCTGAAAAGATTGGAAGGAGAAAAGAAAAGGTGAAGTAATAAATGAGAAAACAATTACATGTCTCAGAAATCGACCAAAGACTCTGTTTAGTTTAATTTTTTATATCGTTTCATGCATGCAATGCAGACAAAGTGGTCCAAGTACAATTTTGATGTTCTGCATCCCTTTGTGTAACGAGATTCGATTTCTTTGATCGAATCGTGCATACGTGTGCGCGCGCCTATGGTCGCTTTATGTTACATAATTGTTTTGTTGCTTTGACTTTGACTGGATTTGTATTTACAAATAGATTAAAGTTATCATATTCACCCCCACAAAAATATCCAAGATTTTCGGTTTTCAAATTGAACCAGAAGAGACCCTAGATTTTTGGTTTTTTTGGTTTCCAACTTGAACCAGAGGAGACCGTAAGAATCAAAATTCGAGTTTGAGGAGAAAGAGGTTTCTCAAGGCTTAAGCAAAAGTCAAGGAGATGACAATTTTTTTAGAGAACATAGTTTTAGTAGAGTAGATAAATCACCAAGCTGTGCACATAATCATCATAAACACTTAAAAACACTTTTTTTTCACAGTTTTGAGCGAACGTTACAGAGGCTTTGAGATGGAGAAATAGATGGCGGAAACATCGCGCATAACACTTCCGACCCTCTTCAAGATCATCAGGCCTCGTCCATCTGCTCCTGAACAAAGAATATTAATAACTCAGCACACACAGTTTCTCGGTTATTTCAGTTTTAAGACGTTATTTGATGTCTCTATGTGATGCATCTGATCACGGATACTATCAAGCATCTATGACCAAAGCCCTATTCACACCAAGACGCGATTTCTCATAGTGAAGAAAGAGAAACGGCATGTAGTAAACAGCTGCAAGATTACTTGAATGTAGAGATGGAAAGAGAAGTAACCTGCATATCGGAGGTCCAAAGGGTTAGATTGTCCCTCAGCAACTGCATTATGAGAGTGCTGTCTTTGTAGGACTCCTCTCCCAGTGTGTCAAGCTCAGCTATGGCTTCTTCAAAAGCCTACACAGGTGGATCCAGCTTCAGAAATAAGAATATTCCCCACAAAAATGATCACAACCGTTGTGTTACGAAATCAATTTTACATAGTGAGCGACAAGTTCTGTTTCAAACAGAAGGAGTCATCATCAGTCCTAAGATTGGAAAAACATGGATCTTGTTCATCACAGAGTCAAACTGAAGCACAATTGAGCAAAAAACAGTTCCTTTTCCCAACAAAACATCTTGAGAAAGATAAGATACATCAGGAAAAGTCAACCAGTGGTCAATTCCCTTAGTCAAAACATCAAAATCAAGAAAAAATGTTCCTACTCGAGACTTTTAAGTAGTGGAAAATAATCAGGAAGAGTATATATAACCTGTTTGGCCATGTTACAAGCCTTGTCTGAAGAATTGAGGATCTCATAGTAGAACACCGAGAAATTTAGGGCCAGACCAAGCCTGATTGGATGAGTAGGCGCCATATCAGCAGCTGCGATATCCTTTTACATAGAAAGAGGGAGACAAATCAGTCGCCATCAGTTTGGTACCAAATTAAATGATATGACCTTTAAGAAAATTTTGAAGAAGAAAAGCAAAATCTAGATTTGATCAGCAACCGTAGCTCAATTTCGAAGGCCATTTATACATCAGGAGCTAATTACTAGATTTGGAAGATATTTTCATATTCCCTAGAAGAAATCTCAGAAACTGACAAAAACAGATCAATTTTTTTTTATTTTTACCTGAGCTGCCTTGTAAGCGAGCATGGTATCTTCCGCAGCAGCTTTCCTCTCGTCTCCAGACTTAAACTCCGCCATGTAGCGATGGTAGTCTCCCTTCATCTTCAGGTAAAAGACCTTAGACTCGCTCGCAGCGGCGGACGGGATCAGATGCGAGTCAAGGAGCCTGAGGATCCCGGAGCAGACGGAGGAGAGCTCAGCCTCCACCTTAGATCTGTAATCCTTGACGAGCGTCACGTGCTCCTCGTTCTTCCGGCTCTCTTCCTTCTGCTCAATCGAGGACACGATCCTCCAGGCGGCGCGTAGAGATCCGATCACGTTCTTGTACGCTACTGACAGGAGGTTCCTCTCCTCCACGGTGAGCTCCTCCGCCGGAGTGGCGCCTGTAACGAGCTGCTCCATGAACTGGACCATCTCCTCGTAACGCTCCGCCTGCTCGGCGAGCTTCGCCATGTACACATACTGGTCTCTGCCTAATGTCGCCGCCATTAGAGAGAGAAAGAGAGTTTTAATCTTTTTTGGGGAATTTTTGAATAAAATGAAGAAAAAAAAAGAAAGGGAGAAGAAGAATAAAGGGCAAGAGCCAGGTAGGCTATTGAAAATATTTTTACCACCCGCGCGTGGTTTCACGTTCGATATTACGACGCCGTTTGATTATAAACTGACGTAGAGTCAGGCGAGTGGAGTGTGCAAGCGCGTGGGAATGTATAGAGGAGTTGGTTTTGCCGATAAGAGCGAGTGAATGGACGATAATAACTTTTTATAGTGCGTCAGCATCCATGTGACTTCAAAGTCTGAATTTCGGCTGGATAGTTGGGCCTTTATCAGGTCTCATATGGGCCTTGTTAAACATACAGTATTTTTGAAGGCAAGCTCTAACTTAGAAGGTCTTTATATTTTACAAAGGTTCGAAAATCTAACACAAAAGCTCTAAAATCTAAATTTTGTTTAAATAAGGTAGATAATTTATGTAGATTTTTTTTAAAGTGTATTATAAAATTTAATAGATAAAAAAGTAATTATGTGTAAAAAATCTACATAAATTATCTACCTTATTATAAAATTTAATAGATATTAGATAATTTAATAGATAATAAATAATTTAATAGATTATCTACCTTATTATAAAATTTAATAGGTAATAGATAATTTCCCTAAAACCATTCTTGATCAACACAAAGAATTTCACAAAACCCACTATCTAGAAAAAAACCAAATCCAAAACATTAATTAACATTATTTAAAAAACCATTAAGAAAACACTATCTAGAGACAACCAAATCTAAACTAATTCACTAGGAAATCTTATAAGTTTACAACAAATTTCACTTAAGCAACACTTGTAAGACACTCGTTATTGTGTGACACAGAATTTCACAAAATGGGTCTTTTTGCATCATCACTTTTTTACATAATAATTAAAGACAGTGCCCGAGTGACGATGACATTGGTTCAAAAGCTGACCTTTTCGTATATGTCGTGGGACCTCCTTTTTCTCCCTAATTAAAACCCCCACATTTTTTTTTGGCTATTCTCCTTTTTCTGTTGTTTTTTCCTGGTGACAGTGATATAAACATAGACCTCTTTGATCCTCCATTTTTTTGTTTCTTTGCTCAAAGATAAATTTTTTGCTTTTTTCGAAGTGTAAGCTAAAGACTTGATTTTCGTTTTTCACAAGCGGGAATCATTTTTTCCATCTTCTAGTTAATGGGTTTTTTTTTTTTTCATGCACTTGGATTGATAGATTAATGTCAAAAATGAAATGTTCTGCTTTTTTTTGTTTTTGTTTTTTTTGATATCTTTGATCTGTCTAATAAAATAATAATCTAATTGTTTATGACAGGAAAAATATCTTATCAAATAAAAACCTCAGAGGACAGATCGTAAGCTGAAGAATAATGTTAAAGAATGATTTACGAGAGGTATGAACCCATTTTAGCAAGCAAACGCATACTGTATGTTCTGATTCTGTTCCTGTCGATTTTTGATCTCTTAGTATATACCAATGAGTTATAACTTGTGAACAGGATGGTGCTGCAAGAGGAGAAAATGCTACGCGTGTTTGGAACGAAACTGCTTCTGGTTCGTCGTATGATGAGAGACACTCACCTCAGGTTTTAATAAACCGTGTTGGTTCAAAGGTTCATTGTGCAGATGATTTGTATGACTCAGCAGCGAGCACTGAAGCTTCATATGTAGTCTCTCTCACCATGATTATGATTATCTTCTCATTAACTCCACGCTGCTCTTAATTACCTGATTAATCGGTTTACAGGAATTGGAAAACGCTGCCGTGCAGAACAATCAATCTTCTAATAAAGAACTTGAGCTTCCATCTATACGTAGCTCAGGACTAACAAAAGTAAATTCTGAGGTTGGAACTCCAAGGAGGATCCAGAAAGAGACATTACCTTCCAACTTTCCAGTTTTTTATGCAAGGTGAGTGAGTTACATTCATGGCTGCCTTATCTTGAACCTCTTATATAAGCGCTACATTTCAGAAAATTATTCCTTCATTATTTTTCATTATATGTAGTGAACAAGGTCCATGGTCTGCAATGATTTGCTATGAAGCCTGTGTGCGGCTGTGTCTTCATTCTCGGGCAACAGATAGTGTCAGTGAGGCTTCATACTTCCTCAACGACGATTGCGTTTTACTCCGAAATGCATTTGGGTGAGACATGTGTTTTTGGTATGTCGTTTGTTGTGACTTTTTGTGCACTGCAACTGTCGTTTAATGTTAAGATCATATAAAACATCTAGTTTGCAGAATTTATTCCTTCGATCCGAAGAAGAACAACTGGGAAATAGACCTTCTACATTGGTCACTGAGACAACAATTGCTCCAAAATGCAAGAGAAGTGTTGGAAAAATCAAACTCCAAGGTTTGTCTATTTCATTTTCCCCATATAAACTTGCTGGAATAGAAAACTAAAGTATGTGTGTGTATTTTTTACAGTTGGTAAGATCAAAATAGGATTAGATTCAAACCCTGGTTGCCAGATTTCATCGCTGAAGCATCATCATGAGATTGTTAGTCAGCAAATCTCGGAGCTGAGTGTTACATTGTCTTCTGGATGGAAGGCAGTGAAGAGAGTTCATGTCCCTCCTCGAGTAGTTGTGCATGGTTCACTCTCCCGTAAAAGCCGGGCGTATATGCGCTCATGTGCTAAGTACCTTAAACAGATCTCAAAAGCCCTTCAACAAGAATTCGTTGAAACTCACAGTACTAGACAACGTTCTCTAAACGCAGTACCAGGTAATAATATTCGGTCGCGTTTTGCTTGCCTCATTGCTGTTTCATCTTTCCTCTTCTAACTATACTATTCTTTTATTTTTCCAGAAAAGTATTCATGTTCTTTGAGGCTAAAGAGCTCTGCAGAAGAGGATCACGTTATAACACAACCTGAATCTGGCGAAACATTTGTCTTGTACGTTTCCTTTATACATTCATTAAAACAAATTTCCTTTAGATTCCTTTGCTTTTATAGATGGAGTTAAAAAAACATGGTTTCCTTTGTAGCTTACCAGATAGCATCTGTGATGATTTGATTATTGATGTCCGTGATTCAAGTGGGCATTTTTGTGGTCGTGTCATAGCTCAACTAGCTGCTATAGCTGATGAACCGGTGAGAGACTTGTTAAGCCTTATGTTTAGTCCACAAGATGATTTGTCTTTAAATTTTTTTAAGTGTTGGAGCAGAACGAGAGGCTTAAATGGTGGACAGTATATCATGAACCAGAGCATGAACGTATTGGGAGAATCCAAATTCATATAAACTACTCAAGCAGCTTAACTGAAAAAACTAAGGTAGATGAATTTTATCCACATAAGAAGCTTCTTTTAACCATCTTAAATTGTATACTGACATTTTTTTGCATTCATATATATATATATATATACAGTGTGGATTGGTTGCAGAAGCTCCAGCATATGACTTGGTCTTGGAAGTGGCTATGAAAGCTATGAAATTTCAGCGCAGAAATCTGTTAATCGAAGGGCCATGGCGTTGGATGTTAACTCAATTTGCAAACTATTATGGGATCTCGGATGCATATACAAAATTAAGGTAACTTAAGAGACAATCAATCATTTATAAGTTTCAAAACCAGAAAAATCTCATGCACGTAAGTGTTTTTTCAGATATCTTTCATATGTCATGGATGTGGCCTCACCTACTAAGGACTGTCTTGATCTGATATATGATTTTCTGTCTCCCATTTTAACGGAACGAAGTCGAAAGGAGTTATTAAGTCATCAAGAGGTAATGTATATTTGATCTCTGTAGCATCATGTTTCAGTTTTCATTTCAAGTAGGCTCACTTATGTTTCCTTTTTGGTGCATTTGACAGAAACGCTTGCTTGGGGAAATTGATGACAATGTTCGGAAGATTCTTGCTTCGACATTCGAGAACTATAAATCTCTTGACGAATCTTGTTGTGCTGGAATCAACGATGTTTTCGAGCCTCCTACAAGGACTCCAGCACCGGCTTTAACACCAGCTATCAAGCTTTACGTTCTTCTCAGTGACATGTTAGCCCCCGAGGCACAACTAAGACTCTGCAGATACTTTCAGGTATCAAGAACACACACACACACATACTCTCTCTCTCTCTCTCTCTCTCTACACTTTCCCCATATTTTTATTCCATTTGCGTTATTACAGTCAGCTTCAAAGAAAAGGTCACAAAGATACTTATCGGAAACAAAAGATGTACTTCACAATCGTCTTGAGGGTGCACAAGCCACTTCTTGCCAGAAGATGAAGTCTTTAATTTTGAGCCTTAGGAAGGAAATCTCAACTGATATATCCATCAATAACAGCAATGTGATCCCAAGGTTTCATAAATGCAACATTCCTATGACTATTTTTTTCAGTGAATCTCTCTCTATTGATTCTCACACCAAAAACAGGTATATAGACCTTCCAAAGCTTTCGGCCGCAATATACAGCGCCGATCTAATCAAAAGACTAAGGGAATATCTTACCGCATGCCCTCCTCCTTCTCCATCGCCTCCAGTTGTCGACCTCGTCATTACCACTGCTGACTTTGAAGCCGATCTCTTACGTTGGAATATAATGTAACATTTGCTATTGCTATAATTCACTTTAAGAAACCTTTCTTTTTTAAGACTTTCATATACTGTTTTTTTGTTCGTATGTTGGCAGGCCGATCAATGATGATTTTAATGTCCTTGAGCTTTTCAATCCATATATTACTACTTGGATCGAGGAGAAGAAAAATTCTCTGCATGAATTCTGCAAGTCAGAAACGGTACTAATCTTGAAACATGTTTCTCTATAGTGCTGACAATAATAGACTGCAACTTTGAATATTCTTGATTGTAATCAGGGAAAAGCTTATAGTGAGATTCAAGGCATGACCTCTCCTTTTGTCGATAAAATGTATGAGTTACTCAACGTGACACTTGACGAATTTGATGTCATCGTAAGGCGTTGGCCATATTATGCAGTGTGCTTGGAGAAAGTAAGTACAAACCAAAAACAAAAGTCAAAAGAAGCTTGTGGTGTTAGGCTTGATGATTTATAGATTTTACTGGTTTTGATCTTGTGGAAAGGTTGTTGCGCGTTCGGAGAAGGCAATGATTGAAGCGTTGGAGAAGAAGTATTCGGAAAGATTATCTTCCTTAAACGACAGCAAGATATCTGCCCTCAAATTCGTCCATAGGTTGACAAAAAAAGGCACATCTAACATCTACTTTGTTCCAGAAGAGGTAACGTTTACTCTGTTTCTGTTTTACAAGTTTTCATCTAAGAGTTCATATATATTGTAATAGAAAGTCTTTGAAACATGTTTCAGCTTGGAGTTCTTCTAAATTCACTGAACGCAGCGCTTGACGATTTACGGCCGAGTATTGAAACCCGGTTCAAAGAGTGGAACTCTTACCTCTCTGTTGAAGGAAACAGAGAAGTTTTGGGAAAGCGGCTGAACGAAGTAACTGTGCGGTTAAGATCAAAATTCAGAAGTCATATGGAGGCGGTCGTGGAGAAACTTGCAGAGAATGTCCGGTTACACCTTTCTCAATCTTGTAGTTTCTGAGATTTTGCGTCTTGTCTTCTCAGGTGATGATTCTGTGTTAATGTAACAGATGAGGATACACAGTCACATGAAGATGAAGAACATCATCCACGACATAAAGGGAACAACGGAAGAATCAGATGTTAGGAACAGAATGCAGAGTTTGAAAGAGTTACTAGACAGGACCATTGATCACCTGCATGATGTTTTGTCACCAGATGTGTTTGTCTTAACATGCAGAGAATTATGGGACAGAATGGGACAGGTAAGGAAGGAAAACCCACATCGCAAAACCACATCACTCTGTTGATCTTACTCTGTTTTTGTGTTTCGCAGGAAGTGCTTTACCTTTTGGAAAACAGGAAAGATAATAGAGTGACTTGGCACAAAGGCCTGAGTATCGCTGTATCTGTAACTAACTCAACTTTCTAAACTCTTTATCATTGCAGCAGAAAAAAAAGAAAAACAAAACGAATGTCTCTGTTTGATTCTTATCTTGTTATTGTGATATGGTGATTTGCAGGTTTTAGATGAGATATTCATGACTCAAATGCGAAGCTATCTAGGGGATTCGCTTAAAGAAGAGGATTTTGAGGCACCGGGCTCGATGATGGAGCTTCAGTCTATGCTCTGTGGCGAAAGGAATGGCTTCTACTACTGACTCTGAGAGAGAGAGAGGGAAAACAGAGAAGCATTCTGTTATTTTTTAAGTTGTCAAATTGAAAAGAAAAGAAAAAAGTGCGGGAAACCATAGTTTGACTATAACCATTCTGTTATTTTTTTGAAGTCGTCAAATTGAAAAGAGAAGAAAAAAGTGCATAAACAAATTCCGTTGAAAATTAGAAATAAAATTAATGAAACGATTACGTCGCCTGAGAGATTCGAACTCTCGCGGGGAAACCCCATGTACTTAGCAGGCACACGCCTTAACCACTCGGCCAAAGCGACGTCTTTGGTATGCTCTACCATTTTTGTTATATTTCGTCACATAATCCAATATGGGCTTTTAAAGTCAGTATTGCATTGATGTTATCGGACAGTGATCTAACTTATGGTGTTTATATGTCTATTGGGCATTCAAACAATTCTACACACATATTCAATCTTAAGAAAAACATAAAAGTTTATTTATTTCATGTTTTTAACTTCTAAACGGATTCAAATTTTTGTAAAATTTATAATCATTGTAATTCATAATTCAATGTTTCATATAGACCACAAAATGATTCCATTCTATTTCTTTGAATGTCATTTCATTTTATGTTTATTTTTATTTTTATGGAAGCTATAAATTATATTATTAATTTCAAAAATAAATTTTGAATTTATTTATAAAGTTTAAATAGCATCTTCTTCTCTTTCAGCTGGGGATCAAATTTGTGTAAAAATTATAATCATTGTAATTCATAATTCAATGTTTCATATAGATCACAAAATGATTCCATTCTATTTCTTTGAATGTCATTTCATTTTATGTTTATTTTTATTTTTATGGAAGCTATTAAATATATTATTAATTTCAAAAATAAGTTTTGAATTTATTTATAAAGTTTAAATAACATCTTCTTCTCCTTTAGCTGGAATCAAATTTGAGTTTGACGTGATTGATTTGGAACCAAGCCGATTTATCCTTCGTTTGGATTTTCGTATGGTCCACATCAATGTGGTCAATCCTTCTTGACAGGAAAATTTAGAGTATGTTTCGTTTCGATCGGATCGAATTTAGCATAATTTTTTTTTTTTGATAAAATATAAATTATATTACCAAAGCAACGTTTTAATTACAAAAGCTTAACAGCAGATTACTTCTCTGGCCAAAAAAAAGAAAAACCAGGGAGACACAATTTAAGCAGAGCCAACTAATCTAAATCAGCTATTAGTTAACCAAGTAGCAAGAAGAGGAGCACATCCTTTTTCTTTTCTTCTTGCAAGGAGGATGTTACGAATAGTTCGATCAATCTGGGGGAAGAGAGTGGTCGCTGGAAGAGGCACTCCATCATGAACTCTGCTGTTGCGCTCCTTCCAAATCCAGTAAATCGTGGCTTGGCAAACAAATTCTCTCAATATCCGCTCATCACTGAAGCTGCTGCTAGAGAGTAGCCAATGGATGATTGAGTTCCAACCATGAAGGATTGTGGCTGGGGTCCCTAGTCTGTGCATAATTTTGTGCCAGATGTCGGAAGAGTAATCACATTGGAGAAACAGGTGGTCTCTAGTTTCGACATGGGTAGAGCAAAGGGTGCAGGTGAGGTTTATTTTAAGACCCCATTTTGCTAGTCTTGTCTTCACTAGGAGCCTGTCAAGATTGATGGACCAGAAGTTGAAAGCATGTTTAGGGATGTAATGTTTGAACCAGATCGTTTTTGTCCAATTTTTTTTTGTTATTGATAAGTAGGTTTGATTAATATATTGTGTAAACCTTGTTCAAAAAAATTTAAGAGGTTAGTCGAACAGTCAAAATAGTCTATTGTCTAGCATTAAAAATATAGAAATTAATCAAAAATTAGCTTTTTTTTTTACTTTTTAATGTTTGTTGATATAATTTGAGAAATTCTTTGTGAAAGTTTGTATACTTCTGTTTGAAACAGAAGTTAATCAATCATTTTATAAGCCTGTATATAGAAATGGTTATTACAATTCAAACAAGACATCTTTCAAATACCATTTGAGAAATCTCAAAAAAAAAAAAATCAAATAAAAATCAACATAAAAGATTCAAATTTTAAAAGATGGAATATCAACTCCGGCGTATCAATCCGAAAAAACCAATCTAATTTTTGTCCTTTCGGTTTTGGAAGAACCCTCATACTTAACCGGTCCGACCGGGTGTGAAAATATTTTCGATTGTACTTGTGTTTCTCTGATTCTTTCCTCTACTCGTCGATTTTCTTGTGGGTTTCAAGAAGAAAAATGATCTCTTCGCCGCATCTCTCACAGCCAATGAATGGCCTGAAAGACATCGTGGACACAGGGAATTTTAAGGTTTTACCTCGTCTGTCTCACTTTCGTCTCTTTTAACGTGTTCTCTGACTTTGTGCTCTTAGAGACGAGCGAGCGCATTAGCGTATGTATGCTTGTCTGATTTTCCCCGATTGTTCAAAGTCATTATGCTTTCGATTCGCTTCCACTTGTGAACAGATGGGTTTCTGTAATTTGTATAAGTATGCTTCTATGTAATTTGGAAAAAAATCATACAAGTTTCTGTGAATCGGATTCAATAAGAACACATTAAAGGATGCACCTTTTTGCCAATATATCAGCAGAGCTCAAATGTTTTACTCGAATAGTATTTGATTTGGTGGATTTCTAATTGTATTTTCTCTGTTTGAGCTATCATTACATTCTGCGAGAGTAACGTTTTGGTAAAGAAGAATGTGTGTAGACTAACATTTGGCATTATAAAAAAAAAAACTAGTGAATATGTATGCAGTTTTTTTAAAGAGTAAAGTTGATAAAGTGTGTTGTCACAGGCATGGCTGTTAGATCAGTATGGAGTCCTTCATGATGGCAAAAAACCATACCCGGGCGCAATCTCAACTTGTATGATTATCATCTCTTTCGTTTGGCCTGTTTCTTGATAATTTTCTTTCAGATTTCTTCAGTTTCTAGTTGTAGCTCTGCATAATGACTGATTCAACTTTTGTTTGATATTGAGACTACAGTAAAAAATCTTGCAACAACGGGTGCCAAGATCGTGGTCATAAGTAATTCCTCTAGACGTGCTTCAACTACAATAGAAAAGTTGAAAGGCCTAGGCTTTGACCCTTCTTTCTTCACCGGAGCTATAACTAGCGGTGAACTAACCCATCAATCTTTGCAAAGGTTATTTACCAACAAACTTCTTGGTTTGCCATATAGATGCTGTTTACTTAGTACACCTCACTGAGAACATGTGTGTTACAGGAGAGATGATCCTTGGTTCGCTGCACTAGGAAGGCGATGCATTCACATGACTTGGAAAGACCGAGGAGCAATCTCTTTGGAGGTAACTTATCACCTTGTTTCTTCGTTGCTGGTTGATCTATCGATGAAGGTTACTAGTTGATGTGGTTTCTGTTTCAGGGTCTAGATCTGAACGTTGTGGAGAATGTGGAAGAAGCTGACTTTGTTTTAGCGCACGGCACTGAAGCCTTAGGACTTCCTTCAGGGGATGTAACTCCAATGCCTTTGGACGGACTTGAGAGGATTTTGGAGAAATCTGCAGCTCGAGGAATCCCCATGATAGTTGCAAACCCGGATTACGTTACTGTCGAAGCAAATGTTTTTCATATCATGCCAGGTACATTGACTTAAACTCTCCAACTTTTTCATTCCACTTATGATGATGTATAGAATTATCATTTACAAATTTGTCAGGTACACTGGCTTCCAAGTATGAAGAACTCGGAGGAGAAGTGAAATGGATAGGCAAACCTCATAAGGTTTTGAACATTGAACTATCATTGAAGTTGCTACTCGTCTTTGTAAAAAATGGCTTTGTTGACTGTGTATTATTTTGGCAGATGATCTATGAGTCGGCTATGGCAATCGCTGGAGTCGATCCATCAGAGTCTATCGCAGTAGGAGATTCGCTACATCATGATATAAAGGGAGCAAATGTTGCAGGAATCGAATCAGTTTTCATCACTGGAGGGGTTCATGGTGTTGAGCTTGGTCTCGCTTCTTTTGATGAAACTGCAAGCCTAGACGCAGTTAAGACTCTTGCTGCTAAACACAATGCATTCCCATCTTATGTATTATCAGCCTTTAAATGGTAGATTTCATTGTACACAAATCAAATTGTTGCTTCTTGAGCTATAGTTCTTGCCATCATTTAACACTTGAGAAAGCATTTCAATGAATGTGAAAGCAAAACACGTACTGCTGTGTAAATCAGTTAAACTCGTATGCATTAAGATTTCATCGTTTTTGAGTCAATTACAGTTTTACGTTGAGAACAGAGAATTAATTTAGAACAACGGAGGTGTCCAGAAAGGGAGGAACGGAACCGGTATTGGTTCACCTTCTTTGGATCCAGGCATTGTTTGGCTTTTTTTGTATGTATAGTTTATAAATAATTTTTTTTTTCCTAATTTTGACTTTTGGATTTTGGGTAAACTCACAACAAATTGCACTTGTTTTTAGGTTAACATAACACTTAAAAAGTTAAAACGAAATATTTACTTTTCCTAAAACACAAACGAAGTCATTATGTTCCATATCGTTTAAAATAAACTATAATTACTAGAGTGAAGGAAAGGAAACAAAATAACTTGGCGACCACGCTTAAACCGGCGAAGGTTTTAAATAGACTCTAAAAGCGAAATGATTCCATTTCCACCGGTGTCGAAGTTTCGTTGAGATAGGCGAAAATGTTGTCTCAGTTTCTCTGGAGAACCTCGAAGCTCTCTCCTCGGCAGATGCAGAGGTTTCGTTTGTTTTCCTCTTCCCCAAGCCTTGTTAAGAAAGAATGTCCACCTTATTTCATCTTAGGCTCAAACACATCTAACCCTTACAGAGACGCCGGTGTAATAAATTTTTACACAGTTTCCGATTGGGAAGTACTAGACATAGACAGAAAGGTAGCTTTTGAGTTGCTAGAGGCAAGGGGATCGATCGGAGCTTCCAAAGGCTGGCTCGTTACTCAACAGAAGCCGAACTGCTTGTGTCTCCAAGACGATATGAAGGTAAATGCATCAGAGTCGGACCCGAAACGCATTTCACTGCCTCGTCTTCGACCCCTACCTTATTCCCAGACCCAGATTATCACCAGCTGAAGGAATCATCAGCCGAGTACTTGGTGGAATCATCAGCCGGCGAGACTTTCCTTGTTCTTTGGTACAGGACGGCCCGTTATGGCACTGCAGACGATTTGGGAACCAAATGTTTTAGGGTTTTCAGGCTTGACGAGCAAGGGAATGCTTCTTACACTGAAGACATTGGAGATCTCTGTATCTTCCTTTCAAAGTCGGAGCCTTTCTGTGTCCCCGCTAGCTCCTTCCCTGGCCTCGACAAAAACTGCATCTTCTACGTTGATGTAGACGAGTGCATATCCACTGTCGAATTGGGATGCTTCTATCTCTCCAGAGCTGATAGGGCCGAAGACAAGAACTTCTCCATGCACCGCACCACCAAGGTCCCTTACCTTTTTCCACCCCAACCTTTGAGTTGATTGTTTTTCTCTGTCGAATTGGGATGCTTCTATCTGTTTTGCTTGCTATGAATCTCATGAACCAATATGTAAACCAGTCTTGTGTTTGGGTCTATTACTTATCAAATCAATCTTGCACCAGTTTATTGCTGTGTCATAAAATCAGCAAGATACAAGAGCCAAGTTACATATCACACACAAATAAATCTGGAGCTAAAAGGTCTCTTTCTCCAGTTCACCAACAACGTCCCTGAGAGAAGGAACCTTCATGGCCAGAGTTTTGTAGAGTCTAGAGTAGCGAGCTCTTGTGCCATCAGCTGTTCTAGCTAAAGCCAGCAAACTTAGAGCTTCGGGTAACTGAGCAAACATTTGCTTCATTTCCTCTAAGCTCATCTTCGCTAAAGCAGAAGGTCGTGGGACAACTCTGACAAGTTCACCTCCTTTGGGCTCTTGGACCCGTGCATCAGCCTTGATCACGAGCTCCGAGTTGGTGTTACCTCCACATTTTATGATGAATGGGGCAGACGAACCTGTGTTGAATTGCAAAACGTTCCACTGAGACACATCAGTTTCGCCTGAGGATATTGATTCTAAAGAGGGTCTCCGGTCGTGTGACTGTTCCAGAAGATTATTGTTCTCTTGCTCAGGGATTGTCTGCGGTTAATGAATTCAGAAAGAAACAAGTTAGTTCGTTTGATATTCCAAGCCGGATCTCATCATTTTGTATCTAAATGATAAGTTCATGGAGGAACTAATTAAACATGGGAATCAAAAGTACCTCGACCAACTGGCGTGCTGTAGCGATTTCTCTTTGTGCACATGGATGATCGATATCTAGAAGAGAAGGCATTCGCTCAGTGAGTTCATCAAGGGCCTCGAGTAATGCTGTCTTCTTGCTTTTACTCAGAACATGGACAGAGGCTTGTCTTGTAATGTCCTGCAAGATATAGCTATTAGCTGGTGTTGACCACTATTATTCTCACAGTTTCACGAATAACCAAGATTACCTTGACTTGCTTCAATATGCCATCCAGAGAAATGAGAGACGCTAATCTTGAGTCTTCAGCTGCGGTCGAAGGGTTTTGAACAGGAGAACTGCCTTCTTGCAAGTTAAGCAAAGCCGCATCACTTCTCATTTGTTGTAAAATCTGATAAACAGAGCAAACAAAAGTCAGAGCGTTTCTATAAAGACAATCAAAGTAACCATAGAACTGTATCATTTACTTTCAGGCGAGGTGGTGTACCTTTCTTCTTTTGTGGTCGACGGACTCAAGAGCTGATCGAAGCTTAGCCACTTGACCAGCATCTTCTGCCTCTTCTGCCGCCAAAGTACCAGCAATATCCTATAGCACGGTTCCACATTACACATCATTCCAAACAAAACTGTTCAGACCTCAACATAGGGCGTGTTAAGCCAGCCATTTCCACTCAGAATACTTTTTATGACCAATGACACTGCGTACCTTCATGTGCTGCATTTGAGAAGTATAGACACGTTTTGCATACTCGGACAAGAGCTGCCCGAGAGCATCTGTGTGAGGTGGCACCGCGGCTCCTAGTCCGGCCATCCAGCCATCCATAATTGCCGTGGAAAGAAGCTCTAGTTGGCCGGTTGTTCCTCCCGACGCATCATCTGCGGTTACGGAAAGAAACTCAAAATGTTCTGCAAGCCATAACCGGATCTGACGCTGCAGTTCACCAGCCGGAGTGTGAACAAATAAAGCGGCTAGGGCCTTGTTCCCAATAGCAAAGCTTTTGGCTTCATCTTGCATCTCCCGCAGCTTAACTCCAGTAACTTGCTGCCTCCCAGAATCCTAGATGATTACATTCAAGAGCATAAACATAGTTTTAGTTAAAATCAAGTATCTTTGAGAACAAAGTGCTCTTTCAAAGGTAAATCTACCTGTTCAAGTCCACGCATTCTTGAAACCACAGATGCCAACTTGTTTTTCCTTTCTGGCTTTATATTCACTTTAAAGCTATGCATCTGCATATCAATATATCGAACTGGGGATCTACCTGGGCTACTACCCCTGCTAGTGCTTTTACTTCTACCAGTACTAGGCTTCTCAAGAAAGCATTCCACAGGAGAGACCTACAAGAAGAGTGTTGGATTAGTTTTCTTAGCCAGCCAAAAGCTAAAGAAAAAGAAAACAAGGTCATCTACGGTCGTATGCCTGTGCTCACCCTTATAGACTGAAGCTCAGGTGATCGCGCCAGTAAAGACCTTATGTACAATATCCTGACTCGGGAAACAAGCATTGTATCCATTACTTTTCTTGGTTCCATTTTCCGAATAAATGAAAAGACAGAATCTCTGATCTCAGCAAGGATCTCATGCTCTCTGGAAGCACCAGCCTTGATGACAGCTGCCAAAACCTGCAAGGCAACAATAGGAAAAAAATGCTTCCCAATATAAGTTGATCTTAACCTGTCTTTAACAGCGAGTAGTGTTTGGAGACATGCAGAGTCCAAAACATGATAGAAGGTAGAAAGTCTAAAAACAATAAGCTATCAAGCAAGTACCAGCATTAGTAGCTTGTTTGCGCCGTCAGTAACAGCAGCAAGGCCTTCATATTCTTCAGGGTCAAAGTCATTCAATGCAGCTGTCAAGTATTCTCCAGCTGGAGTGGTTTTTACTATATCAGAGCCAGATTTTACTACAGTAATCGCTCCGGCATTCTTATTCGCTGTAGATGGGGAAGCAACAGCTTCTGCCGAAAAAGTTTCACCCCTACCATTTCTCCAGGATAAAGAATATTACGTATCAGTTGATAAGACTAATTAAAATGGAAATGACATAATCAGAACTCGATAGTTTCAAATTGATCCCAGAATCACCTTTGAACATTGGCAGGCTGAATGTTTGGCGAGGCTCTTGATGAGAGACTCAACACCTTAAAATCAAAAATTAATAAGAATGCTTAAGTTAATCTCCAGGTGCATAGTGAATTAGTGATGAACATACAGTAGCAACTTATAACGAACAGAGTTAGGATATTGAACTCATGATTAATGTAGCATAATTGTACAAGAGAAGAATAACTACCTGGGTCGAAACAGCCATTGACCTTTCTGTTAATCTGTCGAACAACTTTTCGTTTTCTTCATGCAACCTCTGCGGAAAACATCGTACTCTTCAGATAATTGTACTAGTGAAAATATCAATGGTTCAGCCAGAGAGCACGAACACTAATCAGAATATGGTCAAGAGTAAGACAGAGAAGAACCTCAATCAGTGCATCACGTTTTTTCAGTTCTTCCTCAAGTTTCTTGGTAATAGAAGAAGAATCAATTGTGCCCTCAGCCGTTTTTGGTAAAGAAGATATGTCCTGAGATTGCAGGGCATCTCCTGTTCTTGTTGTGTCAGATCTAACGGCTTCACTTACTTGTGATTCCAAGTCTGTTATCTTAGCCTGCATCAAATTTAAATGTAAAAACAAGAGAACTTATTATATATGACTACCATTCGCAGAGAAGTCATCAATTTCAAATTCAATTCTCTTAACATAGATCTTAAACTTTAAAGAGTAAATACTAATAATACTCATGGAGCACCAACCTGGAGATTTTGAATGGTGGAATCTTGTTGTTGCATTTGCAGCTTCTGTTCCTGATCCAACTGTAAAAGTTGAGCTAGTTGATTTCTTAACTGAGAATTCTGCTCCTTCTCTATACTATGTTTGTCTACAAGCATGGCATTCTCTGACTGCATGAAACACAAAATGGACATTAGCAAACAGCCAAAATAAGTCATGAAGAACTGTAGTAAAGCCAACCAAGAACCCAGGTGAAGCTGTCTCACCTTTAAATCTGATTGCAATGTAAATGAAACTTTCCACGCCCTCTGAACTTCACTGTAGAGCATTACACACTGGCCATTTGCATCTTTCAGTTCTTGTTTTAAGCCCAAAACCTCTTGTTTCAGATTCTGGTTTTCTCTCTCTTTGTCCAACAGCTCCTTCCGAGCATCACTTGCCTGCAGGACAAAAGCTCATCTACGCTGTAATTCTATTTGACAAAACGATTCAGCATAATTTTATATTACGTCCTGTTCTTTAAAATTTTTGACTAGAAAAAAAAAGGAGAGATAAAACCAATAGATCAATCCAATCAAGTCAAATCCTGAACTGAAGCATCTGACGTCTGTACTCTCTTTGATTGATTGTTTATCTCTTTCAGTTCCATATCCACTTACCACATCTCTCCATTTCTTGATTGTATCTCGATTCCCAAGGCTTGGTACAGTATTCCTCGCTCTAGCAGCATAATTGAGACATGATATCGTCTCTGACAAGTTTTGCGCACTAGGACAGATGTTAACGATCATCAATGTTTTAGAGCTTCCCCCTACACATTACAGGAAATTGTATCTCTGTTACAAAGAAAAATGATTCGAGGTGAAACAAAGAGGGAAGATGCAACTACTAACCTAGTGAATCCGCAAGTATTCTCGTAAGAATTGAATTCTCATAAGGAATTGAATCCTTTTCTGACGTCAAAGAGGATAAAACATCTCCCAACCTATACATAGATAAAGACACGGAAGTTATATGTGCAGCTCACTGGTAAGAGAGCAGTGAAAGAAAAAATATAGAGAAAGAACAATTTAACATACGCTGAAATCGAATTCATGACATGCAGCAGATCAGTGACGTTGTCTCCACTGTCATTTTCCACGGTTAAACCTTCACTTCCAGCCAAGTCAACTAGAGAAAGCTTGCTGTATATATTTTCTCCAGTAATCGTGTTGCTATAGTATATGTGTATTGTGATAATCCTACCAAGAGACAAAAGTCATCCATAAAGACATGTGATTAGACAACCTTAGCAGAAAATTATCTCCATAAATCAGAATAAGAGGAACTATTTAAGCACAGAACAAAACATACAGATGGGTGACGTTTGATTTATCAAATCCCCGGTTCTGAAATGCAGATTTTAAGACTCTTAAGAACTCCAACGGATTATCGACTTTTTCCTGTCCGAGTTCTACAATAGATTCGTGAGAACCCATGTTGATCTTCGGCAAGTTGCTCTCTGATTCCGAAAGTAAATCCCTGATCTGAAAATGAAAGTCCCTGAGTTAGTAGATTCCATCACGAACCATGTTTGAAAAGAAAGAATTGAAAGCCAAAAGTATTGGTACTTCAGAGGCGATTGGAAGCACCTGTTCATTATAGATCTCAGACACTGAAACAGAGAAACTGAATCGTGATGTTGAAGTTGAATCAGAATTGGCTATGTCGAAAAGCTCCTCGAAACAACGAGCATATAAACCACGGTCGTGATTCAAACCTTCCTGGCATAGCAACAGTCGATAAAATTGATTCAACAGTCCATAGGGAGATGACAAATAACTGGAACAATAGACAGTGCTATGAACACTTCAAACTGTAACAGATCTATCTGTAAACTTTTAGAGGAAAAGGAAAAGAATGGCAACCATGGTGTATGTCTTCCCTGCATTAGTTTGTCCGTAGGCAAATATGGAGACATTAGATCCATCCAGAGCAGATTGAACAAAAGGTTGGACATCAGTGAACAGTGCAGCTGAGGAAAACATAACAGCATAAGTACAGAGGTCGCATTGCTTGCAAGTTTTGTAGATCATAATAAGAAACAGGTCGTGACATAAGGAGAGACTACATTATACACTGAACTATGGTATTCACCTTGTCCAACATGGGGTCCATAAACTCTGTCAAATTCAAAGTCCTTCTTGGGATTGGACAGAGTATCATCGCCAGTGTTTACGCATATGGTGCAATCCCCAGGGAATTCTACAATAGAGGGACCTTCATCCTCAAACAATGGTCTTGCGCGGCAAAACACCTTTATGTTCCCTAAAATACAAAGAAAAACAATTCTAAATTAATCATCAGGTCGCAGAGAACTATCTGAACATCAGTGAAACTATACTCAAAAGGAAGACAATATTGGGCTATGAAAGATGGTACCTTTGGCCGTCAACAAGTCGTTGAACAGTCTCTTCTTCTCGTTGATGAGAGGAGATATCCTTGCCTCAGTCTCGAGGACAACTTGATCTGTAGTGATTCAAGTAGATAAATGAAAAGTTTTTTCTTGATGCTTGCACAATTTACATTAGACTTCAAACCTACCACGAGGAATACAGTGGTGGGAACACAAAACTTACCTAATTTACGACTCTTCTTAGCGAGAACACCTAAATAACGTGTAACCCTCTCAAGCTTTGCATTAGAATACTCCTGCAGATCAGTAGCTTCCTGTCTCAACTCCAAGTAATCTTCCTTCGCAAGCTGTTCAACCAAGTCACATTTTTTTTTTCTTGATAAGCAATGGCTTCAACCAAAAAAAAAGTATGCCAAACACTAAAGTTCCAGCAAATCCCCCAATTATACAACCTAACGTATTGAGATCACAACTTCTACAGACTCAGCTTACACTAAGAGAAATCAAATCAGCCTCTTTTAGTCGAATCAACTCAAAACCCAAGCCAATTATCACAAGAACTCGATTATAAAACTTGCCCAACTACGGAATCACTGGAACTGTCAAAGCTCAGCATAAAAATCCAGTCTTTACATTAAAAAACCAATCGAAACTTCTTCTAGAGTGGGATAAGACTACCCAGAAGATTCAACTGAAATGACAAACTAGGCCAATACAATAAACACAGGGTGGAGTGTAAAGTGGAAAAAAGAAGTGACATTTTCACCTTAACTTTTTCCTTTAATCCGAAAACCTTGGAGGCAAATGATTGCTTCGGGAGCTCCGAGGAGTGAGGCGGATGCGAAGCCGTCGAAATCGAGTACCGCCGAACCAGTGGACCCGTCGTACGGTGACCTCCATCCTCAAATGATGCATTCGAAGACGACTTCCTCGGTTCGAATCCACTCACCTCCCAGTTCCACCTATTGGCTTTACTCCTCTGATCGGCCATTTCATCCACACAAAAAATCCCCCAAGTAAAAATCCAAACCACACCCAAAATAAAAATTGAAGTAGCAACTTCGAACTCTAAGCGGAAGAATTCAAAAGTTTTTGAATTTATTTTTCTAGCAAATCAAGATTGTTATTTTTGTTTTTGGCTTGTCTCACTGCAGATTTTCCCTCGGTCTGGTTTACAAAAATAAAATGACAGGCGGAGAAGGTGCTTTTGATGGGAAGCCATACGATACCGTTTTTGGACTTTTTCACTTTTGTTTTTTTTTTGGTTTAGAATAATGGGGACGACCCCTGAAGCCTTACGAGACACAAATATTTTTGTGCTGTGTGTTGATTCACGACGCCTTATCGTGTTCGATTTTAGATCATTACGAACTACGTTGACTTTTCTCTTCTCTTTTCAAACAGCAGATACGTTGACTTTTTATACGTTAAAATTGTTGCCCATGATTTAAAATGTTGTTCATGATATCTCAACAAACTTTCTAAATCGTGATGGATAACAAAATTATGCAGATTTCGGTCAATTTTGTAAGTTAAAAAGTTTACAGACTTGTGAGTTTTTGCCAAGACATATAGTTCTATCTTTTCCCGCAATTTGAACTAAGGTCAACTTCTGTAACTCTGTTTCATTTTCTGCTATTAGATCAATCTATCAAATGTAAGGATCAAAGTGAGAAGGATCATCCAATAATTTTCTTATTAACTTAAACATCGCATTACACTAAATAGTAGCCTGCATAAGATTAAAAAAAAAAATAGCCGAGGAAGTAAAGAAAAAAGTAAGGCTCAAAGAAAGACTTAAAAGTCTAACAAAGGCAAGTACATGAAAGAAGCACAGACACAAGAGAAGATAATCAGTTCTCTTTTCTAATAGCTTTTATTCCCTCTTGGATTTGGAGAGAGCTCTCTTACGCTGACCAAGCATGTACCTGTACATGTGTGGACTACCTGCAACCCAATTCCAACAAAGAAAGAAGACAAAATTAGTCGCCGATTAGAACCGAACAGATTTATGAGATATATAGTCTATAAGAAAGGTCAAACTGAGTTTGTGCCTGGGACATAGATTGCAAGGACGAGTATCGTTGCATAGAAGTAGTCGAATGAGAAGTTCAGTATGTTCGGCATCCTAACACTGTACATCTCTGATGTCTGCAGGAGAAACATATGGAACCATACACATCAGAAATCTAAAAGTTAATACACAGCATTAGAGTTCAGTCGATCAATGGAGAGTTATCAAGACTAAACATATACAAAAGGAAGGAAACATATAATAAGGCTTCATGGTTTAAATTTGGTATTGTAAAGAAAAGGTTGAGCGTGTTTTGCTACCTTGATGTGTGGTAAGGCAAGGTAGATAAGACCAACTTCACTGGTGATACCGGTAGGGTATAGCAATAAAAAGCTGCTGTACCTGAACAGATGAAATTAGAGAAAAAAACATTCAATGAGATCAGGTTTACGTATTCATCTATTATCAAGGCGTATTAAACAAATTGCACACCTGAGCCACAAGTGCCATGAAGGTGCAAAGCCTAGGGCTTCCTTAAGACCAAAGAAGGAGTAGCGGATAATCTGCAATATTAAGCAATCGTCTAGGCATTCAGACCGGGTTATTCACCAAAACATACATTAGTGGAAGCACATGATTCTAACAGGAATTTACTAGGACAAGACTTGAACCAAAATGGAGTAAAGAGAAAGAAATGATCTTTGAGGCGCAATTTTAATTTCCGGGAGTCATGCTTAAGTCAGTTCTTAACAGCTGTATACAGCAACAGCTAATCTCTTATATCTGTACTTAAATAATGCATGTGTTGAAACTGGTGACATTTTTTCAGATTCAAGAAATAGAATGAAACTGGTGAATCTCTGTTATTAAGAGTGTTAACAATGGTTGAACAAAATCAAAACGAAGACTGAAATATAATCACCTCGGTGATAGACCAGCTTATGACCAGCGAGGTAACAAGAAAATGAGATCGGACCTGAAAGTCAATGGAGCATAATTCAAACAATCAAGTGATGAAAATTGCAACCATGAAAAAGAGCAGTAATTAGATCGTAATGTGCCTAATAACCTCTGGAAAACTGAATAGGATTCCCCAAGTGAGAAACAGCCTTGAACCTATCTGTGGCAGAGTTGCAGAAACAGGAGATCTGACCAAACCTGTTCGAGTTTAGAGACGCAGCAGAAACACGATTAAGTCAATGATCTTAAGATATTAGTCAAAATGGTTCAGAGTCCAGGTCTGAAATCAGTGCAACTGGTTAGATCACTCACCTACTAATCCGTGAAGAATCTGCTCCAGGCCCGGAGAATTTTCCAAAATTCCAAAGTTAAATCAAGAAAAAAAGGAAGTGATTAGTTGCAACAAATGCTCGTATCCTCTAATTACCCGGAAAATGCAAGAGAAGACGAATTATTTCATGGCAGACAGACCTCGAGAACAGCGGCAGTCTGAGCAAGCTGGAGAGGCTTCTCGATGGCGTCATACACATTTTCATGTCCCGTTTCCTTCAAAGTCTTCACCGCAAAGTACAAAACCTGGGCCCTAAAACCCCAAATGTCACCCCCAAAAAAATCAATATTCCGAGAGAATACAAAACAACCCAGGAAACAATGCGAAGAAGAAGAGAACAGAGAGGGACTTTCACTTGCCATCCAGCAAAGACGATCCAATTGTAGAGAGTGAGGTACACGCGCCGAACGAAAGAGAGAAATCCCGCCATGGAGAGTGGAGATCGCGACTAAGCGAGAGAGAGATACTTCGAACTCCCCAAGGAGAGCAGAGAGAGTTGATTTATGGCGGAGAGATCGGAAGTGAAAAGCATTTATGAATTATAATGACGGATGAATAGAGAGAGAGAGACAGGTAAGCTACTTCTCAACCGTCTTATTCGGATATTTATGATTTGATCCCATACTCCCATCCAACTATCTCAAAACCACCCCTATATTAAATATATCGATCTATCACCCCCATCTTTTAGAATTGTGGGGGTAAATCATTTAAAATCAATTAATTTCAATCGCATTACAGCAACATAAAAAGAGCGTAAAAAAAAATCTATCTTCTTTCCATCTCACTGTTCACTTGAAGAACCACCTGAGCTTGCTTGAGACTGTTGACCATCTTTCTGCTCCTTATCAGCCACCAATGGGCCATTTCCCGATCTTCGAGCACCAGTGAGTTCTTTAGCATCTGTTTCCGCGGGAGAAGAATGCATCTCTTCCTCAATCGGAAGCGTTCTCTTTGAGCCCTCTAGTGCAACACCCAGTACTATATTCTCTTCCAAAGCTGATCTAGACACTGATGACGTCGAACCTTCTGTTTCGTTCTGCGTATCGACCTTTGGAGACTTGACTGTGGTACCACTTCTCTTGGCCTTTGGTTTCTCGGCTCCTGGTGCTTCTGTTGTTTCTTTTGCAGTGGTAACCGGTTTGGAGACCGGTTTGGTTCCTGTCTTTACTCCTGTTTCGTCAGGTACCTTGTTTGTATCAGGAACCGGTGACTCTCCAACCTTCACGTTCGCCTTTGGGTCTGGAGATGACGTTTCTTTCGACTTTGGACTCGAACCCTTGTTCTCTTGCTCTGCAGTTGTTTTCGATGCACGGTTCTGAGATTTCAATTTTTCTTCTCCATTGATTTTGTAAGAAGGTTCGATTAGCATCAAAGGACGCCGAGAAGCAACACCTCCAGGGCCGTACATTGATTCTCCAAATGGTGCGTTTTCCATGTCGGCGTCTGTGTACATCTTTCGGATTGTACGAATTGGTGTAGCTAGGCGTGCTCGGTGATGGCTTATGACTCTAAGAAGGTCCAACAATATAGCTTCCTGTTTCGTCAAGAGTGTAAAACTTAAAGCCAATCCAAGAAAAAAGACTGCAATTAGGTTGACGATGCGATGAAAGACTTTAACTTACCTTCACACATAAGTATTCTTCAAAATGGGACGTCTTCACAAAACAAGAGATTAGGATCTGTGAAATCGAGAATCAGATGTTAGAACCATAAAATCAAATATTTCCTGAAATATCTGATCTTCCCTTCAAGATGGATGCATCAGAAGAAATAGGCATAGAAGTCTAACCACAAGGGCTTGATTTTCTGGATTGACATTCTCCAAGAATATCCTTCTATGTAACTTCTGTTGCTCAACTTGAGGATTCTTGGCCAATACTTTCCGCATGTCAGCTACAATATTCTGTTTGGAAAAGTTCAGAAAAAGAATCAGCTAACAAACTCCATGATTGGCACTTAACTTGTATAACGAGTTAGAGACCATATAACAATTAGGAAACGCACATTTATTTTGTTAACATCCAAGTGGCTGATGGCAAGGTGAGTTTTGATACGCCAATGAGTTTTCTGAGTAAGGTTTCTCACGACATTGACTGTGAACTTATGGTTTGGGATGTGGATTGCCTCACGGTCTTCACCTCTTATGATCGTCGGTGACCACCAACCAACATGCTGTAAATTCATTGCAACGACAATTTGAGAAAGTTAGTTGGGTAATCTTAAGGAAATGTGCAAGGCATAGGAGTGAAGTGCATGGAAGCTCGGAAAAGATTATGATACTAACCTCTACAGTACCAGAAACTTCATAACCTTCAATCTTTGTTTGAATCCACTCATTCAGAACAAATGGCCGGGTTGCGTGAATCATAACACTTGATAGAAAATTTGTCAAAATCTGGAACAGCAAAACCTTAGTTTTAATAAAATATATTCTCATACGAATGGAAATTAGTAATCAAAATGCGATTCAGGTTTCACCTCTCGCCCAGCAAGAGTAATCAAAACCGTCCCAAGACCTCCAGCAGTGAGCCACTTTTGTGTAGAGAAACCCAGCAACTCCATGAAAAGTGAAACAGCAGCAACCCATACAGCAGAATACACTGCTTTCCCAGCAAATTGAAATCCCATCTGTTCCATTCCAAGAGAACATTAGCAAAACATATTGAGAAACCAGTTAGATTTATCATCTTACAAGTGGACACTTACAGTAACACATGTAAGATAGACCAAACATTCTAAGAATAATAACTCTATAGATATTTCTGGATGAACAGAAAAGTTACTTAAGTTGAATTTTACATTACATACATTTCTTGTATCGTTTGGGTCACTTGTCTCAGAGAAGAGCTTCTGTGTTTGTTGGATAAGACTGCATGAGATCATCTAACCAGAATCAGAAGTCATGAGATGACCAAATGACAATCTCACGTAAAATAAACCACTAACACACAGAAACATTAGATGAAAATACATGGTATTATATAGAAAAGCCAACACGCTTACCTTGATATGCAATAGGCAAATGCAAGTACTGTTGACAATGACCTCACAAAATTCAAAAGCCGATCTTTTACAATTTTGCTAGCTTCGGTAGGAACAACAACAGGATCTAATGCCCTGTGGAAGGAATAGTCAACAGAAATAAACCATCCATCAATTATCTCAACAAAGCACTTCAAATAAGAATTATCACCGAAATATCTCCACAATGAACCTCAGAGTCCCGAGGAAGTCTTTGATAGATATACCTGCAGATGAATAGAGCTCCTAACCACAACAGTAGGGGTTGAACATACGAAGTCATAACATGGTACGTACCACTCTTTTTCCATCCGTTATCATTCTTCTGCAATGTTATAACGGTAAAGTTTTAGAATACCATATGCAAATAGCAGCATTAATTTGTAACTGAGGCAGCACAGGCATCAAACAAAAAAGAGTACGTATAAACTTGAAATGGCTACACCTACATTGAGTAACAGATTTCTTCCTTGGCGAACAATAGGCACTAAACCCCACAGGGAGAAAATAAGAAGAGCAACAGCTGGAACCAACTTATATACAAGAGGGAATTGTTTTATTAACCCCAGTGACCTGCAAACACGGAGTGCAAATATTTCAGAGTCCATTCAAAAAGAACAAGATAAATTACCAGGAAGACAAATGCCTCCCCCCCCCCCCCCCCCCTCAAGATTCCCCAACAAAAAAAATAACAACTTTCCTAAGAGAAACTATGGCAATGACAAAGCATGCTCGGCTACTTTGGCAATTTCTTTCAGTAAATTTAAATTCATTTATCGTGAGTCAGGAGCCTCGAGATTACTATGCAGTCCGTCAGATCCACAGAGATTTAAGTAATATAAATTATGATAGTTTCGCAATTTTCCAAGTGGTCATTCTGCAAGTGATTATAGAAAACAAAAAGTCTTACTTTTTTAGCACCACAGTGGCAGCTTTAATAGCAGGTTCAATGGCATTGCCTGCTGCAGAAAAAGAATGACACCTAAAACCGTTGGTTCTGCATGGTACTGAACAAATAGGCCGACGAAGGTAATCTGAGAGTAAAGGATTCCTGAAATCACGCTGCCCCAACTGTGTAGAGAAGAAGAATATGTTACTAAAAATCAGCAAACCAAGTTGACTGACTAAAGTAAGCTTTTTAAAAAAAAAATATTACCGGAACACCTAATGAGAGAGGACCCTTTGATACATGTAGCCTCCTTCTCATGGAACTCTAATAACAAGCACACATTTAGAACCACGAAGGAAGGAAATGGATTAAAAGAAAACGATTCCAGGGCTAAAACAGAAAAAAAACATACATCTTCTGGCTTATAGCACCATTGGTTTCTGCAAAGACCCAGGCCATGGGACAACTGCAATGAACCATAAAGGGCCATAATTTGAGCAGAGTCACTGTTTTAGTCAGTAGCACCGATCATAAGCCTCACAGCCTAACGAGTGCCAACACGAACCCTGCACTGTAGAAATGAAACAGACCATTTAAAACCTATGCGTATGATTCCGATGCAGCGGAAAAACAGTTCCAATGAAAGTCTAGCATCGGCGGGTGGAAAGTCTTAAGGAATTTTCATTTACAAAATTTTCAATTCGACAAACTGTGAAAATTGGTAAGGCAGCCATCAAAAACCAATGCAGTATGATCCTGAAGAGTCTAAATAATCAATATAATCTACCGTTGAACTGAGAACAAACTTGAAACCTAAATTTAACAACTTGAATAAACTCAAGTTTAGCTTAAAACAGCTACTTGAACCTAAGCTCGACTCGAGGAAACATCCAATACCTAAAAGTTACGGACCATACTAACCCGCCACCAGCATAGCAATCACTAACGAGAACGTAACCAAATGCATGAAATTGGTCGATCAATTCATAATTTCGAGGAGAAAAAGTTCCGAATTTCAATTTAAATGGCCAATTCAAGCATCATCGCCGCACAGTTATACATAAGTAAAAACAAAGATTTAATCATAGTGGCAGACGAAAACGAATTCAGAATCGGAGTGACAATCGAAAGATTCGATACAGAAACATGAGTCTAGCGAGAGAGAAGAAAAAGAAAAACTTACCCTAGAATCGATAATCAAGCGAACAAACCAAATTTTCAGGGTTTGAAGCTTCTTCAAGGAGCTTTCCAAGAGAGAGGAAGGGGGATTCGGAAATCGCAGACAAAAATACGGTGTCGTTTCGTAATGGGCAACGTTCCGGGTAAAGTGGTGATCAAAATGCCACGTGTTCCGACACGTCAGACCCGTGCGGCGAATAGAGTCGAGTATAAAATAAAATGATGCTCCAGCATAATGGGCATATTAAGGGATTATTTTCTTTGTTTACAATAAACTACTTTTCTTAAGAAACCCAAAATTGACCTTTCTATTTATGATCTGTCTTTCAATCAAATAACCTAAAAATAGAAGAGACCCAAAGAAACAAAAAAAAAAAAATAACAATAAGCAAATTAATCATGGTTAGTTTCTTCAGACATCTTTGTTTCTGTTACTGTTTGGTATGAGTATCAACAAACAGTGCGTCATTAGAAAACAACACAACGAAATCTCCTCTACTATGTTTCTTCTTTTGTGGTTGTGATGTGTACATGTAGTTTAATTCTGGAAACACATGTGCTTTTGGACTATTCAGATCCAATGCTGCATGCGTTTTAAATAGCAACTTACCATTATTATGTATCATCTTCAAAGACCGAATCTTTCTCTTCACCATTCTTTTATCAAACAAGATTCACAAACAAAAGAAAGAAACAAGACAAAATCTCCTTTGGTTTTTCTGAACAAAAACTTCAGAACAAAATATTGATCGATCGCAAAGATGAGATTTTGTTGATTATATTAAATTATAATAAATAAATAAAAATTAGAAAATAAGGATGCTACGAAGAGCAGCAAGCAATGCGTACTCATGGTGGTGGGCAAGCCACGTTCGAACCAAACAATCCAAATGGCTCGAAGAAAACCTTCAAGGTAAACAACATTTTACATGAACAATATTCTATTCACTTCTTTCACGTTTCAGAATTTCTAAATAAGATGATATCAGATATCGAGGAGAAGGTACAATACGCGCTTAAGCTTTTGGAAGATGAAGGTGATTCGTTTGCGAAGCGTGCAGAGATGTACTACAAGAGAAGGCCTGAATTGATAAGTTTCGTTGAAGAATCTTTCAAGGCTTATCGTGCTTTAGCAGAACGCTATGATCATATCTCCAAGGAGCTTCAAAACGCCAACACCACAATCGCATCTGTTTTTCCTGACCAAGTCCCTGAGTTTGCCATGAACGATGACGACGACGCTGCTCATGTCTCTCCTAGAAACCATAAAACTCACACAGACGCTTCATCTAATCAGAATATCCCAAAGGTTCCTGGTTTCCCTACAAAAGACTCTGAAGCTGCAAAGATGTTCAAGTCGAGGAAATCTTTCAAAGGACAAGCTGTTTCTAGCGTTGTGATTAACAAGTCGTCAGGTCTGAGTAAATCCGAGGCGGTGGGAGAGATTGATAAGTTGCAGAAAGAGATTCTTGTTTTGCAGACTGCGAAAGAGTTTGTGAAGAGTTCTTATGAGAACGGGCTTGCAAAGTATCGGGAGATCGAGAATTGCATCATGGAGAAACAGGGGAAGGTTTGTAGTTTGCAAGATGAGTTCGACGAAGGTGTTGTTATCGAAGATGGAGAAGCTCAGGTTTTGATGTCAGCCACAGCTCTCAAATCATGCCAAGAGAAATTAGAAGAGCTGAGAGATAAACAGAAGAAGAATGTTGAAGAAACAGAGATTGCAAGAAAACAGATCAGAGAATCAACAGAGGAGCTTGGTAATCTCTCTGGTGCATTGATTGGTGATAAAAGAAGAAAGCAAGAGTTTGAATCATCAGAGGAGATCAAGTCAAATGAAGAACTTGACTCTGAGGCTGCTACTTCATGTCTTACCATAACAGACGTGGCTGATAAGATTGATGAGCTTGTGAACGATGTGATCAATTTGGAGAGCTTGTTCTCATCTCAAGCAGCTTTGATACACAGGCTGCAAGAAGAGATCGACGATCTCAAGGCACAGATTAAAGCCCTTCAAAAAGAGAATGATTCATCTCAAAATGATGAAAATACTGTCATGAAGAAGAAGCTCACAGAGATGGAAGAAAAGCTGAAGGGTATTAAGGATATAGACAGGGCGGTTGAAGAACTGAGTGAGAACATCGAAAAACTCCTTACACGAGCTCATATTAAACTAAGTTTCTTGTCTGAGAGGTTAAAAAGCTTGAAGAAGCAAGAAGGAGAAGAAGAAGAAGATTTAAAGGCTGCTACTAATGTGCCAATTCAAGATGCAATATCTTTGACTGATACAAAGTCTTCAGAGGAAAATCTTGATGATTCAGTTGGAACTGAAATAGTTGAATCAGCATCTGAATTAGTGGTTACTTCTGAAAAAGATCATATAGTTGAAGTTAACCAAGAAGAAATCACAGGGGAGGAAGAAGCTTCATTACCACCACCAAAATCAGACGTTAAAACCAAAGAAGAAGCGTTCTTGCAGCAGTTTCTTGCACATGGGATTGAAGGTAGAGAGAAACATCTGTTGACAGAATACACCAAAGTGCTTCGGAACTATAAGGAAGTGAAGAAGATGTTAGATGAAACAGAAACGAAACTGATCATTGAGCAAAGACTCAACCTCTTGCTTAAAGGTAAGAGTGATGGTGATGATCCGCAAAAAGTTAGAGCCAAGGATCATCAACAACAAAAACATAAAAAGGACCAATTGTTCATGCTAATTTGCAGAGAAGATAACGCGATAAACGCCATATCTGGTCATAAGCAGATGCTGTCACCAACTGAAGAGCATTTCGGAGAAAGAGTTGATGCATTACTAAGCGAGAATCTGAATCTTCTGGTGAGGTTTAGCAGTTCCTTTGGACAGATACAACAGTTTGATACTGGGATCAAGGACTTACATGTTGAGCTGTTGAAGATCATAGAGCAAAAGAATCAAGATAAGCAATCTCTCAGATCAGACGTTCGTCCCATTTACAAACATCTCAGCGAGATCCGCACTGAGATAACCATCTGGCTTGAGAAAAGCTTGCTGCTGAAGGAGGAGATCAACGTAAGAGCTTCAACTCTAAACGACCTACAAAAGGAAATAACAGAAGCTCTCAAAACAGATTCTGAAGACTCTGAGATGAAGTTTACGATTTACCAAGGAGCTAAATTCGAAGGTGAGGTTACAAACATGAAGAAGGAGAACAAAAGGATAGCACAAGAGTTGAAAGCAGGTTTAGATCAAGTTACAAAACTGCAGAAGGAAGCTGATAAGACACTTGAAAAATTGAGTGAGGAGTTTTCACTTTCTGAATCAAAGAGCCGTTCCAACGTAGAATCTTCTTCTCAAGGTAGCAGAACTCGTATCCCTCTGAGATCGTTTATCTTTGATATAAAACCGAAGAAGCAAAGACTATCCCTTTTCTCTTGTATCCAACCTTCTTTGTACAAGAAGACGAAGCCTGATTCGTAGAAAACTCTGTTCATGTACGGCATCATATGTGTTTATGAATTTTAAAATCTTCTTTGCATGGGACTAATTTTGTATACCTCTCAAATATCTAAAACTAAAGCGATTTCTAAAATATGGGCTCTATGGCCCGTTTTCATATATTGTTGTACTTGTAAGCCCAGCTATGCTTTAAAATATCAATGAACTTTTTAATTTCTTAAATCTGTTATTTTAAAAGTTTGGAAAGTACGGTAAAAATTTTATTCGTAAAATCAGATGGGCAGAGAGGTGTCAAATAGTGTGACTTCAAATCAAAGTATTGTATCAAACGTCAAGACAAATCCTGCTTTGTATCTGATTATTTTATAACCTTTTTGAATAATGTATTAGGCCTGAAATGGTAGAAATATAAACGTTTCTATTTATAACTTATAAATAATAGTATTGGTTAGGCTCTTGTGACTTACTTTATATTTCTACTTTTATGATGTGTAATAAACATATAAATCACTTTTATTATATTTATAACTTTAAAAGAACATAAATACTTGGCTATCTACAGTCTACAGAGTACAGCTAGCAGAATCGCGTTAGTCTAAGTTTTCACGGCTGTTTTATTTGACTAATGGTTAGATTCATACATCCTCTTCGTGATCTTTGCTGTAAAAGAAATAAACTAAACAAATAAATTTATCAGGTTTTGTCACTATTAACTAATCTATTAAACTACTCATTATTTATTTAACATCTGACTATTATATTACCACTTTAATTAGCGATTGTACCAAAATTTACTCGTTATTCTATGGTACACATAATCAGAATTTTTAAGAGGTGTGCAAAGCGCAAGCATCATTACCCCAAGTGGGTAAATTACCCTTCAAACACGGAGTTACTGTCAGAAAATTATATGTTTATTCTTTTTAATTTGATTTTCTTTAATAACTCGGTAAGTTAGCGATTTGAAACTATTTGATTTTTTTGTCTCTTTGAAATGGAAATCCTCTAAGTGAAATCTTCCAGTAATTTGACGGAAAATCACTTTGTTTACCAATTTTGGTTCATGAAAATGGTTTTTTTTTTCATTTTTTCTTCGTCGAGTTTTGTTTTCATTCCTTTTTGAAATTAGGGTGCTGTAAACAAAACTTTTAAAATTGATCAATGAAATATATATTAACCGGTTAATTAAATACAGAAAAATAAGCTTCGTAATTTCTGTACAAGAAGATGTACAAATCAAACAATTAAAACTCCACCATTTTAGAATAATATATATTGTTTCACTGCTAATTTGGGTCTTTGCCCCTACATGTTTGCCTAATACAACCAAAACAACCTAAGGTTTTAAACATAGACAAAGGTTAAAGTGGAAATATTTTAAGAAGTAATATTTTTTGGGGGGAACAAAAAGAATTAAAGAGAAGGTTTAGTTAAGGAGATTAAGACAAAAGATGGGAGATTAAGATAATAGAAAGGAGGACAGGGTCGCACGTGCAACACCGAAATCTTCGACCAGAAACGTTGTGAATCAAAAGATGCTGCGCACGTGCCTCCTCGGTCAAAGGTCAAAAGCAACTAGTCATTGGACCTCCCAAACTATAAAACAACATTAATTTACATGAATCATAATTGTTGCATTATTTTAAGAAATTGATGGGTATCCAAGATAAGGATGATGATTAGGAGAGTCTGTGTTGGTACTAAAGACTAAAGACTCTTTAAGAGGTAATTAACAAATTTAGAAAATGAAAAACCTTTACGTGTTCATATTATTGAGCTTCTATCATATGTACATTTGAACTCGATATTTTCATTATATCATGCTTAATGACTGACTATACATATGATAAAGTTTACAAGGGCCAACCAACTGAACGTGTACAATGCTTTTTCTTGTATATGATGAATACATTGCTTTTAGTTTGTCATTGTATTTTTTTACTGAATGCGCACATACTTATTGGTTACATTATTTAAAAGACTGGTTTACATTTTATACAATAATGATGTATATATATGTTTACGGTTTACCTATACAAGCAACTCGATCGATTACAAATTTTCATTTGGTGATTGATATTACTTTGCGCAATGTATAAATGTTTTTTTACTTATGAAAATATAGTCAACAGTAAAAAATAACTTGCATATTTTAGACATCAACTAGTAATATAAGATCATACCAGCTGATCAAATACTGTCTACAACAGTCACCTATCACATAATAAAGTATCTTGGAGTTTATCTTAAAAAAAGCATTTAACTTGAAGAACATAAAGTCAGAATGGAATCCGTTGGATAATATCACTTGTCCTTAACAAAAAGAATATATTTGGTCATTTTCAACAAACACAGAATATACTATTGAAGGAGAGAAAACGTCTGTGATATGATCTATATACGACGATATTGATAATATACAGCTACTTACGTGTAACAGAATATATCATATATTACCATTATGAATCACTCAAAAGAGGAAAGAGGGAGATAATGTGGAAGCATGTGTTTATCCTCTCAAGTTGCTAGATTCAGCCACGTGTGATGACGTGGCACTTATGAATTTATATGATTTGCAGAGAATGACTAATTCTTATATGTCTTCGGTGTTCCAATAATACATATATGTGTGTATTAGTAGTGTATATACGAACTTGAAGCTTTTAACGTCAAAGAGTTAACATTCGATACAAAAGGGGCAGGTGTGTGACCATCCCCACGTGTGATCTCACATGCAATTAAGAGATTTTAAAGCTAAGTCTTCCAGAGTGACATATATAGTTAAAGAAAATAATTTTAAAAAATCATCAAATAAAAGATTTGAGTTGAGTATAAGGACAACAATAAGTGAGGATAAATGTTTAGGAAATTTAAAGTATGTAACCGAATGTATCACAAAAACCTTTTAATGATTTTAATGCCACGTCATTCTGGCCGAAACCCTAACGAGAGGCCACGTCCCCGTTGCATTTTTAAACAAATACACCCATGAGGATATCGCACAAGTTTTAACGTATTCTCTCTTTCTTTTTCTTTGTGAACCTGGTTTCTACAGTTCTCCGTTAGAGTATGAACGACAATTTCTGATTACGGTTTATGTTATTATATTTGTACTCAATGTACTTGATACATTTGTGATTGACCATCAACTTTTTGTCAAAGGATCAGTGAGCAACATGGTTTTTAGCATGTTTTAATAGTTTTTTTCAAAAATTATAGTAATAAAAATGTAAGATGTCACATCTATCATAATTTCGAATTGATGACTAGTATCCTGAAGCGAATATATACATATAAAGAAAATCACAATCCGATTTTGTCCAAAAATTTTAAGCAAATAATTGAGATACAGTTAGCTTTTGAACGGAAGTGATTCACGAATCATGACATTTCGTGAGCAGACCAAATCAATCAGAGGATGCCAACAATCCAAATGATGGTCAACCCTTTGGTCAACGGACGCGATACTCCCCACTGTCGTGTCCGCATATCCATAGGTTCGCATACATTCATATTTCATATATAAAGCGACTCGACCAAACTTGTGTTTCTTTACTCGGTGGACCGACTCACAGGCGTCCATTTATTGAACACATACATTATTAATTATCTTTAATCCATATTTCACCAATTAATGGTAATCAAACGCATTAACGTTTACTTCCGCTAATTGATTTGTGCCATTACAAAAATATAAGTAATTTATATCCGCCACTGTCTATGATCATCGACCTATCAAGAAAAATAAGATGTTCTTTTTTGGTGTCAATAACAAGATGTTTTTTTTTTATATATATATCCAGCACGTACTGCATTCGAATTAATTGCTAAAAATGTCTATTTTTCATATTGGAACATAAGATTTGCAAGTTTGATCATTTGACTGGAATCATGACTTATTGATGGTTGTTATGTATGATAATCGGTAAATAGACTACGAGACCAAATATGTGTTTGTCAAATTTTTTTGTTCATTTCTAATGGTTCAAACTTTTTTGAAAGATTAACAAATACGTGCTGATCGGAAAGATAAAAAAAAAAAAAAACAATAGGCAGCCATTTCGTTACAGTACTAAAAATGTATTAATAAAAGTAAGTTTGGGAAAATGACTCAATTTTTTTTTTTTTAGTAAACATGGTAAAATGACACTCCATCGACCTTAAGGGACGGTAGATATTTGTTTAGATACTATACTTAAGTTTTTATTTTATTGGATACGAACTATATATTAAACATTGAATGTTAAAGATATTAGAGGTTCAATAAAGTAGAAGTATAGGATACGAAATGCGCTAGTTATAAAATAATACTACATCAAAGCCCTAATCACGTGCCTTAATTGCTGGGCCTTCCCTTTTCCCCCTTAAATTAAGTATTTTCATTTGCTTCGTTTTTTACAGAGGAAACCCGCCTCCTCATCTGGCGGGTTGTTCCCCACAAGCCTTTTCTTTTTGTTTCTCGATCTCTCAACTTCTTCACAATTAATATTTTAACTTATAATTTTCAATTTCATTTCTCGTTTTTGACTGGGGTTAAGAGAAAATGTTAAATACTTATATATTTATTTTGCAAGAAAAATGTATTTTTTAACCGGCCCTATATTAGTTTACCGGGGACTTGACCATTTCCTTTTGACCCAAAAGGTGTAGCTAGTGTTTGTTCTTTTTAATTACTCGCTTTGCATCCTAGCTATTCTACTATCCACTCTTCAACATTAATTTATTTACCCCTATAATTCGTATAATTTTAATATACATGTAAAATGTGACACTCTCATTCATATATCATATATCAAGAACTTACTATCTCTAATAGTGTTTTAAATAGTATAGAATATATAAGAAAGTTCACAACGTAACCTATGTTTGTTTTTTAATATCACAGTAGAAAGTCCATACTGATTGAATTAGCATCATTAAAACTTTCTATACATCGCGACTATAATGTAATTTTTTTTTCTTGTTTATTAATGTGATGAGTACGATGAATATTATTCGCTTTCCACATTATAATAATATTACTGGTAGTCTGATAAAAAATGTATCCCAGGGTGAATAAGAAGAAGAACCAGTGTAATTAAGGTTGGATGTAAACGTATTCAATTCATTTTGTACGTGACAGTTTCGGAATAAATCATAAACAAGAGAACCCGAATATGAAATATTAACTACATGGGGTTAAAATTGTAAATTAAAAAGGTAGTCGAGTAAAAACCCGACCCGAAAGAGCAAAATCAGGTTGGGTGGGTTAAAAAAAAGAGTGGGGCATGAGAGAAGAAAGGGTAACAATGCATGCACGACAAGTGGAGAGTGAGGAAACAGCTAGTGGTTTAGTTTTTTTGGTTCGGAGTTCAGGGGTAATTTGGTAAATTAAACGATCACCTCCCAGATCTTTTGCGACCTTGTTCTGGACAAAATTTCTACACCGCAGTGCTATAAAAAAGTCACCTCCAAAGCAAAACAATTGTTTTATTTTGGCATTCTATTAAAACGAGATTATTATACATATGTCTGATTTGCCAAATCTTCAAATCATCGTGTATTATAAATTACAGATAACTAAATCGATTTGTCACCTTTGCGTTTTCGTGGGTTGGCTCGTTTGCTAGGTTCGACGGGTGATGAGTGAAAAATATCGTTTGGATATTTCGTGTCGATCGATGAGATCTTCGAAAATGCTACATTTTTTTATTTCAATAACCAAAAATTGAGTCTTATAACGTTTTCACGTATCCCCTATTTGTTCATAAAATGAAGGAAATACACCACCAACGATCATCAAGCAAAAATATGCACAAACACGTTTGAATTTACATTTCACAATATACGCAAATACAAACATTGTTTTCTATAAACAATTATATTCAAAAAAATAAAACAAATTTACCAATCAGTCAGTAATTTAAAGTTGCCAAATACTCAATTTATTTCCGTAGTTGAAAAAATATGATTAATTTCCCCCAAAATTAAATCGACATTTGTGAAAATAGATCTCTTTTTTTCCTGCCGAGCAAAGAAAAAGTTTTCATTTTTTGGGTATGTATGTTTAATGTATATTGTATAAAATGTATTAATGCATAGTAAAAGTATAAAACCTACGCATAAAATGACAGTCAAAAGTACAAATGAATGATGTCCAACCAAATTTATGTAACTGTTTCTAACAAAACGAGTTATATACGTCTTACATATTTATTAGACTCATTTTGTCATACTCATACCATAGAAGAAGAAGGTTATTTCACCTTTTTAATAATCCGGACAAACGAATTCAAAACAACAAAAAGTTAAAGCTAAAAAAAAATAGATATCTATCCATCTCTCTCTAAAATCCCCTCCGGTATTACGCCGGGCGACACAGAAGAAACCGCTCTACTTTTTAACTCTCTCTCTCCTATATCTCTACATGCACATTCTTTCTCTCTCTACTGCAAATGTATTATTTTTTTAAAAAATAATAATAATAAGATTTTCTTCTCTGCCTTTCTTTATAAGTATACGTCTCAGACGATCCTTAAAGGGCTTCTGGCTTCATCTTCTTTTTCTCTTCATTTAAATCTCAGACAACAGTTTACATGCATTTGCTCACTTGATCTCCTCATAGTTTCAAACTTCATTTTCTTCGAAAAGACATGCAATAGATAAGATCTTCTGATAAAACTTCCTCGTAATTATCGGTTTTTTCAACTTTTTCATAGTCTTTCTACCCACAAATGCAGAAGTCTCTAAAAGCTTTAGTGTAACGCTTTGATCAGGTTTGTATTTTTTTAACAACAAACTTACTTTTTTCCTGGGTTTCTTCTGCAATCTTCTTTGTCCTTTTCTATAGAAACACTAGAGAAATTTTTTGTAGGCGTTTAATTCTCTCTCCTAATTTTTTTTAACAAAACTTTTTCAATAAAAACTTGAGCAGGAGGATTTTTACCGAAGAAGAACAACAACAACAAACAAGAGAGAGAAAGCAAAAGAAATTTACTTTTTTTGTTTGTTTGGTTATTATAAAAAGAAGAAAGCAAAAGGAAGAAAAAAAGAAAAGAAACTTGATGGCTCCGATGACGAACTGGTTAACGTTTTCTCTGTCACCAATGGAGATGTTGAGGTCATCTGATCAGTCTCAGTTTGTGTCCTATGACGCTTCTTCCGCCGCCTCCTCCTCTCCTTATCTCCTCGATAATTTCTATGGTAAACCAATAAAATTAAAATTCACTTTCTTTCTTTTTCTCAAATCAAAATTTTGATATTTTCTGTGTGGTACGAACGAAGCGCGAATGATTGTGGTGTTTATACAGTACATGCTCGTGTGTGTGTGTGTGTAGAGGTGTAAGTATAGGCTCTAGTAACCGACTTCGTAGCTTATCCTATAACCCAGTTGCTGAACTCAGCCTCCCTCGTGTTTTCTCTCTGACTTTGTCTGTTTCCCGAGAAAGGCAAAGAACAAAAAAATCTAATTTTTTTTTCTTTCTCATATGGAAAATAGAGACTTCTCGTGATCTTCGTTGTTTGATTTTAACCCCCCAAAAAAATCGATTTTTGTTTACTTTAATCTTCTGGGTATGTATGAACAAGTATGTGAAATCTGATTCTTTTCTCGGCTTTCATTTTCCCGGGAAATCAAATCAACTTGTTCTTTGGTGATACTACTATTTCCTGATTACTTCATAGTTGCTGATGTTTTTTTTTTTTTTATCTGTGTTGGAATTTCAGGCTGGACGAATCAAAAGCCTCAGGAGTTTTTCAAAGAAGAAGCTCAGATAGCAGCTTCAATGGCGGATTCAACAATCCTAACAACATTCGTCGACCCACAAAGCCATTCCCAGAATCACATCCCAAAGCTCGAAGACTTTCTCGGCGACTCTTCATCAATCGTCCGTTACTCCGACAACAGCCAAACCGAAACGCAAGACTCCTCCCTCACTCAAATCTACGATCCACGTCACCACCAAAACCATAACCAAAACCACCACCAAACCGGGTTTTACTCCGACCACAGCCACGATTTCAAAACCATGGCCGGTTTTCAAACCGCCTTCTCGACAAACTCCGGTTCAGAGGTCGACGACTCCGCCTCCATCGGCCGGAATCATCTCGCCGGGGAGTATTTGGGACACGTGGTCGAATCTTCCGGTCCGGAGCTCGGGTTTCACGGTGGAGCCACCACCGGAGGAGCTCTGTCGCTTGGGGTTAACATTGACAACACTAATCAAAGGGGCAACGATAGTAATCCGGTCACTGAGCATCATTACCGAGGAAGTAACAATGGTGAGAGAATCAACAGCGAGAAGACGGATTCCGAGAAAGAGAAGCCGGTCGTGGCGGTGGAAACATCAGATTCATCTACTAAGAAGATCGCTGATACGTTTGGACAGAGGACGTCGATTTACAGAGGAGTTACTCGGTAAGTTCTACATTATTAGCCATTGACAAAGGGCCAATTAGTCAAATAAGGGTCAATTAGTCAAAGACATTAATTAAGTTATGATTTATAATAGTTTATTAAATGAAAGTACTAATGTGTAATTTTTTGATTGATGCAGACATAGATGGACGGGGAGATACGAGGCTCATCTATGGGATAATAGCTGTAGGAGAGAAGGTCAGGCCAGGAAAGGACGTCAAGGTACTCTATTTTAACTTCTCTCTCAATTTTTCTTTAATTTAATCACTTTATCAATCTCTGTTATGTTTTGCTCGTGAATCATTCTGGTTCTATGTCTCTAAGTGGGTTTTAGAAGGATTAATAAGAAGAGTGAACATTAGGACAAGAGTTTGTCAAAGAAATTGAATGCAAGATTCAAAAGAAGCTTTACCTTTTCCTTTTTTTTATTGATCTGTCTATATCTTTATATGATGATTGATAGAACTTTGGGTGATTGCATTTGTGAACTGGGAGCCAAAAAATTTAACTTGACAATGCTTTTGAGTCATGACTGAGGAAAAAAAAAATAGAAAGAAAGAAAGGGAAATAGAAATATAATATATAGTATATAGTTGTTGTTGACATGGTGTTGTTGATTTTTCATATATTTAGCAGAAGGGTGCCGCCATTTTGTTCCTTTGTCTTTATTACATTTCTTTTTCCTTTCACAATCCTTTCATTTCACACTTACACATACTAAAGCCTAAAGGTACATAAGATGGGTCCCCATGGCATTGCCTATATGATGCAATCTCTGTTTCTTTGATTGACATGTTTATGGACCCACTTTGACCCTCTATTCCTACATTTCTCTTCACCTACATATATATATATATTGTAGTAAGCATATGCGATTTGATGTTATGTAGGCCTGTGATGTGAGACCATTGGACTATTTTTTGTTTTTTTTTCAGTTTTAGGTTCATAGGGTCTGAAATTAGGAGTGCTTGGTTTATTTTGATTTATATATTGAATGCAAAACATGATGTTCCTTGCATTGAAGAAAGATGAGAGGAATTTCAAATTAAATGAAATTTTCTCAGTGTTTCTGCTGTCCATAAGGTGTCAGATTGATTTATATGTAGTGTTCACATCAACAAAGCAAAGTCTGAATATTCTCAGTAGCTTTTGCTTTATTTTTATATTTTTTTGTTTGCTTTGGGCTAACAAGTACCACCACCACCACAAGAGTGGGGATCTAGGGTTTGACCACATCCAAATTTTCCATTCTCTTTTTTTGTTTGTTTTCATATTCTCTCACTTTTGCTTTCTGAGTGTTAAAATTGATATCAATATCCCAAAAAGAAACCTTACAACTTAGTGTGTTTGGTTGAAAACTAATTTGCCTTAAGCATGGTCTGCATTAATCTTCTTGCATAACGGAGAATCATTGTTTGACTTAAATGTGTTAGGATTTCGTTGGTGATATTTGTTTCATCTCCTTTAAGCATTTATCATTTCGTTGGCTAAGTATTGTTTCATTTCCCGTTTTGGCATGTACCTCCATTGATGGATATTTGGCTTTGCTCAAATCAACAGTATACTTGGGTAAGAACAATATCTCACAATAAGTCTGTTCTTACAATAAGAATAAACAATAATGTTCATGCCTTGAATAATATTGTTTTGTGAATTGTTAAGGTGGATATGACAAAGAAGATAAGGCAGCTCGAGCTTACGATTTAGCAGCTCTTAAATACTGGAATGCTACTGCTACCACCAATTTCCCTGTAAGCAACAACTTCTTTCTCTGCTTTTGATATTTGTTCCATTAGTGGCTTTATCTACATCTTGTGGTGTTTCTGTACTAATCCGTTCCAATGATTTTAGATTACGAATTACTCGAAAGAGCTAGAGGATATGAAGCACATGACCAAACAAGAGTTCATTGCCTCACTTAGGAGGTAAGATCCCAAGAACAATACCACTTTTTGAACCGAATGGTTAATGTTTTTCGATAGTAACTTGGAGGTTAAACCGATGTAACACAGGAAGAGTAGCGGATTCTCGAGAGGAGCTTCGATATACAGAGGTGTGACAAGGCATCATCAACAAGGACGTTGGCAAGCAAGGATTGGCCGTGTCGCCGGGAACAAAGATCTTTATCTCGGAACCTTTGGTAAGTCAATCAATAAAACTTTGGTCTGAAACAATCATCATCAAGCTGTGGTTAAAAGTTAGTTAAAGTTCGGATTTTTATCATTCATTTTTGTTTGTGGTCGGTTGTAGCAACGGAAGAGGAAGCGGCTGAGGCATACGACATAGCAGCGATCAAATTCAGGGGAATCAACGCCGTAACCAACTTTGAGATGAACCGTTACGACGTGGAAGCCATCATGAAGAGTGCACTTCCCATTGGTGGCGCAGCAAAGCGTCTTAAGCTCTCTTTAGAATCTGCTGCTTCGTCAGAGCAGAAGCCGATCCTCGGCCATCATCAACTCCACCATTTCCAGCAACAGCAACAACAACAGCAGCAGCAGCTTCAGCTTCAGTCATCTCCCAATCACAGTAGCATTAACTTCGCTCTCTGTCCTAACTCAGCTGTTCAGTCACAACAGATGATTCCATGTGGAATCCCTTTCGAAGCAGCAGCTCTTTACCATCATCAACAACAGCAGCAGCAGCAGCAACAACAGAACTTCTTCCAGCATTTTCCGGCGAATGCAGCTTCTGACTCGACCGGCTCTAACAATAACTCCAACGTTCAAGGATCACTGGGATTTATGGCGCCAAATCCGGCTGAGTTCTTCCTCTGGCCTAATCAGTCTTACTAAAAGTCAATCATATGGTTTGATTGAGTCGGTTTTTTTGGGGTTTAGTTTATTTTCTTCTTCTTTTTTTCGTTTCAAGGGAATCAACAACTTTCTCACTGCGCTAATCTCCGGCTTCGTGATTCTGGCTAACCCATAAGCTGACTCGAAGGAATCTGAAAATCTCACTTGCGTCTCTCTTTTTTGTTTCTGTTTTATTAACTGTTGTTTAGGCAGGAGTAGATGGGGTTGAAATGTGAAAGTATCGAAAACAGTTGGGGTCATTATTGTATTAAACGTAAACTCGGTGGTGGAAAATGGTAGAAGTGGTTTCTGGCGTTTAATCTTTTTAGTAATAATCACTTTTATCAGTATCAGATACTCTGTTTCCGTTATGACATATTTTTCTTGACAAAGTTCCTTTTTGCTGTTATTGCTGTTGTTCAACACCAGCTAATTAGTCTATAGAGCCCATTGGGCCTTTTCACCTATCAGATACTCTGTTTCCGTTTATGACATTGTTTCTCGACAAAGTTCCTTCTTGCTATTGCTGTTGAATATCAGCTTATTAGTCAGTAGAGCTCATTGGGCTTTTAAGGCCTCGTTTAAAATGTTGATGGGCCTTTTTCACCTAAACCGAGGGCTAGGGCATGTTTATGATTACGTCTCTTTATACAGATGAACTAGAAATTAACATTGGGACTCTGTAACAATCTGACAACTACTCTTTTGGTTGTATGATTAACAAAGTTCAAAGAGGAACAACATAGAGAGACATGTTGATGATATTCACAGTTTGGTTGGGGAAATAAAAAAAGGCAACCAGTGCAGAAGAGCAAGCAAAACTCAAGTCTAGAAAAAGGAAAAAAAAAAAAGGCCAAACAGAGAAAAGAAAATAAACATTTTTTTTTTGTTCTGTTTTTCTATTTGTAATTAGGGAGTAAGTTGATTTAATTGCTTCTACTCACTCCATGAGGAGTTTCCTATGGCGGATGAGTTCGTTGAGATATGAGGAGGAGGTGTGATCTTGTAGATCGCACGCGTTCACACTCACTGCTCTTTCACCTTGATTCTTCTGCAGCTCAGATGGCTTGTCTTCTCCACGCAGCAGCTGCAGTACCTGCACAAGGACTCGCATTAGAACCGAAACACAAGCTCTGTGTTACTGTGTAGCTAAACCGAAGATTTGGTTTTGTTTTTGGATCTCTGTGAAGATAAGATGGCTTTACCGTGGTCATGTCAGGTCGCATTGTGGCTATATGATGTATGCACATCGAAGCTGTTAGCATCACCCGTTTCATCTCTGTTTGATCAAACTCTTTTCCTAACCGAGGATCCACTATGTCTTCGACGCTGTTCTTCTCCAAGAAAGGCTTTGCCTGTTTTTTGAATACATAATCGTTACAAAAGGTCAAAAACAGAGGAGATTTGTTTATTTTACAATTTCAGTGAGAGAGTTGAGATGAGAGATGCATTATATTATATGTACCCATGCAACAATGCTCTGTCTGCTTGCTGTATCAACAGCTCGGCGACTGGTTATGATCTCTAGAAGCAATACCCCAAAGGCAAACACATCGATCTTCTCATCAACGATGCCGTGTATGAAGTATTCCGGAGCCATATATCTGAAGGAAGAGAAAGAAAAAATGCCAATGAAAACTCTGTTTTAGTTTTGATCATCATCGAAACTTTCAAAATCTTTTTGTGTTTTTACCCGAATGTTCCTTCGATGGGGAATACAACATGATGAGCCCAGTTCTCTGGGAGCCATTTTGCAAGTCCAAAATCAGAAATCTGAAACGAGATATTCAGTTCATGGTTCTCAAATCCAACCGAGTCCCAAGAACATGTAACAGGAAGATATTGTCTGAATCAATTTACCTGAGCTTCGTACTCTCGGCTGAGCAATATGTTAGAAGCTTTGATGTCACGGTGAATCATCCGTCTCGGGCAAGCATTATGAAGATAACTGAGACCATCAGCTATACCTAGAGCCACTTTATACCTTATCTTCCACTCCAGACACTCATCTGATCCTACAAAGATAAAAAAACACAGGAGATCACAACAATGTCTCTCTACAGACAAGATTTTTCCAGTACAAGAAGGAGACATTTTTAAAGATTACCAAAGAGCATAGAAGCGAGGCTGCCGTGAGGAGAGTACTCAAGCACAAAATGCAAACCGCGATCACAGCTGAAACCTCGAAGGCGAGCTGCGTTTGGGTGGTTTACATGTGCGATTATCCCGAGCTCTGAAAGGAAATCGCTCACTCTTTCTTCTTCTTCCTTGGCGTGATTCATCAGCTTCTTGATCGCCACAGTCTCCCCATCAGCCAATACCCCTCTGTATACCTCCGCGTGTCCTCCTTTCCCAATCATGTTCTCTATCAACAACCACAAAAAAAAGAAGAGACTTTTACATCAGAAACTCGGATTTAGAGTCCAATTTTGTTGAATATGGATTTTGGTTTTACCAGGATCGAAATCGTCGGTGGCTGCAGCGAGCTCTTCGTAGGTGAAGTTTCGCCAAGAGGGTTTAGCCATGAAGAAGCCTTCACAGGAGAAGCCATTCTCAGAAGGAGACAACTTTGGTTGCTTACGCCGCAAGTTTTTACGTGTGAGCTCGTAACTTGCGAGGAGGGGAATCACTGTGAATCGTCTAATGGACTTCTTCTTGATGGATTCAATCATTTTGTTCCATGGAAGACCATGGGAAGCAGACGAAACGTTTTTACTACGAGTATTTGAGAATGGTTTATCTTCAGACGAGCAAGAGCTGCAACTACTGTAATTACTGCTGGTGTTGTCTGTATCTGAGGCCATAATTGCGATTCGAAGAACACCTCTTGGCGATGATGGTGAATCCTCGAGGCCTAAGTCGTTCCTGTGAAGCTCTATCTCTTGTTGCTCTTTGCTTTCTTTGCTTTTCTTCTTCTCTGTCTCTGTCACAAGGAAGGGAAAATGTAAGTTTTACTTTATAAATTTGGAATATATATATTTTTTACAAAGGAATATGTATATATAAAAAAAAAATCCGTTTTTAATGAAACCCAGAAAAAAATTTGGAAGGCAGTGAGATAATATGAAGTAAATCAATGAGTTTTTTTTTTTCCATTTTGTTAACAAAAAAAGTTTCAAGCTTTAGGTTTACCTTCAACAGCCATAGCTCCAACGGTTTGTTACTTGCTTCCTCTGGGATTATCTCCAATAAGAGACGAAGCCTTTGAATCAAGTTTAAGAAAAAATTCCCAGAAACATAACAGAAGGAGGAAAAAAAGATCAAAATGGCATAACCGAGGAAACAAGAAAACAGAGAGAAGTTTTTAATTTTATTTGTATGAATGAGAGAGAGAAAACTGTTATTGTTGGAAGAAATAGAAAGTTTGAAGAAGAGTCAGCTTTTGCTGAGTAGAGATGGATTGGATTATCGGCTATATTTATACAAACTCCACCAATGCAATTCAACTTTTTGTTTTTCTTTTTCCCTTTCAACTGTAAGTCAAGTCAAGTTTTGTTTTTTCTTAATCTTTCTTCTCCTGTCCAAATTACCTGATTAAGTAATAATTTGAGGAAGATGAAAAGGATTAGAGATTTGTGCCTTAAACTAACGCATTTACTATGTACGGACTCCACGGTTGATATATCTCGAGCTGTTTGTGGGCATTTTCGTCAAATATATGATTCACATCCATTACCTTTGCTTGTAAAATGATTATTCAGATTACATTTTACTCAAATTACATTCTCCGCTAAATAGCTAATTTGTGAGGAAGAATTAAATAGCCCATGTGACATATTTTGACATCTTTTAGGGGACTTTATTTTGTTTGTTTAGCAAACCTTTTCATTTGGGTATATACATTAAAAGGTAGACAAGCTTAGAAGTGTGGGAACGTTTCGGTTTAATGGTCTAGCTGTAGAATTTGTATTACGGCTTGACATTTTTTTTTATTTTATAACTTTAGTATGGTTTAAAATGACGGAAAATATAAGATTGCAAGTAAAACACAGAGACGAATTTGAAACCAACAAAAAGAAAACATATAAAGACAAAGTAAGAAAAAAAGAGAGTGTGAATTTGTTTGACAAATGGTGAGTGCTGTCGGATTCTTATTTTTCCCTTTTGATTCAATTTCGTGGCGCCATAAATAGAGGAAACACATGGCAGACAAATTTGACTACAAGCGATGATTTGTATTTTTTTTTTAATATTCAACCACGCTAATATTTTTATTTACAGAATACTATCACTTTCGAGCCATCATAATTCGAAATGTAAGTTCTATATAATCACTGTTATTAATGATTCAAGAGTTATCCATGCGTGATGAGTCTGATGACGGCTCAATTACTTTTGGTTTTACGGAATAAATTGTAATTTTTATTTTTAGCAGAGCAACCACCAGTATCAATAAAAGACAATGTGTGAGACCCACATAAAGCGTTTAACCAATGAGACTGCGAATAATAAACACAAACTTTGATGTCTTACTATAGATGGGTTCTTTAATTTTCGAGGATTAAAAAGTCAGACTTTATTGGTTATCACCTAAGACATTAATTAAAATCAACCAACTTTCCATGAGACAGCCCAAGTGAAAACTAATTGAGTTGTTACAATTACGAATCCTATATCTAGCACTTGGTCTGTCTCAAAAATGCAATACTGAATCCGTCTATTGAAAGTAGGATTATATCTTATTATAATTTATAAGTAACAAACTGTGCATTTTACTCAAACACGTATACAGTATTTACATAGTACACGAGCAAAACTTTATTTTATTTCTCATACTAATAATATCGGTGGGTAAATTACAAATTTCTTTAGACAATATCGATTGGTTGTCTTAAGTGAATTAGTAGTAATTTTAGTATATTCTATAAAAACAATCAATTGCAACGTAAGCAAGGATGGGTTTAATTGTGTTAGTTGGTGAACTAAACCCGTTAATACCACAACCATTTCTCTCTTCAAATTAATATATCGCTCTCCAAAAGCCCAAATCAAACCCCCACCAAACTCACCAATGTGAATTTCAGTTAGAGAAGTCGGTTCAACCGATTTTCACTATGATATGACATTTCATTTGTTTAAATATAGAAATTATGGTCATTAATCATTGGTAAGCGCCTGTAGCTCAGTGGATAGAGCGTCTGTTTCCTAAGCAGAAGGCCGTAGGTTCGACCCCTACCTGGCGCGATTAAATTTTTATTTTCATAAATTAAGTAGGAGGACCTAAATACCCCAAAACACAATACTAGAAGAGCCCAATTTGAAACAAAAGAAGCCCAATGTTCGGCAAGTTCACAGAGGTTTATTGAGCAAATGCGTATTGAACAAGTTGAAGTAAATGTGTATTGAACAAGTATTTATTGAACAAGTATTTATTGAACAAGTTGATGGTGGATGCATTCTTTGTAAACACAAGCTTCTACTTCACATTTTTATGCAAAAAACAAAAAGAAAACACATATACAAAAGTTTTTCTTCTATCTCAAAATGTGAACCACTTTAGATAATGCATTCACTAGTATTATATTCTTTTTTTGAAACATCTTACAAAAATATTTTTGAAATTGTAGTTGTAATAGGTGCAAACCTAGTCATGTATTATCCAAAGCGGTTCACATTTCTCTCTCGCAGAAACGAGAAATATCAAATTACACCTCCTAAAATATAGGGGAGTATTGAAACTAAAAGTTTATAGAGAATTAATGAAATTTTAGATGATTTTATGTGGATTAGAATAGTTGATATGATTTGATATGAAAATTATATGAAATCCTACCTAAAACAATGAGATTTGGTTTTCTATATTTTAAACTAACAAATTCTCCCAAATCATTTAAAAATACTTAATATTTTGTAAAATCTATTATTTCAAAAAATTTTAATAACAGTGGATTTGATTTAGTTTTATGAATTCTTGATTGAATAACATAAATATTGAAGTGATTTTAACTGGTTTTATATAAATTTCATGTTCAATAATATATATTTTGGTAAGACATTTCGAATTTATTAGTTGAATAACATGAAACTAGGTGGTTGGCCCGCACATATGTGCGGGTATAATTTTTTTGATATACATAGTTAATTGTAATATTGAAATGTTGATTAATTTTTTTAAATATTGGTATGTTTGTATATATATTGTTTTAATATTTCACAAACTTCTTTCTGAAACCACTGTATTTTAAAACTTTTATATTTATAATGCTTGTAATAATATATAATCACAAATATAAAAGTTATGTTAAATAATAATTAAATTCTTATAAGATTTTTTGAATATTTATAAAATATGCTTTATTTCTCCTTACACAATCTACAATATGATTTTTTGCATCTTACATAATATGAATTTGCAAATACATATATAATATATTTAAGTATATATTTTTTTTGATTTATTGCAAATTAAACTGAAATATTTTTTACTATTTTTACTTATTCCGAAGAGCGGATAGATGATTGGCACGCATGTGCGAGCATACCAACCACTTCACTACACTTAGAATAAATAAAGATTTTTAAAAATTAAAAATTGTATAATAATTAAAATAAAAATTAGACTGTAATCAATCTTAACAAAATACATACACGGAAAAGTTCGCATGTGACTCCAACTAATGCACAATTAATATTTATGTATGTACGCGTATTTGTAAAAAATTAAAATATGGCTTGTACGTGTTAAAAATTTTTTAAGTGACTTTGTAAAACAAAGTGCGAGATATTTACTTTTATATACTTTTATTTTTATTTCTGATTCATATTGTTTCATCTTATTATAATTTATTTTATCGTTCGGTTATTTTTTATTTCATTTATTATCTCAAAATTTTTATATACAATGAAAATAAATTTATATATATATATGCATATGCTTTAAAATTTTATTTTTATTTAAAATATGATAAGAGATAAGATAAAGTTATGTACATTTTAGAAAACAACAATAAAAAAATAATAAAAGTTATAGAAAAATATATGGTCCTATTAATATTATAAAATAATAATTAGTATATACTTTATTCAATTAGTAAATATTGGTTTTAAAATAAAATTATTAAAATTACGTTTTTTTAAAACCATTTCAATAAAATTAAATTATTTTATTATTTTAACATTTTATTCTTTAAATTATTTTTATCATGATTGTATTTTATTTAAAATTGTATTATTTAATAATTTTTTATTTAAAACTTGTTTAGATGTTATTAATATATTTTGTAAATTAATAACTTTCCGATATAATAATATATCATACTTCAAGTATTATTAATAAATATAATTTTTACTATTTTATTGGATAATTTAGTATTATTTTTTGTTTTTATATAAAATTATAAAAATATATATATATATATATTGTTGAAATAAATTCATAATTATATTTTATGAAATTATGAATATATCTAAAAAATTAAAATTATAATAATTTTTATTTTCTGTTAATTTAAATTTGTTAATTTTAGTGTTATAAATATAATCTAGTTTATTTATGTTTTAATTCTACAACTATAATTTTAATTTAACCAATCAAAACATTTTGTTTATTTTAGAAAGTTTGACATGTCACATTTATATGTCATCAATTAAAAGCACTAACTTTGGCTGTAGTGTTGACAAGTAAGCTATTTTCAATAATATTACTTCTCAAATAATATGTAGTGGATTTTAAAATAACCGCAAATTCTTCTAAATTTTCAGTTTCAATACACTCAATAATATTTTCTTAGATTTTTTTGTATTAATAAGCCAACCCAATAATTTACGAAGACCCATAAAAAAAAAACTGAAACAAATCACCCTGCCCCAGTTATGAATAGTAAGCATAAAATTAGAGATTCTTCTCTCGCAAGCAACAGGAACAGAAACGAGAAATATCAATTACACAGAAGCACAAAGACTAGAAAATACAACACACACGAAGAAACAAGAATGAAAAAAAGAAGATATGTAAACAGCAAGCCGAGATGTGCTCAACGACCAAGCTGAGCACTTGAAAACGTTACAGTAGCTCCACCAGAGCTAGCCGAAGTTGTAGTACTCGAAGATGAGACATGATAAGTAGCAACAGGCATCTTGGTCGGAAGATGAGGCCATGGTGCTTCAAGATTCAAGACTTGGATCGCTTGTTTTATCGATGGCCTCGAGTTCCTATCAGGATGAGCACACCATAACCCCACAACCATCATACACTCCGCTTGCTTCTTGTCGAAACCATCGGTCCCGAGTTTCTCATCGATAGATGTGATCACTTCTCCTTTCCCATACAAATCCCACACTCTCTCCACAAGGCTTGTTTCAGGCTCCACTCTTCCTTGCCTTGGATCAACAGATTTTCTTCCTGTAACTATCTCTAACGTAACAACTCCGAAGCTATAAACATCGGATTCTCTGCTCGCCCTTCCGGTGCTAATGTACTCGGGAGCCATGTAACCAAACGTTCCTGCTAACCCTGTAGTCTGCGGACCCAGCTCGTGGTCCATCAATCTAGCCAACCCGAAATCACCAAGCTTGGCGTTGAAATTGGAGTCAAGCATCACATTACTCGCCTTGATGTCTCTGTGGACAACGCACTGCTCCCACTCCTCGTGGAGATAAAGCAGAGCAGAGGCAATGCCGAGTGTTATCTTGCACCTCACAGACCAAGCGAGATGCGGCTTTTTACCAAATAGGTGGGCGTCGAGGCTACCATTTGGCATGAACTCGTATACCATTAGAAACTCCTCTTTTTCATGACACCAACCAATGAGCTGCACAAGGTTTCGATGCCTCAAGCTGCTGATTATCTTTACTTCTGTTATGAACTCTCTTCTCCCCTGCTTAGACCCGCCCGCAAATTTTTTGATCGCGACCATCATGTCTAAACCGTTTAAGTACCCTTTATAAACCGCTCCAAAGCCTCCTTCCCCTAGCTTCCTATCACCTGAGAAGTTGTTAGCAGCTGAAGCAAGATCTCTATAAGCAAACTTTCTTGGTCCTGCTCCTCTTTCGAGATCTTCATTTATCGATGTCAAGTGTGCAGTCTCCTCTGCTTTCTTCTTCCTCTGCTTCCTTTTCAAGAAGACGACGAGCGAGACAATGAAAAAGGCCAGCAAAACAAACCCGGAAACTAAAATACCAATGATCATCCCCTTCCTGTCTTTCTGACGTTTCTTCATATCTATTAGCTCCAGGCTTGAACTGTATTCCCATGAAAGAAGTCTATTCCCCTCGGTGACCCCTCCAGAGGTCGCGGAAAACCCAACAGTAACTTCTGATGGCAGTACCTTCGAAAGATCAATGATGTAAGACAGGCTTGAACTCTCCCTAGGATCAGATGTTAAGTCGTAACTCCAAGAGACGCTCAAGTTTCTTCTAGCGGAATCGTAGAAGACGAGCACACGGCCTACATCTTGGCTATGTGAGGATGCATTCCAAGAAGTGTAGTTAGAGGAGACAAGAGAGTTGTTGTTGATTCCCACATGAGATCTCACGTCGAGAGGATCCCATTCTGAATTACCATATGTGTCGAACTCGACATGAACGAGTGGGAAAGAAGAAGACTTGACGTTGGTCTCATTGAATAGACCCAAGTAACCACCAGCTGAGTTGGGAGGCAACTGGATCCTGGCCGGAGCTAGAAAGAAAGCGAACCCATGACCGTAGTTACTGTACCCATAATTCCGGGTATCGATTCTGAAGGAGAAGCGGGTACTGAAATCGGAAGGCTTACCGGTTTCCGGATCCCATAAAGGAACCTTCTTACCATATGTAGCCCAACCGGCACGGCATGTGTAGTCAATGTTGGTAAGCTCAACAGCGCCGTTTGCTCTTGCATCTCCTTGGTATGCTATCTCAGAACTATCTGTCCTAAACTGAGATATGTTAAACTGAACTGAACAGACAAAAGGGAGAGCCAAAACAAAGGAAAAGAAGAAGATTGAGTTAGCCATTTGGAGGAAGAGACAGCTATTAGCACAAGAGACCAGGTTGGTACAAAATTGATATGTCTACAAAACAAGAGCAAGTCAACGAATAAACCGTGATTAGAAGAAGAATGATTGCACCTGAGAGCCTGATCCCAACTATCTCATAGGGAAAAAACAAAGTTATAAGCAATGATAGTTGACCACAAGAGTAAACAAATCATATTCAAATTGAAAATTCTGCTATGATTGCTAATGAATATGACACGAAAGATTATAAAAATGCGGAAGACATGTTTAGTGCTCATCCTATGCTTAAGATAATCACAGGAAAACATCTCTTTTGACTTCAAAAATATGGTTTTCCAGCAGAGACACAGCGAAAATTGGACCATTTTTACACAGAACTAGTTTATGCACAACGAACACGATTGGTTACTGAACAAAAGATGATTCAGTCACCAACTTCGATGGTTCATCTGTAAACTTAAGAACATGTCAATGCACATTAAGTACGAACCTTGGAAAACCTACGAGACAAAGTACATAGAAAAGAAAAAGTCTACCTTTTAGAAATTGAAAACGACTTCCATCAAGTCAATGACAAACCTAGGATTAGAAAAATAAGCTTAAACTAATTAGCATCAACCTACCTTGAAATCGTAGCGTTTTCTTTGTTTTGTCTACTAAGTCTATGAAAGGAATTTGATAAACCGTTATATGCGGAAGCAAAACAATTGACCTCAAGCCAATAAACAAATGATATTCAAATCTGAAGTATACGTCTTTAACCAAAAATATACGTCTTATCCTACTTGTAACAAGAAACCCAGATACCATTACCAAACAACGTTATCTACGAAAGCGATGTGAAAAACTTTTAGAAAATTAGAAACTAGTTCTAATCATGGTCTATGAATCATGCACTTAAGAAAACAATAGCCTTTCAAACAACTTATCACGAAAATATCATTTCGTCGAACAGTTGGTGTGCACGTCGTAAAAACCAACCAGTCTCCTGGTTCATAAAAGTTCAGACTTCAGAAGAATAATTTGGCAAAATTACCCTTTAGCTTTAACATTGTACCAGTTATAATCGTAACGCTTTCTCGGGACTCTGTCAATGCAAACGCAAACGCAAACGCAAACGCAAACGTAAACGTAAACGCAAATGCAAACGCAAACGCAAACGCAAAGTTTCTGTTATTCTCATTTTCGCCCCTTTACTTCGCTAAAGTCATATCCTTGCCCCATCTGGTTTGCTTCATTCGCTTACTGTCTCCCTCCCAGAATCCCAGATCCATCTCCAACTCTCATTCTCTCTCTCTCGCTCGTCTGCTTCAATGGCTTCTGAAGATTCCCTCTCATCGAACCCTCTGTTGCAGAGTTTCGAGTTCCCTCCGTTTGACGTCGTTGGTGCTCAGCATGTCCGACCCGGGATTCGTGCTCTCTTGCAGCAGCTCGTACGATTCTCTTTCTGATGCTTCCTATTGAATATTTTTTGAGTGCTTACTTAGTCCTTCTAGTCGTCTTGCATGATTGGATTACTGTTGTTTTCTGCATTCTTCGTCATCTTTTGGACCTTGATTGACTTGTATATTGTTTCCGTGACTCTATGAACAAATTCGTTCAATACTTCATCTCTTATCTACGTTATTGGATCATTGACTTGATTGCATGTAGCTGTTGACAATTGCGTGAAACGATTGTGATGTTTTTTTTGTGGGATTTGGCCAGGAAGCTGAATTGGAGCAGCTAGAAAAAACCGTAGAGCCTTCATGGCCCAAACTTGTGGAGCCACTAGAGAAGATTATTGATCGGTTATCTGTTGTTTGGGGAATTATCAATCACCTTAAGTCTGTCAAGGACACACCGGAGCTTCGTGCTGCCATTGAAGAAGTTCAGGTACATTATCATTGAATATGCCTAGTTTTTTTTTTCTCTGTTCATGAGTAGTTTGATTCAGATTATGCACTTTGATGTGAAGCTCATGAGTGGTTTTCTAACCATACTTTCATTTACAGCCCGAGAAGGTGAAGTTCCAGCTCAGGCTGGGGCAGAGCAAGCCCATTTACAGTGCATTTAAGTCTATTCGAGAATCTCCAGACTGGAAAACACTGAGCGAAGCTCGTCAACGATTAGTAGAAGGCAAGTAGTAACTATAGTTGGGGGATAAGAAAGAACACATTTTGTTCTTCCCTTTTCAACTTTTTAAAATATGGATGAGCAGAATCTTTTTTTAAATATTTTCGTTGTTTAGAGATATGCGCTTACTATGGCATCCGTGTGTTTTCAGCTCAAATCAAGGAGGCGGTTCTCAGTGGTATTGCTCTTGAAGATGACAAGAGGGAAGAATTTAACAAAATTGAACAGGTTTGTCTGAAACTCTTGGCGAATATATGTAGTAAATGGATCAGCGCTTTCCACAGCTACATGTGTCCACCAGCATGGTCTGTGTAATTAGTAACATCATCTGCTTTGCCGTTTTCCACTGTAGGAACTTGAAAAACTTGCCCACAAGTTTTCTGAAAATGTTTTGGACGCTACAAAGAAGTTTGAAAAGTTGATAACAGACAAGAAAGAGATCGAGGGGTTGCCGCCATCTGCACTTGGACTCTTCGCACAAGCAGCTGTTTCCAAGGTATGAACAATATCTGAAAGATGTGTATAGTTTCATGTCGTTATACATTGGGTTTTAGTTGTTGATGCGTCTTAATATATGATTTAAGGGCCATGAAAGCGCAACTGCTGACACTGGACCATGGCTCATTACACTGGATGCTCCTAGTTATCTCCCCGTCATGCAACATGCCAAAAATCGTGCTCTGCGCGAGGAAGTCTACCGTGCTTACTTATCTCGAGCCTCTTCGGGTGATTTAGATAATACAGCAATTATCGACCAAATCTTGAAGCTTCGACTAGAAAAGGCTAAACTTCTTGGCTACAGAAATTACGCTGAGGTATAGTTAGCTAAGTCAAATTACTCTTCTTTACTCATGTGGTAAAATTTAATGTCATTCTCCCTGTCCAGGTAAGCATGGCCACGAAAATGGCTACTGTAGAGAAAGCAGATGAGCTACTAGAAAAGCTTCGCAGTGCTTCTTGGGATCCTGCTGTTCAAGGTAACTTAGATTTCCATTAAACGAAAATATAATTTTTTAAAAACTAGTAAGCTATTACTGCGATTTAAATGTCCAATTTAAGTATGTAACGGTGGTGCTCATAGAGTTTTTGCATCGGCCTATCAAGACAGAACCCTGATTAAGTTTGGATGTATTATGAATTTAGACATAGAAGACCTTAAGAGTTTTGCAAAGAACCAAGGTGCCGCAGAAGCTGACAGTCTGACGCACTGGGACATCACTTTCTGGAGTGAGAGGCTCCGTGAATCCAAATATGATATTAATGAGGTTCTTGTCCTTATTCTTTAGCTTGTGTATGAGATTTTTTTTGTTTTTGAAACTCTTGACGCTTATCACTGACTGCTTGTATTTTTGTAGGAAGAACTACGACCTTACTTCTCACTGCCAAAGGTTATGGATGCGCTTTTCGGTCTAGCTAAGACACTATTTGGAATTGATGTGGTGCCAGCGGATGGTGTTGCTCCGGTAACTGCTGGAACCTAATCTGTTGTGTTTCTGCTAATGTCCATCATGCTTTATCTTTGCTAACACGTTATATATCATTGCCTTGAAGGTCTGGAACAGCGAAATTAGGTTCTATTGCGTCAAAGATTCCTCTGGAAATCCAACTGCCTATTTCTACTTTGATCCATACTCTCGTCCTTCAGAAAAGAAAGACGGCGCTTGGATGGATGAAGTTTTTTCCCGTAGCCGAGTAATGGCCCAGAAGGGCTCCTCGGTTAGGCTACCTGTTGCGCACATGGTCTGCAACCAAACCCCACCAGTTGGTGACAAGCCAAGCCTTATGACATTCCGTGAGGTAAAGAAAATCCGTTGGATATTGAGTGTGAAGGAAGTATAGAAAGAGAACACTATCAACTATATATGAGTATGGTATGTTAGTTGGTTACACACTATGAGTAGCTATGCCCACAAGATTAATTTGTTGTGACCTAAAAGTTACGTTGGTACCTGACAAAACTTACTCATGTGTATATTGAAATCTATTGTAGAATGGTATTCATTCACGAAATTTGTAATTTGATGGCATAAAGGGCCATTGTATGATTAAATCTAACAATCATTAGGACTTAGGAGTAGCAGTAGATTGACCACTTCTCTTTTCGCCCTGTTTGTAGATTTCCATACTCCGAAACTTTTTGGTGCTTTTGAAATTAATGTAGGAGCTTGACATTAATTTTTGATAAGTAAATTCTTATGTGCATGGTCAAGGACTCATGATCGTCGTTCTCACTCTGATTTACAGGTAGAGACTGTGTTCCATGAATTTGGACATGCTCTCCAGCACATGCTTACCAAAGAGGATGAGGGGCTAGTTGCTGGTATCCGAAATATCGAGTGGGATGCAGTCGAACTACCTTCACAGTTTATGGAGAACTGGTGCTACCACAGGTTCATCTGCCTTGCCAATTTTAATTTACCCCGTGATTTTTGACCTTCTTTGCAATACTTTTCTGTGCTGCGGAGGCATTGTACTAGTAAATTTGTAATAAACATTTATGTATATGGATGTGGTTTTAGGGATACCTTAATGAGCATTGCTAAGCATTATCAAACAGGAGAAACTCTACCTGAGAATGTATACAAGAAGCTCCTGGCTGCAAGAACATTCCGTGCAGGGTCCCTTAGTCTTCGTCAGGTCAGTACATCAAATCAAACAGCTGATGTTCATATGTAGCACTGAGATTCTCTTGCGCAGCGTGATCTGTAGAAACACAATTCAGTAAATATCGCCCTTGTTTTGTTCCAGTTGAAGTTTGCTACAGTTGATCTGGAGCTGCACACAAAATATACTCCAGGTGGGACAGAGTCTATCTACGATGTTGATCGAAGGGTGTCCATAAAGACACAAGTCATCCCTCCCCTTCCTGAGGATAGATTCCTCTGTAGCTTCAGCCATATATTTGCGGGTATACCCCTTAAAATTAACCTTATACAGCGGGCCATGTGCTTACTTAAGCGTAGGTGCATTCTCTAGTTTCTTTCACTCATTCACGTTTTCATGTTTCGCCAGGCGGTTACGCGGCTGGATATTACAGTTATAAGGTAGAAAGACATTCTCTTGATTCTATAGATAATTCACTACTGGAACAAATCTCTTGACTAATGGTGATCAAACCTCTAAATACACTTTTCTGCAGTGGGCTGAGGTTTTGTCTGCGGATGCGTTTTCAGCTTTTGAAGATGCTGGATTGGATGACATCAAGGTAACAACAAATCACAACGAACCTTAAATTCGTTTTTTTTTTTTTTTTTCAGATTTGTGATCATCTCTTTATGTTGCAAAATACAGGCTGTTAAAGAAACAGGACAGAGATTCAGAAACACCATACTTGCTCTGGGAGGAGGAAAAGCACCTCTACAAGTAAAAAATCCATCATCGCTTCTAGGTTCTACGTATATATATAATATAAAGTCGTTTCCAGATGATCTAACTTATGATGTATATTATTGAGCAGGTGTTTGTGGAGTTCAGAGGACGAGAACCTTCCCCAGAGCCTCTGCTCAGGCACAATGGACTCTTCGCTGCTTCTGCTTGAAACTAATGTTTGCTCTTTTAAGTGGTTTCGTCTAAAGAGAGTCAGCCTCGTAACTTCCTTTTAGGATTAATAATGTCGTCCAATAAAATGAAACTTTATACTTAGAACGTGTTCACTGAGCATGTTTTGTCAAGTATTGTAGTCCATCTTATCAATCAAAATCCAAAGATGTGAGACTGGTGATATAGTTATGCTTCATAATAAATAAAAAACGAACAGAGATTCCTTCTTCGTGTTTGTACAGATCTCTCAACATATTCTTCCCGAAAAAGAAGAAAGAGACAAATATGAAGAAACCCACCAAATGATCCTCTTCATCTTTACTAGGTCACTCTCAAGTCTCAAACCTCTGTTCGTCTTCTTGTCACCAATAATCTAAAAGAACTAAAGAAGCTTAATTTGAATGAGAAGAGAAACTCTTCCATTTCTTTCTCAACCTAGGAATCCCTAACTACCCTTTACAATTTTTTCCTCTCTATCTACGATTTCCTAACACTCAAAAACCTTTTCTTCATTAGAATTTTCCCTTTCTTTCCCTTTACACCGAACTACCTCTGCCCAGATCCTCCGATTCTACTCTCCTGGGGACTGGAGTTGTTAAGCTTATATATGTTCCGGGGCTTCTTTTGCATCCACAAATGGCGATTGCACACTATCAGCATCTGAATCACTTCCCGATGAACTCCCTGACTCTGAATCTGCATAAAGAGACGACCGTTAAACAAAACTTCTTTTTTCAAAAATGAAACATTTTAACTTTAACAAAGAAGATACGAAAAGGAAAATTATTACCACTAGAGGAAGAACTGCCACTGGAACTAGAGCTGCCAGAAGAACTTGCAGCAGCAGCAGCGGTGGCTGTACAATCCCTTTCAATCTCCACTGATGGATAATCCTCTATTGGTATATCTTCTCCGATGTCTACATCTTCTTCTCCTGTGTCACCTCCTTTCCTCCCTCTCTTCTCAGCACTTCCCATTTCTGTCACCAGCGGCTGACGACAGAGACAAATATCAGTACGAAACACACGGAAACAATGGATGTTGCTTGATACAATGGATCATAAAACTAGCTTTACCAGATTCCTAGGGGGAGTTGACACATTCTGGATGAACCCTTGTCGCTTGATCTTGCTTGCCATCTTTTTGTGGTTAGTGACGAAACGATCAAGCTCCCATAGAGTCTCATTGTCTAATGCTTCGATATCTAGTTCAATTTCATCCCCGTCTTGAGGTAGAGGTTCAGTTCTCTTCTTCAGAATCTGAATCAACTGTCCAAGCTTCTCTGGAGGCAACTCCTGTAGGTCTACGCCAAGATTTGCCTTTTCGTCCATTGTCATTTGCCGCTTGTTCGGATCCTTAGCCTTGGGCTTTGGTAACTTCCCTTTCCTTCCCTTACTCGCTTTACCCACTTCAAGAGGTGCTTCGACTTGGTTAACCGGCTGGGGAGCTGCTTCGACTTTGCTAACCGCCGGCTGGAGAGGTTGTGGTTGTGGCTGAGCCGGTGACGGAGGAGGAGATGGGATACGTGGAAGCTCAATTACCGGAGGAGTGAATGCAGGTAGTGGCTTCACTGAATCTAGCTTTTTAGCTATAGAAATCTGGTCAGGGCCTTTCCTTGCATTCTCCGCCATATGATTCTGATGCCACACTCTTGGTTTGAGCTCAGGTTCAGGACGAGAAGATGATCCCATGACTTTCAGCTGTTGAGCCTCGAATCTCATCAATGTAGGGTTGAACCAAACGTCGAATTGAGCCAGAAGCTTCTCGGCCATTTTATAAACGTCTTGGTCCATCGGGTTGTACGCCAACGCGTTGGTGAAAGTCAACCTAACATCGGAGGCGAAATCAATCGGCGATCTGTAAAAACCCTTTTCCAGATTCAACTTCACCGTGCCCAGATCCATAGGCTTCCTCACGATCAGATGGTAATCGTGAAGCCCTAAACCTAACACATCCACAGGGTTGTTGAAAACCCATGACCATTTCTGCTTCATCAGCTTCGCCAGGACCTGGCCGCACGTCGACATCATACTCTTCAACGCCTTCTCTGACTCCCGGTCCATATCCACCGGACGCTTACGGCCAGGCTCGTTCACAGCAAAAGGATTAATTCGCTTCTGACCATGCCCAGTTTTCTTCTTCTTCGTCTTCTTCACTCCAACGTCATTCGTTTCATCAGCAAAGCTACGAGCCGGGGTAGTATACACAGGACCGCTCACGAACGTCCCCGATTCGATCCGTTCCCTGAGGAACCGAACTTGCTCGAGCTCCAAATTGAGGCGCTTCTTCAGCTCCCTGAGCTGGCTCGCGGTGTATCCATCGAGATCAAAGGAAACGAAGCCTCCACAAGGTACCGAATCACCGAGCTGCTTGCTCGAATTGTTCCCGCAAGCCGAGATTGGGTTAGGGTTAGGGTTGAAAAGAGGGTTGTTGAAATCATCGGAGAGGGGTTGGTTAGTGTATTTCCTCATAAAAACGGCGCCACATTGTCCCTGAAACGACGGTTCGTTTACGAGGTTAGCCAAAACCGCCGGTGCCATACATTAATTGAAGGGCACAATAACATTTCAGGGGGGAATCTCTCTTCTCTCTCCACCGGAATCAGATCACAGGTCTGACCCTTCTAGAAAACTAAAAGAGGGAAAATATTAACGTCACCGGAAAACAATTCCGGCGATCGGGAAAAGAAGAGAAAGAAGATAGTGTTGGATTTTTGTTTTGAGAGCAGAACGAGGAACAAGAAGGGGCGGAACCATCTCTTCTTAAAGGACATTGAAATCTGCCCGGCAAACGCTTGGTGGTTGTCCCCTCCGTCGATTTGAAATCTGACGGTCTAGATCTGTCCGATTACGTTGCCCGATCCAGCTGCCCGAGTAATCTGACATGGACGGCTCAGATCGTGTTAGTTTTCCACGTGACCGTTTCTCGGCCGTTGGTTCATGAGTCGCCAAGTGTGCTTTTTTTTTTTCTACGATTTTCTCAAAGGAACAAAAATTTCGAGAGAGGCATATTGGTAATTTCGAAATCTGAACGGCCTGACATGGGCCACACTGATTTTTTTTCTTTCAGCATATTTTCTCTCTTTTTCGAAACTTTCGCTTTCACTATTGGCCAGGTGAGCGGTTTCATGAACATTCTGTCCATTTGATGGATTTATTAATTTCCATCTCATCATAAATTATGAATGCATCAAAATTATCAAAATTGATAGTTACATAATTAGAAATGCCAAGCAGATTTGAAATATTCTTATTCGAGAGAATTACGAAGGTAAAGCTTGCCGTAACGGAAGGGTCAGGGACAAGAAACACATCAAATGACGAAAATACCCCTTGAGAGAAATTACCTAAATTTCAAAAGTTTTGGAGTTTGAAGGAAACAAACAAAAGAAACTTGCGGCAGAGCAACTTAGAATGTTAAAGATCCCTACAAATCTTCGATCTTTTGAACCATGACATCAGAAAGGACGATAGAGGAAAGAGAGAGAGACTCTCGATCCAAGTTTTAAGAAAAATAGAGAGGGAAGAGTGACTCAATAATTGAGTGAATAAGTGCAATTTGTATTATGTATATTTGACGAAGTTTGGTTAAATCTGGACCGTTGGATCCTTGTTAAAAAAAAAACACTTCCTTCTACAAAAGCTGAGGTGTCAGGTACCTGTGTGACATGAACATTTAAATACAGGGAAAAGGGAGGTCATATCCGAAAATAAAATAATAAATGAGTCGCTGGATGTTATATAAGTAACGGTTGCGTCCATCCCAAAACATAACAGATGCGGGGACCAATTCCCAGAAAAACGTGGGACCCACGACAGCTCACCCTCTACAGTCTACAGATGCGATAATCTCTCCATCATCACACGCGTTGCAACACTTCGTGTCACTCACACTCCCTTAGCTGATGTGGCTTTTTCTATCTCTAGAAGGGGAATTACACTTATTATTTCCTGTTTCGGATTACAGTTCCTTAAAAAGACAAGAGACAAAAACAATCCTTAAAATTCAAGAGACAGCGAATGTTGTAATTCCCCCAAGAACAAGTCATGAGTCCCCAGAGGAATCACTCTCTTCCCGACATCATTCGCAACGCTAAGCTGCTTGCAAGGATCAATCACGAACAGTGTTTCCATCGTCTCATTGGAACGAACATGGACACGATCAAAACCAATCAGCTGTTTCTCCGGAACACCAGACAAAACCCGAGGCATTCTCGAGAACAACATCAAAACATCACTACCGTCCATTTCTCCGGTATTGGTCACGCTATACCGCACATTAAACCGGAGCGATTCACAAGAGTTAACCGCCAGATCATCCAGCCGTAAGTATCGGAGCTGCTTTTCTCCGTCTTGGAGTAGCAGTTTCTTGTGAGAAGGCTGTGGAAGGAGTTTTAATAAGCTAAGCCTGACTGGTGCTGATATCATCTTGTAATCAAACGTGGTGTAACTTAAACCGGTTCCAAATCCGTAAACCTGAGGCCCGGTATAGAATCTGTATGTTCTTCCGGGATATCCACGAGATGAATCGGCTCTCATGTGCATATCCGACATTGGAACCTTGGTGAATGACTCGGGATACCACGTCATCGGTAATCTTCCACCTGGTTTTTTTTACATGTTTTCAAAAAACGGATTTGGTATTCAGTTTCTGTATTTTATGAACCGGATTTGGCAGGTGATGCTTTGGTTTGCGGTAGACTAACCTGGATTGAAGTCTCCAAATATGATTTCAGCGAGTGCTTGTCCACCGGTTTCACCTGGATAACCTATCCAGATGATGCTTCCAATTTTCGGGTCGGTTTTAGCAAACGTTACATCCACTGGTCCTCCACCGGTTAGAACTAGAATCACCGGTTTTTTGCTCGCAGCTGCAACGGAAGACACGAGATCTTTCTGTTTACCAGGCAAAGAAAGACTAACTCGATCCTTATCCTCTGTTTCTTGAGTGAGATCTAATCCTGCAACAACGATGACAAAATCTGATCCCTCGGCTGTGGCAACGGCTTCTCTAAATCCGGTACTAGACTCACAAGACACGTCAGAGCAACCAGACGCATAAGATGTCTTCTTTACATACTCCAGAAGCTCCGTGAACAGAGTCTTTCGTTGACACGGCTTTCCTTGAATAATATGAAATTTCTGAACTGTTTCAGCAAAGAGAAGAATTTAAGCATGTATGAATAAGAAGAAGAGTTCGGACCTGTGTAAGTGCCACCCATGTTGCTTATATTGTTCGCCATTGGACCAATGATTGCTAAAGACGAAACATGTTTTCTGTTCAAAGGCAACAGCTTGTGATCATTTTTGAGAAGCACAATGCCTTGTCTTGCTGCTTCCAATGCCAATTTCATGTGGCCTGAGCTACAGATGTCATGCGATCCTAGCTTCCCGTAAAGTCCTTCTCTTGGATCACCATCAAAAAGTCCAAGACGAAGTTGAACAGCGAAGAGATTTAGCATAGCTTGGTCTAATTGTTCTTCGCTCACCTTCCCTTTCTCGATCGCAGATCGTGTGTTCCGAAGCATGTAGGTTCCGCAATTGATATCCACCCCTAAGAGTCACCATCTCAGTTTCCATTACAAAACAAAACATTTACAAAGTTAAACAAGTGTAAAGATCTCAAATTTACCTGCTTTTATGGCATCAGCAACAGCTTCCTCAGCTGACTTTGTGTATCCTTGGTAATCAAAAATGGTTGCCACAGCATCACAGTCTGATGTAATGTACCTGCACGTATACAACAAAAGGCTCCACGATAAATCTTTCATTAACCAAATCAAAGCACTACAAACATAAATCAGTTTTTTACTTACCCTTCAAATCCCCATTCAACTCGAGCTTTCTGTAATAGGTCTTCTCGTGCACAAGCAGGTATTCCGTTAACAGCATTATATGAACACATCAAACAGCTAGCTTTACCATCTCTTATACAACTCTGAAATGGGGGCTGATATGTGTCTTCCATGTCCTGTTCGGTTACCTAAAAAACGCAGAGTAAGCTAGACTCAGTGTAAGACACAAAACAGTCGGCGGCAATGGCATAATCAACTCAAGATGGAGAAGATTCAATAGCCATTTAATTGAACAGAAGCAATATTACTAATCAAATGCAGCTACAGAACGACCAGGTCTCAGACAAGTGAATATACAAGCAATGTGATTCAGAGGATATATCATAGAGGACGAAAATGTTTTGCAAGAAAGTAGTTGTAGTGTTTGTGGAAACTAGAAAAAGGCGAAATCAGTGAAGTGTATAGATTTATAGAACAGCTAGCCTACAGATCTAATAGTATGATTTATTTATTTATTTCTTAGTCAACCTGATCTAATGAACCTCAGATTTAAGAGTTTTTCAGTTGAATCCGTAAGCTTAAATTCATAGTGAAGAAAAGAGATGTTACTATTTTAGTCTTCTTACCACAGCATTGAAGTCGTATCTGGTGAAATTCCCCCATTTCTCAAGATCATAGGCAGTGAAATGCTTGCAACAGGCAGATAACATGAGTTTCCCATCACCATCATCATCATGACGATCATCATCATCGCCACCACCAAATCTTGTTTTCAGAACCTTCGTCTTCCTCCTCTCTTGAAACCCTCTGACGAACTCAACGCCATATTCGGAAACCACCTTCGGATCCTCTCCTGGAGTCTCCTGCCCTCTTCCCCACCTAGGATCCCTAAACACGTTTATGTTCGGAGCCCAGAAAGTCAACCCAGCTTGACCGGCGTTGTACATAGCCCGAGCTTCCACCGCAACAGCAGATCCGATCTCGTACCATAGCGTTCTGTTGAACGACGCGGCGGATACGATTACCTGAGGAAAGCTGGTAGCGGCTGAGATTGAGCCGTTGAAAGAGACCCCGGGACCGTTATCGGCGATCCCGTGTAAGGACTCCGACCACCACTCGTACGGAGGTATACCGAGGCGAGGGACGGAAGCGGCCGTGTTGGAGAGCTGACCGATCTTCTCCTGGAGCGTAAGGAGTGAGACGAGAGAAAGAGCTCGCTGTCTTACGGGTAGAGAGACGTTGCAGAAGGGGTAGGAGCTGAAATGGGGAGGTTTACAAGGGAATTTTGGATGAGAATCGAGGTTCTTGAAGGATTCGGCTATGGCGGAAGTGAAGAAGAGTAAGGAGATTAGGGTCCACTGTGAATTCATATTTTCGAGGAACGAAATACACTAGTGGCTGAGACTGGAGAGTGTAGAAGACTATGCTCTTATTCATTTGTAGGCAACCTTGAATTTTAAATGAATCCAATTTGGAATTGAAAAAACATATATATTGAGTGAACGACCGAACAAAAAAAAAAAACTCAAATCTATAATTGGCTAAAAATTAGCCGCTACATTTCGATGATTCGAGTGTGCGAATCGCTTTTTTGAAAACGGTGACAACATTCAGGACAGATTGATAAAACCAAATGGGTAATTTTCAAGAGACTCTGAAACTGGAGACAGTGGTCTTATTCATTTGTAGACAGCCTTAGAAATTTTTTTATAAAGACATTGGATTTCAAAATGTGTTTAAGAAAACATATCTTGAGTGAAAACTCAGATCTAAAAAATATAGTTCAGGTGCCATATATATTTCATAACTATAACGTTTGGTAACAATTATGATTGGTATTATAAAATTTCAGTTTGGATTTGGTTCAATATTTTCTAAATTCGAATATAGTTTTTCGAATTTGTCTTGGACTCTATTACTTTGTTTGAAAAGTAACCAAAATCTAAGGAAATATTCCATTACACAAAACCAAAAGTAATTGAATCTAAAGCAAAATAAGCATTTAAAAATCAAAAACAAATTAAACATTCAAGTGCCAACTTGAAATTGTCACAAAAGATGAAAAGAGAAGTTTATCATGGTAAAAATCGGCAACCTCTTCTACACCAATCAGAAGTTGAACAGACCTTATTCAAATCCGCAAATAACAAGATAAAGATGTTCAAGTTAGATAATAGATGCAGAAAAACAAAAAATAAATGGTCCAATCAGTTATATTTATATTTAAATTCAACTAATTATATACATTACATACCTTTATGTCGATGTAATTGACAATCAAAGATTGTCCATTATTGCTAATATTTTTTGGATTTTTCCAATACCATTCTTTGCCTCCAAAGTTTTGGATTAACCAATAATGTTCACCTTCTTGGTTGGTACCAAACTCAACCACAATCACAGCATGCCGACCTGTGGAACGATCTTTACTATTTAAGTTGGATTAAAGATACAAAAAAAATATAAAATTAAATGAATAGTTTTTGTTATGATGTGATTATCATATTACTTTTGATCCAGTCAATTATATTTATATTTAAATTTTACTAATGTATCAATCATTCGAATTTTTTACCACCAACTTAATATATGAATGTCAACGCTTCCATCCAACCTATAAAAGAGAAACTAATTAGTAAAATAGCATTTTAAGGTTAACAAGTTGCTCAACTCTTCTAACTATATATATATATATATATATATGTTGATAACATTGACAATCAAAGCTTGCATACTTTGTACAAAAAAATATAGCATTTAGCAAGAATAAACAGTGAATCCTTACTATATTTCGAAAAGAAAATTACTTAGAACAAGTTTTGTTTATATTCCCAGAGAATTTATACATTTTCTCTATAACAAAACCTTCATTTTTCAAAAAGTCAGAGATCTCTTTGAATTTGATTATTTGTCCATCTTAAAAACTCCTGCTCCTGATGTTTTTTTATTAGATGTTGAGGAGAGAGTTCAACTATAATATTCCTCATCAAAAAATTTAAATTCGAATATACTTTGTAATAGTTACTGCATAGCAAATACCTATCAAAGATGAACAAATTTTATTACTTTAGTATCCAGCAACCATCGGATGAAAGTCTCTTAACCTATTCCTCTATTTCTTCAGATTTCATTGCATGTACCACTTATTAGTAGAGTTACATATAACAAATATATGTATTCGTCATGTTTAGTGTTTATTGTTTAACGACATTGCTTAGATTACATTGCTTAGATTTCGTATTGTTTATTACTTTTTATGTTTTAATATAATATACAGTTTAAAATTTTCATAGACATTAAAAAGATATTTGCAATTATAATTTTTTTTTTATTAATTACTATTTTAGCTTTCTCTTTAGATAATTAAATTAACAAGGAGAACTAACTATAATTAGAAAATATAAAAAATATAATAATTTGAAATATTTTTTTCTAGAATATCTATTATTTTAAAAACATAAGGAGTATTTTTATATTTGTGGTAAAATTTCTACCGTTTTATGATAATTTTTGTCCCAAAAGAATAGTGGTAATATTTTCCTATTTTTTTTCAAAGAAAACGGTCACAAATTCAGTAATACATATGTTTTGTATTTTTTTTTTTTTGCTTAGAATACTTCCAGACGTTTAGATTACGCCAAATGGATTTACTCCACTTGTGTGAGAACAATTAACTGCCACATTTAAGATTCTGAGGCCAAATTTTCGATTAAACTTGCGAATAACCAAACGTCTCCTTTATTTCATGAATAACTGAATATCAAATACTAGCAATTTGGAAATTATCTCATGCCGTCACAATCAGTAACCGAAAATTTATAAGATATATCATCCTTCTGTACAGGTCTGCTTTCTCTTAATTAGATACTTTAGTCAATCAGAATCGTATGTTATATTTGTGACATTTAATATCAACTACAGAATAAATATCTTCTTGAACATGTAGCGTCAAGTAAAATTTTACCTATCTTTTTGAACTAGTTTCGTTCTTATACTCTACAACTGAAAATACTTGGAATCGCTCATGGCAAAAAAATTACAAGTGGGGCGCCATAACATTTTCAGAAAATTTAGAAGTGGCGCGAAAGGTCACGTGGTCTGGAAAAGATTATTTTAATTGTTTGATTTGATAGATTGGAGTGTTTTCATTGGTTGATAAAGGGATCACACGGCTTGAAATGCTAAAATTCTCAGCCGTCAATAGTACTTTTAATCCAACGGACGAGAGAATAATTTTCCCTCCGAAACGAAATTTTTCCTGAAATTTTCTTTCCAGCTCACCGCCATTTCTCTTCCCATAAAAGCAACACATCTTCTACTTTCACCATCAAATTTCGCATTCGCATTCTCTAGAAGGAAAAATATTCTGTCAATTAGATTATTCGTAGCGATTGTTTGATTTGGAAATGGCTCGTACCAAGCAAACCGCCAGGAAATCCACCGGAGGCAAAGCCCCAAGGAAGCAGCTTGCGACGAAGGCGGCGAGGAAATCAGCGCCGGCCACCGGCGGAGTGAAGAAGCCACACAGATTCCGCCCAGGAACCGTGGCTTTAAGAGAGATCAGGAAGTACCAGAAGAGCACGGAGCTTCTGATCCGTAAGCTCCCGTTCCAGCGTCTGGTTCGTGAGATCGCTCAGGATTTCAAGACGGATCTGAGGTTCCAGAGCAGCGCCGTCGCGGCTTTGCAAGAGGCGGCGGAGGCTTACCTTGTGGGTTTGTTTGAAGACACAAATCTGTGTGCGATTCACGCCAAGAGGGTCACCATCATGCCCAAGGATATCCAGCTCGCAAGGAGGATCAGAGGTGAACGAGCTTGAAGACTCTTATTCTATTTAAGCTTTCTGGGAGTAGTTCGTTGTTGGGCAATCTGTTTCTGGGATTTTTATCTGCGTTTAGCTGATGGGTTACTTCAAGTGTAGAGCTTGGCTCGTTTTTAATTCTGGGTTTGTTTAGTTTAAGCCTTTGTTAAGATAGTCCTGAAGGTGTTGGACGAAATATCCCAAAGAGAGTTTCTCTTGTTTAATAGTGTAACTTATTTGCCCAATTCTCTTCATATGCGTTTACGTTTATGTGTCTCTGCGCGTTAAATCACTCAACCGTTACTTGTAGAAATCGATCACCCAAATTTTCTGTAGTAGATAGACAACATGGACCGATTAAAACAAAAACGTTCGGTAAAATAAAATAAAATGGGGACTTTCCGAATCCTCCAATTCACATAAACAAATCGAGAAAAAAAAAGAAGAAGTTAGGGTTCGATTTTCATCTTCCCCAATACGATTCGTCCCGTTTAAGCGATGGCTTCACCGAGTGAGAGGGAGAGATCGGAGGAGCCTCCGAAGCTAGAGGAGCCAGAGCCACCAACCAATGAAGAATATGATTCTGATGATTGGGAAACTTTGTCAGATGACTTTAGCTGTATGGAGAAGAGTGGGCAAAAAGCGGGGTTAGGAGGGTTCTCGATTTCGGTTTCTCTCATGTTCGATTGATCAATTTTAATTTCTGAATGATGGATATGTGATATGTCAGGGTTTCGATGTCGACTTCTCGAAACTCCGCCACACATTCGGTTCCGGATATTTGGATCCCGACGACGAAGATGGCTGGTATGGCGAGCCTGGAACCAGCAGAGATTTTCTCAACCGTTTGTGCAATATGGCTATCTCCTTCTTCGAAGAACGCGAGGTTAGTAATTTTCTCAGGAATTGAAAAACAAAAAAAAACAAAGAGAGACACTTTTTGATGCTGATGAATCTCTTCTTTACGTTTTGCATTTTGTTTGTTAATGGTGGGTGGTAGATAACAAGCCTAGAACTTGTGAGGGTTCTAAGGGCAAATTATCATCCATCTTCTGCGGTTACGTTCTACATCACGTTCGAAGCCAATGATACTTCAGATGGTAATCAGACGAAAGTGTATCAATGCGTGGTACGCTACTTTCCTGGAGACAGTGAAGTACACTCTTGTAGGCTTAAACCCTAGCTACAGGTGTTGTATCTTCACTTGCCCTTTTCATACAACTTCTCTAGAGGTTTAATTAAGCTTTCTCTGTGTGGAATCTATAATATCTATAACAAACAGTACATAGTAATAAAAGTTGAGAAACAAAAAAAAAAAAGTGGCAGAATCCATTTCAGACATTTTATCTAATTGATCCTTTCTCAAAAGGTGAAGTTTAACTATAGTTAACATCAATCTAGTGCATTCCCATATACATATGTTATCTTCTCCGACCCAGACTCACAAACTCTGCTCTCTTTCGCTTTAATAAGGAACTTTGAGAGCCACTCGCGGTGCTACCTCAGCTTCACCTAACACTTCTTGGCATAACTGAAGAAACAGCAACATGAAGATTGAAGGTCAACCTTCGAAGAATCTCATGGCGGAGGAAGCGGCTAAATGATCGACTCTCCATGCTCCGATCCATTTCATTGATCTATTTTCCATTTTACAAGTTTCAGTGGCAATTATAAAATACTTTCTTAATTATCATGGTTTTTTTTTTTTACTTTTTAGTCAACACGAAATATTCTTCATTTTTTTACCTTTGCTCATGATAAGGCTTATTACTTTTAGTGAATCAGCATATACTGCAGTTTACGAAATTTTACCTAATTATTACCCACAACTGAGATAGAAAGTAAATAAAAACAATTATTCGTTTATTCTAAAAAATCAGATGGATAGGACATCGATACTAGGTAATGCCATAGATTTACATGAAGGAGCTTTTGGACAAGATTAACAAGTTGCAAGAACGTTCCGTAAAATTTGGACCGATTAAAGTAAAAACGTTCCGTAAAATAAAATAAAAATGGAGACTTTCCCAAGCCTCACAAAAACAAAGCGAGAAAAAAAGAAAGAAAGTTAGGGCTCGATTTTCATCCTCCCCTATACAATTCGTCCCGTTTGAGCGATGACTTCACCGAGTGAGAGATCGGAGGATCCTTCTTCCCCTAAGCGTCCGAAACAAGAGGAACCAGAGCCACCGACCAATGAAGAATATGATTCTGATGATTGGGAAACTTTGTCAGATGACTTTCGACTGTATGAAGAAGAGTGGACAAAGAGCGGGGTTAGGAGGGTTCTCGATTTCTCTCTCTCATGTGTGATTGATCAATCTAATTTATGAATGATGGCATATGTGATATGTCAGGGTTTTGATGTCGACTTCTCGAAACTCCGTCACACATTTGGTTCCGGATTTGTGGATCCCGACGATGAAGATGGCTGGTATGGCGAGCCTGGAACCGGCAGAGATTTTCTCAACCGTTTGTGCAATATGGCTATCTCCTTCTACAAAGAACACGAGGTTATTAATTTTCTCAGGAATTGAAAAACTAAAATAGAGAGAAACTTTTTGATGCTGATGAATCTCTTCTTCACGTTTTGCATTTTATTTGTTAACGGTGTGTGGTAGAAAACAAGCCTAGAACTTGTGAGGGTTCTGAGGGCAAATTATCATCCATCTTTTGCGATTACGCTCTACATCACCTTTGAAGCCAATGATCCTTCACATGGTAACCAGACGAAAGAGTTTCAATGCGTGGTTCGCTACTGTCCTCGAGACACTGAAGTATACTCTTGTAGGCCTAAACCCTAGAGGTATTATATTTACACAATTGTCTTAGCATATTTGAGTTTAGTTTTTCATCTGACATTTCATTGTTCTGCATACAACTTCTCTCTCAAGTTATAAAATAAGCTTTATCTGTGTGGAATCTATGGTATCAGCTCACCTTCCGCTGGATACTACTAACTAGTTGGTTAGGTTGAGGCTCGGAGTCTCATGATGTCTTCGATTTCAATATTGTTGTTACATAATCGCTTGTTATGATTATATCAGTCCAACTAATTCTAGATCGGAAGAAAATTCTTGTTTGAGTTAGATCTCGGTATGTGTTAGGCACTATGATAGCATTTTTATGTTTATGAGTTTGTAATTCATAAACAAAATATCGATTCTATGTCCCATTTTATGTTTTGTCCTCACAGAAAGTTTTAGACTTTATCCACCACCGGAATCCAAAATGAAAGATATGACTTCTTTTCTTTAATTTGCATATATATATATATATGTACGTTATAATGTTGAGAAGCATTAATAAAGATAATAAATCGAGACGATAACTAATGATATCCGAATGACAAATAGTGGAGTGAAGATAGAGTAGGAGACAGTGCAGTGTCTGCAAATGTAATTGTGTGTTCACAAACTCTCACGCAAATAGTAGTCACGTTATCTTTGACATTCACAAAAAGTCTTGGACCTCTTTTGACCTGTCAGACTTTTCCTCCCATGTCGATACAAGAATCTATTCATACATGTGCTTCACGTACTTTAGTGCATACAGCTTACAAATGTAATAATTTGCGGATCTATGTCAATGTGAGACACGGGTGTTGTGTTCATTTTTTCCATTATGGGTCGATGTTACTGGATACGAGTGAATTAAGTACGTGATTAATGTTTGTTATTAATTACCTAATGTTTCCTTTCATTTCATCGTATTATTGATGGTCCATTTCACCTTTGTCCTGAGATATTAACATAATCAAACAGTACATAAGTTACAATAAAAGTTAAGAAACAAAAAAGTGACAGAATCCATTTCAGACATAGGCCTTATAGGTTTGTGCTGGACCACGGAACAAAAACAAACATTTAGCAAATTGATCTTTACTTAAAAGGTGAAATTTAGTTACAGTTTACACCAGTCTATTGCATATCCCTTATACATATATATGTTCATCTTCTCTGACCCAAACACAAACTCTGTTTCTCTTTCGCTTTAATAAAGAACATATATAGTTTCAGAAAACCGAGAGAGTGAGATGGAAATGGAATTGACTCAATTAAGAAAGCAAGAGAGCAACAATCTTGACGGCAATTATGGCGAATCCATGGCGATGGACCAATTCGTCCCAACTGCATGGAACTTGGATTTCCTCTGTTTCGACAAGCCACTCCAAGAAGAAGACAACATTAATCACACTTTCTCTTCTTTGATGGATCTCATCTCTCAACCACCTCCACTGCTTCACCAACCACCACAACAGTCGTCATCTCCTCCTCTTCCGCCAATCTCGTCCGCTTTTGACTATCCTTATCTGGAGACGCTTCAAGATGTTACAGAGTCTTCTTATTCTCCTCCGTCAATGCTTCCACCTTCGCAAGGCGACAACAACGACAGTTATTCACCATTGATTGAGGAAAGCAAGAGCTTCACGAGCATCGGAGAGACGAACAAGAAAAAGAGTAACAAGAAGGTTGAAGGTCAACCTTCGAAGAATCTCATGGCGGAGAGACGGCGGAGGAAGCGGTTAAATGATCGACTCTCCATGCTCCGATCGATTGTCCCCAAAATTACCAAGGCAAATTTCCATAAACCCTCCTTTTATTTTTAAAAAAGGCTGAATTATTAAAGTTTTTTTTTTACTTTTAGTCAATACGAAATATTATTCCTTTTTTTTTGACATGTATGTTTTCTTCTGGTTGGAACCCTTTTCAACTCGATGATAAGGGTTATACATTTAGTGAGTCTGCTGCATTTACTGTAGTTTACGAAATTTTACCTGATTTATACCTACAACTGATAGAAAGAAAGTAAATAAAAACAAAGATTGATTTATTCTAATAATATAATCAGATGGATAGGACATCGATACTAGGAGATGCCATAGATTACATGAAGGAGCTTTTGGACAAGATTAACAAGTTGCAAGAACTTGGAAGCAACTCTAATATCAAGGGCAACCTCGTTACAAACGATTCTACGGTCAGAATCTCCCCAAAGGTAAACAACAAAACACACAATTTATTATATGTCACAAACTCAACCCCTTGTAAATCACTTGTTACAAAACACCCCCATAGTTTTATATATATAAAAACACCCCCATACTATTAACTATTTCTTTTTTTTAATAGATCACGTACAAATCAATTTACTAAGACGAAGAGAATTTTGTTCTGACTGTTTACTTTTTTTGCCTTTTGCAGTTTGAAGTGGATCAAAGAGAAGTTAATACGCACATAGATATATGTTGTTCTACGAAACCAGGATTGCTTCTATCAACGGTTAGTACATTAGAGATTCTAGGCTTGGAGATTCAACAATGTGTCATTAGCTGCGTCAGTGATTTTTCATTGAAAGCTTCCTGTTCAGAGGTACTACTACACTTATATTTGACCTTACCTGAAAACATTTACAAATGTTTATTTTGAAAATATTATCTATATTGTGAAAAACACTAATATACAATCTATATATAGGTTGCTAGGCAAAGAGACTTCATTACTTCTGAAGATGTAAAGCAAGCACTGTTCAAAAACGCAGGTTATGGAGGAAGATGTTCGTAGGAAGTTTTATAATTACAATAATAAAATAAAGTTGAAAGATTGCTTTATCTTGAATATTGTTTGGTCTTTAATGATCTTGATTTTCTTATGATGTATTTGATTTTTCTTAGGGAAGTATCGTGAATTCCAAAGTTGTAAAACACATTATTGCTCTGAACGTAACCATTAGTCCCTGATCCTCTTTGCTGCGATATCATTAACGAGAGACTAAACGAAAAACTTACGACGAGACCAAAAGGCCTAGAGGCCCAAATTATGTTAGATAAAAAGCCTATTTTCCGAGTGAAATGTTATGGAAATTATTCAAAATACAGTGAAAGCCCAAATTAAGCCCACCCAGCTTTTTGACCTAAGGAGCTCCGTCCTTTGTCTCTTTAAATAGCGGCGTCCAACGAGGAAACCCTAATTAAGTTTTCAAAGAATCAGCTTTTATCATCAGAGCAACCCTTATTAAGTTGATAGATCTGTGTGTTTTTGTGTGTGTGTGTGTTTGGGCGTTTTTTGTTTGTTTTATGTTATTAGATGTCGTAGATTTCGATAGGAAATGGGACTGGAGTTTGACTCTTTAGCGAAATAACGATGCCTTAGAGATGAATGCAGCGCCCGATATAAAAAAAGACCACAATCGGAGATCTGTCTCTCTGTTTCTGTCCGAAATCGTCTATTGATATTGGGCGCTGAGATAGATCTCACATAGTTTTGTTTTCGTTTTCGTTTTTTTTTTTTTGAATGGATTTGATGATTATGATGGAAAATGGAGCGGTGATTCAGGCAGCCTACTTGTTAAAAAAAACAATGACATGAGAGGTGTTTAACTGCTCCTACATCAAAGCTTCTGCTCTTCAGACTTGCTGAGATTTTATCGTCTTTGAAGCTGGTCTAGTAGTCTTAAGCACATTTTTAGATCTCTACTTCCCATTATATTATTCCTCTTATAATCTTGAATTTGGGTAAACTCATTCCGGTCTGATTCCGAACTGATCTGAATTCGATTGTTCCGGTTTTTTTTCCTGTCAACGCAGCTATTCTATTTGTTTAATCTAGAATTTCGTAATTGGTTTGATCGTTATTTGTGGCCACTAGTGTATAATCATTAATCAATAATCCCTTAGAATGGTGATTTAGTTCGAGTTTGCAGAACTGGTGTTGACTGAAGAAATCCTAAAATGACCGGCTGTTTCAGTTAATCCTCCTTGAATTTTCCAGAACTTGTTACCTTTTATTTGATCGATCAGCCGTATTATAAAATGAACTTGATATTAGAATTTGACTTGGACCAAATTTATTTATTCATCGCCACCTTATAAAACTTGTAATTCGTAAGACACAAATATAAGAGGGTAAGCCTAATGAAATAGGATCAATTTTATGAAGATACCGTCACTCAAATTCCTTGGTTCGTTTGGTAGAACCGAACGTTTTATTAGCCGGGTTGATTTGGTCGGACGCTTCATTAACCGGGTTCATTTCGAACGTTTTGTTAATCTGATCATAATAGCGAATACAAAGTTAGCTCTCTAGTTTTGTTTTAGATAACCAATGACTTATTCAGAATTATTTATACATGGTCACCTTATAAAACTCGTAATTCTTAAGACACAAATATAAGAGGGTAAGCCTAATGAATTCAGATCAATTTCATGAAGATACCATTACTCAAAAACCTTGGTTCGTTTTGGTAGAATGGAACGTTTTATTAACCGTGTTGATTTGGTAGGACGTTTTATTATTCTTTTGGTCGAACGTTTTGTTAACCGGATCAAAATAGCGAATTCAAAGGTAACTCTTTAGTTAACAATGATTCGTTTATTCTAAATAATCAGATGGATAGGACATCGACACATCAAACAAAAACTTTATCGACCATTTTTTTTAATGTATATTTATCTACATAAACAAGATATAATTTTTTAATAACAAGCACCTATAAAAACGAACTGTAATTATTTTTTAATTTAAAATGAACGGTGAACGAAAAGGTATGCACTCTTACACTTAAAATTTGGGTAGGTTAGAGCACTAGAGAGCTTCGTGCGGGTAGGTTATGTGTGTTGTGAGTTTATTCATTAAAATATGGTCCAAACGTGGACCTCACATTTCTATTTGCTGACGAGAGCTTCCTTAATTGTCATATAAGATCAGATGAGCTGTTAAATTAGTTTATTAATCACGTAATTAAAGTAATCGAGTATTAATTAAGACATGTGAGTGTGCTTCCCTTTTTTCGCCCCGCCCTCTAGAGATTTCTTTTCTTTAGTGTTTATTGTTAGATATTGGGTCGCACGCAGCCACCATCCATTCTCTTTTTCTTTTCTTTGTCCTAAACATGACAAATTATAAAACGATTGGGGGTTTAAGGCCGTGAATTCTCATTAGATTCTTGATTTTTAATTTCTACTTCGATTACTATATTACAAACTGCTGGTTTAATCTAAATACTATGTCCTACTGCTTTTGTTTGTACATCCTTTTCGTTTGTTTTGTCTCTCTTTTGAAGTGATTATTATAAAACTATAGAGTCTATCTTTTTTATTTACAAAAAAATAAAACCATAACAACAAAAATATTACTAAAATTTTGTATCTTATGAATTATGTCCTTCAGAATATATACTTTCTGGTATAGTCTATCAAATATTAATAAAAATTCGGAGTATTGGAATTTCAGGTCTTATGAAGAGTTATTATTATTTTTAATTTTTTTTGCAGAATTTATGAGTTATTATGATATTTACAGTCTTAACAAACAAACAGATGTAAACGTTGAAATGCAATATAAGATTATCTGGTGGATTATTATACCATATTTGAGGTTAGAGAGTTGTACAGCTTTAAAAGTGAATGTGAGATATAGCGTGCGGAATAGATGCCATATAAGCATCCGATAGATACGTCGATTCATGCATGAATCACAATTTAATACCCACTTATAGCCAAAGTTAGGTGTAACATGTAAAATAACAAGACATATAGATTCTATTCTTATCTTATAAGTTGTTTCTGAATGCGCCTGTGATTCTTGTCACGTTTTTAACTATTGGAATATATCTTGATTTTTTTTAGGGTCATGTAGATATTTTGGCTTTCTGCATGTATTCGAATAAATTATTAGTACTTAACTAGGGCTGCCTGGTTCTTACATTGTATTTAGGATCTAGATCATTTTAAAAGCTAAACCTGAAACTCAAGTGGTTTGTCCATATCTCTCAACTTCTATATCGCGCGTACATCAGTACATGTAATGATTAGTTACTCCTAGGAATGTTTGGTATTCGAATATGTGTTTGGTATGAGCATGCACATATTTAATACAGAAAATGCATGTTACTTCATCTCTATTTGTAGAACCAATAAATATGTGTTATCTGTATACCCATTACTAGTATTATAAAAAAATAGTGTGAACGAAAGGTACAAAAGTAGTCGTAGATTAATAAATAACATGAGGATAAAAAGGTTTAAATTTTAATAAGCACGATTTATCTTTAAATACAAGAAATGAACCAACCATTAGCCAATTGGGTCTGACTCATGTTCAGAAAACTTTACAAGTTACTTTCTTTCAGTAATTCATTATTATTTAATTTTTTTTTTTGTCATTTTATCAAAATGTTAGTGCACCTAGTCCACAATCGATCGAGAGGATTGTGGAGAGATCACAAAACATTATGTTCGAGTGCCGCGGTGAGTAAGAAGTTCACAAAAATGAGATAAACTTGTTTTAATTTAGGCTCATAGTGAAATATACTATAGAGTTTCCGGATCAAACCATAGAGTCGATGTGAAATCTGCAGCAAGCAATTCAAAGATGTATCAAATGAAAATTGACTTTTTGGTGAGATACCATAAATAAAAGCTGGACTGTCTGTGGGCTGTAGAAGATTAGTAACGTGGAGGTTAGTTAGGTTATCGTGTAACATGTGTAATAGCATCGACTACAAATGTTATATTCTGTGAACATTGGGCAATATTTATGCTTACTTTTTTTCAGTCTGGTTTTTGGTTCAGGTTGTGACTTGTGACATGGTCCATCTAATCTATGCTTTGTCTCCTATATCATATGTGCGAATATACTGGTAATGAAGGACACAATTTTAAAAGAGCTCCAAAGGAGAGACAAGTGGTTATTAACCTTAAAAGTACGGCCAGATGTTTAGTAATTAAATAAATATGGGGCGGAAACATAATTTTCAATTTAGCTCACAAAGTGGGGTACAGAAGCGAACACTAAGAAGTCATAAAGAGAGATTTAAAGGAGAAAACGCATTAACTAAAATGTGAGTTAATATGAAAATGAGAAATCAAAAAGGGCACAGTGGCCCTTGTAATTCTAAGGGGCAAATTATGGAACAAAGATTTTAATTAACATTGGATTTTCACTATATATATATATATATATATATATATATATATATATATATGGAGACATGCCAAGGACCACAAAAACAAACCAAGTTTCTAAGAGTTTTGAAAACAAAAACAAAACAAAAAAGAGAGCAAAGAAGAAAGAGAAGATCATTACATAGAAAAAAAAAAAGAGAGAGAGCAAATGGAGTGGAGGACATGGTACTTAGATGCAGTTCTTGTTCCGTGTGCTCTACTTATGATGTTTTCTTACCACATCTTCTTGTGGTATAAGGTTCGAACCGAACCTTTCTCTACCATCGTCGGAACCAATTCCCGCGCCCGTCGATCTTGGGTTGCTGCCATAATGAAGGTAAGAAACAATATACCAAAAATATTCTTTCAGATCTTACGATATCGTTTATATGTGTATGCCTTTCAAACCGATTAAAAAATTGAAGTGATATAGTTAAGTGACTGTAGTAGCAAGTAGTAATCGTCTTATTGGTCAAGGTCTAGATGAGTTTTGTTGGACATAATTGTTTTAAAAAAAAAAAATTTTAATTGCAAATTTCACATGAATATTGCATACAGAGATAATTTATTCAGGTTTCGTCCACAATCTACATATCTAAGAAACTAGATGCATGTGTCATGCGAATAAAGTGGGCAGAAATTATGTGCTTAACCGATGTCAACATATCTATATGCATATATTATTATATCAAGTAGTTAATTAACAATATAGATGAATGTGTGACTTGTTCAGGACAATGAGAAGAAGAACATATTAGCCGTACAAACATTACGAAACACGATAATGGGAGCAACGCTTATGGCAACAACTTGCATCCTCCTCTGTGCAGGCCTTGCTGCCGTTTTAAGCAGTACTTATAGCATCAAGAAGCCTCTAAACGATGCAGTATACGGAGCTCATGGTGAATTTACAGTGGCACTTAAATACGTAACCATCCTCACAATTTTTCTCTTTGCTTTCTTCTCTCATTCTCTCTCCATTCGCTTCATCAACCAAGTAAACATCCTCATTAACTCTCCTCAAGAGCCTTCCTCTGATGATTTCGGCGGCATCGGAAGCTTTGTAACTCCTGAATATGTCTCTGAACTCCTTGAGAAAGCGTTCTTGCTCAACACAGTAGGTAACAGGCTGTTCTACATGGGATTGCCTTTGATGTTATGGATCTTTGGGCCGGTGCTTGTGTTCTTGAGCTCTGCGCTGATGGTTCCTGTTCTTTATAACCTCGACTTTGTGTTTTTGTTGAGCAATAAGGAGAAAGGTAAAGTGGATTGCCATGGAGGTTCTGATGATCAATTCTCTCCTTGATTACTTATGTTGATGGTTGATTATGATTAATGATAAACTTGTTTAATAATAAGGACTTTCGAAGCAATCTTCTCTTTTATAACGGTACGCAGAAAGAGTTATATGCCCAAAGGCACATGCATTTGCCTTAATCAACTAAATCCACTCGTTAATTCGCTAGCGTTATGTTTTATCAAATAAATTACAAACATATGATTTCATAAAGAAAACTACAACAATCTTTTTTTGGTACCTTTTCTCCGCAAAAGATCTACGAAAGGTCATCACACCGCAAGTCGCAATATTTAAGGATACAAAAGATCGGTCCAAAGATTTTGGTTTGAACTTTTAAGACAGATTTTGTCAAAAGTAGCTAATTCAAGTATTTAGAACTATCATAAGAAGCATACACAATAAAATAGAGAACAAAGGTGTACATGTCAGGAATCGAATAGAGGTTTGAATATGATCAGTCAAAACATAACAAAGGTCTAAAACAATTTTAAAAGTTGAACTCATCCTATAATAATATCAAGATGAGAGATATATACTTGTGTTAGTCCAAAAAAATAATTTAATCACTTATCAGTATAAGTCATAAATACTAAAAGCCAAAATATTAGTTTGTTAAGAAACTGGCTTTAAGTAAACATTTTTTTCGTTTTTATTGTTCAACAGAAGTCGAATACGTTTTGTTTCTTCTTTTTGTCAAACAAGCAGCAAGTGTTGACTACTTTGTGACGGCAAAAACTAAAAAAAACGAACGACAAATCTCCGGCGTTGACCAAAAAAAAGAAAATGGAAAATCTCTGGTTCATCTTCTTCTCTCTCGCAGCTACTTCCTTCTTCTTCATCGCCAAATCCCTGTGGAGTCAAAACACTAAACTACCCCCAAGCCCCACGCCTCTTCCGATCATCGGCCATCTTCACCTCATCAAGAAGAATCCTTTACCACAAGCTCTGCATCTCCTTTCTTCAAACTACGGCCCGGTTCTCTTCCTCAAATTCGGATGCCGTCCCGTTTTGGTTCTCTCTTCCCCAGAATCCATCCAGGAATGCTTCACCAATCACGACCAAACCCTCGCGAACCGCCCCAGGACCATCACCTCCGATCATTTCAGCTACGGCTACAAAAACTTCGGTTTCGCTCCTTACGGCGATCTCTGGCGAACTCTCCGCCGTATCTCCACCCTCGAGGTCTTCTCCTCCGCAAGTCTCCAGAAGAACTCCTTCATCCGAAACCAAGAAGTCTCGAATCTCTGTTCGATTCTCTTCGGTCTATCCCGTGACTCTCGGAAAGCGGATCTCAAGTATCAGTTCACTCTTCTCACCGCTCACGTCATGCTCAGGTTAGTATCTGGGAACCGTGGTGTCGAAGGGAGCGATCCGGAAGCAGAGAAGAGGTTCTTGGATGATTTCAAATCGAGGTTTTTCTCCAGCATGTCCATGAACGTCTGCGATTATTTCCCAGTGCTAAGGTGGATTGGGTACAAGGGTATTGAGAAGAGAGTGATGGAGATGCAGAGGATGAGAGATGAGTATCTTCAGCGAATCATAGATGAAATCCGAGTGAAGAAAGCTGATTCCACCGGTTCGCTGGTGGAGAAATTCTTGCGCCTTCAAGAAACAGAGCCAGAGTTCTACTCAGATGATGTTATCAAAGGAATTGTGGTGCTAATGTTCAACGCCGGAACGGATACTTCACCTGGGGTGATGGAATGGGCAATGTCGGTTTTACTGAACCATCCAGATAAGCTCGAGAAGCTCAGAGAAGAAATCAGATCTAATGTTAAGCACAATGGGATAATACAAGACTCGGATCTCTCGAGCTTACCTTATCTCCGATGTGTCATCTATGAGACGCTTAGGCTATACCCTGCGGCTCCGCTCTTGCTTCCTCACTACTCATCAAAGAGATTTAACATAGGCGACTACGAGATCCCTGAAAACACAATGTTGTTGGTGAATGCTTGGGCTGTTCATAGGGACGGTGAGCTTTGGGAAGACGCGGATGTGTTCAAGCCGGAGAGATTTGAAGGGTTTGTTGGAGATAAAGATGGTTTCAGGTTCTTGCCGTTTGGAGTTGGGAGGAGGGCGTGTCCTGGAGCTGGATTTGGAATGAGGACAGTGGCGCTTGCTGTTGGAGCATTGGTTCAGTGTTTTGAGTGGGAGAAGGTGGAAGAAGGAGATATAGACATGAGGCCTGTGTTTGGTGTGGCGATGGCTAAGGCTGAGCCGCTTGTCGCATTACCTAAGCCAAGGCCTGAAATGGTTCCTATCTTGTCTCAGCTCTAGTGTCATCTGTGTTACACATCGACAATAAGGAGAGTGAATGATTCATAAATCACAAATGGTTACCTACCTAAATAATGGAATCAAAATCTTCGTTTATTTGCTTCGTTCTTTCTCAGCACTAAACTTACAAGAAGCAGAGAAGATGATTTTAATTTATGAAGGATGTCCTTTCCATTGGACGGAGATATATGGAGAAATGATCAGTTGTTGAACAGCCACAACTTTTTCTACATTCATTGAATCCTTATGTGATCAAAACAATAGTGATGCAACATACAACAACAGAAGTCCCACTCGATGACCTGAATCTAAACCCAGATCAGAAGCAATTAAATTTGGATTACATCCTTTAAACGTTTAAGAAACAATCTCTGATAAGCAGAGAAGCTTTTAGCAATCCAGTTTCGTTATGCACAAGAAGGCAAAAGAAAAACCTTCAAAGTAGAAATTATTATTCATCAGTGATGGTAGTTTTGTCCCTTGAGAATAGTCCATGACCTGAAAGCAGAAAACCTATTACAGCATATGAACACACGAATGGCTAAGACGATATAAACTTGGTATGAAAATGTGACTGCAATGCACAGACAGAAACAACAATGGTTTCACCTGTAAAGCTGTTCCATCAATACCACAAGAGCTATCTGATGATTCAGAACCATGGACGAAAGTCGAATGATCACATTAGCTCGCTTCCTCACCTGTCTTCCATGTCCATAAGCTCCACCTATACAAAACGATATCCTCGAAGCACCCTAGCAACAGCAAAAGCACTCTCCTGCTTCATTATCTTATTAAGCTTTCCATTTGTAAGTATATTTTTCTTAAAGATGAGATCAGCTTCAAATCCAACCCAAGTTGACTACTTTCCAATGAGTGATGTAAGAACAAAGAGAAGGTATAAGCTTACACTATTTCCTGCATCACCTAGTAACTCAGCCATCTGCTCCGAATCAATGTCACGGCCTCTCTCGTCAAGAACCACAACCTAAATCTCACAATCAGACCTATCAAGCATGATACATTGACTAATAGCGGAATCTTAAAAGCTTATTAATAGTACCCAATCATCAGACCCAATAAGCTTCATCATAGCCGCCTCTTCATCCTCAACCTGAGCTCTAACATCCCTGTAAATGCAGAAAAACGATCAATTGGTGGACCCAACCCAACCATCTCAAATCACTGAACTGAGTCTGTCAAATCGAGGCAACGTACTGCGCATTTCGAGGATTGGAGCGAACCAGTGAATCTTCGAAGGAGCAATAGGGTTTAAGCTTGATCTTGTACTCATCGACCAAGAGTCGAACACCTTCTGATCTCTTTTTCCCCACTGTTATCACTCGTATGGGCAGAGCTCTCTGCGAAGTTGAACCAAAAGTACCAATTCCATCAAACCCTAAACGCCCAAATCTAATCAATTCGATGAAAGCTCGAGCAGAGAGGGTTTTTACCACTGCCTGGCCCGCGTATCTACATGCTCTTCCTGATTAAATTCCGAACTAGATCACAAACTTTACACTGCGCTCGAAACAAACCAAAATATACATTTAGAGAAAAAAAAGAGCGAAAATAAACCTTTTTCCTGAGGAGAAGGAGAAGCAGATGCATAGGGCTGCGTCAGGTGAGAAGTAGCCATGAAAGAGACGGCCATTTTTGAGTTCTTCAGTTTAACGACGATTGCACTATCCCGTTGAATAGTAGTCCACATGAGACTCGAACCCTCCTTTTGGTATCGAGGGTTTCAAGCCCATCGCAAATAATAACAAAATAGATTAATGGGCCTAAAGCACTTGAGTTATATAGTTTGTTTATTTTGGTCGACGACACATGTGAATAGTATGATGTGTACTTGTATATCAAACGGATGGAGAAACCATATAATTAACTATTTGCAAAGTTCAACAAAGGTTGAGTCGAAAGGGAACATTTTAGGATTGAGAGCTTTTCATTCACCAGTGTTCTTATCGACATTAAAACCGGCGATTATGCCTTGATGCCACATGCTAGCTCCTTCAAAACGCGCATAAGGTTTTTTTCATATATTTAGTCATACATATATCATGTTTGAAGTCTTACTATAAGCATATATAAGACTATAAGATAAGAAATAATTTGATTGATTAAAATTTGGGAAAAAAATGTTGTTTCAAATAAAAATCTTTTTAAAAGTTATAAGGATAATCATCCATCAAACTCATTTCAATACTGATTGATCGCTAATTGAGTCGATTTATGAACTAAAAAGAGTCTGGTTGGTTAAGTTTAGGGAAGTTTACTGGCTACTAATTATAATGATGTCTGAAGGAGGCATGAAAAGACAACGTTAAACTTTTCTAGTTATCATTTTATTATTCCGAACAATGCATCCCTGGCCACCAGATCAAATGTTTCAATTGTTTATTGTTTAGTGATGTTCTTGGTTCCATCCAACAAATTTTAAAACTTCATAATTCACATATAAAAATAAATATGCGTGTGTACTTTTGTATATATTCCCTAATCTCCATATCTTTAATTAGTTCTAATTCCGTATTAAAGAACTATTTTGGCATCTCCACACTCATTTGCCCGCCCGTGCATCTTTATCTTTAGCTTTTAGAATTAATATATGTTTAGTATATGAATCGGATATAAAGTTTGTCCAAGTGTCCGAATATTTATAAGATGAACAAAGTTTACGATAGCTAATTATATGCAAAAGAACATTGCGCTAATTAAGTCTGTTTTTGAATAATTCTTAATATCTTCTCACATCGGTAAATATCATCATAAAGCATACTTGTATTATAGTAAGCTTCTAAAACAATTACATGGAACGTCTAATAAATCAAATTAAACGTCGGATCTACCCATCTATAAAATATAGGATTGGAACCATGAATGATGAATCTACACATGTACGTTTGCTGATTATGGGTCAAACTAATCGCTACGATTCTGTTATTATGGGTCAAACTAATCGCTACGATTCTGTTTTGCATCAGTATGTAAAATGACAATACGTAAACAAGTTTGTTCGAACTTCTGGTCGGCTTGCTGTGTTATTTCCAGTTCTTGTCGAAATAAAATACTCGTTCCTTGAACGAAACGCTAACAAGAGTACATATTCCGTTTTACTACTTATGTAACAAGAATACGAATTTTCTTTAATTTATGAAAACGATGTCTTAAAATAAAATAAGAAATGCATGATTCGGTGTCAGTGACGTATGAAGCTCTCGTGCATGCACTAACGAAATCGATCGGAAATCGGCTGGCTAGAATAATAGTATATATATTTTTGGTGAATAAATACTGCGTCGACTAGCCTCCGATAACTAATATTATTATGAAGTCGAAAAGTAATTATCATGGAGAATAGTCTTACACACTATTGCATACGTGATTCTCTCATATATGCTATTCGGAAAATTAATTAGCTCCACCATAAGGGCGGCTTTCCATGTGTTTTGTATGCTGATTTGTTGCTTAAAAGCTGAATAAAAACTGTTAAAAAATTAACAGTAGAGATAAGGTTTGCTGGTATGCATACATTGAGATGCCGGATCCACATCATTTGTGTTAGAAGTACCAGTTACACACTTAATTACACTATCAACTCATCACTAGTTACTGAGGCATCTTTAGAATTCATTCTAAATTGAAAGAAAAAAAAAGCTGTATGAGTAGGCATAAACTATGGAAGTAATTAAATAAAACAAAATCCTTGTCGAATATTAACGATTTTGTTTAAAGATAAATAGAAGGAGAGGAATTGAGGTAATGGTGTAAGTGTGTCCCACAATATCTATATTCCCCAAATTTAAATGTGTCGGAATCTCTAGGTTCTCCCCAATCCTCCATTAATTGTTTCTAAAACATTTGGTCACCATCGAGAATATAAACCAAATAAACAAGTGATACTTTACAAATGATTTCTCTAATGTTTTTTTTAACAAGGATGTGTCTCGTTAAAGGAGTGATGGTGCGTTTCGATTCATCATCTTATTCTTTTTGATCTTCCAATTATTTGATCTTCTCTTAAAAAGATTGATTTATTTAATATATGTTTTTCCATAAAAATGATATATATTCATTTGTATCTAATTCCCACACTATGGTTTACTTATATTTTTTTTTTAAAAATGAAAAGTAAATTTAACTTTCTTAGGAAAATAAAATTATTCTAATTAACAATTTAATAAAAATATAGTTTTAGAATCGGAGGCATTGTGCAAACGCACCCCTTTCACGCTTAAAAAAATAAATAATGGGTGATACATGGAAATATAATTTATAAAAGTTTTCTCATAACCAAAGGAATGTAACGGGAAATCTAGAATCTTTTAGGTCTTAGAAACAAATAGTCTCCTCATGTTTGTGTGACTTATGCCTATAAATACAGAGCCCTACACACAATCTATCTCATAATCAAAACACCAACGCAGTATCTCCCTTACCAGTTACTATACATTATATCTCTCTATAAATAACAAAAAAAAGGAAAAAAACTCATTTTGTGAGGCCATGTCAGGCGTTTGGGTGTTCAACAACGGAGTGATACGTTTAGTAGAGAACCCGAACCAGTCCGGTGGAGGCGCCTCTCAGACGCACGGCCGGAGAAATGTGTTGGTTTACTTGCCTACTGGTGAAGTCGTTTCTTCTTACTCGTCGCTCGAACAAATCCTAAGGAGTCTCGGGTGGGAAAGATACTTCAATGGAGACTCAGATCTCATCCAGTACCACAAACGCTCCTCCATCGACCTCATCTCTTTACCAAGAGACTTCTCCAAGTTCAGCTCCGTTTACATGTACGACATCGTCGTCAAGAATCCTAATTCCTTCCACGTCCGAGATTTCAATTGAAAGTCCACGGATTAGTTCTCGACCAATAAGTCCATATGTTTGTGTGTTGTTTTGTTCCAACCGATAAATTAGAGACGTAAACTCTTACGGAATCTGCGTTAATCATGTGAATTACGTACTGGTCAAAGAGAAGATGTGTGCAGCAGCTCTCTGACTTCGACAAACAAAGAGATGGCTATTGGAATATATATCATCACTTAGTTAGTTTGTGTTTTTTTGTTCATATGGGCTGAATTGTTTAGGATTGTTTTTCATTATTTTCTCCGAGTTGGTTGCATGTGGCATGCTTCTATCTTCTTCATATTTGTGAGGCTTGTGTGGACGTCTAGGAGTAGTTTGCCAAAAGGTGGCTCATTACTTGTAGCCGTCGTTGATTGTTTTTTGTTTTTAGCTTTGTAATTGTGGTGATGTATGTAATTAAGTTGTGTTACTTTTGGGTTTAAGCTGTATATTCAATTTGCATCGTTGTGGTGAAGCAAAATTCCTTTTCGTTATGTAAGTAATCGAAGTGACGTTTGTTTTGAGTCCAAAACTATGGGTTAAATTTGTTTTTTTTTAAAAGAGACTAGAGATAGTTCTCGATTTTAGTTAACTTGAAACACACGAAGGTGCTATATTTTGACCCAAGCCCTAGCTCCTCTTCTCTCGACGAGACCTATGGCGGATCTTCATCGCAACGTGTCTCTGATTTCGATCAAAACCCTAGCACATCTTCTGTCGACGGGATCCATGGTTGGACTTCTGCCCAAGTTATTTTTTATTTTGAGCTCTCTGTTGAAGAGATATATGGCGAGTCATCCATCATTTGATCAATCTTGTTACTTGGTGAGTGGTGATGATATTGGACTTTGTTAACTGCTTATGGGAAACAGAGAAATGAGAATAGCCGAATCCGTCTACCACAAGAAACACAAAAACATCCGATAAATCAATGTGGGTATTTATGAAGATCAGACCAGAACTTCTGGGATAATCTTTTATAACGACGTACGACGTGTTTGGTCTTAATAGCGGCTGCTTATGTCTCGACAACAACAAACTTCACGCTCCTCTCCTGTTAATGGGTTGATTAGGGTTTTAGTCTTTGAGTCTGTTCCTTTTTTATTGACAACGATTTTAACTGGTGACCATATAAATAACAATATGAATAAATAGGAAAAGGAATAAAATAAACAAGATAATAGAAATTATTGTTCTTCTTATTTTTTATAAGTAATATATTAATATTATAGTTCCCTAAAACATAAAAGACAGAAAAGGAATCATGAGTATAGTATATTCCTTTTAAATTATATAATTTTTAAGGAATGATAAGAAATTTAATATTCTATTCCATTCTTTATGGTCATCAATTCCATTTAATATTCATTCTTTATGGTCATCAGTTCCATTTAATATTCAATGTTTCACTTTGAATTATATAATAAAGATACCAATTTGTTGATTCTTGATCCAGAACAGATAGGCCTGTTAAAGGCCCAAATACTTAATTGTCGCATTTGTATTTTCCCAACTATCCAATCGAATCCCGAATCCGGACCCAAACCCTGATCCGGATCCTTTCTCGTCGGCTTCAACAGGCAACGAATCGATTGAGAGCAATCTACAGGCGGAGAAGCTGGAAGGAACGTTTTTCTTCAAACAATTTTGCCATTCCACTAGTTTTTGTAAGTTTGTGGATCAATAATATGCCATACTACTAGTTTTTGTAACTTCAAGTTGGTGAATTTGGATTTGGATTTTGGTAATTCTCAGAATCATCGTCATAGTGTGCTCTTCTTCTATCTAATTCCAATTTCGTCTCTCTATCGATTCACAGAGAAAGGAAAAAAAAAAATTTTGGAGGTCAATTTTTTGAAGCTTATATAAACCAACCAGTAGATTCTTTCTTTGTTTCTCATTGCGTCTGATTCTCGTGGGTTTTGGGTTCCTTGTTCAGAAGCAAAAGCTCATGCATTGCTTCTGAGTCCTGTGTTTGTATAGAATTGAGACTTTAGTTATCTACAATTTCTATTTGTTTTTTTTGTTCTCCCTTGTGCACAGAACAAAACGATGCCTCGTAAAGGACTCTCCAATTTCGATGATTATGATGATGGTTTCGATGATGACGATGCGTATGATTATGACTATGATGTAGATGAACACGGTAAACATCTTCCCATTCCTTTCTCGTGTGGTGGTTAATGGTCTCTCTTAGTTTTTCTGGTAGTTTATTTTCCTCTCTTGCTCAACTGTAGAAGCTGCTGAACCAAAGGAAGAAGAAATAGCTCAGAAAGGGCTTTGGCGATGTGCAATCTGTACTTATGACAATGATGAGAGTATGTTCGTGTGTGATATTTGCGGCGTTCTTCGTCATCCTGTGGCCGGGAATCAAACTGTCAATAGCAATACAGGTACTAAATGTATATTCTCTCCTCCATTCTGTATTCACGTATATTAGTCAGAGAAGCTAGTCGTTACAATTGCTCTCTGCCTCTGCATAGGATACATGTGTTATTGCATAATGTCTGATTTGTCTCATTTCTTTTTGTTCTTTGAGGTCATTTGATTTTGCTATTCTAGGTGTTTAATTATAGAATAGATGTGTTTTATGCAGTTGAAGGCAGATGCAAAGTATCCAAATTGGCAAAGTCTCTTTTCGAATCAGTCCCATCTAATCCACTGAAAAGGCCAGGTCTTTATCTGCCTGAGCACAAGAATCTTGTGATGGAGCAGGGACCTCTTTCTGGAATTTCCCGTGGGAATATTCATGATCTCCACAAGGCTTTTAGTTCTAAAAATTCCTGCGTTAGTATAGGTTGGGCACTTGCTGTAGTTTGATAGTGTTTCCTGTTTTTCTGTTCTCCTGATAAAGCTGTTCGTGTTGAGAGTCTATAGTTTGGTTCTATGCATTTGTGGCGTTGCGGCGTTATTCTGACATTTCCCTTTTTTAACTTGTTGTATAGCACCTTTCAAGTTTGATGCTCCATCGCCAGATGATTTAGTCTCGAATGGACTAAAAGGCCCACAAGGTATCCACACTTGGTTTTCACTTTGAGTTTGATGCTTTATGTTATTGTACGGATTAGATGCTGGAAACCTGGATGTCATAATAATTTCTCTTCTACTTCAGTCCACGTTGTTGTTTCGTCGCTGGAATTGGACCTATATGATATTCTTTGATTAATTTGAAATTATTCTTAAATTGTTCAGTACCTGAAAGTATTCTTGAAGGTAATACCGTACGTAGCTCAGGTGATGCTAGTGATACTGAAGTTTTAGTTCCAACTCTAATTAGGATTTTCCATTTTTTGGGTTCTTTCCTCATATGAATAGGGATGAAATCGGTTGTTTTCCTTTTAGAGGGTTTTTATCGATTAATTCTAGGGAAGAGAAGTTATTCTCTTTAGGAGTTTTACTCTGGTTTTCTGTTTTCGTCTAGTTGATTTTCGATAAAATATTTTGGTGTTTGAAGTGCGTTCTTAACTCTAGCAGCTAGCACGAGGCAGAAAGAGAAGCAAGATAGCGCAGAACAGAATCCTGTACAGAAAGGAGGAGATAGCTCAGAAACAAGACCCCGAGTTAGACACGATAACGTTGATAAAAGTTTTTCAAAGGGCGGTGGTGGAATAAAATCTGGCAAAAGTTTGCCAAAAGCAAAAGCAGATATGTCTAATGAGACAAGTTCTTCGTCGAAAAGGATGGAGGCGTCGGAGAATCTTACCGGTGCTATGAATAAGATGTCTTTGACTGGGGAAACAGAAAAGTCCAACGATATTAAAATTAGACGACCAATATCAAAATCTGAGCATAAGCCAGAGGAGTGGATGCTTTTTGATAAAGAATCAGATACACTAAGTCAACTTAATCTTGCCATCGTGAGTTTCTTAGATTTCTGCCGCCTATTTACTGATTTATTTTTTTCCAAGACAGGAGTACTGATGATTTCAATCATATTGTAGGTGGGGCATGTTGACTCCGGTAAGTCAACACTCTCAGGTAGATTACTGCATCTATTGGGAAGAATATCTCAAAAGCAGATGCACAAGTTTGAGAAAGAAGCAAAGTTGCAGGTATTCAGTTGTTTTTTTTTTTTGGATGTTAAGAGACTCAAAAATACAATTCTGCTCCGTTTGCTTGACATTATTATGTTTCTGATTTGATCAGGGCAAAGGGTCTTTTGCATATGCCTGGGCATTGGATGAGAGCGCCGAAGAGAGGGAACGAGGAATTACAATGACTGTGGCTGTTGCTTATTTCAATTCCAAAAGACATCATGTTGTTTTGCTCGACTCTCCTGGGCACAAAGATTTTGTTCCAAACATGATAGCAGGAGCAACGCAAGCAGATGCTGCGATTCTTGTCATAGATGCATCTATTGGTGCTTTTGAAGCTGGTTTTGACAATTTGAAAGGCCAGACAAGGGAGCATGCACGGGTGCTTAAAGGTTTTGGGGTGGAGCAAGTCATAGTTGCAGTCAACAAAATGGATATTGTTGGGTATTCGAAGGACAGATTTGATTTGATTAAGCAGCATGTTGGATCTTTTCTGCATTCCTGTCGCTTTAAAGAATCGTCTCTGACATGGATTCCATTGAGTGCCATGGAAAACCAAAACTTGGTTTCAGCTGCCTCTGAAAGCCGCCTATCCTCATGGTATGATACTGTTTCTGGTACAGTTATTGGGTGAATTGCGTAGCATATCTGAAACAAGCCATGTCATGGTTAATTTTCTGCTCAAAAACAGGTATCAAGGTCCATGTTTATTGGATGCTGTTGACTCTGTCAAGTCTCCTGATAGAGACGTCGCGAAGCCTCTGCTCATGCCAATATGTGACGTTGTAAGATCAACTTCACAAGGGCAGGTATCTGCATGTGGCAAGCTTGAAGCTGGAGCTGTTCGGCCAGGATCAAAGGTACACAAGTTTCATGATGCGATGTTTCCTTTAGTATCATGTATAATGAAACGAGTGAAACGTTCAACTGATGACTTACACTACTGGGTCTTTCTGCTAGATAATGGTTATGCCATCGGGAGATCAAGGAACCGTACGGTCTCTGGAGCGTGATTCTCAGGCTTGCACCATTGCAAGAGCTGGAGATAACGTAGCAATAGTTTTGCAAGGGATCGATGCAAATCAAGTAATGGCAGGAGGTGTGTTGTGCCATCCTGATTACCCGGTCTCAGTAGCAACTCATTTAGAATTGATGGTGCTCGTCTTGGAAGGCGCAACACCGATCTTACTCGGTTCTCAGGTAAAAACAAAGGCCCTTTCTCGCATGCTCATTCTCCTACTATTCGTCTCCTGTTCTCTGATCCTCTCCAATTGAAAAATATAGTTGGAGTTTCATGTGCATCATGCAAAAGAAGCAGCAACAGTTGTGAAACTTGTGGCAATGCTTGATCCCAAAACAGGGGAGCCAACAAAGAAGTCTCCTCGTTGTCTAACTGCTAAACAGAGCGCAATGCTTGAGGTTTGAAATCTCTTTTGACTTTTGCGTGAAACATTACAAAAAGTTTGATTCGATCTGACAGTGTTTTGTTGTAATAACTGCAGGTGCGTCTTCAGTATCCAGTTTGTGTGGAGGCATTTTCTGAAAGTAGAGCTCTTGGAAGAGTGTTCCTTAGATCATCAGGAAGAACAGTCGCCATGGGCAAAGTTACTCGGATTATCCAAGACTGATCATAAAAATTCTCTATTGTTGTAAGAGTTTTGCTTCTTCCTTAGAATTTGAGTCGTCCCAAGTTTTGTATGCAATACTTAAAGAGAATATATCCTGAATCCAGTTGCAAAAGTTATTCAATTAAATTTCAATTTGTAAGTTTGTTTATCCGATTTTTGACTCTTTCTTTTAGTTTTAAGATCAATCCGATTTTTGACTTTAAGATGTTAATCACAATAATATTTTTCGTGGAGACTACAATTACATTTATTTTTTCTTAAAAGCGAACATAATGCTACGGCAGTGGTATGAACTCGACATTATATTATATCTCAAAAACTGAATCATATTCGTATTTCCGTAAGATTTAGAATGAGAACGCAGAAAAGAAGAGTAAAGTTGGTGGTATATATGTTTCAAGTTCAAATAAAAAGTTGAGCTTTGATACAAGTGGAGAATGAAATTGTCACCTGATCTTATTTGCCTATTTGTACCCAATTGGGTCAGAAGAAACAAAAAATGTTAATATATGTACAAAAAGAAGAATAAGAGAAATGAGAGAGCAAGATGATGTAGAGACGAGCACTTGGTATTTGGTGAAGAAGCGATGTATCTGCATCATCTTGGAATCATCTCACAAAGCTAAAGTTGGGTGTGAGATCATCACTACAACGACTTCTCCTCTTCCGCAGGAGTTTTGCAGATAGGGCACCAATTCTTCATCCGAAGCCACTGTTCTACACAGCTCACATGGTACATATGTTCACATGGCATAGTCCCTACTTCATCTTTATCAACATACTCTTCCTGCATAGCACATATATATAACATTAACAACATCTTCTTCGTTTCACTAAAACCCTTATACTACTACATTGTTCTATTTCATCTTAGTTACTAGACAATTCAGTGGATTAATTTATCGTTTGGGAGAGACCTGGCAAATACTGCACTTGATATCATCTTCCTTATTCAGAGCAATGGCACTGGTTTCATCTGTCTCCTGATAAATGCTTTTCTTGAGGCTTCTCGAGAGTGCTTCTTCGCTTAAAGCTGTGCTCACTGTACCCATCTTATCCCCCAAAGCAAGTAGTTCCTGCATAATTTGTGTTCACATGGTTTTAGCTTTAAATATACTTTCGATTGTTAAGCCTAAAGTGGTTACTAATAGCCCAAGTGACCAAATACATGCAAGACTGACCTCATATGACATGTTATCAATGTCAAGCCTCATATCGCTATGTTGATCGTAGAATCTAAACATACCACTTGAGAACAGATTCGTCCCTAAAGAAGCCAATTGCTGCAGGAAAAGAAGCAGAACAGACAGAAGAAACGTCAGAAACACTCTAAACTCGGACAAACATGTTCGTATCAAAAGACCAAGCTGGATAAATTACCTCGTGTGTGAGCTCTTGATCATGCTCAATTCTTTCCAGGGCCAACAAAACCTGAAACATTTTCAAAAAAGTGTTATCACGACCCAGGAACATGTCAAAGCTTCTAATGAAAGCAGACTACAAGGTGACGGAAACTACCTCTGCGATTCCATTCATGTTGGATCGACTTAAACCATCCCAGTTCACCAAAGAGCGTGAAGGGTCAGCTCCTGAAGGGCTACCAGGCATCATGCTACGTAACCGTCCAGTACTACTGTTCGGCCTACTGAAACTATTTGATGGACTAAATGAAGGAGAAGGATTGAGATCGGTTCGTGTTGCAGGATGAGGCGCTTGTCGAGAAGTAGCAGGGGATGCAACAGCTCCAAGTCGCCCTGATCTACCAAAAGAACCATATCTCCTACCACTAATTGAAACAACACTGTTATCCCTGATAGTTGGTACTATTCGATTCCTTCTGGTATCAGACACTGTGATGCCATTTCCATGAGACGAGCCTTGATTCCTTCCCTTCACCACCGACACGCTGGTCTTATTATTGCCTTTGCTAGAGGAGCTGCTCTCTCCATCAGAGTTTTTCTTCTTCGCCACACTGATTTTTGTCGCCGAGCTTGAGTTAGTTGGAAGAACATCAGACACAGAGTTGCACCTCAAGTTCCTCAATCCACTCCTGCTCAGACCGCCTCTTACAGTGCTCTCGCTACCAGAAGATGAAGAAACAGAAGGACACATAAGGGCCTCCCGAGTGCCCAGTTCAGATTTCTGATGACTACTTCTTATGGTTCCTCTACTTGAGCTTCCTGCCTTTGTCGTTGCGACTCCTCCAGAGACAGTGTTTTGAGACTGAACACTCATTGTGCCTCTTTTAGCCTTCTGGTGTGAAGGGATGGGCTCAACCGCAGCTGGATCATCATGACTACTGCTCGTCTCTGAAGAATCTGTGTCCAAATTAGAAGACGGCTGTCTCCTACCAGTACCTTTGGCTGGCTTTCTTAAGGATCCAAATCCAGACGGAGTTCGAGATGAACTCCCAACAATTTCCTTTCCATTTGAAGAAGAACAAATCTGAGGCCGTCCAGTTTTTGTATTGTTTCCCGTAGAGCCAATCCGAGTTCCTTTAGTGGAAGTCACCTTTGCGCTACAGCCAATTCGGCTGCAGAAAGGCTCATTCTTATCATCTCTCTTGTTCATATTCTCACGCAGAACAAGTCCACTCGCTTTTCGTGGCACAACCAATCGGTCAGCTGATCGTTTACCTGCACACCCATCCATGAATCAAAGAAACACTTCCTCTGCAAACACACACACACAAAAAAAAACAGTTTTTCAGATATATGAAATTCATCATTTGAAAAAGTGCATCAGACGTGAGCTATAATATAAGCACTGGTTCAACAAGAGATTAAAGTCATCAAAAGCTTTAAGGATGGTGTTCCACCAAATCAAAAGCAAGTCGTTAAAAGTAAAAAAGCATCACGGAGACAAGAAGAGAACCACAAAAAAAGCTTACGGGAAGAACATGAGAGTGGATGTGTATAGATCATCCAGAGCAAAACAGCTGGTATTTATAACTTGATGAATCATAAACATCAGGGCAACAAAGCTGATTCTGTGATCGTGAGGGTGAGAGATGAACAAGAAAAGGGTTAAAAAAAACGAAAAGAGAGAAAAGAGGAGGTCATTGATGATTCCATCCAAGAGAAAATAAAGGGACTGCTACGAATGACACGGACTTTCCAATAAACGCAATGACCCTTTTCCCCGCGATTCCAGGTTCACCACTTCAAAATCCAAACAGAGAGAAATTTTTTTTTATAGCAGATACAATTAAAGAAACTCTGCCCCTTCACAATTTTTTTTTATTAGAGCTACTTAGTTGTGCAACAATCACAGGAATCGAACCCTATCAGCGAAATTTCCGATGAAGATACGTTAATCATTTCGCGACCTGGGAATTAAACTTGTACAAAATTGAAATTTAATCCAAAGACAGAAACAGCAACATGCGAGTACAACGAGAGAATCTGAGAAAAAAAATTAAGAACTATTTTTCCCACGATCATCTGGAGCGAGAAAACAAAATTCCGGCGTTACCTTTTCCTTTTCCGAGCGATTTCTCTCCGCCGTCTGTAAATTAACAAAAAACGTGGAGGAATGAGAGAGAGAGAAGACGATATATATATATATAAATAAATAAAATTTCTGGGGGGGTTTATAAAGTTTTTAATTAAGTTCGGAGGAAAAAAAAAAGTGGCGTAGCAAGCGTGGAAAAGCGGTTAGAGAGATCAGGACCGTCGATTTCGGGTTTGGTTCAGTGGAAGCCAAAGATGGACGGTTAAGATGCACACTAACGTCTCCCTCAGTAGACGGGAGAGTATTAGGAAGAACGAAAACGACACCGTTGTCGTTAGCGGCGTTACGTACGGTAGACGGAATGATATTGAATTAAATTTTCTCGTCTTTTTTTTTTTGAGTGAAATTAACGGGGTTCATAAAAATATGTATATTGGCGACTCTTAAATTTATCACTGTTGGAAACAAAATTTTAGATTACTTAATTAAATATGGTGAAAGCATATTAGACTAATTAATTGCTGTTATTGATGATGTCAAGAAAAGGTGTATTAACAAACGTATCGTTTTATTGGCGTAAACCGAGAGACTCTTTCTTATACAGGATAAACTAAATATATACTATTGGATTTGTTTACCATCAGAAAAGCAAATCTTTTGGGATTTGTTGCCGTATTACGGGTTCATGTCTACTACTTAAATGCCTAAGATTTTTAGCTATATATTTATTTATCTTTTTTTATATATATTTATTTATTTATCTCAATGTGAATTATATATATCAAAATTTGTATGAGTTATGTACAAATGGTAAACAAAACAAGATTGTTGAGAGATACAAAAATTAGGTGATTAAATATGAAAACAAAAGTATATCATATCTACATTGAGAATAGTAGAATAAGAAAGGATTTTTGGAGAAAGCTACTCACCAAAAACCTTGTAAAGATACTATCTCTTTCTTTCAAAATTAATTATAACCACACCGTAAATTACATTATTTTAAATTATATTTAACTTTTTATGATAATTTAACATTACATAAATCTATATTTTTTCTATATATAATGAACGTAATTATTATAATATTAAAACTTTGATATGTTTCACTTATAAACTACATATATCGTTTACTATTTATAAATTTTATTTCCTTTAAATCTAATTATAAATTTTATTTCTTTTAGGTTTACCACATGGCACCTATATCACATTTTCATACTTTTTTTTATTACTATACAGTATACATTTAAGAAAAATGATATAACACCTAATATATCACTTTGTTATTAATAATTAACATATAAACAAGCCAATAAAATTGTTACTCGCGTTCCTCCAGATTGGGCAACCAATCACAGAGTAATCTTATAAATTAATACTGTACAGTATGTGGTTGTTTAAAAAGATAGAATTGTTATTTATTGTAAAAAACTAAATAAGGAAGAATATATTGTTTTTCCATTGAACATGTAAAGCATGATTTAGAATACAATTAGCTGTCAAAAAAATAAAATCTATACTATTAACAATTATTTATAAGGAAACAAAAATATGATAAACTAATTTAGACTTGTATGACTATGACCACAATCAATTATAATTACGTGGAAAAACATGTATTTTAGACTAGCTCAAACAAAAGTCTACGGTTTTCCAAAACGGCCGAAATCGTTAGGGGGAAAATAAATACATATGGAGGATTCATGGTCTCCACCACCATAACCATCACCACCACCTAAGAAATGCGAGATTTAAGCTGCGTTTAGAATAACAGAGTTCCAAAAATAAAACAAAAACCCCTAAGTTTTCCACCACAAATCTTTGGAGATTACGTTCCTTGATATACACGTCTCTTCTCCTTGGTTCAAAAGCTTTTATTCATCTCCTTTGATCTTCAAGGTATTCTTCTTCTTCTTCTTCTTCTCGTAGTTTACTTCATGTCCAAATTGAAATTCTTAATTACCCCTTAAGCCGTAAGGCTGCTTTGAATTGAACTTTTTTTTGCTTCTCCCTAATTGAGTAAATTGTGCGTATAGCGTCTCAGGTCGTTTATTTGATCTCTGAATAATGGCAACGCCCTCCTCTAGTACAACGAAAACGAAACCGGACAACCAAAACCTCACCAGATCAAGATCTCTCGGCAGAAAGCCAAAACCGGTACCAAACTCAGAAACTGAAGCGAACGCAGATGGATCTGATCGGAAAACAACCGAGAAGCCTTTGCCCAATTATCTGAAACCAACAATCAGCTCGAGACCTGACCCGGTCAAGTTCTTGAAGAAGAACACTTCTGTGGAAGACAACAATCAGAAGCTCCTTCGTAGACGATCATTTGATCGTCCTCCTTCGTCTTTAACTTCTCATTCAACATCATCATCATCCCAGAAGTCTCTCAATACCTCTCCTCCCGCACGCCCACGAGACAGACCCGCGCTTCCAAGAGAGAAGCCTGCCACGGCTCTGCGTTCAACATCTTTCCATGGAAGCACCAGAGGCGGTCTCAGAGGAAGCAGCTCGGTGAAATCGCCTCCTGCGGCTTCAAAAGGACCTCCGGGGGTAAAGAAGAGCGGTCTGAGCGGTAGCACCTCTTCCAAGAGCAAAAAGGAGGGATCTGAGAATGTTCCAAAGAAATCTTCGGGTAAAGAGATTACCCCCGGATCTTCTCCTCCTGCGCCTGCTCACGAGTCTGCTCACGAGGATGAAGAAGAGGTTGTCAAGGTCGAGACGGATGTACAAGTTCCTGACCACAGCGAAGAAGAACCGAAAGAAGAAGACAAAGAGGTTGTTGCACAACCCGATGAATCCGGTGAAGAGAAAGAGTCCGGTGCAGTGGATGCCTCCACCAAAGAAGAAGAAGAAAGAGGAGAAGTGACGAATGAGGATAAAACAGAAGAGAAAATAGAGGAGCCGAAAGAACCAGAGAACAGTGAAGACAAGGAAGAAGTTGATGACGAGGACAACAGCAAGACAGTTGTTACTCCAGAGAGCACCCAAGAAGACAACGGTGAAGACAAGGAGGAAGCTGGAAAGAAAGTTGATGAGGAGGAGGAGGAGAGCGAGACAGTTATTACTCCAGAAGCTGCGAATGTCGAAGAAAGTAAGGAAGAGGGAGAAGCAGAAGTGAAAGAAGAGGAAAGCGAAAGCAGCAAAGTGAAAGAAGGAACAACAGAAACAAAGGCTCAAGTAGAAGAAGGAACAAAGAAGGAAGTGGTGCAAGGGAAGAAGGAATCTCCATCAGCCTACAACGATGTGATAGCAAGTAAGTTGCAGGAGAGCTCGAGGAAGAACAAGGTCCTGGCTCTCGCTGGAGCCTTTCAAACCGTTATTGACTATGAAACTGCTGCATCCAAGTGATAATGCATCTGCATTGTATCACAGCAGCTGCGACTAATTAGCTTTTTCCTATGTCAGTGCTTTTTACTGTTTATTTTCTTTCTTGTTTTGGCATAGCATCAAAATGTTGGACAACTAAGTTATATGGTTTTGTCTGTGAACATATCAATGCTTCATCTCTGCTTTTTCTTTCTTTACCCAAAAAACATTTACATGCAGAAACGTGACAAATGATATATAACAATTTAGAAGAAATTAACTCATACAAATAATATCTTACATCCACCAGAGCAGCTTTTGTTCTGGTTCAAATAGCCGATACAATTGTGCTCTTGTAAAAGCTCCAACTTCCTTTGAGCTATAACCGCTCCCACAAATATTTCCGCAATGAACAACTATAACCATCTTATGTTTCTTTTCCAGAATCAGATCTATCACACGACCAATCGATGTTGTTGTACTCACATATGGAGGCGGGCTTCTCATCATTGAGACCAATGGCTCATCAAGCTACAAATATAGTGAAGTGCACAAAATGTATCAGTGTTCATTTTGTTTTATTTTAAGTGTCAACAAGAGGTGTAGCGGAACAAGGTTTTGCTTTAACTCACATTGTTGCAATCCTCCCGATGCAGAAGGCCTATGCAACTTCCCCAATCGTCTACAATTGGCACAACTTGCTCCTTGAAAAACCGCATGACCACATCCTTCAGCAGCAGCGTGCCTAGCAATGGCCGAGTGGCTTCAAATGGAATCATAATACTTTCTATTGGCTCGCCTGGTATCACCTGAGTCAATAGATTGTTGTGAAATACCCAAATCAAATCTAACTTTTAGATTAAATTTTTGAGTGAAGAACAGCAAATCACCCAAACCTCACATTACGAGATCATTTGCATAGATAGAGAGTGTATTGATACCTTACTGAGTAGATGTGGACGCAATATAGACTTGGAGAACCCCAACAATGCTTCTAGGCGGACAGCAGCCTGCGGTTGAACATATCCACCCAAGTAAGGTTTCATCGGACATAACGTCTGTCTACGCAAAACAAATATCTAATGCCTGAAAATAACTTTTCACATCATACCATGCCTCCACTAGTTGTCCAAGGTATTGCCTTCCACCTTCTAACGATACTTTTAAGAATCCCGAGGGCCTCATCGAGCTGAAAATTTAGTTATCTAGAAAATTAATCATCACCAGACTAGCAGATATTATCAGAAAATGATAGACACCATATAAAAGATGCAGCAAAGACTTTCCATTCACTTAGAAGGCGCATCACGTATATTAAATTCTTTAATACCTGGCCAGCATTGAGAGCTGCTTCCATCAGCAGATTATCAGCTTCTTGTTGAACCGCCTTTGAGATTTCTCCCGAAGAATCAGGCCATAGGCGAAGATACAGGTTTCTAACCATGCCATAATCTCCTTTGACAGCAAAAGCACGCATCATAGACAGGTACAAGTGTGGCTTTGGTCGCAGGACTGCATTAGCTCCGCTTCTCTTCAATATTTCACCAAAGACACAAAGGGCCCCTGTGAACAGATTCAAAATAAGGAATTACTCCAAACCCATCCCTGTTCCAGATTCCGAGAACAGTACAATGTAACAGCAATTCATAGTGACATACCGCTTGTTGAGCCACACTTTAGCATAGCATCAACTACTGCAGTAAATGCAGTTCGGTCAATGAACAAGTCGTCACACAATTTCATTTCCAGAAATATTTCCTGCAGTGACAACAGATCCTTCGCATCCCCAAATCCCTACGAAGAAGTAAATCATCACTAGATGTTAAGTATATAGCAGAAAGTACAAGAAAGAGTACTAGGCCATCTTCTTGCATCAAGATTAGATATGTAAAGAGATTTACAGAATGCTTACTCACCTTCACCAAAGTGGTGTATGTTATAACATCCGGATGAAGACAATCGTCGTAATATTCCTCTGCTTTCTCCTGAATTTTTTTTTTATAGAAAACAAGACATCATAAATAACATGAGCCAAGAAGCACTACCCAAGTACTACTCTGAGTAACACTTGGAGTGTAAAACTGGCCTTTTTAAATACACACGTGTGACCTTCATTTCCTTTAAAAACTTCATAGCCACATCCAAATCGCCACACTTGACGCAGGCATGGATCAAAGTATTGTAAGTAGCCCTATCAGGCTCCAATCCAAGGCGTAACATTTCATCCAGCAAAACTACTGCTGCATGTGGAGATCCTGAGTTGATATACCCCTGAAAATACAACAATATATACCATGAAGATGCTTCTCTGAGCCTAGAAATTGCAACTATGCGTTACGAAGTACCTTCATCAACAAGTTATAGATGAGAACTGACGGGCCACCACGCTCTAAGAGTAAAGTTCCATATCGCGCAAGCAGACCATTAGCACGACGTAAATCTCCTGCACTAGAGCAATTTTTAAGTAGTTCTGCATCAGCTTCCAAGGCCATAATATATCTATTTCACTAACACTAAGATTACAGAATCAAGATTAGCACTTAGCAGCAGCCTTTCACAGCTTAAGAATGTTACCAGCATTGATCAGAGCGTCAAGCAGACCATAGATAAGTGATGATGACAGCTTGGGATTCCCAGCAGCAGTTCCCTGCTCTATAGACTCCATCATTTGGAACGCTTCGTCGATCCTCCGAGCCTTTCCCAATCCCTTAAACCAAAATCCAACAAACATTCGAAATCAAATTCAGTATGTGTTGCCTTTGTTCTTCTCACACAAAAATCGAATGCTGAATTAGCTGAAAGACAAAGAACGAAAAAAAAAAATCACCTTTAGAATAGTGGCGTAAGAAACAGAGTCGACGCCACACCCACCAGGTTCCGCCATCTCGTGGAACATCCGGAGAGCCAAATCGACATCTCCACAGTGAACGCAAGCTTCAAGGACGGAGTTCATCACGATTGTGTTCAGCCTCCCATACTGTCTCTTAGCTGCTTCCACTTCCTCCACTATCTGATCCAGCTGGCGACGGCGCGTGAGGATCACGATGCGAGAGGTGAGAGGCTTGAGGCTGAGACGCCTCGAGTGGTGAACAGCTCTGCGGGGATAACGCCGTCGTGTGGGAACGGAGCAGGACGAAGGAAGCAGAGGGAGAGGAGATGCAAGATTAGAAATAGCTGCAATCGGATACATTTTCTGGGAGACCGGAAGCAGCTACCCATCGGCCATTGATGGGCTTCACTTCACCTTGAGCTAAGCGAAATGGATAACGTTAGAGAATCTGAATCGGAACATATCAGTCTCAGTTACTGACATTGGCGGGTATGACAAATATTGCAATGTATTTAGGCCTTGGACTCTGCAAGCCCAACTTCACAAACTCTACAAAAATTAAGTATTTTTTTCAAGTTTCAACATGTGGAATTGTGTGAATTAGAAAAGGCTTTCGCGCTGGTAATTTCCACGCTGACGAGGGGTAAAGTAAAGTCCAAATAATTTGCGTATTTTGACTTGTCGTTAAACTAATCCACTATCCAGAAATTGCTTCTAGATTAAGCTATAATTCTCCAGATTTCCTAAATTTCGATTCTGCAACTTTTTTTTTTACGCGGAAACATAAATCCTAAATTCCATGGAGTCACCCTCCCTTATAAATATCGAAACTACAACCTTTCTTCTAACACGGTAGCCAAAAAAGAAAGAAAAAGTTTCCATAGTTTTTTACTTTGATAAGAAAGATTTTCCAGATTTTTTTACTCTGATAAGAAGAAGAAGGAGAAGGATGTGTTTGGTGTTCGTGTGCGATCAGGACGAGAGGGTGATCGGGAGGTATGCAGCTCCTGGGGCGTGTCCCTACTGCGGCGGAGCGGTTCAAGCGGTTGACGTAGAAAGCCAGTGGAGATTCTGCTTCGTCCCTCTCTCTTCCAAATCCAAGCGTCGCCATCTTTGTTCCACTTGCGGTAAACGCCTCATCGTCCATTACTGAAACAAAAAGCTCGCACCTCCGACATCTTTTTTGTTGTTGTCTCCTCTCACTTCTATATGTAAATATCCAAGTTTCTGACTTGCTCTTGTGTATCGTGTTGTCTAAGCGTTTGTAAAAGAAAGAATAGAACATGTCGTCTCTTTTTATAATATTCTCGCCATTTGTATGGATCAAGGTTATGAAAGTTCAGCTGCTCATAGTAATAGCAAAAAGAAATGAGATTTTTAGAAATTGGAGAATATCACTTGCAAAGCTTGAGCTTCTTGAAGAGAGGAAAGACTTGAGATTTGGGATAAGGCTTTGTGGCTATACAAGTCGGGATTTTCTCCGGATTCTCTATCCATAGCTTATGAGAGATTCCTTCCGATTTCAGCTTCTCTGACAAATTCATCATCTGCGTTTCCCCTTTAACCTCCAGAGTCACCTAATCGGAAAAAAACAAACAAACAAACTCGTTTAATCCACGGTCGATTCCATCCCGGAATTCGAAAACTAGGACTTAGCGGATTACCTTGTGCATAGAATCGATGTGCTGCGGATCACAATACTGAAGAGTGACAGGATCGTCTTTGAACGACCAGATCGCCGCCACTGACGCGTGGCATCCCTGCGTTACCACGCTCCCGAGTGGCCACGAATCGATCAAATCTCGTCGAAGCACCACGTACTGCACCACCACATCCACGGGCTTCTCCGCCGGGTTCTCGTCGTTACCAGAGGCATCGCCGGAACTGATTTCGCCAATCTGTTGGCTCATCGACGAATTCGTTGTGATACGACGGAGACGACCAAACTGGAACGTGAAATGATGCGACCTAATTCGCACCGCCGGGTCAGAAAGTCGGCGGATAGCGAATGGGAATCGAAACGCTGTCGAGACGACGGCGCTCGCCATATGAAATGAAGACGTAGGATAAGATTTTATTAATGGGCTTGTAGAAGACCCAGTTTATGATTTATTATGTCACCCAATTTGTAATCTCTATGGACCAAATGTTCTGGCCCAATAATAAGACGATTGAGTTAGCGTCTATTAACGTTATTGACTAATCAGTGAAAGTTTAAACGTCTGTGAACGTTGACTAATCAGTGAAAGTTTAAACGTCAGTTAACGTTGAGTAATCAGTGGAAGTTTTGATTAAATCAATTAGCAACCAACGTACAGTAGTTTGTTAATTTTTGGTAATTTGGTTTAGTCTTTTAGACCGGAACAACACGATGCTTGTAACTTAATCGGCATAACCAGGCCGGTTATTTTTCGCTCGAAGACTCGGATTAAATTTATTCCTCTTTCTGCTTTTTTTGTTTCTTCGCCGTGAATGATCTCCAATTCTCTCCAAGCGTAAATCAACATCCCGACGTCGTACGTACACTTTGCCGGAGCTGCTTAAGCCGTCTCGGCGATCGCTCTTTTCCCGGAAATCCGACCCTTTTTCTTCTCTACTCGTCGGAATCGGTAAGCTAATATTCCTCGTTTCAGGATTCAGGTTGCTGCGCCAAATTAAACCGCTAATCCCTGAAACAAGCTCTACAATTGACATGCTAGGGTTTCTAATTCAGCCTTGGTTCTGTTTACTTTTGTTCCCGTCTGAGCATAAATCGTGATTTCGTGAGTATAACTCTTGCTTATTTGGTCGCATTTGGATTTTGCTTTTCACTCGCTTTTCGTTGTTTATTGCAATTTGTTTGAACCCTGGGATTTGACAATTCCTCCTGCGTGAAGTGGTTTAAGCTTTGAATGAAACTTGGGAACGCTTTTCACCTTCGTATGATATTAGATGGGTTGTTATAGCTGATGAGCTACGTACTCTCCGGTGCAAATACGTGTGTTGAATTATGGCTAAGTTTTATTAAGATTCCTTGGAAATACTTACTGTTTTAGATGTGATGTATAGAAACTCAAAATATGGTCTACAGATTGATGATCGACGTTTCTGCTTTCTAGTAGGAGGAGCTTGTTGGTCAACAGGGAGCTCTCTGGAAGCCAAGATGGGAGAAATGGTAAGTAACACTCCTTATTTAGTCTTTTTGCTTCCAATTTGTAACACCTTGAAAAGGCAGATTCCGCAACATTTGCTTTTGTTGCAAATAGATTGTGTCCATGGAGGAAGATATCCGGTTGGATACAACACGAGCAAGATGTGAGTAACCTCGTTTTAGTTTTTTTTTTCTTTTTAAAGTCCAGTTGGCCTGTTCTTTGCAAAACTTAATTTTTATGCTCTTTTGCTAGTCTCAAGTCTTCTCAAGAGGCATCGAGAATTGACAGGCCGGCTTACTAGGTAGGAATACGCTTCTGAGTTATGTATTTAACTTCTCGATCGTCTTAATGTTAACTTTGTATTTGGTGATCATTTGTTTTAGGGATTCTGATAAGATGATATTTGATCGGTTAAGCAAAGAATTTGAAGCTGTACGGGCATCCCAAAGTCAGGGTGGGTATGGTTAGCTGAATTGCAGGACTGTGCATTAACTAAACGCTGTGCTTGTTCTATCTTTGTGGCTATATTTTTGCTTCATAAGTACATACTCATCCTTGTCTCTGTCTTAATCAAATGCTGTTTTCTCTCCTCTCCTCTGCAGAAATCTGCTTAGATGGGGAAGAGTGGAATGATGGTTTGTTGGCTACACTAAGGGAACGGGTATGGCATCTATCATTGTGTACTTTAAACAGAGGTGTTTCATGCCTTGGTATCTGGTTGAGAGCTTAGTTGACACTTTAATATGGGCAGCTCTTGATTAATTATGTGGTTCAGAAAAAAATAGTTGTCTTTTCTTTGTGGAATGAATCTTTTATGCCTATTTTTTTGTTTTTATTTGTTGATTTGGTTTGACTTATTTATTAACTAGACCATGGACCGTGTAGGTGCATATGGAGGCTGACAGAAAGGCAGATAGCGGTAATTCAGGTTTTGCACTAGCTTCTCATCCTGATGAACGAGTTACTTACAGAGTGGGAAATAAGGTAACTCCCGAAGTCTTACTTTCTTACAAGATTCTTCTTTAGAAAATTTGATTTTGTTTGTATCTGAGGTCTGTTGGCGTTAGCATAACCCAAATCTAGATAGTAGATAGCACAGATTTTGTTATGATATTTTCAAGATACTTCAAAGGAAACCTGTAATTTTGCTCATTCATTTTGGCCTGATGCAATGTTTGCGTAAATGATAGATCCACTCAGACCAATATTGGTTGTATATCTTTGTTGACTTTTATGTCTTTAATCTTTTCTGAATTCAAAGTTATGACTGACAGTGGCTTCTCACTTTGGATTGTTTCCAGGTCGTTGTAGCTTATATATTTGATCTAATTTTGAAACAGGTGATTTATTGCTTGGAGGGAGCAAGAATAGGAATACAGTATGAAACATCTTTTGCAGGTATTTTGAACTGTAAATGGTATTTCGTCAACTTCCAAATGTTTCGGTTCAGCAAAAATTAACGGCAGTTATACCAACACATAGCGAGTTTCTCGACAGAGGTTTCTTACCCTCTGGTGTGTCACTCTGAAAGAGAGGTTTTTGTCTTCGTATATCTATGTAAAGGAAGACATTGGGACTATTCCTAACCTTTCCTCTCCCAGTGTGATAGTTTAATTCTTTTTTTATATAGGAGAAACTTACGACATTTACCACTGTGTGATTGAGAGCAAGTCGTTTTTGGAGAAGATGACTGTACTTGAGCACACAATTCCTTTCTTTCTGCCAGTACGTGACTTGGAAAATGATCTTCTTTGTTCGAGCGCTAAGGTGAGCATGGTTTCTGGATCTATTGCGAGATTCAAATTGCTTTGACGTTGTTTTACGTCACCTTATCTTCAGTTTATCCTTTTAGTTTATTTTTTCTTAAATCTTGTTTTTCGTTTATAATCTGTGTTGATGCCAGAAATTCATCGATAGTGTTGGGGATCTGCTGCAAGCGTATGTGGACAGGAGGGAACAGGTTTGTCAGCAAATGAGTAGTTGATCAAACTTCGATTGAGCTTGTGAGATTTGCCTTTTTTACATTGTTCTCTCGGGTCATGACTTTCTCTCCTGATTCTATTTTTTAGGTCCGGCTTATCAAAGAGCTCTACGGAAATCAGATCAGGGAGCTTTATCACAGTCTTCCTTACCACATGGTTGAATTTGCCATGGATGATTGTGACTGGTTAGTATTTTCATGGATCCATAAAATATGATTCCTCTTAACATCTGCTACACTAAATATCGATGCGACCTTGTTGCCACGTAAAGTTCTGTTTTGATAGCTTTTTAAAAATCAAATAATGTTTTTTTTTTCGCATTGAAGCAAGGTGATGGCGAGCCTGAGATATGGAGATCTTCTGGGTGAACTTCCGACAAAAGTGAGAGTTCTAGCATGGCCATTGCATCAGTGGAAGAGACAGTGTACGAGCCCTAGATTAGGTAAGCTTGGAAGTCAAGCAATCCCTGTGCGTTTATCTTTTGCCGAGGATGCATTACGGATCCAGTCACTACCTGAAGGTATTTCTAGTTTAAAGACCGATCTGTTTAAAATGCTGTACTCAGGGTTTATTTGATTTATTTTAATGTTCATTGCAGCATATGCAGAGATCGTAGTAAACATGCCACAAGAAATTGAGCAAATATTCCTGCAGAGGAGTCCAAGCTAAAACCTGAAGCTGTGTCCAAAATTTCTATTTCTCTCGCCGCTTCGTTGTATGATAGTTTGATTTTGATCCTTCTTCCAAAAATGTTAAAACTTGTGCTACGAAGAAGAGTTTTTTACAGAATGGATTTTGTTCTGTTCCCGGTTAAAATGGTGCTGCTTTGTCGGTTAGGATATCACTAGTTAGTTATAGCTTTAACCTGTGATTAATTGGAAATGTTCATGCCCGAAACATCTATTACCATATTGTTGGTCAGATTGATAGAGTTTTTGTTTTCTAGGGTGCACTATGATTCATTCATATTCATCATGGATTAAGGCATTTGAAAGTGGTTGTAAAAACGATTAAAAATCAAGCTGAAGTTACAATAGGTCCAATTCAATTATGATATATAACGAAGCCACATATATATATAAACATTTATTTGGTTGGTCCACCATTAGATATTTTCATTTTAAAGATCCTAGTTGAAGTCATTTTGTAAATATAAAAATAAAAGTATGTTTACCTCATACGAAATTACGGTGATAGTAAGGAAACCCGGAGTTGTGTTACCCACTTTGAATTATCTTTTCACAAAACCACCCATGCAAAAACTTGAGGGTCCATCCATTGAATTTTTGTTGCTGTTCTGGCCCCATTGATATTAGACCTATCACAATTTGAGAGATTATGTTCCTAAAACATAAATTCTTCATATACTTTGCCGTTCCATTTATTTGTACTTTACAGATTATTTCAGAAGTGACAAACGTCTTATTATACAGTAAATATAAAATCGAGGGAAATTTATCGTCAGCTATATTAAAAAAAAAAAAATGTGCATTGAGCAAATGTTAACGATTTTTAATTAATAATTCCCAATTTTTTTGTATGTTTCATTAGATTTATCTCCTTAAATCTTAATAATATATTGATTACACTGAACTATAAAAAAATATCGAATTAACGACACAAACAAACATGAAACTCAATTCCTCTCTAGATAGATTATGGCTGGACTATCAGATTTAGTATCATTTTTCAGATGCACATAAGAGTCGAGAGTGTTCTCTTTTTATAAAAGAAAAACAAAAATCAGAACAGTACATAACAGATTTACTTTAGATCTATCTTCCTGAGTGATTTATTATTGGAACCTATGATTAATAAAGCAAATGTAAAGAACTATATGAGATGGGCCCTAGTCAGGATATATTATCGATTTTTATATTAAAATCTTTTAATAATGGAACCAAAAGTATGTAATAACAATACAATATTTTAACCCAAAAAGTATGATGGACTTGGGGTAATAGTACTGATCCAAGTGTTTATGAAACTATTGAAATAATGTTTTTCCTTTTTGGTATATTCTTCACCTTAATCTAAATTTGTAATCGTATCCTATTATCCATCTTAAATTGTTTCTATTTTAGAAAACTAAAACATGATTTGTACGTTACTCTAAGAGATTCACGGATGACATACATTTCTACTCAGATATTATTTTAAAATTTTAACTATATAATACTATTGAGTGCAACTAACCCAGTCATTCAAAACAATTAGCTGACAACCAATTCGCAAGTTCTGATTATATTCAAACAATATACAATATTTTCTATAATGGTTATCAGCTAAAACTTTTAACAACATGCACCCATGTTAATAGAGAAATTCATCTAAAACTTACTTTTAATGTGGTCACTTTCTGAAATCCAGCATTACATATGAAAAGTAATTATTAGGAAGAAAGCTGAAAAGCATGGTCCTGCTTTAATCGAGACTTAAAATATAAAATGATTAAACAAATCCGCTATTTAAGGACTCGTGTCCCCATCCAATTAATATCTCCACATTCTCGTCTTTCTCCAACTCCTAAAATAACATTATCCTAATCCTCCTATAAACCACCGTCCATTTTTGGCGCGAGAGCAAACAAAACACACAAACAGAAGAAACATGTTTGAAAATAGCTACACCACGTGTTGGTCAACGATACTTCCACGTGGCAACTGATGAAGATGACGTGGCACATGTGGCTATCACATGTTCGTATACTATATAACTAGCAACTACGGGACGGGACGGGACAAAAGCCTCCGAGCGCCGTTCAGATCGGGGACTATTACTAAGAGACATAACAAATTAACAATGGCTTAGCTGTTTTCTTTCTTATTTTAATTTGGAAAGACACCTTTAATCTAATAATTGTGATTATTATTATTTTCTTTTGTGTGTGTAGTTGATAATTTTTATATTGCTAAATTTATTAATATAGAAATGGACAACTAATTTTGTACCATTACAGTTGTTGTCGCTCCATTGAACTGTAAGGATTGGGGCCTTATTTATTGTTAAATGTTTTTTCTTTCTTCTATCTATTATTATGCACAAGATTCAAATTATTGAATCATATACAACTTTCCAACTGAAATTGAACTGACGAATATAGTTTAAGATTTGATGATTAATACAAATATTATATTTCGGATACATTGTGGTGCATGTGCTTTGAAATTCATGAAACATGAATGTCCCGACCCAATTCGAATATTTGTGTACTTTCGTCAAGCATTGACATTCTATAGACTATATAGAACCACATGATCATTTTCTTTTCTTTTGGAAAGAGTACAAAAGCCAAGAAAAACAAATCATTCATTCGTTACTTATTGTATTGACAACTAGGAAAAAAGTACTAATTTTCATTCGTTGTTCCAATCATCTAAAATTAGACAAAATCTTACTTAGTGCTAAAAAGAATAACAGTTTTATCCGATACATGAACATACGATAAAAATGATCGTTGTGTTTATCGCAGACTAATTCGTTTCCAACGTAGATCACTCTGTCTTAGAAATGGTTAACGATCTGTTGTTACAATTTTTTTTTTTAAAATTATTAACATAAAAATGGTCTGTAACAGTCAAAACAAAATTGTTATTCTCTCTTTTATACGAACCGATCAAAACGTAAAGCGGTATTGTTGATTAGTTGGTGAACTAATGGTGGTGGAGTAGTGGAAAAACCAATCTGATTAAAGACAACCCAATTCTTTCTATATAAAAAGAAGAAATATTTGATCGAGTAGTCGATGAGATTAACAACGGAATCGGGAGATGGTAGTGATTAAGTTGCTAAATTATGAATTAATAAGGTCGTTATAGAAATCAAAAGACGGTTTAACGACTAATGTAGTCGTTTATTGAGGCCAGTCCTCGTTGCTCCATAAAGTCATAATGAACCAATTAAAAGGAAGTGAGAAGTATATATATATATATATATATATATTGTTTTAAAAAGTGGAGCGGTTGGTTTCGTCGGAGCGTGACGTCGACGCGCCGCCTTGGAATTCCATTTTACCTTTTTGTCTCCTTCCTTCTTTTCTGCCACTACTCATTAATTTCAGTGAGGTATAAAAACGTTAGAAAAGCAGAGAAGCTCGAAAGAACAGAGAGACAGAGCTGTAGAATTGTGAGACGGATCGAAACGTGTCAACTTCTCTGTCATTCGATCGTCGGATTCGGTCTCAGAAAGAAAACAAACGTGCACAGAGAGAGAGAGAAAGAGAGAGAGTCGCCATTAGAATAGTCGAGTGAAATGTGAGAGAGAGAGAGGAATATAATATACATTGACCTCTCTGTCTCTTGAGGAAGCACATGGCTCTCTCTCCTTGCGAGTTTTTATTTTTATTTTGTTTCTCCTCTTCTCCGTAAAACCTCATTTGTTTTTTCTCCCTATCTTTCACAATTCACATGCCCCGACTTCTCTTTTCTCTCTCTCTTCATTGGTTAATTCTCTTCCCAATGCTCGTTTGAAGTTTATTTACTCTAACACTCGACGAGGTCTCTTCAGATCTATTCACTGTTCATTCATTTTCTCTTCTAATCTTCTAATCTTCTTCCTCTTCCTCTGTTAATTTCCCGGTGACCGGAGCCGGAGAAGGTAAGCTTTCGATCAAATCCCCGGCTGCTTCTTCATTTTCATTTTTCCATCTCTTTCTGTTTCTACCATTGACTCGGTAGATTTCATGATTACCATCTTCTTCTCCCTTTTATTGTTCTTGCAATGCAAGATTTTTGCTGATTTATGATCCAACTAAACTCCGAGTTGCTTTTATGTTTTTGTGTTTTCGATCATTGCTCGAAAGGTTTCGACTTTGGTTAATTCGAGTTGCATTTGATGGTGAATTAATGATCCAAGTTCGTTACTATTTCAATCTGAAAACAAAAAAAAAACTGATCCATAATTTTTTTACATATATTTTGGGGATTTGCAAATTTCACCTTTTTAGGCTCGTCTTCCTATAATCATCATAATTTGAAGTTTCCCGGTTAAAATTTATTGGTCCACACTACTAGTTGAAAATTTGAATTTTATTTACATAATGATTTACACATTTACAAGATCAAGATTCTGGAGGGAGATCAAGATGGATTGTCCTAACTCTAATATATATACGTGTCTGAAATATGTTAATATAGGTTCTTGGTCAGATCAAGATTCTCTGGTTAGAGAAAAGCTGTTGAATTTTGGAGTGTATGTTGTTGTATGAAGAGAAACTCTCATAAATGGTCTGTGAAATGGAGACTGATCAGATTGAGGAGATGGATGTCGAGGTCTTGCCTTCGATGTGGCCCGACGACGTCGGAACCGAAGCAGACAAACAGTTCAACGTCGAGAAATCCGCCGGCGATTTAGACATGTTGAAAGAAGTGGACATCGCCGAGAAATCGGCCATGGCTGATTTAAAACGGTTACCGGAACTAATGAACACGACGGACCAAGGCACCTCTCAGCTAACCAACCTCGTGAAACAGTGGGAGTATATGCAGGACCACGCGGTTAGGCTATTGAGAGAAGAGCTCCAGATTCTCACTAAACAGAGAGAAGAGGCAGAGGCCAAAGAGCTAAAGATCATAGAGGAGCATAACTTTGAGAGCCAAGAGCCTGAGAATGTTCCTGTTTTGGATGAGACGAGCGACCTTTTCCGCAGGTTTAGGCAGAAGAAACGCGACAAGCTGGTCGATAGCAAAAAGATTGAGATCGATGAGGAGTTCGACACGATCGCGTATTGGAAACAGAAGGCGTTGAGCTTGGGGAAAATGCTTGAAGCGAGTACCGAGAGAGAGAGGAGATTGATGGAGAAGCTGAACGAGAGTTTGAAGACGATGGAGAGTCACTCAGCGCCCGTTGAAGAACTGACTCAGAATCTTAAGAGAGCTGAAGGTTTCTTGCATTTCATTCTTCAGAATGCGCCTATTGTTATGGGACATCAGGTAAGTATAATGATTTTGATCTCTTGTGTGTTTTCCGAGTAATGATGAATGTGTCTCTGATTCTTTCCTCTTCTTGTTTTATTTACGGGTTTCAGGATAAAGATTTACGCTACTTGTTCATCTACAACAAGTTTCCTAGTCTACGAGAACAGGTTTGAAGTTCGTCTTTGTTCTGTTTGGATTATTATTGATCATTCGCCTGAGGGAAAGTGTGTTTGAATGAAGCCTGTTTCTTACTAATGTCAGGACATTTTGGGGAAAACAGACGTCGAGATATTCCATGGAGGTGGGGTTAAAGAGTCTCAAGATTTCAAGAGAGAGGTTCTTGAGAAAGGAAAAGCTTCAAAGAGAGAGATCACATTCGAGACAGAGTTATTCGGATCAAAGACGTTTTTGATATACGTTGAGCCTGTTTACAACAAAGCCAAAGAGACAATCGGTATTAATTACATGGGAATGGAAGTTACTGATCAGGTTAGTGCATTCAGATTATTGGCCCAAATCAATACTATATAATCTATGCTCTCATTTCACCTCTTCAATCTTTTATTTCCAATCAACAGGTAAGGAAGAGAGAGAAAATGGCGAAACTTAGAGAAGACAACGCAGTGAGAAAGGCGATGGAATCAGAACTTACCAAGACCATCCACATTACAGGTTTGATTCAAGCAGTAAAATCAAGTGATGAAGTTTCAAGAAAATATTCATGTAAAGAAACTAGACTCGAGTGGTAAATTTCTCTTTTTGTGATCTTCTTGTGTGCAGAGGAGACAATGAGAGCGAAGCAAATGCTAGCGACAATGTCTCATGAGATAAGGTCACCATTATCAGGAGTAGTGGGAATGGCTGAGATACTTTCCACTACAAAACTGGATAAAGAGCAAAGACAGTTGTTGAATGTCATGATCTCTTCTGGAGATTTGGTGCTTCAGCTAATTAACGATATTCTTGATCTCTCCAAGGTCGAATCAGGTAGATAAAAAAAAAACTGTTTTCAGGTTTTGACCTTGTGGTGTGGTCATTTTCAGATTCTTGATGACATATATGTTTTTGGTGTCTTTGTTTTCAGGTGTGATGAAATTAGAAGCTACAAAGTTTCGGCCAAGAGAAGTGGTGAAGCACGTGCTTCAGACAGCTGCCGCATCGCTGAAGAAAGATTTGACATTAGAAGGAGACATTACAGACGCAGTTCCTATTGAGGTTAATACACACATTTCTGAAAAGGGTTTAATGGTGGTGGCAAAGTCTTTTGTGATCCAACGTTTTTTTTAATTTTCATCTTCAGGTAGTTGGAGATGTTCTAAGGATTCGGCAGATTCTCACCAACTTGATCAGGTTTTGTTAAAACATATATTCTCAACTATTCGCATAATAGAAGTATTTTCGGTTCCTGAAAGTTGAAACCTTCATACAAAAATTTGCAGCAATGCTATCAAATTTACACATGAAGGAAAGGTTGGGATCAAACTCAAAGTGATATCAGAACCATCTTTTGCGTGTGATAACGCACTGAATGGAGACGAAGAAGTCCAAAACGGTTTGACCGAGACTTCGGTTTGGATTCGCTGTGATGTTTATGACTCTGGAATCGGAATCCCAGGCAAGCTAGCAGTTTATTGTTCAAGAACATCAACACAGAACTTACTTATTGATTAATCAGGTCCATGTTTTGGTGTTCTTGTGCAGTAAACGCACTTCCTTGTTTGTTCAAGAAGTACATGCAAGCAAGCGCTGATCATGCTCGCAAATACGGTGGAACTGGTCTCGGTCTCGCCATTTGTAAACAGCTGGTAAAACTAATCTTTCAGATTTCACAAAACAGAGAAGAAAACTATTCATCTCAGGATTATTCTCCTGAGGCAAATCATTCTGTGATGTTTATGTCTACAGGTTGAGCTAATGGGAGGTCAACTTACTGTGACAAGCCAGGTCAACGTCGGCTCAACCTTCACATTCATATTACCCTACAAAGTTGCGACATCAGATGATCATTCGGATGATCAAGATGAGTTCTCTGATATGGTGGATCATCAACCCGAACCGGACGATACAACCGAAGGGTATTTCCAGTTTAAACCGCTTCTAGGATCTATATATTCTAACGGCGGACCGGTCATCGGCAATAACTTTTTACCTCATAAAGTTATGGTCACTAGTCCTATTAAGCTCATTAACGGTTTTGTTGCCCATCCTTCTGACGACATTGAACAAAGCGAGACGGTTCAGGTTGAAAACGGTGGTTACACAGATGAATCTAGACTCAAAAACAGTTCTGGTCACTGTCTTGGATCAGCTCACCAATATGAGAATGGGAATGGTCGATGTCTCTCTAAGGAATCCGAATCTTGTAGCAGTTCACAAGCTAGCTCAGAAGGTGGAACCGTAGAAATGGAGTCAGAGTTTACAGTTTCGTCTCATAGGGAAGAGGAAAAAGCAGAGAGAGATCTCAAAGAGACATCAAAGCCGAAGATTTTGCTTGTGGAAGATAATAAAATCAACATCATGGTGGCCAAGTCGATGATGAAGCAATTAGGCTACACCATAGATATTGCTAACAATGGAGTTGAAGCCATAACCGCGGTTGAACGCTCTAGCTACGATTTGGTGCTCATGGTATGTCAGTTAATTCTCTTAAAAGCTTTTCCTTAACAAAATCACTTAATTTGAAAAGGCTTATAGATTCAATTTGGGTTTACAGGACGTGTGCATGCCGGTTATGGATGGTCTAAAAGCTACAAGACTGATCCGTTCTTATGAAGAATCTGGGAACTGGGATGCTGCAATAGAAGCCGGGATAGATATAAAGACAATGGAGGATGAGCAAGTTTGTATGCGTCCCACAAACCGTCTGCCTATAATCGCGGTTAGTACTTCGTCTTCACATACTAGTAAACACAGAGCTCTAATGGATAATAACTTGAGAAAACTGAGAGTTAAATGGGTTGTGGAATTTCTATGTAGATGACGGCAAATACGTTAGCAGAGAGCTCAGAAGAATGTTTTGCAAATGGTATGGACTCTTTTATTTCGAAACCTGTAACGTTGCAAAAACTGAAAGAGTGTCTACAACAGTATTTGCATTGAGATTTCGAAGCTTGGTGTTTTGTAGATTAAGTGTATGTCTTGTGTATAAAAAATGTGTAGGAAAAAAGTTTTGGAGAGCTACAAAGTAGCTTTTGCTCTCTTAGAGATTGTATAGTAATCAATAAAAAGCTTGTCTTCTTTATTTATTTGTGGGAAACTTGTGGGTGAGACGACAAACGAGGAAGACATATTTGTTCCCACCATTGAAACCCAAACAGAGAAACTCTACAAAACGACAGAAAGCATAATCAAGCTTTTCAATACAGACTTATCTCGATTTCTGTTGGCTGTAACGTTGTATTCCATGAACATCCACAATCCCCGGAGGGAACACAGGATCCGTGGCTGCTCTAACCGCTACTTTTGCAACTGATCCAACATTCACCGGAGGTGTGAACAAAGGCCCGACTAACGGAAGCTGGTTCAGCGGTTTTGCTTGTTGAAGAAGCTACAAAAAGCCACAAACATTGTGAATAAAGACGCCAACTTTGAGATAGACTGCTATGACGAGGGGAATCTCTTACCATCTCCATAGGCGACCCAAATACTCCCAGTGGGATCTTCATGCTCCCAACACTGCGAGTACCATATATAAAACCAGGTCGCAAGATTATCCCTGCACAACATCCATCGAAAACCTCAAATTTAGAAAACAGATAAGATTCACAGAGAGTTTTGTAGTTGTAACATGAAAGTTTTGTTTTACCTCCATAAGCAAATCTTGTGAGCAGCTCAGTCTCAGCAGCTCGCTGTAAGGATCAATAGAAAAAGTCTTAAGACAGCGTACACTAACCAAATAGCGATATGCAAATAGCTGCTAGAGTCTTATCATTTTCAAATAATCACTGAGATTTGAAAAGTATGTTAACACCTTTCCCTCATAGTATCCGCTCAACAAGTAGTTGGCTAATCCGAAATCAGCAGCAGAAATATAGACAAATCTTTTAACACCTGGTCAACAAAGGGAACCCAAATTAGAATGCCAATAAACTAATGCTAATCCCATATACGCCCTGCTAATATATTTCCAAGAAGCCATGCTGTTTAAAGTTGTAGCAGACTAAATCACCTAACTTGTATTTTTCCCGTTCCCCTAATACTTACAAAAAACTCAAATTATTTTCGTAGAACTGGGCACTCAATGCCCTATGGCCCCCCAGTGTCTACCTGAGCTAGATACCTCACAAATATTACATACTTTTCAAACAAAAAAGAATTTTGGAGTCTGTAAGCATTTATACCGATACCTTTTTCTGATGCAGCTCTAATTGCATTGATGTTTGCAGTCCCGTTAATCTTATACATGTACGAGTTTGAACCAAAACCACCAACACAAGAGATCTGCAATGATTCATTCCGAGTTACTTTCGAAAAATGTACAGTTGACAAACGCAGCACTGCTAAATAAGGAAAAATCTGTGGTAGTCATCAAATTTCTACATCACTCCTGAAAACAGAGAAGATACATACCACAGAAGTCACTCCATCAAGAGCATCTTTCAATAAATCAGATGATAGAAGGTTTCCTGGAAGAAAATGGGTAAAAATATTAGACAAATATGAACACACTGGAAATATTCTAGTTCCTACAGCATATTGAGGATGAAACAGTACCTTGATGCCATGTTACTCTGGTCGCCCATGACTCTTGTAAAGACGACCTTCCTGATCTAATAACCCATACAAATAGTTAATCAAAAACCCATAAATCCACATCTGACATAGATTAGCTAAACAAGAAGTCTCAACTGTGAGCCATAAAAATTGAAGTTGATATATTCTGAGACATGAATCAAAGTCATAAGGGGATTGAACAGGTACCTGCTAAGGCTAGAGACAGATAAGCCGCGATCTAAAGCTTCTTTACAAACATGCGATCCCACAAAACCATTTCCACCAAGGACAAGCAGCTGACAAAAAATGGGGGACAAAAAAAAGTTCCAAGATCATCAACACCATCGCAACAGCTTTACAGATAATCACAATGTAAGATCCTTCAGAACCTGATAAAAACTCATACCTTCTCGGTTGGAGGTGGAGGCACATGTACAGTCTCTGCTTCTTCCACATTGAAAGGTTCATCAATTTTGTTAGAGTCTGTCGAGAGATACCTCCCGCCACTGGAGGCAGAAACGAACCTAATGCAACATAATCCAGAGAGATGAACAGCGCAAGAAAGCTAAGTCAAGTAACACATCTAGAGGAAGATAAATTCTCGAATATGTAAATCTGTGGCCAGTGATAAGAATTACACATCTCCTATGAAATGTCTCCACTGTGACGAAGTTGATAAACTACAACAAACACTCTATTGCAACGACCAAAGCAATACCGAATCAGCTTAACTTTTTTTAAGAATTTAGATCATGAAACCAACCCAGCAACGAGAAATTACCAAAACTAATGCGCATTTCCCTCAACACCCTACCGACACAAGATGCTTAGATACTTCCAAATTCCCAGAAACGTCCGAGAATCTAAAAAAACCGACAAGGCCTAGAAGACTATTGTATAGAATCGATGGAGGTGCCAAATTACGGAAAAGAACGGGGGAGAGACCACTCACCGTGTCTGGGTAACAGACGATTTGTAACGGATCAAACGTGAGACGATTGTCCTCATTTTGGATTCAGAGCAGGAGAGAGTACGAAGCAATTCGACGCAGAGAGGAGTAAAACAAAATGTAAATTTCTAAGAGTGAATGAGTCCGATGGCGATGGAGACGGAGAAGTCCGGCCAAATAACAGAGCAAGCGTCGAAAATAGCGCTACAACAGAGAACACGTCGCCTCTTAGGAAGCTTACACGTAGACCCTGACCCGAGGATCCGAACCCATGGAAGCCACGAGAGTCGCCAGCGCGTTGATCACTGGATACAAAATTGGGCCAACATTAATTGGGCTTACATTCTTATGGACATCATGTGGTTGGTTGGCCTGGCCTAAGATTAAAGGTTATTACATCAAATCTCAGTCTCTGATGTCTTTGCAGACATGATAAAGAAACTCGAAAAATCCTCATTTGATGTATGATTTTTAAGTCCATATACAGCATAAAGTGAATGATCCGTTGGACTTTAAAATCCATAAAGTAAAAACATACATCATTTGATGTGTGAATTAAACGCAGCTTCCTCGCCTTTACCATAAAAGTTCACACGTTGTGGTTACAACATCTGAACATCACATAAGAATCATAATAATTTCTTCAAGCTGGTCTGAAATTCACTTTATATGTTCACATGTGAATTGTACAATTAATAATTGGGAACTTGGATTTGGCATAATAACAAAAAAAGAGTTGCATCTCCGAAGAAGCTCAGAATTTTCCATAGTGATATCTTTAAAACCTTTGCTACCTATCAGCTTGCTTTGGTATCTATATATAATAACAAACTGAAAAATACCAATTGCATTTTGAAAAATTGTGTCCTTTTAGAATTTATGATTGTGTCTTTTTATTATAAATAGTTGCATATTTTTACAATAAATTATTGCATTTTTTCACCAACTATAATTTGTGTCTTTTCAAAACTATTTATATTGCTCAAAACCACAGGAAAAATCATTTGGATCTAACTTTTACTTTTTTACCATAGTAAGTTTTTTTGTCGTAAACTTGTTTATTTATCATAACATATTATCAAGATACAAAGTGTTTAAAAAACTTGGAAGTTCAGATATTAAATTTGAGTAAAAAAATTTATTTGGGGGTCTAAGTTTAGCTAAATGTGAGCAGTTTTATTACAAAATTGTTTTACATTCATTACATCAGAAAAATAGAATCTTCAACTAAAATCTAATGATATTTTTATTATAAAGAAACTATAAGTGTTTTACTTACTGATATATATTATGTTATTTAATTTTTTGTTAACAATCCGAATAAATGCCATTTACACTTTAAAAAGTTGTGTCGTTTCAAAATTTGTGGTTGCGTCTTTTCATTATGAATGGTTGCATCTTTTCATTATAAATGATTGCGTTTTTCATTACAACTGCTATTTATGTCTTTTCAAAACTATTTAAATTGTTCAAAATTACTGAATAAAATTATTTGGGTCTAACTTTTACTTTTTTACTATGGTGGGTTTTTTTTGGTCGTAAACAATCCGAATAAATGCTACTTATACTTTAAAAAATTGTGTTATTTCAAAATTGGTGGTTCTGTCTTTTTATTATAAATGATTGCATCTTTTCATTATAAATGGTTGCGTTTTTTCATCAGAACTGTTATTTGTGTTTTTTTCAAAATTATTTATATTGCTCAAAACCACAGAAAAAAATTATTTGGATCTAATTTTTACTTTCTTACTATAGTGGGCTTTTTTGTCGTAAACTTATTTATTTATCATAACATATTATCGGGATACAAGTGTTTAAAAGTTCTGGAGATTCAGATATTGAATTTGAGTAAAAAATTCCATTTGGGAGTCTAATTGTGGCTAAAATATGATAAATTTCATTACAAGATTGTTTTATATGTATTATATCAGAAAAATAAAATTTATTCAACCAAAATCTAATGTTATTTTTATTATAAAGAAATTATATGTATTTTGTTTACTAATATATTATGTTATTTAAATCTTTTTGTTAACATCTATATATTTATAGTTAATTGTGTTATTTTTAAGTTTTAATATTCTTTGTTAGTTGTTTATAAATTTAAAGTACCTAATATTTCGATTCTTTTTTCTAATTTCATAGAAATATATTTATGTATAACAAATTCACATATATTTTATATATGTATTTTTAAGGTATCAAAGTTTTTTTATATATTTTAACTAATATATTTGTAATATACCTTTTTGATATTGCGAATATTTTTAGAAACTATGGTAGTCTTAGAAAATGTATTATAAAATCTCATTACATCATTTTATTATGTATATTTCCTGTAGTATTGTTTTTTAAAATATCAAAGTTTTATCATAATTCTTTGTTTCTAGCTTTTTAATACTAAATGTATAGTTTTATAAACTATTTTTTGAAAGATTGCCTTATTTATTTTTTTACTTTACACTTTTATGCTAATATAAATTTTCAATAATTATACAAATAGAAGATCGCATATTTATATGATATATCTATATTGTATATTTTCATATATAACTTTTTAGAACACTTAAAAAGTTGTGTATCTTATTACTTTTCAGTTTTTTTATTTGTTCTATTAATAATTTATAATAACAATCATATGAAAATTTATATATTTTTATCATAATTAGTTTGTACATTTCCATTTAGAACTTATTGTTAATAATTAAAAAAAATTGAAATTTTTATTTTATTTTAATAATTATAAGTTGTTTTGAATGGTTGCATTTTTATTATATATATTTTACTTATAATTATTTTAAATAAATTTCTGTTAATCTTTAATATACCGTATATTGACCCCGTGAAGCGGGGATCCTATTTCTAGTGTTATCAATATTATTGTTTATTAATTTATAACCTCGTGGTAGTAGTGCCTTAATAAGTTAATAAAGAACTAAAAGTGAATCCCTTTTTTTCCTAAAGGTCAATAGAACTCTAGAAGAACGTCTTGTGTGTCTTGTTGCTTAAGTATTGTAATTTAGGGTTAGCTTTCGGTAAAGACATCAACATCTAGTGTAAGGAAATATAACAAATCCTTTAATTTTGAACCCAATAAAAAGCAATACCATTGAAATATATTAAAACCGACCAAGTTGACTCTATTGGACTTGACTCATGCATCTAACTATGCACTGCTTTTCGAATAATGTCTATAAATAAGTCCGTTACACGGTAATCAAACAACCTCCACACACACCAAACACAAACAAGTTCAATACAAGTCCAAGAAAGAAAAAAATATAAGAAACAAGGAAAAAAAAAAACAGAGTCTTGTCCTTGATGATGATGGGAGATATGATGGGAACATTTGGTTCAAGCATGGCAAGTTTATTCTTTTTCTGGGCAACTTTTCAACAAATCTTCCCTGACCACCTCAAGATCGCAATCAAGGAGTTCCTTTTGTCTACAATCCAACAACTCTCGATTGTCCAAAGATTCTCCGACCGGATCATTAACTTCTTCTCTCCTTACGTTGTCATCAGTTTCCCGGAGTACGAAGAGTATCGTTTCAATCACGCATTTGCAGCCATTGACACTTACCTTGGTGCCAAAGCAACCGATAAAGCTCAAAAGCTTAGGGCAAGTCAGGTTAAAGAGAGCAAAGGTCTAGTCTTGAAACGTGACGAGGCTAAAGTCAGCGACATATACGACGGAATTAATGTCTGGTGGGAAATTGTGACCAGTACTGATGGAGATAGAACTCACAAGCTTACTTTCCATAGACGTGGATTGGAGATTGTGACCGGATCTTACATCAAGTATGTGATGGAAGAAGGGAAAACGATCGAGGCGAAGAACAAGAAGATGAAGCTGTTCACCAATAACCCTAGTTTCAATTGGGATTCTAGCAAGAAAAGCTTGTGGAGACACATTGATTTTGAGCACCCGGCGAGTTTCCAGACACTGGCTATGGACCCTAAGAAGAAAAAAGAAATTCTGAATGATCTTGAGGCATTTAGCAATGGGAAAGAGTATTACAAGAAGGTTGGGAAAGCTTGGAAAAGGGGTTACTTATTGTATGGACCACCAGGGACTGGTAAATCCACCATGATCGCTGCTATGGCGAACCATTTGAACTACAGTATCTATGATCTCGAACTCACGGCTATTCAGAACAACTCGGAGTTGAAAAAACTTCTCACCGCAACATCAAGCAAATCGATCATTGTGATCGAAGACATTGATTGTTCTGTAGACCTAACGGGTAAGAGAAGGAAGAGAGATGGTGACTTGAGCACCAGGAGAGATGGCGAACATGGAAAAGAAGATCAAAACCAGAGCAGAGTCACACTCTCTGGGCTTTTGAATTTCATAGATGGGATATGGTCGGCTTGTGGACAAGAGAGGATTATCATTTTCACCACGAACCACATGGAGAAGTTAGACCCGGCTCTGATCAGGAGAGGAAGAATGGATATGCACATTGAGTTGTCGTACTGTAGTTTCGAGGCGTTCAAGGTTCTTGCCAAGAACTATTTGGATCTTGATTCTCATCCTCTGTTTGGTGAAATCGAGTCTTTGCTGAAGGAAACAAAGATCGCTCCAGCTGATGTCGCAGAGAAATTGATGGCCAAGAATCATAAAATAGATGTCGACGGATCCCTGAAAGACTTGGTTCAGAGTTTGGAGAAGAGAAAGAAGTCTCAGAGAGGACACGGTGATGATCACAAGAAGAAATCTAGTGGCAAGAAACTGAGAATATTTCGTGGATTGTTTTAAGCCAGTGTCCCATTATATATAGTCTCCGGATTTTACTTGTTTGAATGTAATATACGAGCTGTAAGAAATTTCTGTTTGATCATAAATAAAATATATATTTATTTCTCTATACAAAAACCTAAAATAAAAAGTCAAGCAAATGTTGTATAACTATTATGTTCTTTTATACATACATAAACAGATACAAATAGATGTATGTGGTTTATATACACACACACACATAATCATAGATTAAAACATTCATATTAATTACATATTTAATCCTAGATGCAAACACAATCAGTAATCTGTAAGGTTGTTTGCTGTCTTTGAGGGAAGATGACGCTTCGAAAGACAACATCTTAGTCCTAGAGATTAGAGGGAAGGCTATACCTTAACGGTCACTAAATTCCTCTGAGAACTCAGTAGAGTGAGACTGGCTTTTGCTTCATTTCACCGCTCTGATCTGCATCTGTTGAGCTACTTGCAGAGACCGGTTTTCGATTCACTGGATTCTCTGGTTTATTCCCTAAACCCTTGACGGTCACTTCATCGGTTAAGCTGCTTGCGGGGACCGGTTTCCGATTCACTACACTCTCTGGTTTATTCCCTGTGCTGATGTTCTCTGAGTCGATCTGGACTTGGTTAGTTTCATTGTTGGATGAGATCTTGAGGTCTCCAAGTGGCGGCATTTGATTGGCTTCTTTGGATGATGAGGAGCTGACATGACTTGACGAAGCTGTCTCCAAGAAACGAACGACGACACATGTGATGTTGTCTGCACTTCCTCTCTTTATTGCTTCTCTCACAAGTTTCTTCGCTGACTCCTCTGGATCTTCGACTTCCTTAACCATTGCAACTGCTTCCTGCAGAATATGATCAAAGGTTCAAAAACACTGTTGTATGGAAAAGCGGAGACGTTAAAGAAGCGTTTTAATTTCACAGACCTCGTTAGAGAAAACATCCCATAGTCCATCACTTGCCAGGATCAGAAACTCAAGTGAATCATCAATCTTTTCTTCCTGTATTCAACGACAAAAAAAGGTTTTAAGAACAAAAGGGGTCAGAGCATGATAGAAAGAGTGGTTCTTATAAAAGGGACGAAAATACCTGGATTTCTGGATCAGCAACAACGTATTGCTTCAGAAGCCGATCACCAAATGCACGAGAAACTGCAAGAACTCCTCCAACCCTCCAAGTTCCTATTAAATGAATGAATGCAACAAACACATACATACATCAATAAGGAGGGTTACATTACATGTTGAGAAAAGCATGAACCAGATAGTCTTTTAATCCTATAGTTTCTTGTTACTAACCTGCCCACATCACAAATCCACCAGCATTCTCAATTCTTTCACGCTCATCACTCTGGTCAGGTTTATGGTCCCTTGACACAGCAATGGCTGCACAACACAATAATCATATATATCAAGGGACAGATCTATCACAAAAAGATAAGTAATAACAAATCGCCTTTAAGATTACCATTTCCGCCTCTGCTGATAACAGCTCTTGAATCACCAACATTTGCAACAAGTAAACGATCGCCAACAAGAATAGCTGTAGACGCAGTCGAACCAGCGTCTCGGTTGTGACTATTTTCAGACTTGAGAAGTTCAGAGTCTGTATGGTTATAGGCATCAGCTGGAAAATTTGAAGCAAAATTCGATGTAAATTAGAGTGCACCAGCGACAAAAGACATAGAATCAGAAACAAGTTTGTTCAAGTTTTTCTGAGAGTACTTATAGCTGATTTGGTGTCAGAGATAAACTTCGGATGAGTAATCAGGTTGCTGAAAAGATGACGCTTCACATACTCAGCTGCTCTGGCTCCACCATGGCCTGGCAAAACAGTAAGTACACAAGCAACCTTAACAGTAAGAACTGGAGGTTAATGAGCACCTAAACTAATCTTAAGGTCATGGCTCACAGTATAAGTGAACCATCAAGATTCATAAGCTAGGCTAAAAACTGATGCACAAGTTCTTGTTCCGAGAGGGAGGGAATATACCATCAAAAACTCCAAATAGACCAACGATTTCTCCATCGATACCGTCGATCCTCGTCTCGAAAAAATCTTCCATAGATGATCTCTTCCCAGCGGAGCTTGCATATCCATAGCTGAATTTTCCATTCTGGCTGAAATTGAATCATGTTAATGTACATCCTTGATAAGAAGCAAATGAGCAAACAGAATCAATCACGCGAGATAGATCGAAATCGAACAAGGTGAAACAACAATTGCAGCAAATTAGTCAAATCCAACGTAGCTAATTGGTTCAAGTAATTTCATACAACGAAATAAAACCGGATTGCACATGAATCCAACCAGTTCTAAGATCAAAATCGAGTTGAGATGAATGACCTGAGACCCCCTCCGCTAGCTGGAGTTTCAACAGTCTGCGTCTGGTTGGAATACGACAACGCCAAATCCAGGTATCCCATATTTCTCCAGAGATTTCAAACGCTACTCTTTCGAATCAACAGATAATCTGCTTTCGTCTAATCTGAAATCGAATGAAAAAAAATGGGATTAATCTCAACAACCACGATTCCGGAAACCACAGAATCGATCGTAAAATTGGTAATCTTCGCAATCAAGAGGATACCTGAAAGTTCCATGAAAGAATCAGGAGGAGAGAGAAGTGCGGGAAAAGGAGAAGAAGATGGGAGATTCATGGTTGATTCCTGTGTTGAGAAAATAGAGAGAGAAACCAACAGGTGATCGACGTTTCGAGAGACTACCGCGAAAAATGGTTTGGGTTGATTTATTCCAATAATAGAAAGTAGAAAGAAGATAAACCAATGGCGGGTGTACAGAAAACTACACGTGTCGCTCATAAAAGCAAAGATGCTCGGAGTAGTATGGCATGGGCCCCGCACTAGTTCAGCATTACGCCTGGATGATGAGGGTGATTTATTAAACTGAAGTTTTTAAAGTTGGGCCCATGGGCCATAATTTCTCAACTTAACTGGAGTAAGGATAAGTCCACTCTCACTGCCAAACAGAAGCAAACTATCAATCGGAGAAGAGTGAGATTGGATCAGTAATAATCAGTCGACGGGTACTGTCATAGTTGCTGCTTCTCGTCTCCGGAGGAATTCAAACCCAAGCAACGATCCGTTTGAGATCACGAGCAGCTTTTATTTTCGTCTTCCATGGCGAAGGAGCAGCACTTGCGGCCTTGGTTTCTGGATCTCGTACCGGCTTTAGTAGTCTTTCTCGCCGCAGCTCATGTCATCGCATTGGTACTTCTCGTGATCTTATCGTTTCTTTGCTTTCTTTGTTATTTTATATGTTTCATACCACCAATTGTTGATCGTCTTGTGGGGTTCGCAGGGTTACTGGATTTACAGATTGGCGACTGATCGTCGGCCTCAGAGAGGAAAATTTCACTGAGGAAGCGTCCAAATAGGTTCGTAATCTGAACTAAAGGTGGTACTGCAGTTTCAGAAACCGGTGGATTTTGCTTCTGATCTGATATTTGGCGATTACGGAGTTTTTTTTTTGTGATCATTGATTTTGTCGCTTATGAGTGAGTATTCGGAAATGTTTGCTTAAATTAGAAAGAGGTACTTCTTCTTCCTAACTATCTTATAGATGTGGATCATATGCTTTCACCTATGTTGTAGCTTAAACACACTTTTATGCATGTTTTTGGGGAGTTGTTCTAAATAGATTTTGTAACAGTTTGAACCGTTATTTCATTACACCATTTGTACTTTGATACGAATTCTATATGCTCAAATGGTTGAAAACTGAGGTGTTGAGCACGATGCTTGCGTTCTTTGAGTACTTTTGCATTGTTGTGATAAGTCTTCATAAAGAAGTTTTAAAGAGTTTCCATGCTACATCAAGCTTAACTAACTCGCTGTCTTTGTGTTAACAACATATTGTACTACGTTTTTGGATTGAACAGAAAGTCAAGGGAGTCTTAAGTATTGGGTTGTTTCGAAGCCTTAGGGTTTGGGAGAGTAGAAGGTGCTCTTGAATTCATTCTTAGATTTTAGTTTGTTCTTTTTTGTTTTTTTGGATTTCTTGTTTGTTCATCGATTCTCAGTGAAAAAATCAAGCAGAATCAGTTTGGATCTTATCATCCTGCTTCCTCGATCTATGTTTCTGTTTGAGTCTTTTATATTCCTCATAAATAGATCATTGAAAAGGTGGTTCATATGGCAGGTATCCTTTACTGGTGTTTCATACATTGTCTGAGGGTAAGGCCAAAATTTCAAATGCTTATCCATTTGTTTGCATCAAGGCATAGTTCTCATTTACTGCCTTCTAAGATGTCTAACCAAGATCCCACTGCAGACCGCGAAAGATTTGACTAGAAGATGTAACCAAAGAGTGGAACATTGTCTTGGAAAAACCATTTTATTTCGCTGGATGTGATATTTAGTAGGCAGCTTTTATAAAAAAAAAAAATATTACAGTGTGGAATGTTATAGGTTGTGTAACTTTGGTTTGATTAGCAATTGGGTATAAATAAAAGAAGCCCTTAGCAAAAACCATGCCTTTTCCTTTGTCTAGTGTTTCTCATTTCATGTTTTTTTAAAACAAGTTCATTAATTTTAGCAGTTGTCGTTGTCGCTGAACTTGCAGACTGTTTTCTTCACTTAATAACTTGAATTTGCTGGCATAGATTCATCCGTTGACTACTTAAATTGGTAGTCTTATTAACTGCAACTCCAATGTTTGATTTCTGACTTCCATATATTTCGTCCGTGTCTATCGTTCGAGGTCGGTGGAGATACCCACTTGTTCTCGTATCCAGTTTTAAGTTTTCCACTTTATACAAAAAAATTATCCCTTTTAACGCTCTTTTTACGCGGAACTTGGTTCGTACATTTGGAAGCAACTTTTGTTATGTAAAAGCAACCAAAAGTAGAGAGCTGAAGAATATAGTATAATATATGTAAATGATTATTATTTGTATATGTTAACTCCAATAATGTTGCTGATTCATGCCATTTACACCAACTAATTTGCTTTTATTTTTCTCTATTTTTCTTGGCTTTTATATATGAACAAATTGATGATTATATGTCGACAAAAAGTTGTCCGTGCCTGCTGCTAGTGCAATAATTATTGATTAGTTGGTTAACACTTGACAGGTGGTCGTACCATTCATTAATTTCAATTGCAGGTAATTATTTACAAAATCGAAAAATTGAAAAATATGAAATTGTTAGAATTTTTAGGAAGAACATGTAATAGATAAAAACAAAAATAAATATCCCCACGGGCCCGGCGTTGATTTTGAAGTAATTATCAGGAATAAAAAAAAACAAAGCAAATATCTCATATGATTGTCATTAATATTACAAAAAAAAAATAGGATTAGTCATTAATTGCCAAAAACACATGAAATACAGAGAAGCCAAGGACACTTTTGGGATTTCTTATAAAACTCCAAAGCCATTTCCTGCCCCTTCTTTTATCACACCGTACAAGTCGCCTTTGGAAAGAGAGAGAGAGAGAGAGAAGGGCCAACGACCACACACACACACACCAATACACCATGAGCCCTTCGAAGCAGCGACATCGCAGCTCCACCGGCGATAACAAGTCAAAATCGCTCAGATCCGGCTCTTCCTCCGCTGTTCCGGAATGGATTACCGAAGCAACCACCGGTGGATCTCTCCGCCGCGTAGATCCCGACACAGGTACCGACGGCTGGGCCTCTCCTCCCGGAGACGTGTTCTCCCTCCGCTCCGATTCTTACTTGACCAAAAAACAGAAATCTCCCGCCGGAGATTACCTCCTCTCCCCCGCCGGCATGGACTGGCTCAAATCAAGTTCAAAGCTCGACAACGTGCTCGCTCGTCCCGACAACCGCGTGGCTCACGCGCTTAGAAAAGCGCAATCCCGCGGGCAATCTCTGAAGAGCTTCATCTTCGCCGTGAATCTCCAGATTCCAGGTAAGGATCACCACAGTGCCGTGTTCTATTTCGCGACGGAGGAACCCATGACATCCGGCTCGCTCCTCCACCGGTTTATCAACGGGGACGACTCGTTCCGGAATCAGAGATTCAAAATCGTTAATCGGATCGTGAAGGGGCCATGGGTAGTGAAAGCCGCGGTTGGGAACTATAGCGCATGCCTTCTAGGTGAGGCCTTGACGTGCAATTACCACAGAGGTCCTAACTACTTTGAGATCGATGTCGACATAAGCAGCTCGGCGATCGCAACGGCGATTCTGCGGCTGGCTTTAGGGTACGTGACGAGCGTGGCGATCGATATGGGTTTCCTAGCGGAGGCGCAGACGGAGGAAGAGCTGCCGGAGAGACTGATCGGAGCTGTTAGGGTTTGTCAAATGGAGATGTCGTCGGCGTTTGTGGTCGACGCGCCACCGCCGCAACAACCGCCATCACAGCCGTGCAGAACGTTGAGTTTGGCGAAAGTTAACCACGATGAGGACGAGGATTAAGATTAAAATGGAGCACAGACAAACATCAAACCAGGTCAATGATTATGCAATACATTTCTCCTCTCTCTCTCTCAGAGAATCTGAAGCAATTTTCATTAACCTCAGTCAATTCAATTTTACTTACGTAATTTATTTTTATGGATTATGTAAATAATTATTTTTATTAATAGTATCAAGTTGAAATTCGACGGATTATTCTTTGTTGGATCTGTTTTGGCTTGATAAACCAGAATATAGGGAATAGTCCACTTCCGTCGGAAGAAAAGCGTGTGATGATCTTTTAGAGTCGTGGAACACAGATTTGTCTGTCATACTTGAAAAGCCAAAGTGTAACATATGGAACATATTCTTTTTATTTTTTCTTCATCAAACCTTAGAAGTAAATGTTGAAGCATATCTGACGTTACTCCAAAATTTATTTCCAAGTCTTGATGAAATTTTTTTTTTTAATTAAAAAAGAAAAAAGAATATGTTTCATAAATAAATTAAAAACAAATATAAATATGTGAGGAAGTGATAGAGAGTTTACGATTCGGAAACAAAACAAGCAGTCGTGGGTACTTAATATGAGACAACTTGGTTAAGGATAATTTATTAAGAACTACTTATCCCTTATATATTAAAAGAGAAACATTTTTAAAGAACAACCTTAATTTTATAAAATATTACAGTGGTGTCATTTTGCTGATGTGTCATCACCAGAATCATTTTCAACAAAGTTATAAAAATAGATTTATGTTACTAGATTAATTACATGTTATGTTACTCACATTAATTTGGTTATACATTCGTTTATATCAATTATATTGATGATGATTCATCAAGATATTCTCTTTTTTCTATTTCTTACCAAAAATATATCATATTAATTATCTCTTTAAATATTATATTTTATCTCTTATTTTGTATAGAAAAATAAATTATCACATCATTCATATAGTAAAATATACATATATATATATATCTATGTTAGAATTCGAATTTTATTAAACAAATATAAATTACTCAAATAATTAATAAATAAAAATATGTTTAAAAGACTAAAATTGAAAATAAGGATTTGTAGATAGATGATTCATAAATCAATATAAAAATACATAAATGATAAAAAAAACATAAAGCTTAATTAAATATATATTATTATTTTTAATTTATACAACAAAATAACTTGGTAAAAAATTGAAATATTTTTGTAAGGATATTATATAATAATTTTATTAAAATTTTTGATATTTGAAAATATTTTTATTGAATCAAAAATTTAAGAATGTATAAGTATTGATTCAGTCATATACAATTTTAGATAATTTATTAAAAATAATAAAAAATATAATTTATTTTTATATAATTCTTATGTATATTTAGTATTTAAAATAAATTTCATAGTAATTTTCTTTTCTTAAAAGTTAATATTCTTATGACTATAGTTTTTGCGGGTTAATCTAAATATGCATTTACATTCGTATAAGAAATATTAAAATCGATTATAATAGTTTATTTTTACAATTTTAGTCCTCTCTATTTCAAAATATAAATTGTTTTGCATCAAAGCACAAAGATTAAAAAGCAACTTTTCTTTAAAAAAAGTAATCATTTAGTATATGAATTTAATATAATTCAATTAATTATGAAAAACTAAAAAAATATAATCGATAACATAGTATTCATGGGAAGTAGTAAAAAATATGAAAACAATTATATTGTGAAACAAAACAAAATCTTAGAAAAAACTAATATTATGAAACACAGGAAGTAGTAAAATTATTTTATTATTATCATAACGCATTAGATACTTAATAATTTAATCAAAATATACTTCTTCTATTTTTCTTTTGGAATTTTAAGATTATGTTATTAATCATGGGTTATAGAAAGCATAAAGAGGGATTTCGTATTTCTATCCAGATTGCACATATATATTTAATTTTTAAACTAATTTACATTAGAATTAAATTACCCTAAAATTCATCAAAAAAATAAAAAAAAATATTTTGTCAATATTACACCGTAATGTTATAAACAATTCATGTAAAATCAATTGTATTTTATTATATGATTTTAAAATTATACTATATTAAATAAATAATTATTATTTTATCCCGCACAAAGTGCGGGTTATTATCTAGTATATACTTATTTTCGCTCATCCAAATTACACACTTGATTAAGGATAAATATGAAAGCTTCTTAAATATGAAAACTACCCATATATATATATTCTCATTAACTGCACCCATTCGGAGCAAACCCGACCCGTCCGCTGGCACCGTCGTACACGACTTGTAGCGTCTTTTGCTGAACGTTCCCGAAGATGGCGACGGAATCGTCGTTGACATTCCCTGCAAACGCCAAACAAACCTGCGATATCGTGATATTATACAAAATCCCTGTTGGGTCAAGTTCTACGTCCGTGTCGCCGCTGAAGGAGAATGAGATCGTTGGGATATACACTGTCTCCAACCCGGTGAAATCGTAGCACGTGTCCAGTAACGGTGGGCTCGGCGCAGCCGTGTAATTCGTCATTTTTGCCTTGAACGCGGTTCTTAGTTCCTCGTAAGCCCTGGGCGGGAGGTGAGTGATCACGGTGCCGGAATCGATTATAGCTCCCGGAGTAGAGAATACGGTTAAAGGAATGTCCAACTTCTTACCGCCGACGGTGATACCTTCGATATCGATGCCATAGAAGGTTGCTCCTGGGGCTGAGGAAATCGGCGTGTATTTGACGTCATTAGAGATTCCGGCGGATCCGAAGGTGAGATCTCCAATTTTGTCGGGAGAAGAAGGGAGGCAGTAGGAGAAGATATTGTGGTATGTGTTCTTCGTCTGCGACGGAAATGAGAGATTGCCGCGGCCAAGGCCGAGAAGTCCGGCGCCACCGACGAAAAGTCCCTCGTTGTTCTCGCTGCAGCCAAAGTTAACGCCGTCGAAAACATCGGAGGTAGTAAGGGTGAATTTATCCGTGGCGAGGAATCCGCTGGAGAACGACCCATCGCCGTAACGGATACCGTAGAGGCAATCGGGAGAAGTCGAACAGTTTCCATGGAGACCTAATCAAAAGATACGTGAAATTATATAGAAGTTGAAATTAAGACTCGGTTAAACATAAACCGGAGACAACAAAAAATTGCCAAAACTTTGGAAAACCAAACCTCCGATAATGAGAGAAGCACACACCGGCGAGGAGCAGGAGACGTTGGCGTAGGAAGAAGACGAAAAAGGGTTAAAGATGGGTTCCACTTGGGAATAGCAACGTACAAGACATGGCTCGCATTGAGTCCACGTCAGATCGCTGCCGGTGTCGAAGAAGAGTGACAGATTGTGCTTCGGTGTCCCAATTCCGACAGTCACTAAATAGTCTGCTGCACCGAGCGTACTCCCGTCTATTACCGGTAAAACAGCCGAGTGGCTTTGCATGACTTCATCTTTGACTTTCTTTGATAGTTTTGAGTGGATAGAGTTAACGCGAGCCTGGTCGAGCCTGAGGATCTCTTCATGGTCGATGCTCGCAGTTTTGCTGCTGCTAAGACGCGAGCATGGGCCTTGACGGTGCACCACGTGGAGCGACGACTTCGTTTTAGATGCTGAATATGGAAATTAGCGTTAACAAAATAACAATAACCTAATAGAAATAAATAGATGCTAACGAATTGAAGTATGTATAGAATATAGCTATCTCAATAGAGCTAAAATACAATGAAACGTGAGATGATACATTGGCAGAGATAGTCACCTTTTGAAGGAAGGTCGCAAGATGATGATGAAGGGAAAAGAGAGCTGACTTGGATAGTGTGAGAATAACTCTCTTCCTGTTCAGATCCCTCAGTACGACCCCAATCGAGACACACACAAAGAATCATTATGATACTCAACAATTTCCTCATGTTTCTCATTTTTACGTGAAGTATTGGTTGTTGTTTTTTTTATTACCAAGTAAAATATTGGTTGTTTCCTTTTATAATCACATCTCTTTCGCTCAAGAAGAGTATACTCTCAATCAGTTAGGTGTATAATCAGTTTGTTAGATTTTTGAATTGTAGTTAATTTATATTTAGATGGTTAGGTAGGATTATAATTAGTTTGTTAGATTCGGAACTGTAGTTAATTAATATTTTGGTTGTTAGTTAGGACTGTAATTAGTCTAATAGATTTATTATTGTAATTATAGTCTATTGTTTTTTGTTCATTTTATATTGATAAAAATATGAAACAAGAATCAATTTAATTGGAAAATGTACAAAAAAGAGGAACATGTACAAATGGAAACAATTCAACACATATTCGATTTAAACAATCTATTTTATTATGAAGATAAACAAGTTCACCCAAATAAAGAAACACGAAAAATCTTAATAAATATGTTTAGAATTTATATGCTCAGATATTTAAGAAAAATTAAAGAAATTAACTATTTAAATCTTTTATGTATGTTCAATGTCTGATATTTAAGTTTTTGTTTAATATATCAAATTCAAATTCAAAATTAATTTATAGTCCGTCATAAATCCAAGTCGTGCCGGATGATGATATTACATGAATTTGTCCTATAAATAAATAAATAATCAAATATAATTTGTGTTAGCATATTGTATGATTTAAGCTATGTGTGTTGGGGGTCAAAACACTGTTTTTGAGTTGTGGGGGATATATTGCACAGTTTAGTATTGTTGATAACTTATGATTTGAGATGTGCGGAAAAATGAGTTAGTCAAGTAAATGATTATAAATATGATAAACTCCTTGAGAGAATGTAGACAATAATACATTAAATATATCAAAAAATAATTATGGAGATGAAAGAAAATGTCATAGAAAAACATTGTTTTCAAGAAACATAGTATTATGTAAGTATATTTGGAGTATATGAAGATGGTCCAAGGTTCAATGCTTACCAAAAGCATAGTCTTATGTAGGTATATTTGGAGTATACGATAATGAGTCGTCAAGTAAACAGTTTTACAGTAAAACAAGTAACTGGTAGAATCAACACATACTAATTTTGCTCACCATACACTCGATTAAGGATAATTGATAAAGCTCCTTAAATATACTTATTATTTTCGCTCACCAAGTGATTAAGGACAAAACTACCCATAATTTATATTTTCTCATTAATTGCAACCATTCGGAGCAAACCCGACCCGTCCGCCCGCACCGTCGTGCACGACTTGCAGCGTCTTTTGCTGAGTGTTCCCGAAGACCGCGACGGAATCGTCGTTGACATTCCCTGCAAACGCCAAACAAACCTGCGACATCGTGATCGTATACATAATCCCTTTCGGGCTAAGTTCTACGTCCGTGCCGCCGCTGAAGGAGAATGCGATCCTTGGGATACGGATATCCGCCGTCTTCAATCCGGTGAAATCGTAACATGTGTCAAATATCAATCGGCCCGGCGCAGCCGTATAATTCGACATTTTTGCCTTAAACGCGGTTCGCAGTGCCTCGTAGGCCTTGGGAGGGAGGCGAGAGATGACAGTGCCGGAATCGATTATAGCTCCCGGAGTAGAGAATACGGTTGAAGGAATCTCCAATTTCTGATCGTCGACGGTGATACCTTCGATACCGAGGCCGTATAAGGATGCGCGAGGAAAGGAGGAAATCGGCGTGTATTTGACGGCATTAGAGGTTCCGGCGGATCCAAAGGTGAGATGTCCAATGTAGTTAGGGGAAGAAGGGAGGCAGTAGGAGAAGATATTATTGTAGGTGTTCTTCGTCTGCGACGGAAATGAGAGTTTGCCGCGGCCAAGGCCGAGAAGTCCGGCAACACCGTGGAAAAGTCCCTCGTTGTCCTCACCGCAGCCAAAGTTAACGCCGTCGAAGACATCGGAGGGAGTTAGGGTGAATTTCTCCGTGGAGAAGAATCCGGTGGTAGTTGACCCATCGCCGTAACGGATACCGTAGAGGCAATTGGGAGAAGCCGAACATCTGCTTAAGAGACCTATCGAAAGGGGCGAAATTAGAGATTGAAATTAAAACTCGGTTAAACTTTAACCGGAGACAACACAAATTGCCAAAACCTTAAAAACCGAACCTTCGGAAGTGCGGGAAGCACACACCGGCGATGAGCAGGAGATGTTGGAGTAGGAAGAAGACGAAGAAGGGTTAAAGATGGGTTCCTTTTGGGGATAGCAACTTCCACGACATGGCTCGCATTGAGTCCACGTCAGATCACTTCCCGTGTCGAACACCAGTGACAAATCGTGCTTCGGTGTCCCGATTCCGACAGTCACTACGTAGTTTCCTGATCCGAGCGTCCTCCCGTTTTTTGCCGGTAAATCAGTCGATTGGCTTTGCGTGACTCCATCTCCATCTGTGGCTTTCTTTGACAGTTTTGAGTGGATAGAGTTTACGCGCGCCTGGTCGTGTCTGAGGATCTCGTCAATCGTCATGGTCGATGCTCGCAGTTTTACCCCTGCTAAGACGCGAGCACGGGCCCTGCCGGTGCGCCACGTGGAGCGACGACTTCGTTTTAGATGCTGAATGCAGAAATTAGCGTTAAACAAAAACAAAAAACCATAACCGATTAGTAATAAATAGATGCTAACGAACGTGAATTATGATGAATTAGCTATCTTCATATATAGAGTTAACACAATGAAACATGAGATGATACATTGACAAAGATAGTCACCTTTTGAAGGAAGAACGCAAGATGATGATGAAGGGAAAAGAGAGCTGACTTGGATAGTGTGAGAATAAACCTTTCCACTCTCTCTTTGTTCAGATCCCTCAGTACGAACCCAATCGAGACATACACAAAGAATCACTATGATATTCAACAGTTTCCTCATGTTTCTCATTTTACCCTCTCTCACAGCAATAACTAGAAATGTTACTCAACTGCATGAAATTGGTTGTTCCTTTTATAACCAGATATCATCGAGTCTCTGTCGGATGTAATTGCCTTGTTGGCTACCACATTTCAAACAAGTAGGGACTCTAATCCCAAGCCTAGCGTGCTAAAGGATTTTGTAATATTCCACTAGATAATTGATATGTGGTTTTGTCACCAGACTCCAAGTTTTCAAGTTTGGCGTACTAAAGGGAATTGCATTGTTCCACAAAATATTAATATCGTTTTGTGTGTTCATCTTTAAGTCCAAGTCTCCATGTTAAGCGCGTACGAAAAGGATTGCAATGCTCAACAAAATATCAATGTCATTTTGTGTGTTTGTCTTTTAGGTCCAAGTCTCCTTGTTTAAGTCCAAGTCTTCCATATTTGATTGAGCAGTAAACTAAAGTATGCATGGTAAGTCGACGCACTTCATTAATTAATTAATTTGTTCGAAGTATCATTTTCTAATTTTCTATAAATAATATTGAAAGTACAAGTGTAAATTCATATGGCTACGAAGAACAAATATTATTGTGTATTTTTCTTAATTGTTTTTTTTGCATTTTATATGTCTAATTTGGTTTTTAATAGTAAATAAGTAGTGAAAGCGTTTAAAGACATGAAAGCTTGTTTCTCCTTGACTATAAATACGCCGAAGAAGAACGACTTAATTATTGGCGTAAGCAGCAACTGAAAATCGAACAAACCCTACCGAAACCTAATTCAAAGGGATGAAAATTTCCAAGAAAGGATCGAGAAGGAGAGACGAGAAGATGATGGTCGAGAAAATACACAGAGAAACCAAAAAGTTGAAGAAAAAACAGGTTATCGACGTTTCGAGAAGGGAGCAATATATCATTTGGACGTGGAAATCAAGCTAATGTCGAAGCATGTTGACTTAATTTTGAGCATATCTTAGATCATCTCAAGTTATCATTTATTAACAATACTAAAATGTGCGATACATATATTCCACAACTCAAGAATACAAAGTTTTGACACCCAAGTTACATAGTCCACATATATAATATGTTTAGCACAATTATATATATATATATACACGTATACATTCGTTTATTTATTTATTTATGGGACAGATTCATATGTTACCAAAAAAAAAAGAATATGTTCCATAAAAGATATTAAAAACAAATATAAAGCTGTGAGGGAGTGATACTGTTTACGAATTACGATTTGGAAACAAAACAAGGAGTTGTGGATACTTAATATGATGACCTCTATAAGGAGTTGTCAAGTAAATAATTTGTAACACATTACACATACTTATTTTCGCTCACGAGACACTTGGTTAAGAATAATTTAGTAGAGCTCCTTAAATATACTTATTTTCGCTCACCAAACTTACTCACTTAATTAAGGATAAAGCTCCTTAAATATAAAAACAACTCATAATTCATAAGTATATTATCTCATTAATTGCAACCATTCGGGGCAAACCCGATCCGTCCGCCCGCAACGTCGTACACGACTTGCAGCGTCTTTTGCTGAACGTTCCCGAAGATGGCGAAGAAAATGTCGTATTCATTCTCTGCAAACGCTAAACAGAAAACCTTCGGTGTATTGGACGGATACAAAACCCCTTTCGGGTCAAGTGTCACGACGGTGCCGCCGCTGAAGGAGAAGGAGATGGTGGGGATATGCACCGTCTTCGAGTTGGTGAAATCGTAGCATGTGTCCAGAAACTTGTTGCCCGGCGCAGCCGTATAATTCCTCATTTTTGCCTTGAACGCGGTTCGCAGTGCCTCGTAGGCCTTGGAAGGGAGGCGAGAGATCACGGTGCCGGAATCGATTATAGCTCCCGGAGTAGAGAATACGTTTAAAGGAATGTCCAATTTCTGGCCGCCGACGGTGATACCTTCGATATCGAGGCCATAGAGAGATGGGTCTGGGTAAGGGAAAATCGGCGTGTATTTGACGTCATTAGAGATTCCGGCGGATCCGAAGGTGAGATCTCCAATGTAGCCGGGAGAAGAAGGGAGGCAGTAGGAGAAGAAATTATTGTAGGTGTTCTTCGTCTGCCACGGAAACGAGAGATTGCCGCGGCTAAGGCCGAGAAGTCCGGCGGCACCGAGGAATTGTCCTTCGTTGTCGTCACCGCAGCCAAATTTAACGCCGTGGAAAACATCGGAGGTAGTTAGGGTGAATTTCTCCGTGGCGAAGAATCCGTTGGAGGACGACCCGTCGCCGTATTCGATATAGTAGAGGCAAGTGGAAGACTCCGAACAGTTTCCAAGGAGACCTAATCGAAAGACATGTGAAAATAGAAACTGAAATTAACACTCGGTTTATCATCCTAAACCGGAGACAACAAAAATTGCCAAAACCTTGGAAAACCGAACCTGCAGAAGCACACACCGGCGAGGAGCAGGAGATGTTGGCGTAGGAAGAAGACGAAAAAGGGTTAAAGATGGGTTCCACTTGGGGAAAGCAAGTTAGACATGGCTTGCACTGAGTCCACGTCAGATCGCTGCCAGTGTCGAATATCAGTGACTGATTGTGCATCGGTGTCCCGATTCCGACAGTCACTACGTAGTTTCCTGACCCGTGCGTACTCCGGTCTATAGCCGGTAAAACAGCCGACTTGCTTTGCATGACTTGATCTTTGACTTTCTTTGACAGTTTCGAGTGGATAGAGTTTACGCGCGCTTGGTCGAGCCTGAGGATCTCGTCATGGTCAATGCTCATAGTTTTGCCGCTGCTAAGACGCGAGCACGGGCCTTGCCGGTGCACCACACGGAGCGACGACTTCGCTTTAGATGCTGAATACAAAAAAACAAAAGATTTCTTATAGAAATAAATAGATGCTAACGAACGTGAAGTATGTATAGATTAGCTATCTTCATATATAGAGCTAAAATACAATGAAACGTGAGATGATACATTGGCAGAGATAGTCACCTTTTGAAGGAAGGTCGCAAGATGATGATGAAGGGAAAAGAGAGCTGACTTGGATAGTCTGAGAATAACTCTCTCTTTGTTCAGATCCCTCAGTACGACCCCAATCGAAACACACACAAAGAATCACTATCATACTCAACAGTTTCCTCATGTTTCTCAATTTACCCTCTTTCACAGCAATAACTAGAAATGTCACTCAACTGCATGAAATTGGTTGTTCCTTACTTCTTTTTATAACCACTTCTCTTCTCGCACAGGAAGAGTCTCGATCTAGTGGATGTGTTGCTGTCTACCACATGGTCAACATCTCACATTCGGTTTGTAATATTCAACTAGATAATGACTATGTGATTCTGTCAATAGACCAATTTTACAATTTTGACGTACTAACACTACAAGGATACAAGGGAAATTCTTACAGATTTAGGATTGTAATTAATTTAAAATTAGATGTACGTCTTTGTGTATGTCGAGATTTAGGATTGTAGTTAATTTTTATTTCAATTTGAAGTTTTAAATGATTTTTATTAGTTTCATAGATTAATTATATTTAGGTGGTTAGTTAGGTGTATAATTAGTTTGTTAGATTTAGAACTGTAGTTCATTTATATTTACGCTGGTAGTTAGGGTTATAATTACTTTGTTAGATTTAGAATTGTAGTTCATTTACATTTTGGTTGGTAGTTAGGATTATAGTTAGTCTATTAGAATTGAAGTATACAGTATTTTGATTTTACATATTTTCTACTAAAATTGCTTTTATTTTAAATATTTATATAAAAGATGAAACAAGAATCAACTGAATTAGAAAATATTCAAAACGATGAATATATACCCAAAAAACTCAAGAAACGATGAAGAAAGTGGAAAAAGTTCAACAAACATTCGATATAAACAATGACATTTTACATTGCATTATTAAAGAATCTAAAACGATATACATCAATATATCAAATATAATTATGGAGTTGAGAGCAAATGTCGTAGAAAAACATTGTTTTTAAGAAAAATTAACGTTACGTAAAGTGATTAATATTTTTTTAAGAATTCGAAATTGTCAATCTGTTGTGCGTCTTGTGCAACTGCGACTTGCTGTTAACATAATAAAACTCCGGAGCAAGAAATATGTGAGGGAGTGATAGAGTTTACGATTTGGAAACAAAACAAAAATATCAGTTCTCTCTTCTATAAAAATTGTTATTCGAATGTTATATATCGACAAACAACATTTCGGTAATGTGTATCGATCAAGGCAAATAGGGTTTCACTGATTGGTGTGATTAAACTTTAAATTTAAAATTTCCAATTATACTGATTAAGTACAACCATTGGGAGCAAACCCGATGCGTTTAGCCGCCCCGTCATAGACAACTTGTAGCGTTTGCTGCTGAACGTTTCCAAATATGGTGGCGTCAGTGTCTTTGTTGTTCCTTGCAAAGGCGAAACAAACCTGCGATATCTTGATCGGATACAAAATGCCTTTTGGGTCAAGCTCTACGATGGTGCCGCCACCGAAGGAGAATGCGATCTTCGGAATTGTCACCGTCTTTAAGCCGGAGAAGTCGTAACACGTCTCCAAGATCTCGGAAGCCGACGTAATCTTATAAATTGACATCTTTTCCTTAAATGCACTCTCCAATGCAGAGTAGGCTATGGAAGGAAGACGAGTAATCATTGTGCCGGAATCGATTACAGCACTGGAAGTTGAGAATACGGTTGAAGGAATCTCCAATTGCTTATCGCAGACGGTAATACCTACGATATTGAGGCGGTGAGAGGATTCACTTGAAACCGGCGTGTATTTGACGGATTTGGAGATTCCTGCGGATCCGAAGGTGAGATGACCGGCGAAGTTGCTTGCGGAAGAAGGGAGACAGTAGGAGAAAATCTTATTGAAGGTCTTTGCCGTCTGCGACGGAAAAGAGAGTTCGCCGGGGCCAAGGCCAAGAATTCCGGCGACTTCTTTCATGTGTTTTGCCTCGTTGTGGTTACCGCATCCAAAGTTAACGCCGTCGAAGACATCAGAGCTCGTTAAGGTAAATTTCTCCTTGGCGAGAAATCCGCTGGTAGCGTCGTTATCAAGGTAGCTGGTTTTGTAGCCGCAAATGGAAGCCGAACAACCTCCATTAAGTTCTAAAAATCAAATAGAAATTTAGATTAAAAAAAAAAAAAAAAAACTCAGTTGAACAAAAACAGAGGCCACACAAGTTACAAAAACCGAACCTTGTTTCTCAAGTAAATCACACACCGGCGATGAGCACGAGACGTTGGAGTAGGAAGAAGACAAAGAAGGGTTAAACAGGGGTTCATTTTGGGAATAGCAATGTCCACCAACACATGGCTGGCATTGAGTCCACGTCAAATCGCTGCCGGTGTCGAACAACAGTGACAGATCGTGTTTTGGTGTCCCGATTCCGATCGTCACGATGTAGGTCCCGGGCCCCGACCCCCAGTTCTTAGCCGGTACATCCGTTGACTTCATCGGCCTGACTCGGTCTTTTGAAATTTTGTAGTTGATGGAGTCCACACGCGCTTGATCAAGCCTGAGGATCTCGTCATGGTCAGGGTTCGTCGTGGCTCTGCCGCTGCTAAGATGCGAACACGTGCTGTGTCTATGCACCACGCGCAGCGAGGACTTGGTATTAGGTGCTGCATAGAGAAATTAGCGTTGTTTAGAGTAGACCAAAAGAGTGGCGTCGTTTTAGATTAGTTTCTTTTATTGTTTTACGATTTTATTGTTATTTCTTAACTGACACAAAAATAAAAAAACTTTAAGAAATATGGAAAAAAAACACATCAACATCTTTTGTAGTTAATTTTTCATATACATATATAGCTAAACACAATTAATCATTAGTATTGGTTAAGATAATCTCACCTTTAGAAGAAACAAGACAAGGTGACGACGAAGGGAAGAGAGAGCTGACTTGAATTGTGTGAGAACAAACTTCTCCACTCTTTGTTTGCCTAGCTCCTTCAGTACAACACGAATAGAGGCATCCACAAAGGATTATTACTATGATATTCAACAAATTCCTCATTATGCTCATTTCAACCCTCTCCCCAACAGCAATAAAATTGTTATTCAATTATATGAAATTGGTTGGTCCTTTTATAAGCAAATTCTCTTTGCTGAAGAAGTTAAGTCTCTAGTGGATGTTGTTAAACACTAGGCCACCCACACATATAAAATCGGTCTCTGTCCGACTTGTCTTTTACCTATTGACTCCAAAGTCTTCGAGTTCAACGTGCAAAAGGGGTTGTAACTTGTGATATACTCCACTAGATATAACATGTGGTTTTGTCTCTAGACTCCAAGTTTAGTTTCAAGATTGGCGTACTGAATCAGAATTCAAAAAACACTACACATTATGTGTGTTTTGTCTACTCTCAAAGTCTCCAAAGTCTGTAAGTCTAGCGTACCAAATGGGTTGTGATACTCACCTACATAATTGATTGCGCAGTGGTTGAGAGATGATGCACTTCATTAATTAGTTTGCTTTACACACATCAATTTTTGTCTATTCAACTTATTCAAAAGCAATTTTCTTTTGCATGGGTTTTTAAAACAGTACACAGCCTATTTATGTTGCAACTTCACTCTGTATTATTCATTTAGTATTGAAATAAAAATATACAAATTAAAAGTTTGGACTTCTACACAATAAAAGGTAATTGTTGTATCCGGACAAACTTATTACTGTACAATTACAGGGCTTAAAGACCAGCATCACTTTCTCACCCAAATTATAACATTTTGATTAAAGGATAAGGCTAATTTGTGCCAAATCCATAATTTGAATTTTCTTTTCCTTTTTCTTTCTTTCTTTAATTAACTACAGCCATTCGGAGCAAACCCGACCCGCCCGCCCGCACCATCGTACACGACCTCTAGCGTTTGCTGCTGAACGTTACCAAAGATCGCAGCGTTATTGTCGTCGCTATTTCCTGCAAACGCCAAACAAACCTGCGATATCTTGAAAGGATACAAAATCCCTTTTGATCCCAGCTCCACGACGGCGCCACCGCTGAAGTAGAACGACACTTTAGGGATCGTCACCGTCTTAAATCCGCTGAGATCGAAGCATGTGTCCAAAATCGAGACGGCGGAGGTAGCCGGATACTTCGACATCTTCGCCTTGAACGAACTTCGCAACGCCGCGTAGGCTTTGGGGGGGAGACGGGAAATGACGGTTCCGGAGTCGATTAGAGCTCCCGGAGTAGAGAATACGGTTGAAGGAATCGCCAATTTCTCACCGCCGACGGTGATTCCGACGATATCGAGGCCATAGAAGGATGTGCCATCTGTGAGTGTGGAAATCGGTGTGAATTTGACGGATCTAGAGATTCCGGCGGATCCGAAGGTGAGATGTCCGGTGTAGCTAGCGGAAGAAGGGAGGCAGTAGGAGAAGATCTTATTGTAGGTCGTAGCCGTCTGCGACGGAAAGGAAAGCTTGTCGCGGCCAAGGCCGAGAAGTCCGGCGACACCCGTGAAAAGTCCTTGGTTGTTCTCGCCGCAGCCAAAATAAACACCGTCAAAGACGTTGGAGCTCGTTAAGGTAAATTTCTCCTTGGCCAGAAACCCAACAGAGAACGATTGATCGCCGTATTGAATACCGTAGACGCAATTAGAAGCCGAACAGCTTCCAGCGTTTCCTAATCAGCGGATAAAAATCGGTTAGCATAACCGGATCTGGTTCGGATAACCAGAGCTGGAAAAATTAAAAGAAAACCCGAGAACCGAACCTGTAGCGGAAGAGAGAGATCCACACACCGCCGATGAACACGAGACGTTGTAGTAAGAAGAAGAGGAAGAAGGGTTAAAGATGGGTTCCTTTTGAGAATAGCAAGTTCGAACACATGGCTCGCACTGAATCCACGTCAGATCGCTTCCGGTGTCGAAGATCAGAGATAGATCGTGTTTCGGCGACCCGATTCCGACCGTCACGACGTAGTTTCCTGATCCGAACGTGCTTCCGTCTTTAGCCGGGAGATCCGTTGACTGGCTTTGCCTGACTCGATCTGTGAGTTTCTTTGACAGTTTTGAGTGGATAGAGTTTACACGAGCTTGGTCGAGTCTGAGGATCTCAGCATGGTCTGGACTCGCGGCCTTGCCACTGGTTAAACGCGAGCACGTGCCGTGCCTGTGCGTCACGTGTAGTGAAGACTTTGTATTAGACGCTGAGTAAGATAAATAAATTCACGTTAGAAGAAAAGATAAAAAAAAAAACATTAATATTATCAAGGAAATATTTGGTTGTAAATTCAACTATTGGAGTCAAACAGAGTTTTGTATTCATAATTATTGACCAAAAATATTGCAGCTACTTATATTTGTCGTTTGTACCATCACAGTATTACAGACCTCTTAACTATATCGCTTTCTATAATCCTGTGATGGTACTATTAATGGCTTAATTAATATCAGGATTTTGGCCTTAATTGATACAGTGAACGACTAAAATTTACCTCAATCTGATCTTTACGAAATAAGGATATACATGCTCTATTCATCTACCTTATGTAACTACACAGCTAATAAATGGTCAAGAATATGAATTGGCTAAGGAGAATACCTCTGGTGGAAAGAACACAAGGTGATGACGATGAAGGGAAGAGAGAGCTGAGTTGGATAGTATGAGAATCAATCTCTTTCGTCTCTCGTTCTCGAGCTCCCTCAAGACAACCCCAATTGAGACATACGCAAAGGATTATTATGACACTCGACAAATTCCTATTAAAGCTCATTTTGCTCTTCTTCTTTTCGCTCACAACAATATTAAAAGTGTCACTCAATAGAATGAAAATGGTTGGGTCCTTTATAACCGATCTCTGTGTTCAAGAAAGTCTCTGTCTAGTGGAGGTTGTTAAAGTTTAGAAGCAATCCAGTCATCCACATATCACATAAGTTAGGGGACTCTATTCATTTGGTTTCATTAACCAGTTACGTAGTGACGCGTCATTTGATAAGGGAATATTACTGTTATTTTGTATTTTCTCTTTCACACACCGATTTTTAAGCACAATGAAAGGGGATAATATTCCTTCCAGTGATTCATTGAGTTGTAAACTAAATAGGTGTCACGTTATGCATGGGTATGTGTGATACTCGTTAACTAATTTGTGACATCAAATAAAGTTTCAAATAAACAAAATCCCCAATGAACAAACTCGTGGCGTAATATTTATAATTTCTTCTTTTTTTTTATTTTTTTGGGATAAAATTGTTCTTTAATCAATGCATGGTTGTCGTCATAATGTTATTTTGGCCAAATAATTGACTAGTCGGTTCGTTAGTCTCCTAACACTAAGAAGACTAAAAACTTAATAAGTGCAAGCAATAATTAAGGTTGCTTTATCACTTGATTCAACCAAACTAATGCGTATACATGTAAGTAACATATGACATGCTTGTATTATTTGGGAAAGATAAGTGTTGCTTCACGAAATCAGTCAAAAAATTACCATTTTATATAATTTTTTAATAAGCATTTGGTAGATTAATTATGATTTTACATGAACCTGTTTATCGTACAATAGTTCAAGCAATCTATCGTAATTTTCTGTTGTCAACTTAGGCGAAAGTTGCATAGCGACTTATATAATTTAAAATTTTAACCTTAAATTAAAGCATACATACATGGGCTATCAAAAAGTTGAATCCACTTTGTTCAAGTTTATAATTTCTTTTGATAAAGATTGAACTGTGCTACATATTTCAAATATTTAACCTTAACAAAATCAATATTTTCATTGGATTTATGAATGTACTTACACTACATATGAGTTTTTCTTATTTCATCATTATACTATTGGAAGAAATTGGTACAATGCGCAGTAATGCGCGAAATTTTCGTATTTCCACCCTGAACCATAAATTTTACAAACATTATTAGTTCAGCTCGATAAATGATTGCATAGGAAAAAAGGAAGATGGCTATATGATGATTTGATTGTAATTTGTAACCGAAAACATCCGTGTATGATTGACTGATTGGGATGATAAGTCCACAAGAACCTCAATTAATTGCATGTGTGGGCCTCGTTACATTTTCCGGAAAATAATAATTTGACAAATATAATGAGTACGAGTGGGAACAAAAGATAAAAAAAGATTCTTATAAAGAATCTTAATCTTGTGGAAGTGGGAGAAAGCTGGAATCCTAATTTCTAGAAACATAGAAACTGTCTAATCGCCTAATTATGTGGGTTTTCGAGACTCGACGGTCGTCCAAGTTCAATGAAAAAAATTAGAAAATTGCTTATGTTTATAAGAAGTCGACTTTATAAAATTTGTTTTAGAAAATCGCTTTGGCGTGCATAAAAAATAAACTCGAGGTTTAGAAAGCTGATGGAACTTTTTTTCTTTTTCCTTTTCGACCCACACCCACCATGTTTATGTTTGTTTTGTTTTCTCTCGACCCACCATGAACTATATATGTTTTTCCACTAAGATTATGTTCCAAGACTAAAATTAAATACGATTTCCACTCATAATTTATAGTGGGTAGATATAAAGGGAGTTATCTTATGTAAATCAATTGATTTTAGGTTTATGTCGACTTATACTCATAAAGTTATGTATTCTTGCGTGTGCATGCATACTGCTGTTATCGGCCTAGCGCAAGCTGCTAAAACGCGGCGTTGTAGCTCATCCAATAGTCTCTGACAAATTTTCAGTACATTGTACCGATTAAACCGAATCTGTACCGGTTCGGAAGCCCAAAAATTGCATGGGTTGATAAAAGGCCCATTAAACAATTTTAAGCATTGCGGAAAAGCCTAATAAAGGAATAAAGAATCGGAATCTCGGGTCAAAAGGCTCCGAACCCGACTTGAAGAACCGGGTTTGGACTGTGGGAGTAAGATTTTTTTCAGCTTTTCCTTCTCAGTTTCAAAAACCACAAAAATTAAAACTATTAGTAGGAAACACATCTAAAGCGAATGATAAATCCGATCTAGGTCTCTCCTTCCCCGATTTCTCTCTGTCTCGTCGATCGAATATCTAAGGTAATGGATAAAGGCAAAGCAGTGATGGGTACTGGTCGGAGATGGGCCGTCGAATTCTCCGATCAATCTACTGTTCCATCTTCCCGCGACATCCTCGATCCCCCTGGCTTCTCTCGTGCTTCTCCGGAACAGGTTGCTTTTATTTTCCGTTTTGGTTTTGAATTCCTTAGATTTTCTACTGTATTGAGATTGGATTCCATGTTTCAGTTTGAAAATTTTACTCTGAATTGAGCTGTATTGCTACTGGAAAGTTTTATGGATTATCAATTGATGATTTCGTTTTCAGGATGATTCAGCAACCAGCCGCCAGAAGAAAGACGCTGAAGCTACTTGGAAACTTCAGGTATATATGTCAAATCTGAAATTCGTAACTTAAATTGTACGGATTCGATCTTGGTCTTGCTACGTAGATCGTAAAAGCCATTGACTTTCACGGATTCGGATTATTATGTAACTCACATAACTCTTATCACTGTTGAAATTGTTGCCTCGGTGAGATTAGAAAAGGAAAGTTTCTGTTTCAGCGGACAGAGATCGGGTTTGATATGGGATAAAGTTTTAACAGTGATTTGTTTGTTTACTTGATGAATGAGCAGAAAGCATGGGAAGTAGCGCAGTCTCCGTTTAAGAATTTGATGATGATGGGTTTCATGATGTGGATGGCTGGAAACACAGTGCATCTATTTAGCATTGGTATCACATTCTCTGCTCTTTGGCAGCCTCTCAGCGCTCTCCAGAGTGTTGGAAAGAGTAAGAAACCTTCCTCACTACATTCATTCATCTTCGCCTGATATGCGATTAGACATTTAATGGTCACAATTTATCAAACTATTTAGTATCTCTACTAGAAAATATAAAGAGCGAAAATGCAACGTTCAGCTTGCACTATTATCTGAAGGGTTAGACCGACTTACTTCATTTACATAATGCTTTTTCCTTTACTTCGGATACTTTTCATTGGAAGTGTTAGCAAAGGTCTATTATCATCCTCTTCATCATCGTGTGCATTTAAACTTCCATGAAACAAAAGATATCATTTTTCATTTAAACTTAGTAGAATTAGGGTGGAATTTACAACGCAATCATATATGTGGAATAGCATCTACTTCTGTGTAAGATACAATCAATCAAATAGGGCCAAGGATTCAAACTATTCCCATCTTTATATAATATGAAATTTTACTATTTAACATGTCTCGCTGTTGTGCACAGTTTTATCATTTGAGTTGTAATTTAGTTTGTGAATTCAAGTTCAGTATCTTGCATCCTTACATTTACCTTTGTCTGCAGTTTTTGAGCCATTCAAGGATAACAAGGTGGAACTACTTATGCCGAAATTAGTGTTTCTTGCCCTAAACCTTGGAGGGTTAGCTTTGGGTATCTGGAAGGTGAGAAAATGTTCTCGTTCCCTCATTGTTGACTAAAAAAGTAAGAAGTAACTTTTTTTTCTCATACAAACAAATTTCACTTTTCTCAGCTCAACACTTTGGGGCTTCTTCCAACACATGCATCAGATTGGGTTTCATCTCTACCTCCTCCTCAGGTTGGTAATTTCTATCTGCAGCTAACTAAGTCTTTGTGTCCCATGTGTTTTGGCAACATCTATGAAGCAACAATCTGGTATTTTTGATTCATCATCTCTAAACTGAACACATCATGTTTCCTAAATTTCTTTTTCAGGAGGTTGAACACTCTGGCGGAGGATTTGTTTTCCACTGATGATGAGCATGCGTCTCTTTGTATTTTAAATAATCCGCTAAAACTGCAAGAAGACGAAGATATTTTGTGAGATGACTGCGAAAGATACTCAAGTGATTTGTTCAATCCTGTCTTGAGGGGAGGAGTTATGTGGACCCTCTCCTCTTGTGATCATCTTGTAGCATTTTCAAAACTCAGATACCATATAGCTTTTTTCACTTTTCAGTATGATGCTCATTGTTCATCATAACTATGAATGTATTATTGGAACTGAAGGGACCTATTTCCCATCTTTTTTTTTTTTTTGTTTTTCTCATCTTTTTAGTTAAGTATGGATAATGTTTCAGACTAAAGTTTTGCTCTTTAATGCTTTCACTAATGGTTTCTGTACTAATAGCCGATAATAATGTTGTGGGAGACCCTCTAGTTGACTGAGAAGGTCACGAGTTGGACTTATAGGTCGCTATAGAAAACTAGGTTAAACTTTGGGAAGCACAAGACGTGGAACAAAGTGCAGTCTTTAGAATCATGTAAGTCGGTCTACTCAAATTACTCTCGACGACAAAAATGTTAATACTTTAATGATTATAAGATTGCGAGAAATTAATAGATTTACAGGAAAACCCAAAAAAAGAAAAAGAGAAAAAAAAGAAAAAGAGAAATAGATATTTTTTTCACTAATTTTCTTCTATCTTCATCCGTTCTTCCAGTGATTCATAAACGAACAGATGAATCTAAAACGCTAACTTGATCCGAAATTTCCTATCTTTTTTTTTTTTGTTAGACATCACAAGAGATTTTGATTCTTTGATATCAAATACTCTTAACCTTGTCACTGTTTTCCTGAGATTTTTTTTTTTGATAATCTGATTCCATTCTTTTTTAATATATTCTTTCCGAGCGAATCTGATTTTGTTTTCATGTCCGCGAGGATTTCATTTCTGAAAAATCCCGATCCCTGCAGTCACTTATCTGATTATAAGCTTAGATATGGTACCGATGGTTACAAATCCTTCCAGAAATTGTTCAGATGCTTCAACGGTGGAAGAATTAAGATCAAACCGCAAGAAATCGAGATACCCAGATGCAGTTATTGCTCGGTTGATCACAGGAGACTCTACATCTGTTTGATCTGTCGCTCGATATCTTGTTCAAGCCACATCCTTTCGCATACCCAATCGAACAAAGGACATGATATCGCCATTGACGTCGAAAGATCTGAGCTTTATTGCTGCTCTTGCATCGATCAAGTGTACGATCCCGAGTTCGACGAGGTTGTCGTATCCAAGCAGCTTACTGGCCTGGGTATTTCTGTTAAATCCGGAGCCGATGTTGTCGCGGTTAGATCGAACAAGAAGAGGAGACTGGACTCGCAGTTGATTATAGGATCGAACTTTTTGGTCTCACCCAGAGATCTAAGGGAAAAATGGTCCTTTCCTCTGGGGTTAAGAGGTTTGAACAATCTGGGAAGCACTTGTTTCATGAATGCCGTGTTGCAAGCACTTGTTCATGCTCCTCCTCTGAGGAACTTCTGGTTGAGTGGTCAGCATGATCGTGATCTTTGTTCTAGAAGAGCGGCGGGTTTGTTGTGTTTGCCTTGTGATCTTGATGTTATCTTCTCTGCAATGTTTTCCGGTGATCGGACTCCTTATAGCCCAGCTCATTTGCTCCACAGGTTCGGTTTCCTTGCTTCTTCATTTGTCTATACAAAGATTCTCTACAATTTTAAAGTCACATTGTTATGTATGTCTGTCTATACAAAGAATTTGTATCTTCATCAGCCATTATGTGATGCTGATTTGATCTTTATTATTCTTGGCGGCTGAAGTTGGTGGCAGCACTCAACGCATCTAGCTACATATGAGCAGCAGGATTCTCACGAGTTCTTCATTTCGCTGTTGGATTGTATCCACGAGAACCAGGGGAAGTCGAAATGTCTGTACAAAGGTAACTTAATTTGGTACAAGAGATTGTTGTTATGTGTTTGGGAATAATGTGTGAGTTGAATGATAAAGTTTGTTTGTTTGCTTTGGTGTGCAGATCATGAAGAGTGTCAGTGTATCACTCACAGAGCATTCTCTGGTCTTTTAAGATCAGATGTGACCTGCACAACGTGCGGATCCACGTCAACAACTTACGATCCGTTCATCGACATTTCACTTACTTTAGATTCAGCGAAAGGATTGTCTCCCGCGGATTGCAGAAAGAACAGAAACAGTGGTGAGCCAAGCGTGAAACCAGCCATGGCAACTCTCTCAGGCTGCTTAGATTTCTTCACGCGGTCAGAGAAACTCGGTCCGGACCAGAAGCTAAACTGCCAAAGCTGTGGAGAAAAGAGAGAATCTTCCAAACAAATGTCCATAAGAAGACTTCCTCTGCTTCTCTGCTTGCACGTGAAGCGTTTCGAGCATTCTCTTACCCGTAAAACATCGAGGAAAATCGATAGCTACTTGCAGTATCCGTTCCGCCTTAACATGTCTCCTTACCTCTCTTCCTCCATCATCGGAAAACGGTTTGGGAATAGGATCTTTGCCTTTGATGGAGAAGGCGAGTACGATGGTTCATCGTCTTCATCGTCGTCAGCGGAGTTTGAGATATTTGCAGTCGTAACTCATTCGGGGATGTTGGCATCAGGTCACTACGTGACTTATCTGAGGCTCAAAGGGCTGTGGTATAAATGTGATGACGCGTGGATCAACGAGGTTGAAGAAGAAGTGGTGAGAGGGTGCGAATGTTATATGCTGTTCTATGCACAGGAGAGAGTGATTCAGAAGGCTCATAAGGAATTGAGTTATCAAGTTATCTCCATGGCTGATGCATTTCCCTTTGCTGATTGCTGACTCTTTTTTACTTGGCCAATGATTTTGAAGCATTTTACCTTAATACTGTTTTTTGTCGATTGAAGGTTTATGCAAAATATTTCAAAGCCAAGTTAAATTATTCAATTTCTTTCTTCATTACATTAGTAGTGTTCAAGATTATCCACATTCACATCTTCTGTTTCCATTTTGTCGTTGTGTTAGATTGATGATGTCAGTCTCTTACGTCACCATCATCTTCTTTTGCTTACAAAGTGGTTCGCACATAGAACTTCTGCAGAAAAATCTGAAACTGGGGCAATAGTATACAGTTGTGTTGTTTAGATATTTTTAACAGATGCAGACCCTTGCTTATGAATTGGTAAGCATTTGCTTTCTAGATGAATTTGACAAAAGCCACAGATCCACCAAACTGGTGTGCAGATTTTTGTGAAATCTGATAAGCATTTGGTCTTATTTTTGCTCATCATCAGTTTCAAAACGATTATTAATACAAAATATTTTGTTTTTGGTTATCTAAGATATAAAACTAAATCCTTTATATTTTGATTTTTTTATGATTTATACCTCTTACGACCTTCAAAACCATGTTGATTAATGTTTTGTAGATTACTTGATGCATATTGTTAAAATAGCATTTAGCTTAGGCTTGGTTTTAGTGGTCAGCATTAATTTGTAGAGTTGATTTATTTGATCCTATTGGTCAACCTTACTTTTCGACACTAAATATATTTTAACTGGTTCATGTTTGTGATTAAATTTAGCTAATGGCTTAAAAAGAAAAGGTTGTCTAATGAATGAATGTGAAACAAGCATTTACCAGAGAAGAAACTGTAAAATACTACATCCGTAATGGTCTTAAGATTCGTATTAATCACTCCAATAAAAATATATTTCAAACTCTCTAAAAAATGAATCACTTGATAGTTTCTATATTGATCAGTTACATGTGTTTTGGTCTGAGCGAAAGTGTTGGAATTTTTAAATGCGAGAAAAACATGCTACAGTTTCGAAATGAACTTGGTCCAGGGAAGACTCTGAGAGTGAATTGCACATCGAAAGATGACGTGATAGGGGTCAAGGAGGTGGCGTTCAAAAAGGATTACGACTTTAGGTTTGGGGAAGACAGGCAATCAAGAACAATATGGAGATGTCTCTTGAGGTGGAGAAATGGTCAAGAGGAGTTGTATCATGACTTATGGCCTGCCTACAGAGGAGGCAGCACACCTCGGTGTGGTGAGATTCGGTCATGGATCGCTGTACCTGCTGGCGTTCACTTGGGCAAAAACGGCAAACCGGGATCGTACGTTGATAAATGGTTCTCCAACAAGGATCCCCAAGTGCGACCATAGGACGGAGCTACAGCTGCATGTTGTTATCTAAAACCTAGCTTAATTTAAAGATAATTAAACCAAATGAAGATATAACTAAGAGTGAGAGAGAAAAAAAGCGAAGAACATGTACAAATATTTTTTTTGCTGAATAATATTTTCATTCATTGATTATTAAAATTAAAAAGAGAGTAGATAATTTTTTAAAGAGAAAAAAATGTAACTACCACCCATGAATTACCTTATGGATTTATCAAATCCTATAATTATGAAAAATAAAACTTCCAAATTGACTAGGCAATAAATTCCAGCAAATAGAAATTGAAGCTATTTGTTAACTTATTCCATTCAATGCAAAGTTGAATCACTTTTTAACAGCCACATCCGTCACATCCTTGGACTCCCTCAACCTGGTTTGTTCTTCGGCAAACATGGACTGCAAGTGTTTCACACGCTCTTCATCACGCCTGAGGATTTCTTCATGGTTCGTCGTGCCTGGCCAAGAGAAGAGATCGCTTACTTTTACTGTGTGATAATCTCCCTCTTTTTTCATAGCTCCTTCTGTGATAGAGGCATTACACAAAGGATTATTGGTCTATTATTACTCAAAAAAGCATAATTTATATATGAATGGTAAGATATTTAAATATTTAGATATTTCACGCAATAAAAGCATAAAAAGGTTAGTATAAAATACCTTCATTCGTTGTAGCAGAATTATTCATTGTCTCTCTCCTTTTTCTTATAAACTTTTTTTCTTAAGTGTTGTTTATTTTTTTCTAATGTTTTGTGATGGAGCAAAATCACACACATATAGGAGTGAGAGAGGACCAAATTTCTCTTTACTTCATAAGTAAGTTTTGGTAATCTTAGCCGTTTATCAAAGTTGAGATGAAAATTCAATTGCCAGATTTACCTCATGCATGACTAAGTTATTCTTCATGACTAAGTTTCGATCTTGACCATATATCATTAATCTCATAGTCAAGTCTCAATCATCTACTGTATTATTTACTTTGTTGCTAAATTTTGATCTCAACCATTTAGTATTTACTTCATAGTTAAATTTCTAATAAAATTACTGACTTACTTAATTTCTAAACTCTATTATCTGCAGAAAACACAGATCACTGAGGCAGTAATGTTCTTGGCCACGTGATTTTAACACTAGCTATTGCCCCAAATCTTCCAAAACCTCCGCAGAAGAAAATTAATACTAACATGAATATATAATATATTTTTAAAAAACATGTTAGAGTGATGTTTTGTAGATTACTTCGTGCATATTGACCTAGATGTATAAAAAAAAGAGCTTAGGCTTGGTTTTAGTGGTCAGCATTAATTTGTATAGATAGTTTATCTGATTTTTGATCTTATTGGTCAACCTTACTTTTCGACACTAAATACTGTTTTTTCTTTGGATTAACTGGTTCATGTTTGTGATTAAATTTAGCTAATGCCTTACAAAGGTTCTCTCATTAATGAATGTAAATCAAACATTTGCCAGAGAAGAAACTATAAAATACTACTACATCTTCATGGATTTAGATTCAGAGTACTCTTTGAACAACACATACACACACACACCAAAAAAAAAGATTCATAGTAGTACTCCAATGAAGATATTTTTCAACTCTGAAAAAATAAATCACTTGATAGTTTCTATATTGACCATTTACATGTGTTTTGGTCTGAGCGAAAGCTTTGGATTTTGGAACTGCGAGAAAAACACGGTAGAGTTACGAAATGAACTTGGTCCAGGGAAGATTCTGAGAGTGAATTGCACATCGAAAGATGACGTGATAGGGGTCAAGGAGGTGGCGTTCAATGATGCATATCACTTTAGGTTTAAGGAACACAGGACAAAAAGAACAATATGGCTTTGTCTCTTGAGGTGGAGAGGTCAAGAGGACTTGTATCATGACTTATGGCCTGCGTACAGAGGAGGCAACACACGTCGATGTGCTGAGAAACGCTCATGGATCTCTCTACCTGATGGCATTTACTTGGAGAAAAACAAGGAACCGCGAAAGTACGTTGATAAATGGTTCTCCAAGGGGAATCCCCAATTGCGACCATAAAACGAAGCGAAAGCTGCATGTTTATTTTATCATAGAATACTTGAATAACACACCATACTCTTTGTATCCTTGTTACATTCAAAACATATATATATGATGATGATGTTTTGAACGGGTCTCTCCCCTACGCTTTTATATGTTTTTTTCAACTAGACAAAGCTCTTCTTCATCGGCCTCCATTGGCAAGTCTCTTGAGATGTTGAAATGCCCTCTGCTTAATCCACTGCCTGTCATATGGCAGATACGCACTCATCGAGTGTTCATACCTGCAAAATGATATGTGCACCAGAGGCATTGTTAGATTCCTTGGAACATTGATTGTCGTGCAATACCCAGTTATTTTAAGCAAAACCATGAAACTAAAAAAAAACAGCAAAAGCACAATCAGGGAGCTTTAAAGCCCTGGTTGATCCAAGAATGTTTCTTAAACACCATACTAGAAAAAATATCTCAAGAAAATAAACAGATATGCATGAGCCTTTTGCATCCTTGGAATTTTCACATTCCTGAATCGTCGACAAGGGAAACACTCAGGGATTCAAAATAATTGTATCAGAATTCTATGATTTAAAGGGGAAAGGTAGGCAACACATGATCTTTATAGATGGGGCAAATGTCAAATCAAGGTTCATGTTTTGACAATGCCCTGGTGTTTCATAGCATTAGGGCACACAAACTGATGGACGAAGAAGAAGAAGAAGAAGAGAGAGAGAAAGGGGGAAAGACTTACACCAAAGCGCTCATATCAGCAAGACCGTCAATGAAATTGTAAAGATCTGCAATGTCATAACTAAGGTTTCTGAGAGATGGATTGATTTCCTTCAGCTTCCTTTCGTATAAGCCGCAAATACCTGTTCATGACCACAACAAAAACCAGGGCTGCATTTACAAAACTAGAGAGCTTGTGAACTATACAGTAAACAAAGAATAAACCTCAGCATAGTAGCCATAACCAACAATGGGTAACTAATTGCTATAGCCTAGTCAGAGAGTGGTGATTCGAAATAGTAGTTACCATCCATAGCTTGGCCGATCGAATCATAGTCCATAAACGTCCTCGTAGCTCGGTTGGGAGAGTTCTGCAGCAAGATGATGGTGTGCCTACTGTTGCTGTGACTAGCCTACGCAACAAAGCCAAACCTCGGTATAGTCAGCTTATAACAACTCAGAGCAATAAAAAAAAATCATCAGAAACCGAGAACTGACGGGGTGACGACACGAAATCGAAAACCCTAGTTTTTGTGAAAACGAAATCGACATCGAAATTGCTCTTGCCAAAACACGTATGCTAAGATTTCTACGCGATTGGCTAAGAAATCACTAAAACTACGTAAACGGAACGCAAGAGAAGAAATCGATTACCATCCTCCGGAGATTGTTTGACTTTGATATCAGTGTTTGAGGGTTAGACGACGACGACGACGACGAACGAGTTAATAAGTTATATCACTGTTTTAGAGAGGACAAACAAAAGTAAATAAGAATCTAAGGGCAAAAGCGTAAAATGAACAGAAAGTATCGGTCAGCGTGTATTCCATTTAAGATATAACAAAACTACAAGCTGTTTTTTGGCACTACAGGCAGTCCAAACAACACTAAATATATAAAACGAAATGTTGATTCTCTCATCTGTACCGACCGTACCGTTCGACGACACTATACAAAATTACAAATCCGTTTAACTTCTCTCCTTTACAGAAGCAAAAGTTTAGTATCATCATCATCTTCTGGTTCCTTCACATCAGACGGCACAATATCATCCAAATGATCAGAATCTGGAACAAGGAAAATGAAACACAACGTAGTGAATCTCAGGACATTCCTCAGAAGAATCACGAGCCAGAGATTCCCAAACTCGTGTCTTGTGACACCAAAAGCGTGAAGAACGAACCCTCCACTCCATTTAGAAGCAAGCTGTCCGACACTATCAATGCACATGAGCAGAGCAAAGAAGGTGCCTTCGATTCCCAGAGGACAAAGCCTTGTGCTCAGAACGATCATGGGGATCCACCTGATCTTACTTATGATCCTTGAGAAAGACTCTTCGGTTATCACAAAGAAGGAATCGGGTATCCCGAGGTTTAAGTTCCAGCGCTTGATGAAGATGAGGTCAAGCATTCCTGAGAAGCCGTATAGAAGTTGTGCGAAGAAGAGTATGTTCCTAAAGGAATAGCCTTTGAGCTTCTTGTGGTATATCAGAACTCCAACCATCGATGCCAATGCCCCGATCGCGTAGATTATGCCAACAAACTCCTGCATTTAAACCAAAGCGAGAAAGTTGAATCTAGACCTCCAAAGCTTTATATGTCATTAACGATTGCATACTCGATTAATGGGGAATAGTAACACTCCACCACAATTGCTACACAGACATCTAATGGCCACCATTTCAGCAGGCATAAACCCCAAAGACTCATGATCTTATAACAAGAGAAGTAACCCATGAATTTATTACTACAAGACAATAAACAGTCTCATATTTGGTCCATATGATATCATGACATACAGCCACAGTGTCAATTCGAGGTTGTGATTTATGGCAACCCGCTCTTGCTAGCTGAGCTCCCATGGCATTTAGTTACTATACATACTAGTTCATATGAACTCAACAAGGTCAAGCCCAAACCATTTGACCACAAATCTATATTCTCTATCACAATATCTTTGACAGAGGATTTTGTTGATGCAAGACCCTAAAAACCAACCTGGGAAAAGGCGGGCCCAGCTGTCGGATCAGTGTACCAGTAGAAGTAGCCTTCATGAGTGCTGATGTTGAGAGCTAAGGATATGAACATGTAAAGTGATGGCTTCCATACTTGAGGGTATTTTATGGTTTTGTACATTCCCTTCACCGCTACTCCTACGCCATCTGTGTCCTGAATAGCATTCAACGATTTCTCTCAGTCTCATCAAGATTCTAAGTAATGGGATATACAGGAACGAAGCATAAAATTACTCCGGTGGAAACAAATACACACCAGGCAAAGTGCTTCAACGCAAAGGCTTGTGAGAGAGATAAAAAAAAGTTGTGATGAGCTCTCACCTTTTTGTTTTTCTGTATAAGGACAGTAGAAGATCTTTTCTCGTTGATGAAAAACCCAAGTAGGATAATTGTTGCAGGTGGCAATGCTAATACACCTAATGCTCCCTATCAATAAGAATGTAAAACTCTTAGAAGAGCCAAAAGATAGAGAGGTCGAAGAAAAAGTGTGCAAATTTTAGCAGGTTGAGCAATAGACAAAAACCAGGTTTTCATACTATGTTAAGCATACGTGATAAATAAGGTGGAAACTCAACCTGAGGACCAAGGCGGTGAACAAAGACTCCACTAGTTGCGTTTCCCACCAAAGCACCAGCAGACGAGCAAACCACACAAAGGCTCTGTATATCAGGAGCCAAAGATCGGATATTGATGCTGTTTGTTGCTATACACGCATCAATCACAACTTCGGCGATGGCCATAGCAGCAGAGACACCTAAAAGGCAGCTCAAAGCAAAAGCAGCGGGCAACTTACCAAGAACTACAATTGCAATCGCAGAGACCAAACCAAGAACACCAGAGGCCACAAAATAAGGCTTTCTTTTGTAACCTCTGATAGGGAAAACATCGGTGAAGAGACCCCAAATGGGCCTCATGACCCATGGGATGTAATATAATCCCATGTAAAGCTGCACAACTGATGGCTGCACTTGCTGGACATCTTTCCAGTAATAGTCGGTGACAACTTTGAATATCGAGCCGGAGAACCCTTGGTTTAGGCCGTACACAAGGACCACGCCTAGAACAAAGCTCGGGTTTAGCCTAGAACACAGCATTTGTAGCCACTGGAAAGGCTGAAGCAGAATTGAGACAACAGCAATTCTTCTAGCTTTTGTCTTGTTCTCAGAATGATCTGAAATTGGTTTTAGCAGAGGTTTTTCCACTGAGAAGAGTTTCTCTGTTTCTAGTATCTCCATGGTGTTTAACTGTTTGGGAGATGAACACTGGATCTGAAAGTATTGAAAGCAAGAGTGTTTAATAGTTAATTTAGTGTAAAAGAAGCAACTTTTGGACTTTCGAAAAAGATTTCTAGAGTCACACACGAGGAAAAGCGAAAAAATGTATATACTAAAAATTCCCATGACATGTAACTTGTTGACTCTGTAAGCAATGACGTCTTTCTTCAACTACCAGCCTTATCGCCCTTATGACTAATTGACTATGAGCCAAAGAGTAAATGTTTCATTTTTCAACTCAAAAATCCTAATCCATATCGATAAGTACTTAAATAACTAATTAACCTATATGAGTCAAAAGCTGATTTTACTCTATAATCCAATAAAAAAATAAGAGGAAAGCGTAGTGCAGAACCATGGTCATTGTGTATGAGATTCCCACACGCAAAGGAGACTACTATAATATGACTAGTGAGCCATGGCTAGAAACTAATTCAGAAATAAAGGAGAGGAAGAAGAAAAAAGCAAAAACACAGAGAAAATGGCAGGATTATTTGATAAACAAGCTGATCTGTACCTTGACGCCAGACCCAATTACCCATCGGAGTGGTTCTCGAAGCTCGCCGATCTCACCGATCACCACGGTTTAGCATGGGATACCGCCACCGGCAACGGCCAAGCAGCTCTCGCCGTGAGTATTTGATGTGCATGAAGTTTGTTTACACCATTGGATCTCAGACTTGACAGATTTAGCTTCTCGTTTGTATTCAGATAAACGATCTTGCATTTGACAAAATCTCGCCTTGTAAACAGGTTGCAGATCACTACGAGAGAGTCATAGCGACGGACGTGAGCGAATCGCAGCTGAAGCTGGCAACGCCGCATCCGAGGATCGATTATTGCCACACGCCGTTGTCAATGTCCGAAGACGAGCTAGTGGAATTAATCGGAGGAGACAACTCAGTGGATCTGATCACGGTCGCTCAAGCCGTACACTGGTTCGATCTCCCCAAGTTCTACGCAGTCGCCACGCGCCTCCTCCGTAAACCCGGCGGAATCATCGCCGTCTGGGGCTACAACGACGTCTTGGTGTCACCGGAGTTCGACGCCGTTCAGTATCGATTCCACGCCCAAACGCTGCCGTATTGGAAGTACCCAAACATTCAGCACATCTTCGATTCGTACGAAGCATTGCCGTTTCCTTTCGAAAGTGTGGGGATGGGATCGGAAGGGAAGCCATTGAAACTGGAGATGCCTAAAACGGCGTCGTTCGAAGGGATCGTAACGATGATCAAATCATGGTCTGCTATAATCACGGCGAAAGAGAAAGGGGTCGATTTGTTGCCGGAGAGTTTGGTGAGGGAGCTCGAGACCGCCTGGGGAGGATCTGATCTGATTCGTCCCGTCGTGTACAAAGCTTTTATGATCGCAGGGAAAGTTAGAGTTTGATGATCAAACCATCACATTATTATTTTCCCTGGAGTTTATAATTATTTCCAAAATTGGTTTGCTTCCATGTTTGTTTCATAATAATCATTGAACGTTATAAAACTCGGATCTAACATTGGCTTGTATCGGTAACATTATAAAACGATGAAATCATCTATCTATACTAAATAAAAGGAACTATTTGGGGCTCCTTAAGCTATCCACCTCAACTTTTCAAACTACTCTAAAAATATGACACATCAGCAAAAAATAATAATACAAATTCCTACTTTAGATTTTTTTGAAATACACATAAAGTAAATAAATAGAACCAAAATTAATATAATTAAATACAAGAGTAAATAAAAATAAAATATTATTTTTTGAATCAATAAAATAAATGTTATTTAAATCTATAGCATCAATATATACTCTTTTGTTTGTAATATAACAAATTAACAATAATGAAAATTCTCACTTTAAATTTTTTGAAATACACATAAAATAAATAAATAGAACCATTAAATTAATATAGTTATTAACAAAAACTAAATAAAACTATATATCATTTTAATCAGTAAAATAAATATCATTTAAATCTGTAGCATTAATATATACTCATTTTTGTCACTAAAATTAATATAGTTACCAACAAAAGTAAATAAAATTAAAATATTATTTTTTGAATCAGTAAAATAAACATCATTTAAATTTATAGCATCAATATATACTTCTTTTGTTTTTAATATAACAATAATAAAAAAATTCACTTTATATCTTTTGAAATACACATAAAATAAATAAATAGAACCACTAAGTTAATATAGTTATTAAGAATAAGTAAATAAAACTAAATATCATTTTCTAAATCAGTAAAATAAATATCATTTAAATCTGTAGCATTAATATATACTCCTTTTTGTAATATAGTGAATATATTGGACAATAAATTTCTCTAAAAAACTTAAATAATAGTTAATAGAAAAGAGATTACAAAATAATAACTTTTAAAGTAAAATTTAAAACATTTACAAATTATAAAAATCTAAAACATTCACCTTTTAGAAACATACAGATTAAACATCATAGTACGTTAGATTTATGGCAACCAACAAGACAACAGAAATTATAAGAAGATTTTCAAAGCATCTATCTATATGAAGATTTCGATCATCGTTACTATTTACATTGCAGAAAATGATAAAAAAAAAGAAGAATTTCATGCACTGATATTTATTCAATGTGTGTCTTAGTTGGCTTAAGGTAGTCAAGTTACTACAAGTGATACATGTCAACACATGAGTTAAACAGTTTATAAACAAAAATTAAGTTTTAGATGACAGTTAATTTTTATATATATCAAGTTAGTAAATTTTTAAATTAAATAATAATGCATTTTTGAAAAAATAACATACATATTTTTATGTAGAAAAAATGTCTAAAAAAATGTCTAATTATCCACATCAACAAAATTCCTTATAAACCCAACTTGAATGAAAAACTAATATGGTTTTTTTTTACTGGGTTAAAAGACTCCTTTAAAAATAATATAATATATATTATTAGTTTAATTATAAAAGCTCATCAAAATTATATGTGTAGTTTAAGAAAAAATGTTTAAGTTAAATTACAAGCAAAAAATTTTACATCTTTTGAGTTTTGAGAAACTCAACATACTTTATTTAACATAATGAGTTAGTATGAAATTGTATTTGTATATGTATTACTTGCCTTATTCATCTATATTTTTTATAGTTTACGTATACTTCATAAACCAAATCAAAATTGCATTTTATCAATATGATTGTGATTTTTTATACTATGTAAATATTGTATTTATTTATATGAATCATAGTTATTTTATAGATTTATAAGAGATTAGAACATTGAGTGTTGTTTGTATTTGAGATTGCTAATTAAATAAAAACACTATATGAACACAGTTGAAATAAAAATAAAAATCTAAATTAAATGAAACAATAATAATCAAATTTAATCAAAACAAAAATAATTTTAATGATATTTTGAAAGTTAGTAGTGAATAACAGTGAGTTTATATACAAATATTAAGTTTTAGATTAACAGTTAATTTTAGCATATATCAAGTAGGTAATTCTTAAAATTATATCATGATACATTTTTTGAATATGTTAAAATATTTTTGATGTATAATCATATCAAAACAATTTTAAAAATTAAATATTATATTTAAAATATTAACTTAAAGTGAAAATAATTTAACTTAAATAATAATCAAATATCTATATAAAAACAATCTGCGCGTAGCGCGGAAACATCCCTAGTACTAAATAAAAGGATTTGTTTGGGGCTTCTGAGGCTATCCACATCAGCTTCTAAAACATTTTTAAAATGGTGCCACCTCAACATTACAAATTACAAATAAGTGAATAATAATATAACATGATCTAAGATATTGGAATCCATTTTAGGTTCCGCCAATAAAAAATTCACATTGATAGCTAACATTAAAACCCTATCAACAAGTGTTTAATGTTAATTACTGCTTCTTCTTTCGTAACTGCAGCAAATGGGAGAATCCTCAACTTTAAAACTCTACTATGTATTGCATTCCAATTCATTTGAAAAAGGTACAAAATATAAAATTGGTTTATAGGCTTCAGAGATAGTTTAGAGAATCTAAAAAGTGGATCTAAAAGGTGAATCTATATATTCTTTCAATTTTTATAAGCATTTCCTTTCCAATCTTTTTCATATTTTAAAATACTGGTGAAGATTTCTGTTTCATGATAAGATAAAAGTTTGTAGATTAAAGAAAGAAAATCAGCAAAATAAACGCTGGAGAAAACAAACAAAAAGTGGTGAGTAGCAAAATCAGCCAAATAAATGAAAATTAAAGAAAGAAAAAAATAGAAGACACATGTAATTAAGCATAAAAAAGGTTAGCCTCTACCTTCACTCTTCATTCCCCAGATTAATACAGTTCTTTCATGCTATAATTGCCATCTCTATTTTTATGTCCGTAGTGTTCAGACATAATGGAGAATTGATGGATACATACATAGTGGAGTACGTATGGAGAACTAACATCCAAGTGAAAAGAAGAATAAAAAAAAGTATATTTTACAAGACTTTATTACGTTGGTTTTGGAATGGAAGAAAGCAAGAAAGTGGTGTGGAGAGTTCACTGTTTAGCCTGCATGTTTGATTTGTAAGTTCTCTACCATTGTCTATTCTGAAGTGTTTCATTGTTTTCTATTTATTACAATTTAGAAACAAACAGATGGTAGTTCTATATATTCTGTATTCATTTATACTGACTATTTGATTTCACTAAAGTCTATGGATTCAGAACCCTGAAAAATATAATGAGATAAGAGCAATATTAGAGAAAGACCAATATATAAAGACAACGACTGTGGGAGGATGGCAACGAGTTCCACATGAACAATATGTAGTAGCACAAAGGACGCGTGGTCTACATCAACCATGCAATGTTTCACTCGGTTTTGCTAAACTTTTGCATATACCATTTTTGGTATCACCAGTTTTACATGATTCCACCATTGGAGGAGATGGAAGAACAAAAATTAGAACCCATGGAAAATACAGAGATACCAGAAAACTGGTTTTCCATACCAATGTAAAACGTAGGTTGGTAATGCAGGAGGACATTATCAAGCTGCTGCGAGATATCTGAAAGAAAGTATTATACTTTTCATAATCGAAGAACTGTATTATACAATTTTTTTATATCAAAACTATAAAATAAGATAGATACTTTCAAAGACACCAAATATAAATAGATACAAAGTTTTCACCTTATATTTTAAATCAAAATAATAACCTTAATATAAACGCATCATTTTCTAATCTAGATTATTTGCCAAATAAGCTTTTGAATAGAATGTCTAACCCAAAATTAAACATAATCAATATAAAATAAGTAACTCATAAAAATACACAACTAGCTAAAATATAGATTTCTCAACAAATTAGATAATTACACTTATAAATAATCAAAATACAAATATTTTTTAATTTGAGTTTACATTCCTTTATTTAATTCCCATAATTTTAAATCTTATATAATTTATATTAAAAATAAAATTATAATTTACAATCCATGCGTAGAGCAGAACAATCCCTAGTTATTACAAAAGCTTTTAAAATAGGAATTTGATTGAATTACATATACTCACTAAAGTCGCTTGCAAGATTCTCAAAAAGTGGGTTATTAGACAAATCAAACAAAATACACTATTACAATATAACGTTCACATATATTAAAACCCTTTTGTTCTGCAACAAAAATACAAAATAGACCTAAAATGCAACAAAAACATTTTCCAAAAGAAAAAGAAGATAAACTATAATCACCATTCCTTCTTCGTTTCCTCAATCACCACCATCAATCATCATTCTCTAATCGATCTTAACCGAGGAATAGATGAGCCGTGTGAACCAGAGACAGGCATAGAACCCAATTGTTCCCGTGAGCACAAAAAATGCATAGGAAGCGATGAGCATGTACCCGAAGTAAAGCATCGCCGAGACCAGTTTGGTGATCTGAAGCTTTGTGAAGAAGTAGAACGTGGCGTAGAGGAATAGATAGAGAGCTGATGAGCCTGATGTGAGGTAAGATCTCCACCACCAAAGGTAGTCCTCACTGCAAAGCTGGAAGTAGCAGAGCACTACGGTTATCTCAGCGCAAGTAACGATGAGGATCACAAAGACCAGGAAGAGGAACCCGAAGATGTAGTAGAACTGGTTAAGCCAGATGGATGTGAGGATGAAGAAGAGCTCGATGAAGACTGCACCAAACGGCAAGATTCCTCCGATGAGGATTGAGAAAACCGGGTTCATGTACCAAGCCTGCTCTGGGATTTGCCTCGGGATTTTGTTGGTTTTCACTGGGTCGTCAGCCGCTGGTTTCTTGAAACCAAGGTACGCGCCAACAAAGACAAGAGGAACCGAGATACCAAACCAGAGGAAGATCAAGGCAAACATTGTCCCGAAGGGGACAGCCCCGGATGACTTCTGTCCCCAGATGAGAGCGTTTAGGACAAAGAAGATGGCTGAGACAACTGCAGGGAACAAGAATGCTGTTCTGAAGGCGATTCTCTTCCACTCTGTTCCTTTGAACATTTTGTAGAGACGTGAAGAGGCGTAACCAGCAAAGAGGCCCATGAAGACCCAGAGCAGGAGCATGGCCGTCATCAGACCACCCCGATTCGAAGGGGAGAGAAATCCAAGCATGGCGAAGATCATCGTGACAAGTACCATGCCTAAACACTGGACCCCTGTACCAACGTAGACGCAGAGCAGATCTGAATTGGATGGAAGTCTGAAAACATCCCCATGGACAAGCTTCCATCCTGTCTCTTCTTGAGCTTCTTCTTGAGTCTCGAGCTCGTTGTAACGTGAGATGTCACGGTAAAGGGTCCTCAGCATTATCATCGCCACCATACCAGACAGGAACAGGACGATCATTAGAGAATTGACGATCGAGAACCAGTGAATTTGGTTATCACTCATTAGAAGATAAGCATCCCATCTAGATGCCCACTTCACTTCACTTTCCTGGACACGAGACAGAAAAATATTGAGAACAAAGCACCCCATACCATTTATTTAAGAGACAAACCAACGAGTATCTAAGAAAATACTTGCCTGGAAATCGACATCATATGTGAAGATGATCTCCTTCTTTTGTTCAACTTCTTGAGGGGTAGCCGAGCTAACGACCAGGCGTTTTGTGTGAGGATCACAGGTTGTCAGACGGGTCTTCTCACTCCACTCTCCCTCATATTCATGCTTTACACTACAAATCAATGGAAGTACTATCAGTAGTGAAGGACAGGGGGTCCCAAGAGACGGTCAAATTATGGAAAAGGAAATGTACCTGTATGGCTTGACCTCAAATCCCACAATCCTTGCAGCATCAGTTTGCGTATCTCTGTGATACCGGACTGTAAATGCCAAGTGATTATGCATAAAGAACTTGTGCTCTTTGCTCTGTGTATACAAAAAGGCAATTTTAGAAAATTTAGCTATTTCGCATGCAATTGAAATAGTGTTGGCTGTTGACAATCGAAACCTACTTACCCCCTCATACTGGCCCTTAAGACCGACATGATAGCCAAGCTGGTAAACAACAGCAGGGGAACCCGGATCCACTCTTTCGATTGGAACCACAAGAGGAAGGTTGTCGAGGATCCTAACACACACAAGAAACACTTGTGAGAAACCCGACAAAGGAAAGCATGTTATACATACAAAGAATCGAGGAAAAGTTTCTATTTTTGGTCCTACATGTTAACCCGGTACTCGTCATCGATCTTTTCTTTGAACGCTTTGGCTGTCTTCGCATCAAGAGTGATCCGGCAGAGAACATTGCACATTTGTGCCTCCCGCATTTTAAACTGCAGTTGTTTCAACGCCGCATGGGTTAGAGATGAAACATATATATAGAATCTTAGACAGCCTGAACAATTACGAATTAGAAATGGAATAGGAGACTAACCGAATATGGGGCATTTTCTATCCGGTCACCTCGAAGCACTTCTCCAAGATTCTCAGTACTATCCACAATCTTCTTAGGTTGGCAAAAAGGAAGAGAGTAATACGAGTATGGAAGCTGAGTCTTTATGGAGGTTAATTTATTCACTTTCACCTTCAGCTCATCACCCTGCATACAATGGAAAGACCAGAAATTTTAGTCTCGCATTTGATTATGATTCCGTCATTTATGCTGAATCGTCCGCAGTACATAATCCGGCTTGGATTGAGATTCGCAATATAGCATGCAAAACCCACAATTTGGATTTTGTAGTATGGCAATCGAATCAAGAGCGAGATCACTAAGAACATAACTAAAACAATCAACATTTAAACGAATATGGCTAATCCAGAAGATCAAACATTGATGTAGCTCGACTAAAGTGCGACATTGTTCAGATCGAGAGATTCGTGAAGCAGAAATGAAGTGAAATTAAAGCTTCAGCCGAAACCAATCAACCGTTAGCTAAGAATAAAAAAAAAGCTTAACCAAAAGTCGGTGCATCGGCACACCGACTCTCGTTTTCCGTAGCTTTCAGGCGGATCAAGTACGGATTAATCCTAAAGGAAAGCAACACCACACACTGACCGAAACGCAGATCCAGGTGATCCAGTTCAGATCTAAAAGCCTACGAGCACAAATTCGAACGTTTACCTTTTCGAAATCCTGAGGAGCGACACCTGGGAGGTAGAAAGAGTGAGCGACATGAATGAAGAGCAGAAGAATCAAGACGATCGCGGATCCAGAAGTTTCCGATATTCTCCGAAACTCCATACCCATGGCTCTGTTCCACAAAGGAAAGAAAAAAAAATGACCAGATCTGAAGCTACGATACAGTTGTTTATTCTCTTATACGCTTCGAGACGAAGATCGCTTGTCAATTGTAATGTAATACATCCCGGTTTATCTCTCCGGTTCGATCCTTATTAACCATTCAAAATTCGTCACGTGGTTACTCTTGAAGTCTTTCCCCAAGCTATATACTAATGGGCCTAAATCGATGAAGCCCAGCATATCATAAACCATGATTACAGTTAATTAATCAAGAGCATTTATTTCGATATGTACTTTTGTTATGTTGTCTGCATACTGTACCTTTTAAAGAAGTTCAGAAATCATATAAGCAAAAAGAAGTAATTCAATCATAGACTATTCTTTAATTGTACGGTTTATATGTTTTTTTTCACGATCTTACAATCATTTGCTATAAACGTTTAGAGTTCCAAACTTTTGTCGTATACGTTGTCTTCCATTTAGCACCTAACTAAGGGCTTCGATGGTCCAACCACACAGAATCAAAATATAAATCAGTTTTAATTCTAGTATTCGATGATCCAAAACAAAAACAAAAAAGTCTAAAATTGTGACTTGATGACACAAAAAATAGAAAAAATAAAACGAAGTGATACAATCTCAGAAATGAATGTGACAGTCGTTGGATTGGAAGCCACCTCCGGGCGATACAGAGGAACGCAACTGTACCCTGAGCCAGCACCGTACACGTGGCTTGAAACGCCACGTGTTGACAAGCCCAAACATAAGCCTAGCCCTGATCTCCAGCTCCACGTCGACCCCATAAATTCCAGTTTTCCGATCGTCTTCAAATTTCCGCCGACCGTGATCACCGAGCAACACTAAATTCTGACCTTGAAACACCGCTCTGACGACCGCCGTGGTCTTGTGGCCCTGATAGAACGACGGCACGGACGTGGCTGCGAGACTGTTACGGTCGTAATAAACCCTGGCTTCGAATCTGTCGTAGTGGATCCCGAGATGAGAGTTGGAGTTTCGGATGGAGAAGTTGATGGAGAGATTGTAATGGAGGTTGTTGCTGTTGTTGATTACTGGATCGATGTTGAATCGCGTCAGCTCAGCGTTTTGTACTTGGAATTTGACGGCGTTGTGCCGGAGCATCGCCCAGACGATGAAAGATACGGTGCAGACGATGATGACAAGGGTAATGAGGGAGTTGACGGCGAAGGCTAAAATGAAGGACACTAGTTTTACGATGCACTCGCAACAACAGCAACATATCGCTATGATATAAAACGCCGCAGATAGAAATTAGAAAAAGTAAACGAGAGTGTGTTAAACATCATGTTAACATGACTCAAAAACTTTAAACATCTAAATTATTCACATAATATCAGAATACCTCCTTTCATTCCTGTCATTGTTATAAGAAGTCCTCTTGGATAGAATTGAAATTAGAGCTTGATTTTTAATTGAAAGTTTTAAATTTCTCTCCCCTTGCTTAAAAGCTTTTTTTAATGTGTTGTTTTTTAATTATAACATTATAATAGATAAAGTCATATGTTTATAAGTGAAGAGAGGACTTAATTCTACATTAGTTTAATAGCAACCTTACATTAAAGATAGAGATAATCATATAGATGATAAGTAATTAGACAAGTGTTAAAGTTTGGCTTGCAAAACATAATATGTATACTTGTGAAGACAAACAAACAGTCTTAGTTTTTAAGTGTGATATATATCTTTTTATGCACATATCTAATGATATTAATCACTAAATTATTTAAAGAATAATAATCTCTAAATAAAAGCTAATTACTTGAAATACACATAATATCTAATGATATATATCCTTTTATCACCAAATTAATCAAAGAATAATAATTCCTAAATAAAAACTAATTACTTGAGATATATATTTTTTTTTTTTACAGAGAGTAGCTGATCTTTCGTTTACTCAGTAATTTTTATAGTTCGATTTTTAAGATTTGTTTTTCATTACAAAAGTAAATTGTAAGTAGAAGTGGTCAAATGGCCTTAACTTAACGTTATTTTGCAAAGATTTTTTTATATCCTCCTTCCGCTTCTCACTTTTAGTTAGGCCATTTGACAATTTCTATTCACGATTTATTTTCGTAAAATAAAGAATTCCTATAAATTGAATAATAAAATTTAATCTTCTGTAGCCTGTTTACCATTTTTGCATAATAAATAAACTTAATATCAAAATTTAGTTTTATAATCACAATTGATGTTTTGAAAATGTTTCCAAAAGTTGACAAAGACAGAAATTTAGAAGAAAATTCGAATGTTCGAAGTAATTATCACTTTACTAGTTCTTAACAGTATATGAAACCTTGACGCATGATTTCTAACAAGAACAAACAATCATAAGCTCACATAAAGAGATGGAGTCTTTGGTTTTATTCTCTTGCAGAGTAGCACAAGAACTTGTCTTGACAAGTTGAAACCAATGAAGCAAAAAACATAACAGCAACAAACATCAGACAACGAAGACTCCATTATATTTACCATTGATCTAAAAGCTTTCGTCAACATCAAGCCCTGACTGGACCCATACACGAAACGGAACTCTTTTCTTACCAATCTTCAAGTTTCAGTAACCTCCCTGAATATAGGCATTCAGGCGGTTAAGCTCCTCTCGATGCTCACTGACAACTGCACGGACCACGTCTCCTATGGACACCATTCCCACCATACCCTTGTCTTTGATTACTGGAATGTGCCTGATCCTGTTATCTGTACATTCACAAACAGATATTTTTTACTTGCCTCCGTAGGTTTTGAATAAATCCAAAAGTTTGTATCTTTAATGTAGAAAAGTATGTGTTTTCTGCTTACCTGTCATCAGTTGCATAGCACGCAAGACCTTAGTCTCCGGTGTCACGGTGATAAGCTTATTCTGCAATAGCCAATTTACATAGAGTCGGCATAATCCCCCAAAAAAGCAAATGAAAAATTAATATGAAGGTGCATTTTCATTACTAATGCCTTACCTCTTCAGTCATAATGTCCCCTACTTTGGTTGATTTGGATGATCTCCCTTGCACTATGATCTTCCTCAGATAATCTACAGAAAGGTCAAAACGTAAGGAAACGTATTGGAAGAGTCAACACAAAACAAGGACATTTTTCGTGACGAGTCAGATTTGTTTTTACCTCTCTCTGTAATGATTCCAGCAAGAGATTGTTGCTCACCAGGCTTCACAACCACCAAGGCACCAACATTGTGTTGTGTCATCTATCCAAAGCAAAAAACACATCAATCACACAAACAGAAAACATTTCCACATCGAGAAGAGTTATGGCTATCGTAAAAGGCAAAGAGACAGAGATACGGATAACATACGGATTTAACAGCGTCGTAAACAGAGTCATCAGTGGTACACCAGAGCCAAGATCCATCAGCACTTTTGCCTTTGGCTTTCATAATGTCAGAGATGGTTGTGCTCTCGAATCCGTGCTCCTCCATACGAGAAGGCTGAGTGGATTCGGAGCGTGAACAGAACACGGAAGGCTGAATCGCCGGGTTCATCACACGGAGGTGCTGCAGCATAGAGGCTTTCACAACATTTCCACCGGAGACCAACGAACGAATCGCAGCTTGCATCTTTACCCTATCGCAATCACATCAAATCAGTCTTGTTTTTTCATTTCGGAAACAGATCATCATTCATCAAAAGAAGCAATAGCAAATCACTTGTGAAAAAAACGAGATCTATAAAAAGGAAACAATCAATCAAACAAACGAATCTTATCCACGTAGATCGGAAAGAGAATGATCTGGTATCAAATAAAAGAAAGCTCAAAACTGAGAGTTTCTGAAGAACCCTAAAACTGGAAACTTCCTAAAATCTGATTGTATGTAAACAGAAAAAAAATCAGTGAAGAGAGTGAAGAAAGGAGAGATTCAGACCTGAGCTTAGAGAAGAAGAACGGATCGGAGCGGGAAGGTAGAGAACCCTAGAGTAGGAGCAAGAGACAGCTGACGAGAGTTGAGTGGAGTTTGAAGGGTTCTTATGGATAATGATCAAATATAAATATAAATTTTCCGATAGTGAAACACTGGCGACATTTTCCCTTTTTTATCCTTAAAATATTATACTACAAAACATTAAAATTAGTGATGACTGTGTTCATTCAATTATTCTGTCATATCCTGCCACCATCATTAGGCCCACTCATAAGACTTTAATCTAAATAATTGTTTTATTTGTTTTGGTCTCAATCCGGATTTATCCGAAGTTCCAAACTAAAATCTATTCGGTTATTGAATCTTTAATTCGGTTTTGATCAACATGAGCTGTAAATCTGGCCAGTCCGGTCTAGACTGAACCGGAACAAGTCTAATGATGTATTTTGGATCAGCTTCAATGTTTTAAGTGATATAGTCTGCAACGAAACAATCTTTGGCATTACGAATTTACGATTGTAAGAAATTTGAGGACAATACAATGGACTTATCATCCTGAAATTTGCTTTATCTTCACGATTAATATAATTTACTGTTTCAGGGTGTCAAGATTCAATCGAGACGGCGTAGAAGATACTCAACCTCAACAATCTTAGTGAGAGGGATAAGCCATTCACCATAGATGCGAGAGACAAGCAAAGGATCCACTTTATACTTTCTCTCACTCTCCTCACCGGAGCTGCACTTTACTTCTTGTCCAAACGTTTCTGCTTTCTTCTGGACTCTCTTCTTAACCATTTCTTCTACTTTCTCAAACGTCAAAAGCTTCATCAGAGCCTCTGTATCCTACACAAGTTTTTCGTCTTGATCATCATCGTTTCATATAAAAACCACATTGAAACCAAATCCACATCGTGACACTAAATTTTACCTTGGCGCGAATGGCAGGCTCGTAATCCTGTGGAGCATCTCTGAATTTGACCTCAGCAACAAATTTACCGAAGTGAATCCTTCTCGAAATAGCCTTACACAAGTTCAAACATCAAATCAGACACAAAAACCACACGTAGAGCTGTGAATGCAAAGATGATCTACTCACTTGTAAACACGCGAGGTCACTAGCAGCAGTTGATGCGTACTTGCCATCATCACCAGGTTTAACAAACAAAGGAAGCATTTCTTTGAAGTAGGTATCCCAAATGCGTTTGTTTATGTTAACCGATAATGCCTTTGGGTGCAGAACCTAAACCAAGAGAAAAAACGAAGAGTATTGTTGAGATTTTCAAGCATTAAGAGAGTTGTAAAGAAAATGTCTTCAAGGCTTTACTCTACATACCGGTGGATATTTGTGCGTAGGATAAACCGAAGGAGGAATGTTGTCGAGGAAGAAAGGATTCTCTTCTGGGTCTTCGTATCTTCCTATCTATACATACACATTCATTGAGACTTTCAAGTAAACCAATCCACACAAGGACACATATAGAGAACAAACAAAGGCGTGCTGGTTCAACAATCCAGGCTCAATCAAATTGACTTGTAGCTTCGTTATGCCTAATTCCATAGTATAATCTATGAAATAATGAAAATGCCAGTTTCAATCAAATTTGACTTGGTAGCTTTGCTTCTGCTAAATTCACAATACAACCAATGAAAATTGCTAGATTCAGTTTAAAACGGATGTGAACCTTAGCTTGGAGGGTTTCAATCTCTCTGACGAAGAACTCGGGGAGAGAAGAGGAATTTCCAGAATCTAGGCAGAGAGATTCCTCGAAAGCAGGGGAATTGAGTGGAAAGTTGGCTCTCTCGATCAAGGTGAAGACGATGGTGTCTTCTTGCCTAATCAACGATTCCCTGATCGAGTCAAGGCTCAGTAGTACATCGGATCCCCCAGAAACCGAGTCAGACTCGACGACTCTTGCCATGCCCACCGCTTCTACAAAATAGTATCTCCTACAGAATCCCGACGAGATCAAAACATCTCCATCGATAATGAATCTAAAGCAAATCCTCACCGGAAACTACAAAATGGCTTACCTGGAAATACTGTATTATTAGGCTTCTTCTTCTTCCTCTCACTCCCTTTTGACTTTTCTCAGTCGCCTGAAAGAAAAAACAATATTAAATATACACGAATCTGTCTCTTAATTTAATACTAGTAAATAGGTCTGTTTTGTGTAATTTGGTAAGAGGGGATGTTGGTGAGTGACTAGTCAAAGTATGTAAGATGTTTGTAATGTACATCTTTGTCGGACTCGTGTAAACTTAGTAAGGATTTTGAGGATGTTCCTTCCATTTGCTTGCTGAATCCAATTTGTTTGAAGATTCGTTCGTTTAGTAATTACTCTATATGATTTTTTTTTTAATGGAAATTTGGACCCTTTTTCTTGTTTGCTCTGATGACAAACCTTAACGTATACTAATTCAAAATTTGAATACTCTCTTATTATGCGTTGCAATTATTTACGGAATCATAACAAGCTTTCAATTTTCCCTCTTATGCGTTACAATTATTTACGGAACCATAATAACAAGCTCTTCAATTTCCCTCTTTGGGTTAATGAGAAAGAGTGGGGAGACTACAAACAAGGGGATGGAGCTTCGTGTATATAATTATTTACGGAATCATAACACGTTCTCCACTTTCCCCCACTTTCCCCACTTTCCCTCTCCCTCTTAGGAAACGGAAGAAGTATACAAGGGTGTCGTTCCTCTTCCGGCTTTTGTTCCTCTCCTGTTATCTGTCCCGACGCTCGACTCGCTTGAACTCAGCCACTCAGGTAAACTCTCATCGCGTTCCAAGTAGATAACAATGACTTTGTTTTTGTTTTGGTCGTTCTCGTCTGTATAAAGTTGCTTGCTTTGCTCTTTTTCTTATCACTATGGGGTGTTGGGTCGATTTTTTTCTGACTGATGATGAATGATCATTTTGTATTACCGTTTGCTGGTTCCTTGAGCATTATGGCCGGTTTTTCCCGTCATTGTTAGGCTTAAAGTTTCGTTTTTTTTCTTTTCTTTCTCCCCTGTGACTTGTGAGAATCAAAATATGACTCTAACCCTGATTCGCTCTCTGTGTTTTCTGAACCAGGTGAATCTTTGAACGGCCGATACTTTCGTCATGGACATTCACGAGCACGGAGTTATTGTAGACAAGAAGAAAAGTCGGGTTAAATGCAAACACTGTGGAAAAGAAATGTCTGGCTTGAAGCGTCTGAAGTGTCACTTGGGTAGTGTAGGTACAGATGTAACTCGCTGTGAAAAAGTTACAGATACTGTTAGAGAGGCGTTTCGTAAGATGCTTATGGAGGAAAGATCCAGTGTTACTGCTGCTAAGGCTAAGAGAGTTGAGGAAGTCCGAATGGGTACAGCTCGTAAGCGTGGAAGAAGAGAAGATTCATCCAGCAAAGGTGTCTCTCCTGAGAAGGGGAATGCAGGCGTGAAGGCTACTAAACAGGGTCTGTGTTCAAACAAAGCTCAAAAGTTGGTTGGTGGGTGCTCTGATGGAAATCGTTTCGACTTTTCAGCTGTGGGTTCCCCAGGCTTGGGAGAAATGATGGCTTTAAGCGGTGGTAAGATCCCTGATTTAAACGGAAGGATGCTTCAAGAAGCGTTGAAGGAAGTGCAGGGTCACGTGAGGAGGGTCATAGATTCGTGGGAGGTCACTGGTTGCAGCATCTTGTTGGATGCTTGGGTTGACCAGAATGGCCGTGATCTGGTTTCTATTCTTGCGGACTCGCCGGCGGGTCCAGTGTATCTGAAGTCCGTTGATGTTTCAGATATTAAACATGATGTCACTGCCTTAACGTCGCTGTTATCTCGGCTTGTTGAGAAAGCGGGAGTGCACAAGGTGATCCAGATCGTTGCACCATCAACCTCTGGCTGGGTGGGTAAATTAGGCAAGTCTTTTGCGAGTAACAACGAAAACGTTTTATGGTCCGTGAGCTTATCCCACTGCTTCGAGATTATGCTGATGAGGATTGCGGAATTACATTCCCTTGCAGACATAGTTGACAAAGTCAATCAGATCACAGAGTTCGTCACCAACAACCCATTGGTTCTCAAGCTCGTCAGAGATCAGTCTCATGGAACAGGCAACAACACCGAGTTTGAGTTTGTTTTGCCGTATCTATCTCTAGAGAGTATTTTCAAGGCGAAGAAGCACTTGGAAGCCATCTGTGCTTCATCCGAATGGAGTAAAGATGAGGTCATAACAATATCCAAATCGGTGAAGGATTCGTCTTTTTGGGCAACTGTTGAGAAAGTTGTGAAATCCACATCTCCTCTGGTTCAAGATCTACTCTTGTTTTCTACTGCCAACAGTCAGCAAGTTGGATACATCTACGACAGTATGGATAGCATAAAGGAGAATATAGCGAATGAATTTGATGGCGAGGAGCTGTGTTACGAGCCGGTATGGGCTGTGATTGATGCTGTCTGGAACAACTTCCTTCACAGTCCTCTTCATGCTGCCGGTTACTATCTGAACCCGGCTGCTTTCTACTCAACTGGTTTCCAGCCTGATCCAGAAGTTACCACTGGCCTCTTCTCATCTCTGGTCCGTTTGGTAAAAGAGTGTCACGTCCTAGCTAAAATTTCCACACAGCTTGAAATGTACACACTTGGTAAAGGTAGCTTTGACGAGGCCAGCCAAGTTGATCAGTTCACTGAAATCGCTCCAGGTTTGTGAAATCCTTGACTCTCGATATAGTTGTATTGTTTTCAGACACTTGTGTAGATGAATCGCTGAGCAAAAGGTTTTGTCGTTTTTTGGACATCTCTCTTTGCAGCTGAGTGGTGGGCTCAAAAGGCGAGAAAGTACCCAGAACTGCAGAGTATCGCCATCAAGGTTCTGAGCCAGACATGTGATGGTGCTTCAAGGTACAAACTGGACAGGAGCTTAGCAGAGAAGCTGTTGCTCACGAGAGGAATGAGCCATGGTGAGAAACAGCATCTGGAGCAGTTGGCGTTTGTTCATTACAATCTTCATCTACAAAGCTGCAAAGCCAAACTAAGCGAAGCTGCAAACCCAAACTAAGCGAAGAGCAGTGGAGAAACTGTGCTGCAAGGACTGACCGGTTCAGCTTCTTCTTCTTTATTTGTCAATGTGCTGATGTGCAGATTTTAAGTTTTTGTTTTTTTGTATATTCAGCAAACCTCGTATTTTGAATTGGTCTTATTCACGCAAATCTTTTTTATATCTTTATACTTGAATCGGAGTTGGGATGATGAGACATGGGAGCAATGTTAAGAGCTGCACGAGTAAGTTCAAATCAGACAAGAAACCCCCTAAACAAGTCTGAGTGTCATAATGTTTTAAGAAAATGATATTTTTGAATGTGTAACTTCAACGCAGCGTTGCCTCCTTAATCCTTTTTGGTTAGCGAAACAGAGACTACAATAAAGAGAGGAAGAGACGACGGAGGGAGAATTTGTCTATCTCTTTCCTTTCCTCCCTTTCTGGATCCCTCCCTTGTCTATCTGACTCTTGTGGTCCAAGAAAGAGAGATATTCCTTCTGTCTGTCTGTGATGGATCTTTAGAAATGCATATTGAGCGAAAAACTGTAGAGACCAAAAAAAGGTTTTTGATGAAACATTATTTACAAATGTATATTTTGATGTGAACGATATACAAACCTTCATATCGGCATTGTCAAAGAAATTTAACGTTTCTTTGAAAAATCTCTGCTTTAAAGCAAACTGAAACTAATTGTAATAATAAGGCAAATTCATTAATTAACATGTAGTAGCTTTCTTCACAAAGTTACAGAATCTCCTTTTTTATTTTTCTAATGAAACTTAAAATACCAAAACTCTCATCTAGAGAGAGGGTAGCGACGAGTTTGAGCGTTGGAGTTGATTCTAGAAGGTTCTGGAATGTGCTCAGAGACTATAAAAGCAGTGTCTTTCCACCAAGAAGCTTCAGCTTCCTTGACATGAAGCCTTCGTTTAGCATCTTCCAATGCAGTCTCAAGCTCCTTGATCTCTTCTACTTGTCTTGTCTCCATCAGCTCGTGTAGCCTTCTCTCCAGCTCGTACGGGCACACTCCCTGTTGTTCCTCCATTGCTCCTGAACACATGCGTCTGCTGAACCTTATTCCTTCTGAATCTCCACTCTTCTCTGAAACCTCCTGTGATCGTTTCACAATAACAGGATAGTTTCATTGGACCTAAATCTCAGAAAGTTTAACGTCATTGATCTGTTTAGAAAAAAAAAGTGCTTTACCTTGAGGTTAGAAGAACTTGTACCCTCGTGGTCTTGACCAATCTGAAGAAGTTCAAACTCAGCTTCAAGTTCTGCTTCAAGCTGATCCATTTCTCCGCCAAAATCTTCTTCCCCACCTTTAAAAACGTAATGTTTCAGAGACCCTTCACGTCCAACAGACAGAGACGTCTCCAGGAACTGTGGAGAGAAATAGTGATCAGTAGTAGATGATTCAGGACCATCAACAACGTCACTTGTGGTGGAAAACGCAGAGGTTTCACTCTGCTCTTGATGCATAAAGGAGGACACTTGCTGTTGTTTTGGCCTCAGTTCGTAGTTGTGAGATTCTAAGAACCTCTCAATATCGTTCCGTAGCTCTATAAACTCTTGCTGTTTTCGCCTCAGTTCGTCTTTCCTGCATTCAAGAAACTTCTCCAAATCGTTCCGTAGCTCGACCGTCTTGTGAATCTCTTCTCTACCAGTAGCAATCAGATGTAGCAGATAACAACTCACTCCAATGCTGAACAAAAATTCTCTTCTTTGCGGTTCTGCAAACCAAAAGAGATATGTCAAAAGTTATAACTGAGAGACAACTAATCCATGATTGCTACCATTCGTTCTTCAATCATCTGGCATTCTTTTTTTTCTGATTGGTTGGATCAGAAATCGTTTTAGATATTTCATGTCAAAACAGAAATCGAATTTTGGGTTAGACAAAAGATTGTTACCGGAATGGATCGTCCGTGGCGGAGAATCTGAAATTTCGCTAGCTACATGACCATCCTCCGAGAAATTTCTGATCCTCACCGAGTCAAAGTCTCTCACTCGTCTTTCCGACATGGACTTGTTCTTTCCTTTGACCTTCCCCTGCGAGGAAAACCACCGACTCATGGCTCTCCGTGGCGACGGGCACCTTATCCGAATGCATCCTGCTCTCACTCCTCCACCCTCTTCCATCGGAGACTTCAAAACCCCAACCAAAATTCTTGGCGGGATTCAAATCGATCGCTATAAGAGAAGATAATTGAATTGAAGGAGAGAGAGAGAGAGATTTAAAAGAGAAATGTCATATTCGGGATTGAAGAGAGAGAGAAAGAGAGAGAGAGAGAGAGAGAGAGAGAGAGAGAGAGAGAGAGAGAGAGAGAGAGAGAGAGAGAGAGAGAGATGTATTAATGAGAATCACGAGAAGCAGAGTGTTGTTGATTCGACTTCGTTCCACTAATGGGTTTTGGACTTTGGAGGGAAACTTTTGAATGTTTTGGAAACTCTTTTAATGCAATCACCTCTCCTTTTCTCCACTTAATAACAAGATCTACAATTCTTGACCAAAAATAAAAAAATAAGATCTACAATTACTGGCAAGAAACAAAAATCTATGATACATTTGGGAAAATTCACTCCACGCTTTTTCTTTAATACATAGTGTAATTAGATACTACTCCAATTAGGTTCATAGGAAAAGAAAAACGTAAATCTTGATGTAGGTACAACAATTAGGTTCAGGAGTCAAGAGTATGTCTCAAGATCCAAAGGAGTAGAGAGACTTGAGAATTATTTAGCCATAAATAGCAATTGAGTAATGTTGACCAAAGAAATGGTAATCGAGTCATTTACCAATGTCGTTGGGACAAGACCATAATAAATTCGAGACAAGTGGGTGTTTATTTGTTTGAATACGAATTTTCAATTTGAATTTTGCCTATTCCGCAGTTAATTTCCGAACAAACTAGTACTTTGGAAAAAAAAAAAACGAATTGATATTAATAACGAAAAGCTAAAAACCAAAGATATTACAGAGATATAAAATGTAAATTACAGCTGGAAAAACAAAGAACAAAATCGTTGGATTTGGGTCTTAAATGGTCAGAGAGAAGATGACATTTGGCTTATGACCTCCAATGTAGCTTTCGTCTTCGTCAGATGATCCATCTACAAATATTCAAAACACTCAAATTAATTCATCAACACTTTATATAAAGTATATTCTAAAATCTGGTTTCCTTAGCCGTACCAGTTCTTTCTCGCGGGTGTCCTGCGCAAATACAAAAGACACAAATCTAAATGTCAGTCTTTTACAAGAGATTGCTTGAACGTGAAGAAAACTAGAAAAAGGGAGATTTCTGTATCGTATTTATTTATACCCTAGTTTGAATCTCCTGTTTGAGAGCGCTTATGAGTCTGAACAAGTAGTCATAGTTGGATTTGTGAGGCTCCTGCAATCACCACAATCATACGATAATCAAAAATTTAAGCTCATCATCATCATAAACCATCAATAATCAGGAGTTAATTGTATTTTACCTCAATGGTTTCTGGAAGAGGAAAACCTTCAAAGACTTGTGGAGGCTCTCGAAGCTGAATGATTTGACTTGGGTCACTTGGTAAAGGAACATTCCAAGAAGGCGGATTAGAAATCCCCACTGATGCAAAAGCCTGTCCTGTTCTATTCTCCCACATTAGCTGTTGTTGTGCTGAAGATCCATCAATTGTTATCTGATTTTGTAACTATAGCAACAAAGGAAAAAGCATAAGACACTGCTAAGATAGTGAGAAGTCTCCAGGTTTGTAGCTATTATTACCCTTGGGACATTTTCGACTGTGTAAGAAACAAATCTAGGCTCTGTGAAGTTGGGAGGCTCAAGAACAGCATATGCGCCTTCGTTTTCATAGTTTCTCGATCCCTAAAAGCATCAAATTATGCAAAAAAGAACCAGTTGAAAACAGCAACAGAACAGGTAGCATTCGGACTCTGTTTTGTTGTAAAAAGTGCAGTGGAAAATGACCTGTGAGAAATTTGAAGCGCTGAAGATTGTGAAAAGCTTTCCAGATTCCACTTCATGATCTATTGAGTAACCACTCAGCATGTTTCCCATGTCTTCTCGATCTGATCTTGCATCGGGGCCTTCATGTGATCTTATAATCATCTAAAATGCAAAACAAACACATGAAGTTTATATCATAACAAATTGGAACATCATTATACACACAAGAAGAGTGTTTTTACCCAAAGTTTTGCACTTACTTTCAAGTTGGACTGTTTTAGAAAAGACTCGGTGCAATCCGCTCCCCAAAGAAGCCCCTTGTAATTACTTTCGTTCAGACCATCAGCCATCCATGGACATGACCATAAAACATGATTAAGAGTTATGTTCTCATCATCGTTCTCACCGACTTGTCTCCTCTCGATCTTGTCAAGTTCCTCTAAAGAACCCAACAACAAAGACGGATTCGTGGTATCTTCTTGGACACGAGAACTTTGAAAGAGACCTCCATGGGTTGTGTAGACGCTGTTCGATATCACTGACGCCAATGGTAATAGTTTGAAACAATCGATACATTTGGAGTACAGCATCGGACCGTCCTCAGCGTATCTGTCACATATTTCTTTCAAGAAATCAAGCTCTTCTGCGGATACTCTTGTTTCAGAGCTTCCTCGAAGTAAATATACACTCTCAGGCATCAGAATCTGAAGCGAGAAACAACATGTATCAATCAGATGGGAACATTGTATCATGAATCAATACGGTAAGGCAGATAGAATGAAAGAAAACATATTTCAGACCTTAAGACCAATGCTTCAGCACTATAAAGGGGACAAGCAATGAAACTATATATGTACCTTCCAAGCTAAGAGAACCAAGAACACTTCTAGGCTCCAAGAACCTCGACCAATGTAGTTACCGTTGAACACAAAACATTGGTTCTGTGAAGGCCTTCCTTCCTGATCAAAGATTTTCAGGAGATCGTGTAACTGGCCGTGGAGATCCCCAACCACAATCACTCTAGAACTCTCGCCACAGCAATCGATTCTAACGCAATTGGCTTCTTTGTCTAGTATCTGCGAAGCACAATCCACCAGAGAAACAGCCACAGAAAGTGGGAGTACCAAAGGGAACTCAGAAACCGAGTTCTTCCATGTGAACGTGTTGAGCACACCCATCAAAGTCTCAACCCATTCAAGAGTTAGCTGAGACTCCAAAGGCCATGAGATTGGCTCCAAAACAATGTCACTGAAGTCCGCGCCGACAGAATCATCGCCGTTTCCCAAGTAAATCTCCATTTCCATTGGCTCGGTCATGTCATCTGATTGATCAACGGTCTCTGGTTCGTATTTTCTACTACCCATTCCTTGTACACTCGCTATCATCCTCGTCACCTGCTGCTTCTCTTGATCATCCAATGTCTCATAGTGAAACCCACGAAGAGACTTTAGAGAACGGTCTGAGTTACTCACCTGCACATGTTTTAAAGAATTTACTCGATTTTGGCGTTACTGCTCGACCATTTAACTCTAAGAGTATATAGATGTGCACTTACCACTTGCTTTAAAACCGAACACAGGATTCGGGTTACACTGTTCTCCGGATCCTGTAGCAAAGAACGTCACTTTTTTTGGCGTTAAGCAAATAAAGACAGAGAGTATACTGAGCTCAGGCTAACATTGAGACTGAATCTAGTTTATTAACGTTACCTTGAGAACGTCTCGATCAGCACCACGTCGAGATATTTCTTTCAACATAAGCAAGGTACGCAATTGCTTATAGTTCTTCATTCTCGTCGTTTTCACCGCACTTAGCTTCAAGAATGCGAATTTGCAAGCTTCAAGCTTCGCGTCTAAAACACTTTTCGAGATTTCTACACAAAAGGCATTCAAATGTTACTATCCCGATTACATTAATGGTGTTTGCTCGGAAACAGAGGAGTTCTCATGGGGATGAGTCAAATCAATTGACAGCAAAAAAAAAATCTCTATCGAAGAAACGATTACCTGGAGGCGGCATATCGATCAAATCCGGAAAGATTTGAAAGTGAGATTAACACAGAAACGGAAAAAACCACAGTTCGGCGAGGTCGTCGGCACAGTTCCGGCGTCGATGTCGATAACAACCGCCGCTCACCACCGAGGAACGAGCGTTTTCGTGCTAACTTCCTGCCGGTTCTAGGGCAAAGAAACCACGCGCATTTCGCTGCTTAGAAAGCGAAAAGGATGTTGTTTTCGGGACTTATGGGCCTTCCGGCCCATGTTTTGTAGGCCCAAAAGAACTAACACTGTCTATCAAATCTCGCTCACTACTGAAAAGATTTGATAGACCAAACCAAACCAGTAAATTTGTTTCTTCCGATAGCAAAACTTCGACAATGGCGAAGGAGGCATGAGAAGAAACGGAAATGGCGGGAGCGATTAGGGCGAAGCAGCTGTTTGTATGCTCGTCGATTCTCGCGAGCAACAGCAACAAGTTTCTATTACGGTTTCCTCGGCGTTCTATCAATGTAGTTTCGGGAAATCTCAGTTCGAGCGAGACGAAGAAGAAGGAGAAAGAGAAGAGGAAGAGGAGAAAAGAGATTGAGGCCGCAAGAGCTACGACGGAAGCTGTGGTGAATAAGGAAAAGAAGAGGACACGGTCGAGCAGAGAGTATGAGATCGCCGACGGTGGCGAGGTTCCTTCCTCACATGTGCCTGTGATGCTCGGAGAAGTTATCGACATATTCTCTTCGGTTCGCTTGCGAAGTTTCGTCGATTGCACACTTGGAGCAGCCGGTCATTCTTCTGCAGTAAGTTCCTTCTTCTAGTTGTTTCCAGAATTTGAAAAAAATGTTGATTAAATAGCTAAAATCGAACAAGCATGGGCTGATAGGATTTTGTGCAATTCAATCATCGATTGAATGGGATTTATTAGTATGATGAACACATTCTTATGCTGGATAGGTAAAAGCAGATTGTTAAATTTGTGTAATATGTCTTTCAGATTATTCAAAGCCACTCTGAATTGAAGTATTTTGTTGGGATGGATGTTGATCCTGTGGCGCGGAAACTGGCTCACTTTCATATCGATTCCCTGATGCACCCAACTTTGAAGGCTTCCATTGTGTTGAAGAACTTCAAATACATCAAATCTGCAATCGCTGATACGCATCCGGAGTTGTTAGATGCAGGTGTTGATGGCATTCTTATGGACCTGGGAATGTCATCTATGCAGGTAAACTGTGATCTTCACGAAGTAAACTGTTTTTTTCGTCTCATTGTATTGTTGACAGTAAAATCTTTATCCAACAGGTAAACAATCCGGAAAGAGGGTTTAGTGTTCTTCAACAGGGACCTCTTGATATGCGCATGGATCCTCAGGTGAGTTATATAGAAGGAAACTCTGACCTCCCTGCTTTCTTAATCACTTGGAATCTCTGCAGAAGTTTCTCTTAACATATCCGCATACATGTGACAGGCGAGCCTGACAGCGGAAGATATAGTGAATTCTTGGCCAGAATCTGAACTGGGGAGAGTTCTACGGGAATATGGCGAAGAAAGCAATTGGTATTCACTTCAAAATAGAATTGTTAAGGCTCGACTTAGTGGTGGGTTACATTCTACTGGTGAACTGGTGGATCTCATTCGAGGCATGTCACCACCAAGTAGAGGTATATATATATACAGTATCCATTGATTCTCTCTTTTTCTCTTTTTTGCTTCCAGAAGTCTATCTTACGCTTACTTGAATTGCATCTCAATATGAGATTCGGTTTGTGTTCCTAGTTAAAGATTTGGTGGGCAGGTACATAATACATTAGAGTAAGCAACTATCAAGATCCTGAAAACATTAGAGATTTTGGAGTTTTCATCGTAGACAAAAGATGATGAAGATGGTCCTGTGAATCTTATTTCGACTTCCGTTTGAAATGCTGCAGTAGGAAGACAAGGTTGGATAAAGACAGCAACACGTGTGTTTCAAGGCCTAAGGATTGCAGTGAACGACGAACTCAAGACACTGCAAAACGCTCTCTACTCATCGTTCGATGTTCTCTCTCCAGGTGGGAGACTAGCAGTCATCTCCTTCCACAGTCTGGAGGATCGGGTTGTGAAACAAACGTTCCTCGACATTTTAGGGTTTCAAAGGGAAGAAGTAAACGCTGATGTAAGCGTAAAACCAGAAAGGCAAATCGAAGAAAGTGTAATGAAGGAGTTAAAGGAGAAAGAAGCGTGGATCAAACAGACTGTAATCGGGTCGAAAGGGGTAATACTGACAAAGAGACCTATTACTCCTTCAGAGGAAGAAGAGAGACTGAATCGCAGAGCAAGGAGTGCTAAGTTAAGAGTGATTCAGAAGTTGTGATCTATCAAATGTTTCTCTCTTTGCTTTTGTTTATTTTAGCTCTATACAGTAGTTACTTCTTGTTGCCATTTTGCTTTTAGAATTTACGGTTCCAAAATTCACTAAACCGATTTGTAATAGCTAGTCAAGTGACGTTCAAATTTTTTTTTATCCAAATAGTTCAGGTTTTGACTAGAAACAAAAATTCGAATCTAATAAAAACTAACCCATTTTTGTTTTTTGCTGAATAAATCGATTTTTTCCAACCAGGCCGGTTAAAATGCATATGTTCAATGACCATACCGCCTAAAGTATCAGACTGACTCGCCGCAAAAACCAAGTTAGACCTTGAAACCCTCTTGTCGTCGTCCTCCTCCTCCACCTAACCAATGGGAGCAATTGATCTTTCTCTCTCACAGAGTCTCCTCTTCTCTCCGTCGCGTTCCAGTCCTCCCTACTCCACGCACCGTTCCGTCTCTTTTTTGCCGCCGGGAAGCAAGTCACGGTGTCTGCCGCCGTTGCGTTCAATGAGCCACGATGACGACGCGGCCTCAAAGGAGGCGAAGCTATGGGGCGGGAGGTTCGAGGAGAGTGTCACAGAGAAGGTGGAGAAGTTCACTGAGTCAATTTCCTTTGACAAGGTTCTGTACAAACAGGATATCATGGGCAGCAAAGCTCATGCTACAATGCTAGCTCACCAGGTTTTTACTCTTTTGCTTTTTCTTCATTTCTTCACTTGGTGCATTGTTTGAATTTGCATCTGTAGATTTGATTCGAGTTTGGTCTCTTCTTTGTTTGTTCCCAATGATTTTGGAGATGGAAGCTTCTTTGCTGTTTAATTTCAGAACATAATTTGATTTACATGCTAATGATTGCTTTATAGCTCACTTGAATTCTTCTAAGCAATGCGAATTTGTTAAAGTAAGGAAAATCTTGGGTGGTTTTTTTCTTCTCACAGGGGCTTATAACTGATAGCGACAGAGATAGCATTCTGAGAGGTCTTGATGATATAGAGAGACAGATTGAAGCAGATAAGTTCGAATGGAGGACTGATCGAGAGGACGTGCACATGAACATTGAAGCAGCTCTTACTGATCTAATCGGCGAACCTGCAAAGAAACTCCACACAGCACGCAGTAGAAATGACCAAGTCGCTACTGATTTCAGGCTTTGGTGTCGTGATGCTATCGACACAATTATTGTCAAAATCAAACATCTTCAGACAGCACTTGTTGAGCTAGCTTTGAAGAACGAGGCTTTGATTGTTCCTGGTTATACTCATCTTCAGAGGGCTCAGCCTGTTTTGCTCCCACATGTCATCTTAACTTTCGTTGAGCAGGTTTGGAATTTCTTCAGATGCTATCATCTTATAAATGTAAATGTTTTCACTTACAATTCTACTTATTTGACTGGTAATGGTGTTCTTTGTCTGACAGCTCGAACGTGATGCTGGTCGTTATATCGACTGTCGCAAGAGGCTAAATTTCTGTCCCCTAGGAGCTTGTGCTTTGGCTGGAACTGGTTTACCTATTGATAGGTTTATGACTGCAAGTGCTCTTGGATTTACCGAACCAATGAGAAACAGGTATGTAACTAGTTCTTGTATTCGTTTTGGTTACATCAACTCTCTGTTTAGTCTTACGAGATCCTCGTTTATTAATCTATTTTGAATTACAGCATCGATGCAGTTTCAGACCGAGACTTTGTGTTGGAGTTCTTATTTGCAAATTCCAACACAGCCATTCATCTATCACGGCTTGGAGAGGAATGGGTACTCTGGGCTTCTGAGGAGTTTGGTTTCATGACTCCAAGCGATTCCGTCTCAACGGGAAGCAGTATAATGCCACAGAAGAAGAATCCCGACCCGATGGAGCTTGTCAGAGGAAAATCTGCTCGAGTCATTGGCGATCTGGTCACTGTCCTAACACTCTGCAAGGGACTTCCGCTTGCCTACAACAGAGATTTTCAAGAAGACAAAGAACCAATGTTCGATAGCACAAAGGCAATAATGGGAATGATCGATGTATCTGCAGAATTTGCCCAGAATGTCACCTTCAACCAAGACAGGATTAAGAAAAGTCTTCCCGCTGGACACCTTGATGCTACTACACTCGCTGATTACCTTGTGAAGAAGGTAAATGATGTATATTTTTTTTTATGAAAAGCTTTCATTTTTGTAACCTAAGTTTGAGAAGATAATACAATTGTTTTTGCTTGTTTCTGATTCACAGGGGATGCCTTTTAGGTCGTCTCACGATGTAGTCGGGAAACTAGTTGGAGTCTGTGTCTCAAAAGGCTGTGAACTTCAGAACCTAAGTCTTGAAGAGATGAAAAAGCTAAGTCCCGTGTTTGAAGAAGATGTCTTTGGGTTTTTGGGCGTTGAAAATTCAGTCAATAAGTTCAGTTCCTATGGCTCAACCGGGTCGAGCTGTGTTGATGAGCAGCTCAGCTATTGGGTCAACAAGCTGAAGATTACTAGCACCTGAGTTGAACCAAATATGATCAGGCAAATTGTTGCAGCGGTGTGAGGAAAGGCGAATACATTGGGTTCCCTATCTACCAAAACCCCAAAAAAATAAAAAGCTTTGTTGAAGTTTGAAACCTTTATTGTTCTAATGTTTAGTACTATCTTTTTTTATCATTTCAAACGCTTTGATATTCTACAATGGTAAGAGGATTAACTTGGACCAACTTGCAAGAACCCAACCAAGACCACTAGAGTAGCGTAACACTTTAAACTTGATAATTTTCTATAAGATAGGACAAAAGTATCACAAAGCGTCAAAAGCTTGGTTTAGTAAATATGTTGAGTGTCATATTAAGACGCTATTGAGTGATAAGATACAGATGGTTGAAGCTAGAAGCTAAGGAGAAGGAGCTTTGGCACGTGAGGAGGATTACAACTTACAAGGCTTGTGGTGTGGAAACTAAAGACTTGTAATCTCGATCAGTCCATCTCTCGGCGGTTCAAAACTCACGGCTGGCGAGGTTGTACACAAGCCCGGCCCTGAGCGCAAGCAGACACGATTTTTAGTACACACCAAATACTTTTATGGCCAACTAAGTTAAGACACGATTTATCCATCTACAATACTTTTCCTTTAATTTATCACATTCACTCATGAGAAAGACGCTACTAGACGCAAGATTGGCATTGAGTACGAAAGCTGCTCGTAGAATTGCCGCTAAAGCAACCCTGGAACAGAGAGATGTCTCATCCAGTGAAAACTGATAAACTTGATTACATATACAATCAGTATCATTGATCAAGCAGAAGACCCCTCAAGGAATTTACTATAAAACAGTTTTTATCTCATCAGATATTTCTCCATCATATTCAAAACACAGCTTGGTAGTTTCCTTGGTATGCAGGGAAGTTAAATACAATGGATTGTTGTTATTAGCTATATCGGTTTTAGACAAGTAAATGCTTGTGATTGCAAATATTTATTTTTGAATATACCGTAAAAAATCGAAACTAGTGACAAATACCTCCAAGTTTTGTGTATATTTGACCCAATCTTAATAATAGATTGGAGTTAGGTTGTGATTTGGACATGATGGAAAAATATTATCTTTAAGTCTGAAGATTATCACTACTTCATCAGTCGGATCAATCGAACCGGACTTTGATTTTCATTGAGATTTTAGTTTTTTTTTTTCATTTAAACGCCAATTATTGTTCAAACATCCAACATACAAGTAATAATAATGGACTAATCAAATGCATTTTGATGTTATTTTTTTGAAAATATGGAGGACCCTACTTGACATGATGAAAACCCTTGTTCCTTAGGAGGGCGAACATCTGTTATGTTACAAAACTTATATTATCCTTTTATGTTACAAAAATTTCATTCTCCATTTCTATGACCACACACACATTGACACACATACGCACCGGTAATAATCTCACTGGTCTCCTAAAATAGTTAAATTTTAAAATCAAACACAAACACCTTCTTTCTTCTCGATTTAATCCGATAATAATATCCATTTGATTGTGGAGTCACTTTCGGATTGTGACACAATCCTTGTCCTTATAAATCCCATGTTAGCCACTGATTGGTGGTCCTTTTGGATTATTGGTCGGATTTTCACTTATAGTGAAAGCTCCATTATTTTCTTTATTGTTGATATTCAGTAGATTGAGTTTACTGGTGAACCTCTCATCTCTTCTCTTCTTCTCTTTTTTAATCCTTGTTTTTGTTTGTACCCATTTTGACGTTTTGGGGATATTGCTTTCAGTTAGTACAACTTCTACGCTATTCGAATGTTGTAGAATGGTGGAGTCGATTATTGCGTTTTGTTATTATGTGCTCTTTATTATATTGTTTCTCTAACAGAAGTACAAAATAAGATGTAAACTTGTAATACTGTAGTTTGTCCTTATGTTTTTACATAAACCAAATTTCTATCGTTTACAACTCAACACACAAACACTAATGTAAACTACTAAAGTACAATCTACCCTAATAAATAAAAAAATGGAGTTTAAAATATGAAATTCGTCCCATCCATTGGATCTCAGTCGGTAATCTTTGTAGACTATACAATTTATATAAATAAAGTAAGAATTGATCGTCTGCTCATTTATGCAAAAGTCTCGGATTAGCATTATCTTTATCCCCATAGTCCCTTCTTAGTTCTTATCCCTATAGCTTACAGTAACTCCTAACGACAGCTAAAATTAGACATGTAGAAGTTTCAAAACAGGTCCTCGGAGAATTTGACTTTGTCCTCTCCACTTGCATATTCTTCAATGACTTTGACTAACACAATGACAGCGTAACAAAAGGTGGGATCTATTCGAGGTCTCTGAGACAGTACACGTGGCACCTTGGCAGTGTTTTAAATCAACCCTGCTTACTTTAAAAGATTGTATACTCATTCAAACCGAACCAAACATCCAATGATAAACCGAATACTTTAAAAACAAAAAAAAAAGTATAAAGTGAAAACCTATTTAAAAACAAAATTCATCAAATTAAAGATATCTAAATTCGAAGTAAAACCAAAAATTATATTAAACCAAAGAAAATTTAGGTTCAATGTAACAGTTCTTATATACTACAGAACATTAACCGGAAAACCGGTCATCTCAGAACCAAAACTTCGATTCAATCAACAGTGTTGTTTTCATCGGATTCTTGATTAGTCGCAGTATTATCGCCGTGCCATGACCAGACAATGTCGTTCAACGCCGGCCGGACTTCTTCTTCGTATATCCTATTGTACTCCAGAGTGTCTCCCGCCGATTTGCAGAACTCCACCACTGAGATCTCCGGCGCTACTTCGAACACTTCCGCCGTCATCGAGAGCCGTCCTTTTCTCCCTTCCGATTTCCCTTCCATCTTCACTTTGAAATCCTTCGTTGTCTTTACATTCAAGTTCATCTGCTTCGTAACCGTCTCGATCTTCTCCATTATCTCCGTCGCCGACGACCGTGACGTGAATACCGATTGCAGCTTTCTCTTACTCTCGAATAAGCTCGACAGATCGAATCCGGACGACATGGACGAGATGAATTCGAAGGCGTTGAAGAATTTCGGAGTAACTAGCTCCGTTTCCTCCCAATCGCGAGCCTCGTCTTCGTTGTTGCTCGGAGAACAGACCGGTTCGTCGATTTTGAAAGCTAACGGCGGCGTGAAGTTTTTCCGGAGCCATGGCGTTCGCATGATGGCCGGCATCGAGATCCGCCGCTCCGGATCGACGACGAGGAGTTTCGAAACCAGCCTCCTCGATTCAGGCGAAAACCACGGCGGGAATTCGAAATCCGCTCTGAAAATCTTCCTGTACATGTTCATCAGATTCTCGTCCTGAAACGGCAAACATCCGGCGAGAAGCACGTACAAAACGACGCCGCACGACCATATATCCGCCTTCGCGCCGTCGTACCCCTTCTTTCGTAGAACCTCCGGCGCCACGTAAGCCGGCGTTCCGCACTGCGTGTGAAGCAATCCGTCCTGGAGGATCTGTTCCGGCAACGCCGATAATCCGAAATCGGAGATTTTCAGATCCCCATTCTCGTCGAGGAGAAGGTTCTCCGGTTTCAGATCCCGGTGAGAAACGCCTCTGCTATGGCAGAAATCGACGGCCGAGATCAATTGCTGGAAATATCTACGGGCCGCGTCCTCCTGAAGCTTACCCTTAGCGACCTTGGCGAAAAGCTCGCCGCCTCTAACGAACTCCATGACGAAGAAGATCTTCGTCTTGGTGGCCATGACTTCTTTCAGTTGAACGATGTTGGGATGACGAACGAGCTTCATGATTGAAATCTCGCGCTTGATTTGATCCATCATCCCTGGTCTCTTTGCTACTTGATCCTTGTTGATGACTTTGATGGCGACGCTCTCGCTCTCGCTCTCGCCGGCGATGATCTCCTTGCCGTAATAAACCTTCGCGAAGGTTCCTTTACCTAATAGCCTTCCCATCTCGTACTTCCCGAACAGAATCCGCCGCTCTTCCTCCATTGATATATATAGGTGGTCTCTGTTTGATACTGTTTAAGAGAAAGGGATCGAGGAAAATGAAAAGTAGGATCAAAGGAGATGATGAAAATGAGAATTAGTTAAGAAAAGCTGTTGTTGATCCATGAGTTTTGGTTAGTACTACGGGAAGAGGAATCCATGAGGACATAAACTCACAGCTGAACAAGTGTTGTTTCATGTTCACCAACAGAAGAGAAATGGTGAAGATGAAGAAACAAAGTTGCAAAATGGAATGAAACCATACAAGAGTAGGCGCAGTTATGAGGTGTCCGTTTATATACTCACCCTTTCAATCATAAGTTCATAACCACGTAATAAGCCACTCACAAGCCATTATTATTATTTAGTAGTATACTTTTCTACGATATAAAAAAAAATACTATAAATAAATTTGAAACTCAGAATCTTCTACGTCACAGCTCTATTTTCGTAAAACAATACATTTAAAAATGATTGTCAAAAATATTTATTGTGTTTTTTTAAAAGAATCTTTGATGTCGCTGTGCATTCAACCGTCTGTAGTTAAAAATGATTTGTCATATTGGTTCTGTCATCTGTGTAAAAAACAATTTAGTTGCAGTGTTTATGCATAAGTTTTTGGTATTGCTTGCTAGATTTTATTCTTAAGAATAAGATTCAGGCTGTTCTTTTAGCCTTTTAGGGGGCTTTGTCTTAATTGTTAATAAATATGCCAAGATTAAGTCTAGATGTTAAAAATGATTTATAAGATACCTTACTTGAAAATACAATATACTATTTACCTCGTTTGTTATATCCTTTTTTCATCACAAATTTGTTATATCATTTACTATAAATCAACAGGTTAAATTTATTGTAGCTTATCAGTTTAAAAAAATAAATAAAAAAAAGTCGAGTGTTACACCAATCAACGTCAAAGGAAATAGATAGATACATGGCTTGAGGTGCAAAACCTAAACTAGAATGCTAAAACCTAAACGTTTATGTTATCATCAAATAATGAATACGCTGTTTTGTAAATTGGCTTAATCGGTAGAATGGTATAAATTCGATAACACTGACCCTGATTAATAATCTTTGTAGAGGTCATTAAAAAAATAATGATCACGAATAATAGCGTCGAAGAAAAAGGAATAGGTGTCTCACGACTCTCACCTCTCACAGTCTCACGACAAAACTCGAAACGCACCTTTAGAAAATAATGTCAATAATTCTCTCCAACGGTCTAATGCCTTTTGTCCCCTTATCTTCTACGGTGGTTCCACCCAACCTTTCGTATATAAAATTTTAATCTTAATTTTTAATCATTTTCATAAACTAGCATAAACAAAAAAAAAAAAGTTTCTTGTCAGTAGATATGGAACTTCAAAGTTACACAAAATTTAAACCGAACATCATCCATCATTTTTCTTATAGAATAGCTCAAAATCATTTGAAATATAATATATTTTGTTCCTCAATCCTATGGGATCATTTCTATTAAAGTCCGATAGATAGAACATTTTAGTAGTAATTATTTGACAAAGCTAATAGTTTAATCCCATAAAACTAGAATTTCTTATTGTAATGATATATGCATATACTTTATCACATGCCTTCATATCGGAAATAATAGTTGGCATCACTTAAAATCCAAAGAAAAGGGGGAAACATCTCTTACAATATAAAGTGATACAGATTAGGAACTTTATGAAGTCTCAGCAAAAAAAGGAACTCTTAAAGTTGAAGACATGTTTTCTATGATGCGAGGCTCGCCGCTCGACAACTTTCACTGATCTCAACAAATATTTTTGGTGTTATAAAATTATAAATAGTTTTGGTTTATGAATCTTGGGTCTCTTATATATCCTACCACAAAAGCAGTAAACCAAATAATAATGCTTAACGTGTAAGTTGAGAGTGTTTTAAAAATAAACAGTTTTTCAAATAGTTTGAAGTCAAAATGATCAGC